TGCTGAATTCTTCTTTCAATTTATGCACTGAAGCATTGTCAACTAAGAGAGCAACTTTTCTTCCGGCGTAAACGAAAGACGCATTCAAACGTTTGACGTACTTCCTAAAGGTGTCGGTGTTCATCCATGCATTGGGAGATGAATGGTACTCCACATAATGGGATTGCCCGATGTTGGTGGTTCTTCTGTACAAAGCAGGTTTTTTGTTTGCTGCCTTTGGTGTCTTTCGTTTCCCAATTACAATGGGGTGCCCTTTATAGGACCCATCATAGTTGGTGATTAGTCCAACTGTGAATCTGTTCTTGCTTTTCTTTGATCCACCTAAAGGTTCCTGACAAATGGTGTGAGTTGGCTGTTGCTCGTAGTATAAGCCAGTTTCATCAAAGTTGAGAATATCTTTGGGATCATATGGCTCCAACAATTCTTCAATCTTTCTGAGTTTTTCGACAATCTTAGATGATGTTAAGTCGACTGAGCTTTTTTCACCATATAAATGTCTTGACTTGACACCAATTCTCTTGAAAACATCGGTTAGCCATCCATCTGAGAAATGGATTTGCTTATTCTTTGGCAATTCATGCATGCGGTACTTTCTGTGTGCGACTACTTTTGCAAAAGCTGCAATGGTTCCACGATTGACAGGAAGAGATTTTGCATTCATGGCTTGAATGTACTCCAAAATGTCATTGTCCAATTGTGGCATCGTCAAGGCTCTGCTGCTTTTTCCCTTCAAATTTCCTCCTTCGTAAGCTTTGATCACCTTGTCCTGTGAATTCAAGACGTTCGATACAGTTTTTTGCTTGACTGAGTGATGAAGGTTGAATTCCTTTTGAGCCCATTGACCGAGTTGCATTTGCGTCAGATTAGGAAAGTGCATGTTGTGCATAATAATGCGATACTTTTGCTCGATTGTGAGGCGATCTCTTGATCTTTGATTAAGGCACATGATAGGATATTGCGTTCAATATAAGTAAAATAAACAGATAAATGAATGTTACTGAGGAGGTGTCAAATTGATTTATTCGATCAACTATTATAGTAATAGATTCTACGCGCACGACTTTTTTTGACAGAAGTCACGCGCGTCAGTTAAGGCTATGCGGGCAATAAGGCTAAAAAAACCTCGCCAAGAAAGTAGCCTTATATAGAGCGACTACTGTATTGTGCTCAGTTTCCTGCCTAAACATGCAGAACAAAAAAGCTACATAAGAACTAGACACTTTGATAAATCCAAAAAAAAAAAAAAAAAAAAAAAAAAAAAAAAAAACTATCCTGAACACCGCATGTGCAACAATCAATTTTCAACTGCGAGATAAAGTGTTTAGAGGCCATTCTCTTTAGATTTGTTCCGGAAACGTATATAACAAACTAGATGTATAAGAAGAGGAAACATTGGGCAATCGTATTATTATTCTTGAGCACCCGATGGCCCTTTGGGAATTCATAAATTGACATTTACTTAAAAAATATGCCTAATTTGCTTCTTTTTACATATGTTTATAGATAGATTTTGAAACCTTCGTTAGGCTATAACAAAGCATACGTGCTGCAATCTTTATTTCAAAGTTTTATATACTCGAAAAATGTGTTTTTGTGTAATATATTTTGTCCTTACTTCCTCAAATGGTTAAGCACTTGATGTACATCCATTTTTTTTGTGATACCACTGACAATTCTTCATTGAAAAAAAAATCCAATGCACCTTCAAAACCCCAATTTTGGTGCAAATGATCTAAGTCTTGGTGCTTTTACTCTAAGCTTGGTGTATTTGCACCAAGGTTTTCGCCGTAGTGTTTTCACCTTTTGGGAACATCGATGCTCTCAAATGAGAACATAAAATAGATTCTCATATGAGCACCTCGATGTTCTCATAAGAGCATCAGTTGGGCCGTAGTGCATTTGCAACTAGCTTGTAGGATTAGCGATGATAGAGAGCAATAGGTGCTGGTATTGCGATATCTGGCAAATGTTGTTGATGTTTGATTTAAAGTGGTAATCAATGCAAGAGCACTGGCCATAAGAGTCGATTTGAGTAACCTTGATGGGCTTGGGTGAGCTATCGTCATAGCATGATTTAATGTAACCTTGATGGTTTACAGTGTGATGTTTGTTATTGAAGTATGGAACCCTTTATCTGGGATATTGTGCAACTATGGCAGCAGGGCATAGTTGTCATATTTGAATATGCTTGTTATTGATTTGATTCTATTTGGATAAAAATAACATCTCTTATTACGATCATCATGGGTGTGATTGAAAACACTGTGATCAGGAGTGATTCATTCACACGATGTGCGATATAAGCGTGTATCTTCACTTTAATATGTTTAAATGGTTGTTGATGTACATTTGAGCGCTTTTACTGATAGATCCTGTGGAATTTGAGGCTTGATAGACTAAAATTCACGGAAAAAAAAGAATAAAAAAACAGTAATGTCAACTTGATAAAGGTATGTTTTATTATCAAACTGACAGGTGTAAAGTAAACTGAAGTCTCTCTACTGGCCAGGTAGATAATCCTTCTTATATACTATAACAATGGATAAAAGTTCTATTAATTAGATTGACAAATAAGTCAACTCAGATCAACTAATGTCTAATCATGCTAAAAGACAACTCCAGCAAGCTAATCATGATTTAGCTCTGTCTGGATGAATAATTAGACTCTCATCCGAAGTACCCTGATCTATCCTTTCCATAAGGATAATTAATATCGATCTAGTAGCATGTATCCGATAGGTACAGTCTTCTTAGTCTATATTAATAGTACATATCTAAGTGTATATCGCTGAGCATACATCTTTAGCATGTATCTGGATATATGGCATGTCTATAGCATATCGTATGCATGTCTATAGCATGTCTCATATATAGTACAAGTCTGTAGTACATAAAGTATCTGTAGCTAGTATCACGGATATAAGCATGTGTCTTATAGCGTGGATCATAAAGTGCACATCTGAAGCAACAAGCTCATATTGCATTAATCTTGGTGCCTATCCAGATATGGTAAACATCCGTAGTCAATGTCGGAATACAAGTATAAGTCTATAGTGCCATCCATGTCCGTGGTGCCATCTATAGCCTATATCTTATATAGTATGAATCTTATAGTACTAGCGTATCTGAAGTCCATATCTTCTTATAGTATAAATCGATATCGTACATCTAATCCAGTGTACATACAGTTTATATCTAAATCTGGTAACTGGATGAACTGTCGGAATGCAGATCATAGTGGATGTATTCCACAGATCCAAATAGCATGAATTTGACTGAGTGCTATTTGATGAATTTCGGTTTTCAATCCAGTTGCGTTTGGGTGGCTATTTCATTACAGTGGATACTCCCCCGGTGATATCCTGAAACTCACTTTTCATCTTTACCTTGAGAGTCGGAAATTTTGTGTTTTTTGATATTTTCTTTATCGAAACGTCAAAATTATGACATTTTCTTTCGATATATCAATGCAGCTTGTTAAGCGCTATTATATTGCATATTTTGCAATACTATGGTTTCTGTAAAATGAATATCTATCAAGTCAAAACAGCATTCTTGGAACACCATTTTCGCATTAATGGTGTTTAAAGTCAGTCGTTTTTCAAATTCCGACTAATTTGACTTGGTAGAGTCCTTGTCTTTCGAAGAGTGTTGTGGCTCGAATTGCCTATAAACATAGATTTTATACACGGAGGTTTTTTTTGAAATGTTAAAGCACACTAGCACAAAAGATGCGAGCTAAAAAAAACCAAGATTACTGTAGATATGAACTCTCAAAAAACAAGCAATTTTCCCGCATTTTTGTCTATTTAAATGCTAATATTAGCAATTGCCTTCCCATTGCCGCTCCTGCATCAATGAAAACATCTTATTCATTCAAGTTATTGAATGAGGCCATCTTGAGTACATCAGTATACTACATGTACGATGCTTTATAACAAATTATGAGAAGTCAGCAATATTCATCATAAAATACCAATCTATCTAATTATTAGTAAAAGTTTGCTTGAGAAGAAATTAACCTGTACTATTCTTGATAGCTTCACAACACAATATACTCTAATAAAACAAGCGAAACCACTAGTTTAGAAATGGAATCAGAATTTTATCAGCTACACTGCTTTTGAAGCGTTTCTTCTTCAATTTCTCCTCATTTTTTGTCGAAAATCCTGGTGAGATGGCAGTTCAACTTTAAGACTTTGGTAAGAAATACCTTGAGCCCATTAATGTATACGCCGAACACTCAAGCGCCCTAGATAATCAAGTATGAGGCGATTCATATAAAATCCACTACCATATGGCTAGGGTTGGAATGGTGGAAGCTAGGAAAAATCAATATTAAACGTTTACTCTCAAATGAAAACGCTTTGCGTGGTTTAATACGAGCAGCTGACAAACATACAGCTATTAGTCTAAAGTGATTTATATGAACTTGATATCTCGATGTCTATACTTTACTTACTAAAATGGGTTTTTATGGAATTGAGCTTTCAGCAATCACCTAATAATATATAACAGCAAAACATGAGATTTTGCCCTCATTTCTTTTGCTCAAAGGCTGTAAAAATGTGCTTAGCGTAATGCTAATACTATTTTACAGAATTCAGTTTGATGATATGGCAGCCTTATTGGCAGGTGTACCATGTCGACCATTACACTTTACAAACTCTAACACAGGTTCATAGATCAAGCTGAAAATCGTCATTCAGGTTGGTCTTGACCCTTCCAGATTAAAGAATTGCGATCAACAGACACGCTAGAGTTAGCTGGCATCCACCTCATTAGCCAAATCTCCAACTTGAATTTCCTATCAACAATATCCTGATCATGCCATCGTGATATATATATTTATAGGGGAGTATACATATGTTTTATTACAATATCAATATGATGGGGATCTACGTTCTTTTTTGTGTTTTAGGGCAGTGCAACTACGACTATTGATACGCTGGGCAACCAACTTTGCTAATACAGCATTAGCACCTCCACGAATTAACTAATCATTCACGCTCATAAAAAAGCATATAAGCCTCGCTCTTTAAGACCGTTTCCAGATCCACTTCCTCGATCACCTCATCACTACAACGCCAAAACTTGGTGGGAGGACGAGGCTTTGATTCGCTCAATGGACTACGCACTTCATGGCCAGTAGGCAGTTTTTTTCTACGGTAGGTAACAAAATGCCCAGAATTGTGATTACCATAATGAACAATGACAGCACACAACTTATATTGAATGGCACGAGACACTGGCACGACAGATAGAGAGGGTAGCGCATTTTGTATAGGTCGATCCTCCTTGTTGTTGTTGTTGTTCAATAAAGCGACACCTAATCCATCTTGTTGGTGATGTGTGAATCGATAACCATTGGCCATATTACGCAGATAGACAAGACTGGTTCGACTGGTACGAGTGTGAGGCAATACAGGTGTAGGTGATGGCGAGCTCAATGAAGCTGTTGGTTCGGCTGTATTGAGATATCCATTGGTGGTATAGGGAGCTAAATCGAGGTATTCCGAGAATTCAACTTGGCAGTAATTCTTTTGGATCATGCCAGATGGGTGATAGATGGAGCGTGAAATATGAAGACAGAGTGATTTGGGTGGATTAGCAAACATGGTTTGCTTTGTAGTGCGTGGTGCGGCTTGAGGAATGACCAATGGCACACCGTACAAGGTAGCTTCAATGTTGGATTGTAATGCATCCTTGATTCGTCCAATGTCAATGTTCAAGATGGTTGCTCTTTCGTCGCCTTGTTCCAGTGCATTCAATTCTTGTGTCATGGATTCTAATGTGGCCACCAGTGTGCATTTTCGGCATTGAAAATCGTTTAAAAAGTCGACCTTTGTGTAAGTTTTCAAGCAATCCTCCAGCGTGCAAGTTGACTAATAAAAGCCATTAGCAATGATTAAGGGACATACTCTCACAAAGGATCACTTACTATTTGAGGTGCAGATAATGAAATGTTATCAAAGGTGTGGTGTCTAATAGGGGCCTATCATTTGAGTAAGCATACCACACTTGGCCAATTTCGCGCATCCACACTTACAGTATAACCACAATTCATACAACTAATCTTGGAGGCGGCTAATCCAGTGAATGGATTTCTAGGGCTACGGCGTCGAGGACGCAAATGACCACCTACAGTGCACACCGAGAATGAACTCCACATGGAAGCTGTTGTGCCAAAGGATGACACAGACGAAGTTTCAAAGTTATCGCCATTTGGATCCTAGACACGTTAATCAGTCATGGATATTCCTCTACGCATGTGCCACACAGACTTACATTGTCTCCAAATGCAAATCCTCTCAATGTAGCTGCATCCAGCAAAGACGTTGCATTTTCTCGATATTGAATTTCTTCCTCAGATGTGAGCACACTCGAGATGATCTGGAACAACTCGTGAGCATCCTATTCAAAACAGCCATCAGTTTCATCATTTCATCATCGCAACCAGTGAATAAACAAATAACCTGTTGATCACGGTTAATGGTACCACCGGATTTTCGCTCTAAAGCCTTTAAAAAGTCTGTGGGTGTAATAGATCGTGGTTTCGGTAAAGGTCGATTCAGCACTATCGAAAATAACCCCAAGATGAGTGGTCGCTCTTGGCTCATAGCAATCTCTTCGCTTACTCTCTATTGTCGCATACAATGCACAGGCTACCGATTGCAGTATAAATTCATTCTGGGGAACGACAGGTGCTGACTCATCTCCTTGTTCATCTACGCGTTCGGCCTAGTATTTATGTTAGTATCTACATGCTTTGATAATCAACCAAAACCCACTTACAAGATAGGAACGCAATGTAGCCAAAGTGGCAAATGCCTATACAGGGAAAAAAAATAAGGTGATGCGTGCTTAGTGATGTTTCATGGTCTATTCATTCCTCATAAATACCTGCAGCACAGAATTCACAAAGCAATAATTTTGCGAATTCACCAAACCTAGAATGTACTGGCCATCACGCTCTATTCATTCATTCAGTATGTCTAGTGTAAAGGATGTCTTCTCTACTATCGCACCTCTTTGTATTTTGGATCTTATTCTTCGTTTTCTCTTTTTGGTCTCAAAGCTGTTGGTTGATAAGACATAACTCGAAGCAGCCAATGCGATACCAGCTACTGCTGCAATCGTGGGTAAGTGATAATTGGAAGAAGAGCTCATTCTATCAAGATTGTCTCTATATCATATATCAAAGTAGGTGAAAAGGGAAGGCAGGGTTTGTATACAGAGAGAAAGGGGAGAAAGAAAAGAACTTTTTTTTTTTGTGAGAAAAAAGAAATTAAAATAGGAGTTTGTTGATAGGGATTGTTTGTACACACACACACACACACACACACACACACCTGGATTGTGTAATGGAAATCAATAGCTTATTCTGCCATGGGGGGGGCTTACTCTTCATCAGAGCATGTTGATGTATAAAGATACGCTGTTTTCAATTGTGTCTACTTTGTCATCTTTTTCTGGATTGATATCTATACAATGGCATCCGTAATAGGGCCAGTTTGCTGAGAAATGACGGCTCTACATCCCGCTCATTAACCATTCTTATCATCCATCAAAGTTAGCGCAACATAGTTTGCCTGGGCTACTTATAGATTGCCGAATGATACAATCGTTTATTATGCTCACGTCTCCATGTTTGTATTGGCACAAATGTGCAAGTGGCTCAAAACAAATCAAATGGGTTGGTAATGCAGCTGAGAATGGAAAGCCGATCAAAAATCATCTGAAGCTTCATTCAACGCTACTGGTGAGGCAGGAGAGACAACTGGAAACATGCTGATATATATAGCAAACAAAACTCGACATCATGAAGCTAATTCCTCAGCACTGGGTAAAGGATTCAAAGAAAGTATCCATTGCCAGGCTATCTGGCATTGCCATCACTCTATGGACATAAATTGGTCTCAGCGATTATGTGCAGCAGGTTGGTAGATTCAAATCTTGTCAAGTGCAACATGACATGAGAAAAGGGTATACATGCCAGGTATATTGCGACAGCATTCTGTCTGAGCACTGAAGGTTTCATTGTATGGAATCATGCCTTGACATCATGCGAATGATAGAAATTGATTATAAAGCAGGTTTTCGAAATGGATAAATACAATCTTTGTACGTAAATGAGTAAAGGCTGCTTTTTCCTCTTCTTTCAATCCTATTCTACTCTTCTAAAACGCAATGGGTGTAGCAGGTGCTTGGAGCTTCTTGCAGTACAAGCAAATGTATGTCACTAGATCCAATACAACACAGCATGACGCCGGGGTTCATTTGTCAAGTACAATTCATGTAGATTTGGTGGGTGGTTTTTATGATAGTATCCGGCGATGCTTTCTGAATTGTCATGAACATGAACAAGGCAAAGAGATTGCAGCAGTAAGGAGACTCTTGGCAGGGCCTAAGAAATATTTTTTTTCGATAATATTAGGAACTTTATTAGCGTGGTGCTTTTAAAGGCCTTAAATGTATCAAACACGAGGCAAGTGTATGCAAACAAAGTGGCTTGCAATATGAAAGCTATATGAGAAAAAAACTGATGATAACTATAGACGGAGGGAGATGTTTGTCCCAACACAAACTACCAGGCAAGGCAGGACCAGATACACTTCAATATTGTAACTTCTAGTAGAGATAGCTTTCATGACTATCTTTTCACCGGCACCCTTGTGCTTCGATCTAGCGATATTCAACTAGAAGTTATTCCGCAAAACCATATGTGAACATACCCTGAAAGCCTGGGCTCAAGAAATACCAAACAAAACAGAGAAATGCATGAAAGTGATCATCAAGGTAATCTATCATCTTTCGAGGTTTTCGTCGCCGACACTATTGATTAATTAACGCACATTCATGTAGCAATTGATAGAGAAGAAAATAAGCTCCAGAAAAGCATCTCGCAAGTTGATCTCACTTTGTTTAGAAGAAATGGATAGCCCAGTTGACGATTTCATATTGATTTTACGAGATTTGTAAGTCTTTGCTATGCCTGTAGTTTTTCTCTACTCATTTGATATACTATTACGCAGAATTGAACGAATTCCGCACAGAAAATCAAATACAATTACAAAAGAAAGCCAATTGTGTGGGACTTTTGTTGATGCCATGATTCGCCCCATCCAGGATGATCCAGACAATAATGAGTTCTTGGTTTGGTTAGTGGACAACTGATTTGAAGGAAATGTGATTAGTGTTTTAACACACGTACTTTATTGCAGGTCCAATATCAAAATTTCAGATAAAAGTGAAAGGCCTGACATTACTGGTATGATGCTTATTGACGCGTCGCTGTATGAGCCAGTTTGTGTGGGCGAGATAAAAGGCGAGGACAAGAGACATGATACACACGCCTTGGCCTATGATTTGTTGAAGATGGCTGCATTTAGCAAAGAAGCAATTGATGGTAATGAGTATCTAGGCATCTTGGGAGTGCATGTTATTGGTAAACTGTTTGCTTTTATAGGTTTAGACGAAATTATGGAATTGAGTTGCATAGAATAGGGTTTCAGTTCACACTCTACATCACAACATTACTTACTGAGGGACTATGTGTTATGTTTGAACTTGTGTCGATTCCAATACCTTCCATCATATATGACATGAAGGCCTTCATTGCAAATTTGGAGGATTTGATGCCTATCAAAGCTCTTTACAAAAACTGCATTCAAATCAACAACAGTGTGCAACAAGTCAAGAAGCAAGATGCTAATCTACAAGCTATTTCTCAATCCATCCAGCCTGGCAAAGACAGAAAACAGCATTGCTCTTGTGTTTGCAACCATTGAATATAGTGTCCCTCCACCTGGCGTCCCATTTTAGTGTAGTATAAATACTAGCCGATCTATCTCGCTACGCTCGATGTAGGCGCCGCCCTGTGGGCTCTCGACAAAGACATGTTAAATCAGATATTATAAAATTTTGGTATATCAAGTAGATTTTAAACAATCAATCATTAGTTAGTAAAAGTAAGGTTATATCAGGGCCAGGAGGAGGAGAGGAGGTATCTCCCTCAGCATCAGGTTTGCTTACGCTGATATCAAACAGAGCCTATCATTGGGATAATGTGAAAGAAAATTCAAATTTTATGCAGCATTTGTACATCACAACAATCGCCATTTTCTGAGACAGGTGCTCTCGGTGATCTTGGTGCTCTGGGTGGTCTCAATACATCTTTTTTTTTTCATTTCTTTTGATTTATTTATCAATTTTCTCTATTTACTCGGCAAAAATTACATTTTCGAAAATTGAAATTTTCAGGTAGAGCAACTCTACAGGTTACACGGTTTCTAGCTTGAACAAGAGGAATGACAATTCGATTTGATTTTAACAGAAGATAGTTGCAAATTGTGATGCTTGGTGTTCTTGTTTGAATGTTTTACAATATATATATTAGATGTATATAGTACAGTAGTGATAGAGTAGCAGTGTCACGATATTGAAAGCGTTAGTAAAGTGTACTGATTCAAAGGATAACAACTGTTTCTCGTACATACATTCCGAGTGAGCATCAGAATTGTGAAGGTTATTTTCTCTTCAAACAGTAACAAAGGCAAAGCTGCATTAAATAAACTCATCACGAAAACATAATATAAAACCAAGTTACTTTTTATTCTTGTACTCTTTTTCATACGCATTGGCATCTGGTATAATGTGCTCATTCAACACGGACTGGGCTCTTAGTGCTGCTTTTCTAGGTTTCCTCTCCTTTATGAATCCTAATTCGTATTCTTGATACACAGTGTGTGGCTCTTGATCATACGTATCATCTTTGAACCGATCAATGATATGTGGCATCAGTCGAGTATGGCCCACCGTGCGCTCCATCAATGCATGGTCTGTCGGGATATAAGTGTACCTTCGATCAGATCGATAGTCTATCATTCGAAACTGAGCGTAGCAATCTTCCAGCCAGAGATGATTTACTCGTATCACATTGGGATAGTTGGGCAATTCAGCATACTTGTCACCATAGCCACCACCACAGATTAGATAAGTTGTGTCCTTTGCTAGTTTGGCCGAAAAATAGGCTCCACATGCAAAGATCAGTCTATTGAGAAACTCTCTGTTGACACCCTTGAATCCCGTCAGTGCAATCACACACTTTTCCATGCCAGCAATGCCCACCTTTGGAATGGGATAATCGAGCAATGTGTCCATAGGCGAGCACAAGTAGCCTCTGCAGTAGGTATTGGATAGCCAACTACAACTTGCGATGCACTTTTGGTCTTGCACAGCCTGCTTGTACTCTAATGATGATCTGTATTTGAGAATGACAATGGTGACTCGATACGGTTGGTATTCTTCTGCAACGGTTCCTCCCATCTCTTGAACCATTGAATACCAAAGCTGTCTCAGTGCCTCAGCCTCTTTTTTTGTTTCTCCCTCTTCCGTCTTGTCTGTTTTTTTCTCTTTGATGAACGGAACGTCCTTTCCAAAATATACGACTTGATTGTGTAATGGTCTCTTCCGCACAAGGTCTTTGCTTGGTATCAGCAGCGACACCTGTTTTCCTAATGGGTATTTGAAAATGGTTGCAGGATAAGGCTTGTGCTGATAGTATATAGTAGGTGTAGGCAACCGGTAAGTGTCGTAAGGGAATTGGTGATGGTATCGCAAGCAGTCATCCAGCCATTGAGGCAGCACCACTGGGATGTTTCTCTCGATACAGTCATTATAATACGTCTATTAGCCCATATTAGTTTTCGGCTGTCATGATCCAAATTGCACCATTTACTCCTCTCGGTTCTATGCAGACCAAACATGTTACATCCTGGCTGAAATCATCGCGGTACTGTCCGCCAAACTTGTTGATCTGATCAAATATTGGCTTGCTCTCCAGAGGTAACTAATAGGCCGAAGGTGTTAGTTCAATGTATCCTAACCTTTCTCTCGCACACATAGGGCGAACACTCGCTTCACCACTTACATCCAGCAGTAATAATACTTGACCCGACAGGAATTGATCTTTTCCGGGTTCATAAAAAGACATGCTGCATACCACCCATGAGACCTCTTATCCGACATTGCTAGTAAGATGACTTACTCGTGTACAAATCCATTCACAACTGCCCTTTCAACCCATAGTGGCTACGGAAATTGTGTCAATGAGGCTCGATGAAGACCAACTATAATAGTAAACTTACTGTGACAGACTGTACGTCTGGTATCTTGGTTTTCTCGGAAACAAACAGGTTGGGTGGTTGCTGCTGCTGATCTGAAGATGTGCCGCCATTGTTGATTAAGATGTTGACCAACTACAAATGTAAGTTTGGTTAGGACTCATAGCGTCTGCAGTGTCGGCGATGGTCCTACTCACCCTTTGTTTCTGTCCCTCGTCCAGCGTCTCGTCAATGGAATAAATAACGTTTTGAAATAGCTTTAGGCTCTTTTTGTCGTTGATACGTCTGCCTAATCTGATATGTTCATGAATGGCAAGCATAAACTATGGTTAGAATGAGAAATATAAAGAAAGAGAGAGAGAGAGAGAAAAGTGAAATTGTCAGATCGCGCCAAAACCTCTTTTTTGGCGTTTGAATGTGCCTGTTTTTCGCCCGCTTGGATGGGATCCATTCTTGAGCGACTGGAGGCCGTCTGCATGGCTGGTGTGAATGTTCCGTGTGCATTGAATGTCATCATTCCAATGCAAACTGACAACAGTTTAGAACTATGATAAATGCAGCAAGCTCTATAATGTCCCTCTATTTAGATAGAGCTGCTGCATGTGCTGGTTGTTATATGGAAAGCCAAGAATTCATCCTTTCCATGTTCACCCGTTGATTCGAAATGCAACATCATGTCATTCTTCACTTCATCAGTAACAAGTGGCTAAAAACAAATAGACTTCCATTTAAAGCAGGTCTGTACAACAAATGCCTTGGTATTTTTCCCTAGTACTGCTTGGCCATTTTTTTCCTTTTTTTCTTTTCTTTTACCATTTCATCATCACCATTATGTCTGTTCATTCACCATCACGGACATCAAACAGCATTGTAGGCGCTCATTTCAAAGTAGGTAAAAAGATTGGCGAGGGCAGTTTTGGCATCATCTATCAAGGCAAGCATTCGATCATTACTAGCATATACTTTTTCTGATTTACATGGCTTAAAATTAGGCACCAATCTATTGAACAATGAGCAAGTAGCCATAAAATTTGAACCGAGAAAGAGCGACGCTCCACAGCTCCGAGACGAATACCGCACATATCAGATTATGGCAGGCACATGTAGGTAACCAAAAGACAGTGCTACTGTTTAGCTTACTGTTGTATAGTTGGAATCCCCAAAGCATATTACTTTGGCCAAGAAGGCTTACACAACATTCTGGTGATTGATCTGCTGGGACCAAGCTTGGAGGACCTGTTTGATTTATGCGGCAGAATATTCAGCGTGAAAACTGTTGCCATGCTAGCAATTCAAATGATTTCAAGAATACAGAGCGTCCATGAACGAGACATGATTTATCGTGATATAAAGCCAGACAACTTCTTGATCGGGAGACTAGGCTCAGCACAGGAAAACGACATATTCGTGGTGGATTTTGGCATGGCAAAATTCTATCGCGATAAAGTGACAAAGCAGCATATACCCTATAGAGAGAGAAAGAGCTTATCAGGCACTGCTAGATACATGAGCATCAACACCCATCTAGGCAGAGGTATGGTATTTTTTGCATTGTTTGTGTCACATTAGTGCCTCTGATCTCCATTTCTATCTATAGAGCAATCGCGCCGTGATGATTTGGAGGCATTGGGCCATGTATTTCTCTACTTTTTGAGAGGATCTTTACCGTGGCAAGGCATGAAGGCGCAAACAAACAAGCAAAAATATGAAAAGATTGGAGAAAAGAAGCAAACAACCAGCATTCGATCATTGTGTGAAGGATATCCTAGTGAGTATATGTGGGTGTTTATACGCAGGCAGATGATGATTTACCAAAAGCAATGGGCACAGATCAATTTGTCAAGTACTTGCAGTACTCTCGCAAATTAGGATTTGATGAGACGCCAGACTACGCATGGCTTAAAAAGCTATTCAAAGACGTACTTCAAGATTTGGGGGAAGAAGAGGATGACTTGTATGATTGGAGCCTGTTGAACGACGGCAAAGGCTGGCAGAGTGTCAAAAGAAAAAAGCCAGCATCTCGCAAGCGTCTCATGCCTCCACCGCCTCCATTACACAACCAAGCACAGCAACAGCAACACCAGGGCACAGGAGAAGCCCATTTGAAAAAGAACCACCAGCCATTCAAAGAGTGTTCCTCAAGGCAGCAACCCTGTCTACATGAAACAAACACGCAAGACAAGGCCAGTTGCTCCAATATGCTGGCGAATGGTTGGGTAAGGATCAAGGCTTTATTCAATTGTAGATGAGCCTATGACAGCTCTAGTGATGAATAGTAATAAAAAATCATTTTAATGTCAAATGTGAAGAATGCGAAATTTGGTCATGACGATATAGTCAATGTTTATTGATGAAGAAACCCCACACACTCATTCACCACACTCACACTATCAACAACTGAAAAAACCTCCCCAAGAATCCCACCGAGAGATATATATAAGAGTACGAGATAAGAACAAGCCCAAATGTCAATAAACGAAAATAAGTGCAGTGTAAAGAGAGACCACCAACCAGATGCAAAAGGGGAAGAGCAAGCAAGCAAACAGGCGCAAAATGGATGTATAAACGGGCGATACATTACCTGGATATCTATAAAATGAAAGATCAACACATAAAGGGGAAAAAAAAAAAAAAAAAAAAAAAAAAAAAAAAGGGTTGGTGGCATAAAAGAAAAAAAAAAAAAAAAGGCAGATTGTACAAATGGGAACTCGTGGCCGTCGCATGCATTAACATGGTCCGCTCTTAAGGGTGTAATCTCAGCCGACCGTAAGGTCAAGCACCCCTCGATTGTCCTTTAAGTACAATTGAAAGAAAACGAATTGCCAATCCAACGCATAGATCCCCACCAGAGCACAAGATCCGAGAGAGAGAGAGAGAGAGAGAGGCCAAGAGATATCTATGAGACGCCAGCCAGAAACACCAAGGTGAGGAGATCCAGAGGCGGAGGCAGAGGCAACTATGATGAATATTTATTATAGAAATGTAGTCTGTGTTAGTATGATTTGTATCCATAGTGACATGATATACCCGTTCAACAGATCAAAGAGGATTGAAAATGCGATCAATCTCTTCCAGCGTCTTTCCTTTGGTCTCTGGAAGCCAGAAACTGCCGATGAAGAGCACACTACAGCATGCCGCGAAAAAGTAGTAGCCGCCATAGATGGTATTATCCATAAAGATGGGCATCACAAATGTCATAAAGATACCAATGGCCCAGTTCAACCCGTAGGCAAGCGCAATGACCTTGGCACGCGTACGCATATTGGAGATTTCAGCAGGATAAATGTAGGCAACAGGACCCCAACTATAAGCATAAGCAGCTTGGAAAATGAAGACAAAGGCAATGACACAGGCTTGAGCATGCTTGTTGGAGAGGCCAACACTGCCCTCTTCGTCAATGATATTGTAGCCTTGGAACAAACCACCCACAATGTACATGGAAAGACCCATGATGAGAGCACCAGACGCAAAGATACCACGACGACCCAAACGATCAATGAACAAGACTGTCAGCAAGGTGACAACCAAAACCAGAATGTTGCTAGCACCACTGGTAGCCAAAGAGATGGAAGTGCTTCCTACGCCAGCTTGCTGGAAGATGGAAGGCGCATAATACGTGATGGAGTAAGTGCCCGTGAAAGCAGCACCATTACCAGTGAACAGAGCAAACAGAGTGCGTTTCAGATTTGTGCCACGGAAGCATTCGACATAGGTACGGTTACCAAAGGAGCGTTCCACTTCGATTTCTTCACAAATGCATTGATATTCGTTGCGCACTTCGGGATCTTCCACAGTAGATTCATGGAGCTTGGCAAGCACCAGCAATGCCTCTTCTTTGCGACCCTTGTCAATAAGCCAGCGAGGAGAATAAGGCAAGAAGTAAGCAGAGAACAGAAAGACACACACAATCAATTGAACCAAGAAGGGAGTTCGCCATGCCCAGTCATTGCTGAGGTAGGAAGTGCCAAAATTGACAAAATAGCCCACAATTGTGCCCACAGACGACATGGCACTGAATAAGGTGATCAATCGGCCACGGATATCGGGAGGAGCAATTTCAGTGTGGTAGAGTGGGATGGCATTTGTCAGGAAACCTTCACCAAGACCCACAAAGAGACGACCCGCCATGAGCAAACCAAAGTTATAGCCAATGGTCTCAAAAAGAGCCCCAATGCCAAACACACCGGTACCGAGAAGGATTGTGTTTTTACGGCCAATGTAATCTAAAGGCGAATGTTTAGCAAACACCAGATAAAGGTCATTGTAAGATGCAACTATTTACCGCAAACATTGCCTGAAGCCAAACCACCAATAGTGGCTGTCAGAAGCATCATGGCCACCAAAAGAGCAGAGCGATAGGTAGCATCGACATTGAGAAACTTGTCCTTGAATGGCTGCAAGACCATTGTACCCGAGACAGCGCCTGTATCGAAACCAACCACAAAACCGCCACCAGCAGCAATTACACCAGCCATGTAGATGGACTTGCGCCCGCCCCGATGTATAGCTTGTCTTGTAGCTACAGATTCATTGTCATAATCAGATATGACATCCTTGATATTCTTGTCAGCCATGTGGATTGTGAGGGATGAAAAAGAGAACGAAGATTTCTCAAGAGCAGCCAGATGCTTGGTCTATTTATATGCTGAATCCATTTGATTAAGATCCCGAGTCCCCCGAGAATACCATTATACAATACCCTAATGGATTCAGATGTGACTCCAAAGTACATCTTGATTTTCCCTCTTGAGATTGGTATCACCAACAGAAAAAATTAATCTAAAGAAGCGCCTACTTGGTCAAGTCAGGGAATAAAATGCGCAAAATGCGTATGATTCATTTACTTGCTAGGAAATTAGATAATAAACATGTCGCCATGGACAGCTATAAGCCAATGTCAAATTTTTGATCTGCTATTGGAAATACTTAGTTCTGGGCATTTGAATGCCGAGTTCTATTAAAAGATCACCCAGCAATTCATTTTACATCTGATATCCTTCAATACATATGAACAAAAGCGTTTTCAAGATGCTTGCTCTATACTTTTGACAGCTTTCCAAACGATAGCAGCAGTCTGGCTCATCATTAGTAAGTCTATTGTCAGTGAAATGATCTGGGAACATAGTCCAATGAAACATTGTAAGCACTAGCGGAGCAACACCACGTGCTCTGAAAGATAACATTGATAACGAAAACTACATGGCTGCAGATCACTGATTTCATTACATGCACTTGCAAGGAAATACCCGCTGTCCAGTTTTCTGCTCATTACGCAACAATCGCATACCTGACAAAGATGGCAGCTTAGTAAGAGAGATTGTGTCCAATGTGCTAGAAATATTCTTCTTGAGCAACCTTTGATTCAACAAGCATCTTTGCATTGTCATATTATAGCTTCTTGCTTACATTAAGCCATTCCAGGCCAGCAAATGACTCTAGCATACGTGGTGGATCAATAAGCACCAGTTATACTGACACTAAAAGGTCTCCAATGTACAATGTAGCGAATCACAGTACACATCTAGCTGTATTTCCTCTAGATTGAGCTATTTGATGCCCTACCACAGTCAACATAGAATGTATAACAATAGCAAAACGATCTCAGAAGCTACTGTGCCCAAGTATTTGATTGCAAAATTGGCCCTGAATGATTGTTCTTGATGAACACTTTAACTTGCTGACTCATTTTATACTACAGTTCAAATTAGGATCGAAGACTGATTTTCCAGCATTGGAGCGAATCTTATGATGATACCTTGATTAAGCCTGTCGTGATCATTCTTCAGAGGGCTTAACCAAAACTCTCACTGTCTTATTCTAGGTTGAATCAAAAGATTACCATGTGTAACATACCAATTAATCATGGGGTTCACTGGAATACATTTCATAGGCTTTCTTTAGTCCCTCTCTTTCTTGCAAAATTCTGCATACATTCCCCTTTTACTATGTCTGATTCTGACCATTGCAATGAGTTATCGTCCTATAATTTGATAAGAAGTATATATAAACACGCGGACACATATGAGAGCATATATGTATATGTAACATGACACCCATTAACCCATAGATATCATTCAAGACCTGTTTTCGTATAACACCGTCAAAAGGAAGCGAATCTTGGAGTACTACTTTTTTCGAGACGCCACCCTGGTATCACCGGCCATGAGCACGGACGGTGTAGACAATATTCAATACATGTATACAGTATGGCAAGCCATGAATCGAAAAGAACCCACTATAACAAACATCGTTTTTGATGGACATACAGCAGTAATTCATCTCATTCATAACTTGACGCCCAGAGTGTTTCCCAGTTTCGTGCAATTGCAAGTACCAGCCATCACGACACTGTATTTCCGTGAAACAGAATGTGATAGTGGGCTATTAAAGATCTACAGACAAGAGGATAGCTGGACATTGGAAGGCCTAATTCAGTCAGTACCATTGGTGTCGTTTTGGTACAACCACGTCCTGCGAGTGGTAATGGGTAAACTATTAACAACCACAGGCGACATTATAACCTCTGCTATTCAGCAAGCACACAAGATATCCAAGCAGCAGCAACATCGTCACAGAATCAAGCAGCACTGGCAAGAACAAGAGATTGATGCAGAAGAGTCTTATAAATCTGTCAAGGAAACATTGCTAGTGAAAGGAAAAACAAGTTTATTAAACGATGAATAAATAAGAGAGTGGCACTATTCTAATTGCTTTTTGACGGGTGCACATGAGTTGCTGCGTAAATTGACGTTCTTTGGAGCATAACCCTGTTCCCAAGCGAGCAAGTAATCCCAGTGAGGATTAACGTGGTCTTCTGTCTTGTATGTCCAGTAAAACCACCCTACTCCCGCTTCGTAGGCGTCCATCTGCTTCTCCATGAATTGCAGCAAGAACTGTTTGTATTCAGGCGTAAACTTTGTCCAGTCATCCACACCTTCACAGGAACAAGTGGGACAAACGGGCGCTGTGGGTGCTCCTTCTTGCTCCAGCGTACCGTCATAGCGTGCGCCCAATCCAACACCATTCAAGTACTTGGCACAATCGTTTGTAGCTATAGAGAACTCACCCACCATGGTAGGGCCCACATGAATCGTTGCCTCGCCAATGTCCTTTTTCCAGGCAGTGCAAGGGAATTCAGACTGCTGGTTTCTCGGCATGGATACAAGACCATTGTTAAAGATCATGTACAAATGTGTCTCCAGAACCACACGCTCATATTGCTTTCCAAAGAACCCATTCCAGGTGCTGAGGGGGGAGAAGCCATCGTGGTAGGTCAATAGAGGGCCACGACCAGGACCGAGCAGCTTGCGGATGGCATTATAGCTTGTCTGGTACCAGCTCTTGACCTTGGCAGCAGGAATTTTCATCATGGCGGGCTCATTGAGAACACCAAACAAAGGCACCACGTTGGCCCACTCGGGTTTGTCAAAGAATCGAATCATTTCAGTTGCAATTTGAAGTGTTCTGTCTGCATTGGACTCGCCCTGGGTACCGTTCAAGAAGCCGACCATGCCCGATTTACCAGAGTGATTCCAGCCATTTTGCGATCCAGGAGCAGTGTGTAGTTCCACCATCACACGGAGCCCGTACTTCCTGGCCCATTGAATGCCCTGTAGGAGATACTGCCAGGAGATGAAGGGAACAAAAGGCTCATCAGCTAAGACTTGAACTGCCCAATGTCCAGTAGGAATGCGAACATGATTGAACCCCATTTCGGCTATTCTCTTGAAATCGGCTTCCGTAATGAACGTTTCGTAATGATGTTGCAATTGTCGCTTGGCTTCCTCGGGTCCCAGACGTTCACATAAGCTCCATTCGTCAATGACAGTTTGATTTGGCCCAAATTGCTCAAACAGCTTGGGCGTGATAAAAGGCTCCAGCACAAGCCACCCACCCAAATTGATGCCACGGATACGGTCTTCAGCGTTGTAGCGGAAAGGCTTGTTGAGGGGAGGCGTGAAATTATGGGCTTGAACAGAGTCGTCAAAGGGATCTTTGTAGTCGGGCGAACCAGGCGTAATGAGATGAGGATTGCTGTTTGGATTGTTATGAGAGTCCTTTTGCTGTTGATGCTCATCTTTAGCGCTGATGCCAAAGATGACCAATGGAATGACAATGGCAGCCAAGACGAGCAAGGTAATGGACGTTACAAGCAATGCGACTCGGGCTTTGCTGGCAGTGAATCGACCCCACAAGGTAGTTGGAGCAGGAGATGGAGCATTGGCATTAGCAGTAGCATTGGCAGCGGCTTCTGGCTTGAGTTTGTCATCAATGTCAATGTGATTGATGCTCGGCTCTCTTGAGGTTGCCCAACTGGGTGGGTCAGCTTGCTGCTTGTAGTAATTCTCTTGCGAGTTAATATCTATGGCACTGTTAGACGCTGCATCAAACTGCCATGTTTATGGCACACATACTTTGCATTGCAAATGTTGGATACTAGAGAAACAAAAAGGAGAAGAACAGGAAAGCAGCAGGTTGCAAGCTTTTGTTGTATTTTCATCTTGACGCCGAAAGCTTATATTTGTTATACCTGCTAAACAATGAAAAAATACAAGCATGTAGCAAATAAAAACCTACCGCTGTCTGTGCACTGTCATGTTATACGGAATGGTAAATTTATATGTGTATTTGTTTATTAAAAAAGTTTAAGAAAAGCAAGAAGAAAGATGAAAACAGACTTAACAACATCCGCCAGATTGCTTGGGCTCGAGAGAAGCGCCTTGGCCGACCTTGACAGTGGCCTTGGCTTGAGTTTGTTGCATAGTGGAGCCCATTCTATCCTTGATTTGCTTGGCCATGGTCAAGAAAGCTTGTTCAACATTGGTGGCATCCTTGGCAGAGGTCTCCAAAAGGGGTATCTTGAGTGATTCAGCAAACTCCTTTGCTTGCTCAGTATCAACCACCTTTTTATCAACCAAATCGCTCTTGTTACCGACCAATAATTTGTTGACTCCTTCAGCTGCATATCTGTCGATTTCTTGCAACCATTGCTTCACATTGTTGAAAGAATCTTCATCAGTAACGTCGTAGACAACAATGATACCATGTGCTCCTCTGTAATAAGATGAGGTGATTGTGCGGAAACGCTCTTGACCAGCAGTATCCCACTATCAGCTGCGTATTAGCGTCATGTCCTCTTATCATTGTATGTCACACACTTACAATTTGGAGCTTTACAGTTTTACCTTCCAATTCAATGGTTCTGATTTTCTATAGATCAGATACACAATTAAACCAAGTGTCCAAGAAGCACACAAACAAACAAAATACTCACGAAATCAACACCAATAGTGGAGATATAGCTCTCGGTGTAGGTATCGTCAGCAAAACGGAGCAAAAGACAAGACTTTCCAACTCCAGAATCGCCAATAAGCAAAAGCTTAAACAAATAATCGCTATTTCACATGTGGATACATTTAGTCAACACTGTATTTGTTTGCTGTTTCCTTGCTACTTACTACTCGGGGTTCATTTTTCAGCGGTTGGTTTTTTTTCGATTGCGTATTCAAGATGAGGGGAAAAGGGAAAAATAAAATAAAGAGGAAAAAAAAGGCTATCTCTCTGTTGCAGGTTGTTCATAAACACCATCTCTTGCTTGTGCTTGTACCAGCTGCTCACCAAAAATTTAGGGCAAAAAGTCACGATTCACTCGTTACAAACCAATCATAGGCGTGCATGACATCGTTTGTGTTACATTTTTGTTGGATAAACCCATCATTTCAACATGATTGCAAAGCATACAAGCAGCAAGATATGCTGTAGGCCATTTTCTTTGATAGTAATTTGTTGCCATGACAACCAGATGTCAAATTTGCACTGGCAGGAAGGCCTGAAGGTCTGGCATGAAGTCAGCGACGAATGAGTATGGATATGGCTGGATTAAACGGACTATAATGTTGCCATTTCCTTGTAGTATACGACTCCTGCAACTTTAGTGTATGATAATGATGCAATAGTGCTAATACAACTAGCTTCTTTATGCTTGTGCCCTTGATTTCATTCATAAATGTGGAGATTTCAACTCTCCAGTCAATATATTTGCTTTAGTTCCAATTGAACTGTAAAGGAATTTGCCTCGTCATGGATTTAATTGAATTTGCATGATTTTAAATCCATTTGTTTGGTATGATCATATCGATTTTGTTGAAAATAGACCTCGCTCATTTTACTGATGGTTGGTTTTTGTTTGGTCTACTATATAGCTTACTACTACATGATCCAATGATATGTAAATTTGCACAATGTTGCCAATGATCATGGCATTTGGTGACAAGTTGCTCTTGGCCATGCTCAAGAAATCCTGTCATGTTAAATCAAATACAGAGGCCATTGAGCAAATCAGGGCGTAATGCTTTGATGCAACGGAGGGGGTAGATATCAATAGACTTCCAAAATGAACAAGATGGATTCACAGCGATAAACAGAGCTCTTCATGGCAGCCTACAACCAAAGCGATCACTGAATTCAATTTGTTACAGCAAATACTGTCCTTTCTGACAATGCGTGCTTCAATAATCTGAATTAGGTTTGCCCCATGTGTATTTATGATCGATTTCCTATATCAATGATGGCACATTCATTTTGTCAGTATGATTGCACAGGACAAACCATACAGATACTATGACCAATGGGCCTGCTTACCTTGACCCTTATTAAGCATGGCTCCTGTGGATTGAACAACGTGGATAGTGGCCTAATAACAGGGTTTGATCTGTGCGTAGGAAGAAAGCTATTGTATTTAGGTTACATGCGATTGATCCTCTAAACTATAAACAGAAATATGACAAAGCGTTGTCTGCACACAGCATACATGGTCATCGACGCTAGATGGGACAAGAGCCAAGCACCTTGAATCGATAGAAGAAGAGGCGGTTTCATGACATATCGTACTATCCATTTTAATTGAGATGCGATAAATAAAACACTAGTAAAACACATGATAGGTAGGTTACACATTGCAAATATATTATAAATATAAATAAATCTTTTTTTTCTCTTCTCTTTTCTTCTTTTCTTTTTCTCTCTCCATCATCAGAGCAGACTATGTATATGAGCAAATGGGGAATGCCAGTTCTTCCTCAATTAAAGCCAATTACACGCAGCAAGAACCAATGATCTGTACAGCCGATAAGAAGGTGCCAAAGCATCTGCAGCCACTGAAACGAAGGCACACACACAAGAAAAAAGTTGAATCATTGCCAGCCGCTGTTACAGCTGCACCACCACGAGTCCACGAGGAGGAGAATCGAGTACCTGCCACAATATCAAATCATCACATTAATACACTTATACCTAATCAATTTTACAATGCATCCAACGACATTAATCAAATCTTCATTGACCATTCAGCGTCAAGCCCACAACTGTTTCGATGGACAAAAGGCAGACGATTCACCAGCTCTCAGGTAGTGGATAATGAACAGTAAAGAGAGCCATGGCGATTGACTAATAACGTATACAGAACGTTCTTTATCCACTCCCAAATGATCAAACAGAATTAGACAGACAAAGAGTTCAACTCTACATTCTCAGGTGGGCTTTTGAAAGGTGAGTCATACAAATCGAATGAGATCTGCTCAAAGATGCCTTACGAGCAGATGTTCTTAGTCGACATATAACACCACCATCGATAAAAAAGAGGCTATTCGAGGGTATTAAAGTATTGGACGTCGGGTAAGTATCAAAGGTACATTTGAACAAAGCAAGGCAACTCATTGTGACATTTTATATTCTTTTAGATGCGGGCCAGGCCTATGGGTAATTGTGTGCAACGTTGTATTACAGAATATAGATAATGACTCTATTCTCTCAGATTGGACATCCCATCATTGATATGGCGGAAGACTTTACAAAGTCCAAATTCGAAGCTGTCGACATTTGTAGCCTTTTGCCAGCTGATCAGCCCATGAGTGGCAATTTCAATTTCACATGTCACAATGTAACAGAAGCACCTCTCCCTTTCAAGTCTGGCACATTTGATTATGTTCAACAATTCACGTCAGCAATTTCCTACAAGATGGATAATTGGCCTCTTATTCTGGCAGAGATCAAGAGAGTAACAAAATCAGGTGGTTATATCCAATTAATTGAGCCAGACATGTATCCACAGCAATTGGGTCCAGAGGGTGAATTATGGCGGGATCAAAGTAAGTGTCTTTTGTCAGGTGGCGAATTGAATCTCACTGAGCCATTAGTTCACAATGTTCTACGAGACCAATGTGGCTACGAACCTAGAATTGCATGTTATTTAGAAAGACTCGTATCAGACTTGGGTCTTGAAGATATCACAGTGAAATACGTGTCTGTTCCAGTTGGATCCTGGGGCCTTGATATCGGACATTTGTGGGAACAGAATTTCGACGCCTTCTTTGAATCAGCAAGGCCATTCCTGGTGGAAAAGATGCAAATCACCAATGCAACTTATCAAGCAAATACGAAAAAGCTAAAGGAAGAGCTAAAAAGTGGCGAATTCAAGGCATTCAACAACATTTATTTAGTGTATGGGCGTGTAAAATAGGAAAATGTGGGGCTACGGGGCAGGGAATTAAGGAGACAAGTTACGTCTTGATTAAAATTATAGCAAGCCTTTTTTTTTGCATCAGTGTTTCTGATTTTTTTTTGCATTTCTTTAAATGACACCTGACGACTCTTCTTCAGCACCTTCTACAGCTTGTCCTCACACAACTTCCTCCTGTAGTCTTGATGCTTCAATTGCAACTGGATCAATGTCTGTACCGAATACCAGAAATGCTGTGCAGTCATTGACTAGCTCACCGTCCTCATCACCGATTGCGTCTCGCATCTATCCGAATGAGACACCACCTACACAAGCACAAATTGATATCGTCAGATACACCTGGGAACGCGTATCCGAAATTCATCTCGATACAGATGATCCGGCCGTATCTGCAACACATGCGTTCGGCTTGGCATTTTACGACGCTCTATTCAAATTAGATCCTTCATTGAAACTTTTATTTACAAACATATTTCAGCAAGCTAGAGCGTTAGCTGGCATGGTGTCCTATATAGCGAGATCGCCCAACGTCACTGGCTCAAAAAAGCTCAAGTCAGCATCTTCGGTCAGTGATGGATGTGGCATGAGCACTGCGAAATTGGAAAAGATGCCAACGATTCGAGAGATTAATGCAAGAAAACGAAAAGAAATCAATGCAACAACGTTTGAGGAGCTGGTATCTAGTGTTACTACCAATAATGCAAAAGCAGAGGATGACGAAGAAGGGGATCCAGAGCAATTGCTATATAAACTTCGAGAGCTTGGAGCAAGGCACTATTTTTTTGATGTGGAGCCGAGATACCTGGCATTGGTAGGACCAGCAGTGCTGTCAGCGTTAAAAACGAGATTGGGAAAAGAATTCTTGCCAGAAGTAGCAGAAGCCTGGACAAGAGTAAGGTCGCCCAGTAAAGGTTTTGGATAGTTGATAGTAATTCTATTGATTTTTTAGGCACATGCGTATGTCGCTTATCATATGAAGATTGGATTGGAATCACAAGCAGCTTGGGAACAAGGAAGACGAAAATCAGCTTCATTGAAGATGAACTCTGGTTCAAATAATGCTCATCAAAGCGGCCTGAAATCAAACTGTTTGATTCAATAAATGCTGATTAGTATTGCTAATTATTTTTTGTTGTGCGAAAGGAACGGGTTTGAGTGCTACTTGGATGAAAGTGCCCTCAAGATTGATAGCTTGAAATGTGGGTGGTTGTGAGGGCATGGTATCATTACTGATGCAGTAAGTTGATCTTGATCAGAGATGTCCAAAGTAATCCTATTCGTATTTCATTTAATATATGTTGAGCTAAAAAGAAAGTACTCGGGCTAAGCTATTGTTCTTTCAACTTGATGATTTCATTTGTTTAGTATCGTAATCATCATTGTCATCATCATAATAATCATCAGAACGGTATTTGGGCCAGCCAGCAGCAGTGCCGCTCGCCGCCAAAATCGATTTAAACTCAGTTTTTTTTTTTTCGCTCAACATTGACCAAATCTCGTTCATTTTCGACTCGATTGATGTATTTTTTTAAGATTCGACTATAAAAACTGTGATAATCATCCGATGCTTCCTAACACATTCTTGGAGTAATTTTCAAGGCACTTCCAATGGTACCAAATAAAATAGATATTTTGAATGAACTTATTGAGCAGTTCTAGAAAATATGAAATAAGGTTTTGGCCAAAATGTCGAAAGTTTGCATATGAAGACCACATAAAGGTAGTTTCTGAAGTTTCTTTAGATCGAGAGAAACATTTTGATTTGATATATGCCATAGTAAAAGTCTTTATTATCAAGGTCAAAAATGCGATCGTTTGATTTTCGATAAAAACCATGAGGGGTACTCCCCATGGTTTTTGATCGATTTTTGGCCATGTTTTTCTTGGTCCCAAAAGTTGAGCAAAGGTCTCAGGATGTTACTACTACGCGAGTATAATTGTTTGGCGCCATTCCGGCGGCGCAGAAAGGTCAACATGTCAAGATATTAACGCATGAAAGCTGTTTAATTTGGTTGTATTTTTGCTTTATAGCTTTTATTTACATGGTATGAATCACATTCTTGGTAGCTGAAATCTTCTGGAAGGGCGGTTCTGAAGCCTGCGCAGTTTCTAATTCGAATAGGAGAAATTTTGATTTTGGTAAGGCTAGTTCATGCAAATTTTGATGCGTTATGCTGTTCGTAAGCTTGCTAATGATAGGAATGAGAACCCGAATATGCTGCTAGAACACTATGGTTTTACGCCTTTGTTTCGCTACGGTAAATCCTGAAATGAACTAGACTAGATTCCAATTATATAAAAGACCCAAAATAAATGTCATCTCAATCAAGCCATACTACCATCAACAGATAAGCAGAGATAATAATAGTATTAACATGATGATAGTAAGGGTAAAATACTCTAAAAATAAGAGATGACAGATACTAAAGTAAATGTCAAGGATATTGTAATATATTGTAACATAAATAAACCTAAAAAAGATACAAACAATAAAGAGCTATTCTTTACGCATGATTTACAAACCATATATTGAAATATTGTTCTTGATCCATCAAATCAACAACTAAATAACCCATCAATAATATACAAAATAATGGAATCACTGGCAGCTACCAGACTGCTGCCAGATAAAAGATACAAACCAAATAATATTGTAATGAAATAGCCACCCAAACGCAACTTGATTGAAAACCAAAATTCATCAAATAGCACTCATTCAAATTTATGCTATTTGAATCTGTTAATAAAGCGCTCAAATGTACATCAAAAAACCATTTAAACATACTAAAGTAAAGATGCACGCTTATCTCGCTCATCGTGTGAATGAATCACTCCTGATCACAGTGTACTCAATCACACCCATGATGGTCGTAATAGGTGATGGCATCTTTATCCAAATAAAATCAAATCAATAATAAGCATATTCAAATATGACAACTATGCCCTGCTGCTATAGTTGCACAATATCCCAGATAAAGAGTTCCACACCTCAATAACAAACATCACACCTTAAACTGTCAAGGTTACATTAAATTATGCTACGACGATAGCTCACCCAAGCCCGTCAAGGTTACTCAGATCGACTCTTATGGCCAGTGTGTTGCATACAAGCATGCATCTTAGGCTACATTCACTTTCTCCTCAAGCCACCTTTTACAGTGTAGTAGCATAGATGATGTTTATCGTATCACATCACATCTATGTTTACAAGTCCAGTCAATTGTGTGTGCACAGGTGCCTCAGGAACTACAATACATTCAATCTCCCTAATGTCAAGATATCGAGATCCGCCTACACTACATGAAACATATCGACTTAGGTGGCCTCTCAACAAGCTATACCAACAATCCATAAGGCCCCAGTGGCCTGCTATTTATATACCATCTTAACGTAGTAGTCATTGACCAGGGATCTACGATATTTAAGCAAGCTAGATGCCCTGTAATAAAGAAGCTTTTTGCTTTCGTTTTAGATACAGTTGACAACTGATTATTATCATCGACTTATTATTACGAATTCATCACAGCGCTCTTGTATTGATTACCACTTTAAATCAAACATCAACAACATTTGCCAGGTATCGCAATAGTAGCACCTATTGCTCTCTATCATCACTAATTCTACAAGCTAGTTGCAAATGTATAAATACTCTTCTTTTTTTTTACTCGATTCCAGAATCTTCAGTTCATTTTATACACAGATAAGATACAGTTAATCTTCATTGTATTTTACTATTGCTTTATTTTCTTTGTGAAATCTATTAAACCTGATTTCACTGCAGTATATATACTCTTATATTTCCAATGTAATAAACGATATTCTTTACCTGATTAATTTCATACTTTTTCTTATAAATAACTTATTTCTGATAAATCAGTAAATTCAGAGTTTGGTCGGAAAGTGCCTGCTTGCAACAACTAATAAAATATATAGTCTTGAGCGAATGTACGGAGGAAGGGACGTACATCTGGTACACAGAACCCTAACATCATGATAAATTTAACGTAGAGCTATCGAATTGTTTTTGTCTTGTGCGAATCCGGTGAGTACTTGTCGAGATATGGCCAAAAAAGGGTATCGTGCAAAATCATGGATTTTTCTTCAAAATCTGCCTGCGATGGCAAGGAAGAAATCTGGCAACGATTTTTTGGTCAGGACAAGATTGTCGATATTTCATGATAGAGTTATACCAGAGCTTCAAGCGATAGCTTATTCGATAGTGCAGTGAAATCAGGTTTAAATAGATTTCACAAAAAAAATAAAGCAATAGTAAAATACAATAGAAATCAACTGTATTTTATTTTTTGTATAAAATGAACTGAAGATCCTGGAATCGAGTAAAAAAAAGAAGAGTATTTATACATTTGCAACTAGCTTGTAGGATTAGTGATGATAGAGAGCAATAGGTTCTGCTATTGCGATATCTGGCAAATGTTGTTGATGTTTGATTTAAAGTGGTAATCAATGCAAGAGCACTGGCCATAAGGGTCGATTTGAGTAACCTTGATGGGCTTGGGTGAGCTATCGTCGTAGCATAATTTAATGTAACCTTGACAGTTTAAGGTGTGATGTTTGTTATTGAAGTATGGAATCATCCTTTATCTGGGATATTGTGCAACTATGGCAGCAGGGCATAGTTGTCATATTTGAATATGCTTGCCACTACGGCCCAACTGATGTTCTCATGAGCACATCCATGTTCTGTGAGAACACCAGTTGGGCCGTAGTGTTGTTATTGATTTGATTCTATTTGGATAAAGATACCATCACTTATTACGACCATCATGGGTGTGATTGAGTACACTGTGATCAGGAGTGATTCATGTTGTATTCACACATCTAACTGTTCCTGAATCATAATGTCGTAGATTGAATTCAGTAATAAACTATGCACATATGGAGCATATGTAAATAAGCTGTATCAACTTGCAAACGATAACCATGATATTCACATAAGCTAAGTTTCAGTAAACTATTCTCTATATGTCAAAAGATAGCAGATAAGGAATGTAAGTAATTAACGTTGCCAAGAGCAACTAAAGATATTTAGACTGATCATCTATATCTGAAATAATTACCATTTAGCATAAGTGATGAGGATTGACACTAAAACTTAGCATGAGAACGCCATTCTAGACGGGTGTGTAAGCAATCCATAAATCATACATATAAATAGCAGTAGATATTCACTTTTCCCTCTCCTCTTCATCTGATTTTACGAAAATAAACTTATATCCATTCTCACGTACTTTCAGATTTACAACAATTCATTCACACGATGTGCGATATAAGCATGCATCTTTACTTTAGTATTTTTAAATGGTTTTTTGATGTACATTTGAGCGCTTTCATTAATAGATCCAAATAGCATGAATTTGAATGAGTGCTATTTGATGAACTTTGGTTTTCAATTAAGTTGCGTTTGGATGGCTATTTCATTACAGTATCAACGCACCATCAAGAGATAACATACAGTTTTACAACAATTATATGAGTGTGTCAATGCACCTGAACACCATACCAACGAGTAGTAACCCTTCAAGTAAGACATAGTAGATAAGTTAGAGAATTATACCTTGAATCCACCACCTTGCGCCTTTCCCATATACGGTATATTGCCTTTTTTAGGAAATCGAGATAGAGCCAAGTAACCAAGAGAAAGATACACACGTATCAATTTGTCAGGGTTGAAGGGTATTCTGACAGTAATTTAGATCTGCAGGATATCACTGACAGACTAAACACAAACAAGAATAAGAAGCGCAGGTTTAAACCTAGAGCGCCAGCTACCAGGAACATTAAACAGCGATTAACCTGGATAGCGCACAACACTACACAAACTATATTGGATAAAATCAATGTTCAAATCTAATATTAATAAAGCACCTTTTTTATCCATTCAACTAAAAGGCTATAACATCTTCCTGCACACTCTCTATATCTACTTCCATTTATATCTCGATTAGATCTCAGATTGCATATACTACCTGTAAGTATTAGCATCTGACAAATTCATCAAATGGAGGCGTAGCTCAGCGGTAGAGCGGCAGATTGCAAATCTGTAGGTCCCGTGTTCAATCCACGGCGCTTCCTTTCTTTTTGCTCATTCATAAAATGTAGTGCATGTAGAAAATTTTTTTCCTCCCAAATGCTTGCAACTTCTTGTCCAGCTTGAGTTTTTCACATGTAAACAAAAGAAAACAGAAATGTACATAAAAGAGTATACAATGAATCGATTATAATATGGAATCTTACAAATGACAGATATAGAATATAAGAAAAAAATGTAAATATAACAGCTAATGAGCTTTATAAAAGATATGTATTGACATGTTGGTACAATGTAAGATGATTTTTGAGATTTATGCTTTTATACTATTAACTATTCCTTATGTCTGTGATGATGTTCTGGTTAACAAGGATAGAATTGAGATTTGATAATATTTCTGTACTAATATCCTTCGATGAACGAGGGATGGCTTACTTGATTTACAAGGGCTAGCATATAGATCTTTTAAACCTGGTGCTCATTTTATATACGAATAACGTTTTACCCTGTTTCATTAAACTATCACGTCGCTTTGAACCTATTTTTTGTAACAATTCCGAATGGCTGGTGCTGTGGATCTTGAATTATGATACACGTTGAGGTGTTGTAAAGCTTGTTAACAACATTTGGGACATGTTTTGGAGGTTCAGCTTGCAAACAAATGAATTTTGTCTACCACAAATCTCTTGATCTTTTTGGCAGTTTTTTTTTTCTCTCATCAGTAAAAGACGACTCTTTGTATCCTCTCAAGTTAATGTTTTCTGATGAACCGTAAGCACACGTTATCATTTTGCTAAACTATGCCCTTTGTCTGGCTTTATCTCTTCAAAAGAGGAAGAGCTTGACGGGAAAAAGAGAAACAAGCATATGCAACAAGCTTTTTTCAGTGTCTGAGCTTTCACATTATATCCGATGACCTTACGCCTTTGTAAAGCTAACAATAAACCCTTTTCCTATTGAGATATCTTGAAATCATTTCCATGTTAGTAAATGCAAGCATCTGCCACTGCATACATCGCATTGGACCCTATACTGCATGTACAACACAAGACTTTGATCCGAGGTATAAGATAAACTAGTTTATTAAATATATAATCGCAGCTACTACTCCACACCCAGACTATCATCTGTAGGCTCCAATAAGCTATGTACATACGCCACAATTAGCATCTTGCCAAAATGCCATAAATCCAAAATTACCTGTATTGCTTCAAGAGCACACACTCGCCGCCGCTTTCCAAATCAATGTTGTATTGGTAAAAGAATCCTTCCGAAGTAACAACCATGACCTGAGGGGTTGTACTACAAACACAGCAGCATCAACAACATGATCTAAAATCAACATTCAAACAACTAACATACCTGCTCAGAGCAACCAAGCTTCGAACACCAGCACTGGGCAGCTTCAAGGACGCAAAATCCCGAGTAGGCTCCCAAATCTCGGTCAATACATCAGGCAAATACGAGCCAACACTTCCTGCTATATTTCTACCCAGATGCATAGATGATCTTCTCAACATTTGACTAGCAATGATCAAATCAGCACCTTTCTAGATTCTTCCGCTCGTATCGCAGACTTACCCCATACTTGAGCTTCTACCTCTTGAATCCTTGTCTTGCTGCTGCTGCTGGTGTTGCTGTTGCGATTGATCATTGTACACATTTCCGTATCCATTTCCATTCATCGTGGGGCTTCCATTGGTCGATAACTTGAAAATGTGCACTGTTTCCGTATCGCTAGAGACACATAAAAGAGAACTGACGAGATTGAAAGACATGGAATAGATTTTGGCATGCGATGTACCACGTCTAAATTGATATACTTTGGTGGCATCCAAAGTTGAAAAGATGCGAATCACCGTTCCCTAGAATAGGAAAGGAAAAAATAAGCATGTGAAATGCTTTTTACATGCCAAAAACTTGCCTTTTCGCTAGCAGTAGCTAATAATGTTCCCTCTGAATTCATGGAAATACAGCTCACGGCTGATTTGTGTGCTTGCACAATATTCGTGGTTTGAGGACCGAGAGCGTCGAATAACTCTACATCACCTGATACATAGGATGGGTTGGATGATCCACTGCTGGGTGAGAATGGTGACATGGACGAGCGAGCAGGATATGCAATAAAGCAGTTTTCGCTGGAGGGAGATAACGCACAAATAGCTGCGGGATGCGTTAGTTTGAATGGACCATTTTTCATATGTCGAATTTCTGACTTACCTTGAGGATTGGGGTTGGTATCAATGGTGTGGAGCAGTTTCATGTTGCTTATATCGTACAAAAAGATTTGCTCTTCCAATACCACAATCAATCTTCTTCTGTTCATTTTGACCGCAAGAATGGCAGTAGGGAATGATAACTCGCAAATGGTTGTCTGTCTCTATAGAAACAAATTGCAGTTAGTCATATATGTCGTGCCAAGAGGGTTTTGTATGGCTACCTTTGTGTTGATGATTTGCAGCTGTCTTGGAGAAAACGCTGGATGTTCACCAGCACCAACAAGTGCTACAAGTGAGGTGCAAAAGAGCATTTCTACTATACCAGTGCCACCAGCCTCTATAACCATGGTTATTTTATCAGCCAAGGTGTACACTGAATTCACTATTAACACTTACGTTTAGAATAGCACTTTCCAAAAGGATCGCAGTTGTATATTCTGTAGCCTCGCTCAGTACCAATAGATACACAACTGAAATCTTGATTGAAATTCAAAAACAGTATCTCGTTGTTACTTTTATCACCCAGGTTCATGATTGCTTCGAATGATTTACAGGATAAGAAGAAAAGGGGAAAAAGAAAGGCGAGTGAGAAAAGCTTGTATTTTACACTTGAGACTGGAGAAGGGGGGATAACATGATAGGTGGGTGTGTTTAGTGCATAATATCAAGCAAGAGATGAGTATGGCGTCAAATCAAAATTTTGATGCTCTCAAATGTGAATATGATCAATTTAGCCGAATCTTTTCGCTGATGCTCGATGAGACCTTTGATTCGTTCTTCAGTTTGAATCCTTTGCTGTGTGTGGTATTGGTGTTCTGAAAAGTTGAATGACATATTTTAATAGTGGTCTTCTCACAGTAGGTACATAACATTGGCTCTACTTTTTGCTTGATTTCATGTACAGCACTATTATAGTCCTAAAATCACCAAATTGAAAGTGGAATAAGGTCTAATCATCTGAGGTATCAATGCGATTCTGAGCAGGGCGACATTATTACATTTTGCATTTGGATTTGCATTTGTTTGAGCAATTTGCAGCTATTAAGTCGATCAAATGTCGGAAATGATGGCAAATTAAAACATATCAGCAAGATCAGAGCTTAAGAGCCCCTCAATCTGCAATCTTCTTTATATAAGCCTCACAAGCATCTATTGATTTCATGATGCAATTGCCAGCAAGAATATTTAAAACCTCGCATGACTTCCGCTTCAGATTGGGCTAATTCTATAGGTTTTCGACTTGATTGAAATACTTTGTCGGATTCGACTATAAAATTGGGATGGTCATCCCATAACTCTTAATGCATTCTTGGAGTACTTTTCAAGGCGTATCCAATGGTACTAGTTGCAATAGCTTTTTTGAAGAAGCTTATTGTGCAATTATTCAAAGTACCAAAACATGATCTGAGCCAACATGTCGAAATTTTGCATATGAAGATGTGACAAATGAAGTTCTAGGGGCTGCCTTATATCGATACAAACATTCTGATTTAATATGTTCCGTAATAAAAGTTTATTTTTGCGGTCAAAAACGCGATCGTTTGATTTTTGATGAAAACCATGAGGTACCCCTCATGGTTTGGAGCTGGTTTTTAGTTATGTATTTTTGGCCTCAAAATAGTTGAGCAAACGTGTCCGGAAGTTAGTGCTGAATAAAAGCAATTGCTTGGCGTTATTCTGGCAGTCTAAAACGGCTTCTAACGCGAGAAATTACGGCTCAAATGCACTCAAATTTCGCTGTGTTTTGCATGTATGTAAATACTAGAAGGTAGTCCCAGCATGCTGTGTGCCCGAATACTATTTGTTTCTATTGATACAGACGTATAGCATCAAAAAAGTATCAGATCCACAACTACTGGCCGTTTGTGGCGGATACTGATATGATAGTAGTACATATTTGAAAACTGAAATTTCTTCATACATTTCTAGGATTTTCATTTAATCGAGAATACGATGTGATTATAAAAGAGAGCCCACTCGTAAAATACAGCTTCCTTTGAAGACTTGGTCCACTCATTTATCAATTGCATATTGCCATCTTGAATACTCTGTAGCTCAAGTACATCTTAGTCATAAAGTATTTTGGGTACTTTGTCTCTTGCAGCTTTGAGATTGTTCATATTGTGTCTCTTATTATCATTGGGATATACACAAAATTAAACGGTGAGCTCTTGTAACGATAGGGTGCGTTTTCATAGCCTTACAGATATGAACTATCTCTTTTTGAGTTATATCATCAATGGTTTGTGCATCGAAACAAGTCGAGAGTTTGGAAGCGTCAGGCCAGTTTTTGGACCAAAAAGACCATCTATTATGCTTTAGAGAATTTTTCAATAGGCCTCTTCTACAAGTGGTCCATATTTTACATTGCATGAATAAGAGTTGAACTTAACTGCCGTTCCTGATTGGCCTCAGATACGTACAATAAGGCCCTTGTTAATATGCATTATACAAAAGGATTAATCCAACCAGTGTGTGGTGGTAGACATTTGATCAAACACACCATATGACCCTCGTCCCTAGATGGCAACTGCTCCACTACTTGATCAATAATAAATTATGTTTATTCAAAAAAGGGCCTATTCCATACAAAAATCCCCATTTTAGTTGGAATGGTTGTTCTCGACATGGACATTGATGGTATCTCCAGGAGCAGGAACAGCAGCATTGGCATTGGCATTAGCATTGGCATTGGCATTAGCAGCAGCACCGGTGTTGGCATTAGCAGCAACGGGAGGATCGACAGCAGCAGCACCATTGGTACCAAGATCAAGACGAGCTTGGGCATCAAATCCCAAGCCAAGGGTACCACCGCAACAGGGCTTGTGTCTCTTTTGATACTTGTTGATTTGCTGTTGTCTTCTACCTGATTGACGCTTCATGGTCTTGGGATCAAACACCATGTTGTTGGTGTCTATGGGAGCAACCATCATGCCGTTGTTAGCAACGGGTGCAGCACTGACAGCAACAACAGCAGTAGCAGTAATAGCAACGAGCAATTCAAGGAAACGCATATTCTTTAATAAGAGAAGAGAGAGAAAGAAGAAAAGAGAGGTAGTGAGCAATCATCTCGATTTGCAAATCAGGATGGCCTTTTTATATACATTTTACATTATTTGTTATGATCCGAGAACATGTAGACATTCTCCAGCTTCGATGGCCCTTGATCTAGCACATGAAAAGGGTTCTTGATGAGAGCCACACGGAATAAATTCAACTGTACCATTGCCAAAATAGAGATCATGGCCGTTTCATACTATAGGATTTCAATTTTATCAGTGCTGGAGAAATGCATACCAACCGCCCAAAATACAATAAACATTGCAATTGCTATTTGAGGATGGTCCCGGTCGTTTGTTTCTTATTGCTACTACTGTTGTCAACACACACACACACACAGATACACATCTCGGGAATAAAGACCTTGTATTATACAGTGTGCACCCCTTTATTATTGTTGTTGTTTGGATACAACTTGAATGTTAAACTTCTTTTGGAATTCAATGAATTCCTCCTCTTTGCGTTTATAGGTCTGTAATAACTGTTCAATGACTTGTTGGATCTATGGCGCTTTCAGTCAGTCAACTGCAACCCTTTGCCTCTCTATTGCCCCTACTTACACCACTGTAATTTGTCTCCAGAGCAGGTAAAACCTCTTTGATGGTTCTTTCAACCAATACACCGCCTACCATACGAAAGCATTTGCGTTCAGGCTCCAGTGGCGAGATACTGTCAATGACAAGCCTGTATCTCTGCATTAATACCCTTTCTTCCTCTCTCGAAATCCTCCTTCCAAAACTCACTTGTGCTCTTCCACTTCTGATTCTAATTCACCAATCTTTTGTGCCAACTGTTGAAGTTCGTTTTTATATTGATTGTACTATGTGCAAATGAGCGGGTTAAATCATCTCTTCCATCTCAAACTGTTTGATGCCAGATTGTTACTTTTTGAGTGAGTTCAGCGTCTGAAGGTCTCTTGGCTGCCATGGTAAAACGCGTGTGTATGTGCGTGTGGTATGAGATGAAAATATGAAAAAATTGTATGGTTTTGCAGCCCCTCTCTTGACTCTCTATCTGGAGTTTGAATAAGCTTAAATCAAATTTATATGAAATCAGTGATGTCTCGAATGGATGAAGCCTATATTGGAGGATCGCTGGCTTTTGGGTTGTGTTTGGATTCATCGATATGAATGAGCAATGTATGGCAGTGGTGGTTATTGTCACATTTACCCCCTGATTCGGTAATTGTCAACATTTGCGCAATGGCTGTCAAACTAGATCTCACTGCAATGTACTCATAGCTTTGCCTTCATTGGTGATGGTCCAACTGGAGTAGAAGCAAATTCTGTGACAGGCCAAGCAATATTCAGATTGGCATTGTGATTCATTTATTAGAGCTTGCCATTCTTCATCCAACACATCTCAAATGCCACGATTACAAGATTTTTACAGTTAGAAATATCCTCGAAATCATTCACTGCACTCAAAGCTATTATCCAAAGTGATAACGAGGTAAAATGCCAATGTTTAGTTCCTGCTCTACCCAAATGGCATTGTATCCGACATTTCAGTCATTTTGATCTAATCATGAAGCGAGATATCCGGAGCTTGAACAACTGAATGCATTTGTCAGCGAAACAAAATTACCTGGAAATGACGGACAAACGACCAACTGCTTTTCTTTCATTGAAAACCCAACTTGCAATAACACAAAACGGACATGTCAGCCAAATTATTCAAAGTACAGCTATTGACAAAATGCAGTCTGAAGCCTCTATGCTAATACAATCATCTCCAATTAGACCGAATTTGCAGTAGAAATGAATTGCGAGGTAAATACCAAGGGTGTAGAGGATAGAATCATTGCGAAAAAAAAAACTAATCAACCATCTCCCAAACTAAAAGTCATGTGTAAATGATGTTAAAAAGGTGATGAAGCAATTACCAGGTAGGCTGAAATAGGGAGAGGCTTCATTTGATCATTACTGACGCTGTGGTTGTTAGGCGTCACTTCATTTGACGTTGACCTTGCTGAAAAGCGAGTTGTTGTAGAGGGAACAGGTAAACAAAGTGTAAGCAACATTTGATATAGATGCCATGCTGAATGACATACAAAATTAGCCCCTCCCTCATCCATCTCAAAGGCACTTAAGGAGACTGGTCGCACTGTCATTGTGCGTGGACAAGGCGTACCTGACGGCCAAGGACATTCTGGAGCAGCTGTCTGCATCTTTGATTGTTATGGCACAGATCCTACAGCTACATTACCCACAGGCAAATCAGGCTTGGCTCGTTTCATCCAAGTGGATGACGATACCTGTCTGATTGATTTAACCATTCAGGGCCTGTCTCCTGGCAAGCACGGTGTACACATCCACGAAGCTGGAGATATTTCAGAGGGATGGCGCTCTACTGGAGACCATTTCAACCCTACCAATGTAGCTCATGGCGATGGCGTGCATGATGGACATGTTGGCGATCTGGGCAATGTTATTGTGGATGAAAATGGCTGGGGAGATCTTGTTGTAGAAAGTTCTCGTGTCAAGGTCTGGGATATCATTGGAAGAAGCATTGTGATAACTGAAAAGGAGGATGACTTGAAGAACACAACTGCCGATGGTAACAGTGGCAATGGCATCTTGTGTGGTATTATTGCTCGTAGCGCCGGTGCATTTGAAAATACCAAACTAGTCTGTGCATGCTCTGGAAACACACTATGGGAAGAAGCCCGTATGCTCGAAGATGAAGCTAAATAAATACTTGAGATCATGTGTGTATGCAAAATGTTTATTTACGTATTTTCTCTTGGAAATGATGATCTTTTGAGATACAAACCCGCCAAGACAGTTATTGGCTCGGCAACAGCTGACAAGCTGAACTCTAATGTTGTTGCTAGGTAACAGCAGCATGGCATATAAAAGAAGGGCAAATCTCGAGGTTTTACGTTTTCTTTTTTCTTTTCATCTGTTATCAATATACAAGTAATCTCAAGCATGTGTAAGTACAGGCAGTATATTCAGTGCAAATAGGGTCGTCTTAACAGTCGTAATAGCCTCCAACTATATCGTCACTTTCAAAAAGGATACTCCTGACCATGTTATTGAAGAAGAAGTCAAGAAGGTCGAGCAATCTGGCTGTACCATCAAGCACAGATACAATGCTGCCATCAAGGGTTTCTCTGTTGAGGTTCCTGATGAGCACGTAAGTACTTTATCTTTCAAGGGCGAACATGTCAACGGTGTTGAAGCCGATGGAGAGGTTACCACTCAAGGAAAGGCTCTTTTGCAGTAATTGCCTAACTATACCAAAATCCATCTCTCTGTTATCCATCATACCACGAAAAGGGTTCTCTTTCTGGAGAACTGCAATATTCTTGTTATAAATGTAAACGTTAAAATAAAGTAAATGGAATTGCTGTCCATCTTTTGGATTTTGAATAGGGTAGTTTTGCTGATACGTGTTCATGACGAAATTGTGTTTGTTATTATCTGATCTCATGCCACCTGACATTGTCGCGAGCTGCTTTTCTCTGTTATATCTTGTGCCTTTGTTTCCCTTTCTTCCACAGCCACTTCTCTACTTTTACTCTGCACGCCATGAGTGATTCAGAAACTATAGATGAAACTATTACTACGCTTAGATATGTCTCTGAATCAAGACAGCTTCTGCTTGCAAGAATAGACCAAGATACGTTGCAAAGAAGCTTAAAGGTATGTATTTCTGATTTTTGTTGCTCGAATGACTGAACGAGAAAGTCTCTTTACAAAGCGCTTTGAAAAAGACGACCAACAGGTAGTAAACTTTAAAGACAACTCTCTTCGCCTTATTTAACAGACATTTTTATTCTTGTAGACAAGACATTCGAAGCGATTGCGTTCATATACTACACAGGTAATATTCCTTTTTATATCAAACATGCCTGAGCTGAATATTTAATGCAACAGACTCAGACCTTCAAATCAAAGAGCACACTCATGTTCAAGAACATGGAAGGTAGTTTGGGCTCCAACGTCAAGGCCTATGGTGCGAGCATTCAACCAATTACAAGAAAACAACGATATTTTCACTAGTAAGTTGACTTTGACGGATGAACTATTCTGTTTTGCTTAGTCATGCCTTTGAAAATAGCACATGCATGAATTCTGTCATTGACATCTCTACATACTGTCGCCTTTCATTTTTAAGATCCATCCCAAAGCAAACAAGAACAGCCATAGTCAAGCGTTTGTCTTTGTTAACGTCAATACAATGCCTTGATCATAACTTGCCTTGCCAGGCAGTACTGAAGCAGGCAAGTGAAGAAACTCAAGTAGTTTTCGACACTAACGATTCCCTCTTGCCAGGTGAATAACAAAGATTCGTTAAAGAAAGCAGTTGCTACCGTCAAAAATTACAAACCTGCCAGTGAAATGGAAGAAAGTGTTCAAGAAATTTACTTGCACATGTAATTGATATCCATACACATTCCAATGAAACTGATGATTACTAAATATTCTGTTCCTTAGCCTCAAACAGCACAACAAGAAGCCCTTTATGTTCCACAAAGACAGAATTGATTTGTATTCAGAAGCAGATTATGTGGTCAAATTCTGGTCTCCAGTGATTGAGTCGTTCTTTGGCTCTAATGAGAAGCTTTTTATACATTGGTAATTACGATGCGTTTGTTACTGTACTCCTTCACTTTGCCACTCACTCGGCTTCTCTTAGGGGCGATACAACTTCCGATGCGTGTCGTGATAATAAGTTGGCCATTAAGCTGGATATGAGAATGATGCTGATGAAGCACGCCAAGTACGTGATTGATGGAGCTACTGGTGAATACGCCAAAAAGCCCTTTTCATCGAAATACTTCAAAGACAGACTCAAGCTGGTTCTGGCATCCAAGATTTATATGAATAAGCTGATCTCCTCGTGCAAGCACATTGATGATGCTGATATACTCAATTTCGAAATTCCTTTTTTACAAATTATGGGGTTCGAGGCCCAACTTTCCCTTCTGACCATTCAGGATAAGGAACTATACGTTGTTGAAGACTTGCAAAAGTTCTACTTTCCTACCACAAAGAAGATGATTCGTCTTGGAGCCATCAATGATCTCGTCAGGGCTTTTTCTCTGCTAAAGGTAAACATTGAAGTTGCCTTGCCAAAAGACTTTCTCGATTAATATCTTTCAATTTTGTCTCTATAGAGCTTGCTGGACGATCTTCAGGAAACTATTGAGGAAGGTCACTTAGACACCAATACAGATAAGCTTGCTCATATACAAGAAGAGAGCAGACCACCTCGCAGCAAAAAGGCTTCAGTGTGGACAAGTGAGGTCGCTTGTCCTGTAGAGAGCGATGACGGCGATGAGGAAGAAGATGAGGAGGATGAAGAGAACGACGATGAAGACGATGAAGACGACCAAAATGACGAGGACGAAGACGACTAAGATGAGGACAGCGACAACGGGAAGCCGGAAGTGTTCTCATAGATTATGACATTACTACTCAATGACAAATACGACCCAACGCAATAGCATTCAAATCAGTGGTATATCCAATTAATCAGCATTGTATCCAACGCTTTGTGCAAATATGACTACCCTCATAAACGATATGTTATTAATAAAAATCGTGAAAAACTTGAAAAAAAACGGCTGTATGAACGGTAAAGACAACAAAGGGTCATGCAACAAGTCTTTGTCATCGATGGCAAGAAGTGTACTGTCAAGGAAGTGGTTGGTCATAAAACACTCAAGCAATCTTATGGGTACAAAGCCTCTTATGTTGGCCGCCCATCTGTTGATATCATCGGGATCTCTCAAGCATATGGCATTTCATGGGGAAGCATTTTAAAGAAGTTGGACTTGAACCCGAGTTCGTTACTCACTACTCTTGTATTCGCAGTTTCTTTGGTTGTCAAAAGGTAAGCTTATCAGCGGTACTGCCATGTGGAACATGCCGCACATGTTGATTTTTGATGAACTTCTCTATGCTATAATTATGGCTATCAAGGCTTATGGTGATAGTATTGTCCCTATAACAAATGCCCGTGAGTTCACTGAAGTTCTCTGCAACACAGTCTTGATATGATTGATGCTCTTCGACTGGCTCTCCTTGGTCGCATCTTGTTGATTGCTCTTGCTGTTAATGGCTATAATCGCTCTCGTCCTCATTTAAGTACCAAGAAATCGAGCGAATCTGTAAGAAGATATATACAATGGAATAAGAAGCTGCGGCTTAACAACAAGGGAAGGTCAGTGCGAACAATCACAGTACAGCTACTGGCGATGCTTGGGTTTTTGCTTGGGTGGAATTTATTTTGACTCTGTTTAATATGAAATACAAGTAACTTATTTCTCTCGACTCTATTATTTGGCAAGATCATACATACGGAAGAGAAAGCAATCAGGAGACGCACTTGTAGCTCGTAGTGCCATATAGCCAGCTTCTTTTGCTGCTGATTAAGGTGCAAAAAAATCACTAATTCAAGGCAATGGACCCAACTCGAGGCATGGCCCAATATAGTAGGTATCTTCGCTGAGTAGTGGTACTGGTGAGCAGGTCAAATAGCAAGTCGAGAAACAATGGATCTATAGAAGGTGCAATATCCTTCAAAGACGATTGAAGCCGAGGGCCCCTACAGAGGATTGGGTGGTTTTATAGAATCTAAAAACGCTGCCATTCATATGTTCATAAAAAACGCATATTTGTCATTCAAGTGTAATAAAGATTTCCAAGCAGTTCGAGTGTAATGTAATATGATTTGCTGCAGTGAGTTTATGGAAGAGAAACATCATAATTTATTATGTATCAACCAACTCTAATGTTACGTCGGTCATTGATGATGCAAAAAACAGTATTTTTATATGATTTTTGCCGATCAGATTGATACCTGTGAGGAGAGCAACTAGCAGATAGGATTGCTGTATTAATCTGAACCCCATGATGTAAACGAAAATTAAGATCGAATATGCTTCACGTAGGTTTATTGTTAAATAAATGAGTCCCTGGTACAATAATCGCTTATAGTTGGAGGGAGAGTGGCAGCAAGGCCATTCGTAATTGATTGTGAAGCCGAGTTGAGCGTCTTAGCTACAAATCACTATTTTATTTAACCTTGTGGCCCTCATACTATGAGATCAGCAAAATTCTTTACATTTTTTCCGAGCGACTTGACTTACCAAAAGCAACGGTGACCAAGAGTATCTCAGTGACAGTACAGTCAACCCAAACCCTGTCAGGTAAGGCAGCCATATCTAGCAGCTTCGCTCTGAAGCCCATCAACTTCATTGCTATTGACTGTCGCTATCACTCGTAGTGGTATAAAAAGTTACAGCATAATGAATACCTTCGACTTGTCAGTCTCACAAGAGGCTAGTTCCCAAGCCTATATAGCTACCTCCAATGATGGTCAGAAGTAGAATATAGGTGTATCCATCACTGCATTGTGTTGCATTTCAATTTGTTGCCACAGTGTCATGGTTATCCATAAATCAATGTATTAGTGAAATCCTTCATTCTATTTGTCCAAACAACTTGACTTACCAAAAGCAACGGTGAGTCAAAGTATCTCAGTGACAGTACAGTCAACCCAAACCCTGTCAGGTAAGGCAGCCATATCTAGCAGCTTCGCTCTGAAGCCCATCAACTTCATTGCTATTGACTGTCGCTATCACTCGTAGTGGTATAAAAAGTTACAGCATAATGAATACCTTCGACTTGTCAGTCTCACAAGAGGCTAGTTCCCAAGCCTATATAGCTACCTCCAATGATGGTCAGAAGTAGAATATAGGTGTATCCATCACTGCGTTGTGTTGCATTTCAATTTGCCGCCACAGTGTCATGGTTATCCATAAATCAATGTATTAGTGAAATCCTTCATTCTATTTGTCCAAACAACTTGACTTACCAAAAGCAACGGTGACCAAGAGTATCTCAGTGACAGTACAGTCAACCCAAACCCTGTCAGGTAAGGCAGCCATATCTAGCAGCTTCGCTCTGAAGCCCATCAACTTCATTGCTATTGACTGTCGCTATCACTCGTAGTGGTATAAAAAGTTACAGCATAATGAATACCTTCGACTTGTCAGTCTCACAAGAGGCTAGTTCCCAAGCCTATATAGCTACCTCCAATGATGGTCAAGAAGTAGAATATAGGTGTATTCTCTGAAAGGTAATGTTAAGAGGAGAAAAGGAAATATGTGCTCATAAAAACAGATAACGAAATATTTTGTTGCGAGCTGACGTTACGAAATCTAATAGCAAAGTTCAACTTCAGAACGTGTAATTATTGGCAAGCCTTATCTGAGGTTAAGAAATATCCGATTACCGTTTATGCAGTTAATAATTATAGTGATACATGTCCTCTTTTTTTTTTTGCATACTGGCAGTTAGTATACACACGCTGTGGTGGCCTAAATCATTGAATTAATCTGGTTACCCAATGCCAAACCGCCGATGTTGTTTTGGTCTGCTCAATAGCAAAATAATTGCCTGTAATGATTTACAAACCAACATTGTTACTTGTCGATTGCAACCACACCATCGCAACAATGGTTTTGTCCTGTTGAAATAGCATTTCTTTGTCCTGAATATCAATTGGATGAGTCAAATGCACCACGACAAACTTATGAAGCGTATTGCCTTTTTGTTTTTGCTAGATCAACCGCATTGATGTTGTACCTGGGAAAGTTATTACTGTATTTGCTCCATTCTAGATCATTTGACAGATTGGCATTCCAGTTGATAGCCTTTCCCTCCACGGTAAGGATTGTAGCTTGGACTCGAATTTGAAGACTTATCTGACAGCTTACCACCTATTATCATGAAACAACAGTAGTTTCATTAGTAAGTTAAGCTTGCTAGAAGAAAAATTTACTGGCCCTTACCATCTTCTAGATAAAACAGCACATGTAGTAACTCAATCATTGGCATGTCTAGCTCTTGTCACTTGCCACTTGTCTTTCCTCAAGCACCTCTAAATTTAAACAAGAGCAGACATCATTCAGCGTCTACCTTCGCTAGTATCATTACAATGCCTTGGTTACCACTTGCCTGTCAATAACGTATTGAAGTAGGTATGAAAACAAAACGCTTTTGATAACTTTGAATAGTAATTCTTTTTTCCTTCTTTCTTTCTTTTCTTTTTTTGGCAAGGACAACAATGAACAGACTTTGAAGAAGGTACTTGTAGAGATCAAAATCTACTGCCCAAAAAATGAAATGGAAAACTTTTTCAAAGAGATGTACCTTAATGTGTAAACAGTCTGTGTACGTATCACACGAAATCGATAATGACCGACTACCATCTTTCTAGGCTTAAATTATATACAAGAGAGCCATTTGTATTTCACAGTGACAGAGTAGACGTGTATTCTGAGGTAGATTATATTCTCAAGTTTTGGCTGCCCCTCTTTGAGGCATTCTTTGGCTCTAGCGACAAGTCATTCGTCCATCGATAATTATGCTTTTGTTGGTACTCTTTTGCTCTATTCTTTTTTAATGTTAGGATGATACGACGGTTGAAGTGCGCAAGAACAATAATCTGAAGCCAGGACCCGACATGTGCATAATGCTGATGAAGCATGGTTGTTTCGTGATGGACAGTGCAAGTAGCCAGTATGAAAGAAAGCTTCCTGCTCAAAGTATTTGGGAGATTGCTCAAGGCTGGCGCTAGCTGCAAATGCATGCATGAACGAACTGCTCTCTACTTCCTCCACTGATAATGCTGATGCCATTTAAACAATAAACGCCCCATATTTGCAAACATGAGATTTGAAGTCTTGTTATCTGTGCTCACAATTTAAAACAAAGAGTTGTATGGTGCTGAGGACATCATGAATTTTTTCTTTCCCTTATCGAAGAACCCGTGAAAGCTCTGTCAATATTGAAGGTAATTATGATGTTATCTCGTAAAATTCAGCTTTGGCTGACCAATTTGGCTTTTTTTTTTTAGCATAGTAATTCCTGGACAATATGCATGAGTCGATTGAAAAAGGCACACGGAACTACGCAGCCAGCAAAATGCCTTCCATCGCTAGTGAGTGTTTCTCAAAAAACAGTGAGAAAGCTGAGGATTAAATTTTCAACGCTTCGAGGCCTATAAAAAAAAAGACAACATTAAGGGTGGCTCCAATGTGAGCACAGCAGAAGAGCAGATTGATCCAAGCTATTCAAGGGCTTACAAAACTGACATTGACCTCCAAACCTCAAATAATGAATCATGCATCATATCATAACATAATAATAAATCCGTGGTTCCTGAATGCCCTCAAAGCCTAAAAAGGAAGTAAGTTGATCATACAAGTATTTCGGTGGACTGGCGCTATTAAATATAAGGCTTCAAAGGAAAATAGCATGATATAAAATGCTCAGCTGGAAAATTGGCCAAATAGCCAACGGATCCTCCTACACATGATGTCTCTTTGAAATGAGTTTGCGCCTTCAAAAAGTAAGCTATGTTTTTTCTCTACTCAAGCAAGATTAGGCGCAAGGACAAACGAATTCTTTCAAAAAAAAACTTTATCTTCATTAAAGTAGTACTGAAAGAAGTGTGCTATCTTATGTGAGCGGAAGTAGGCACAAGCTTTTAATATAAATGTTGTTCCAGAAGGGCTACAACTGTCTATAAAGATTAAGGTATTCTTGATGGGTAGATATGTCTGTGTTGTGCAACAACATGTGTTATGTCAAAATACAATGTAAAATTGAATCTGCCAAAGAATTACACTTTTATTGAGAATGCATCCCAAGGATGCATTTATATACTTTTCATTATGCTAGGGTTTACAGCATGATGATGAACTATAATACAAATAGGTTTACTATCTACCCAACAATTGATTTGTAAATCATGACTAGCATGATTTACCCTAAGGACCTAAGAATAGCCTAAAACCTTTAGTGTGAGACCTTGCTATGACATTTGATATAACAACATGGACAAGCTATGATAATTGAAGTGCATCTCAGCTATCTAAATGCTGAAGTTCACCAAATGTGATAAGCGTTGTACAAGATAAATTACTACTTTGGCATTCAGAACGTATAAATGGAATAACTCTTGTCTTCTTTAATAAATCTTTAGTTTTTGTGTCTGATCTTATTCAAATAAGTCTTTTCTTGTTTTTATAATATCGAACATTTTTTATAAGCTACAGATAATAATCCTTTTATTCTTTGTGCTTAACAATAAACATTAGGTATGATATAATTATAAATATATATGGATAGGAATGAATAAGTGAAAATGACTACAGTTATTGGCCAATTGAATAGTAGTTTTCATTTGTAAATTCAGACTTTAGTCGGAAAGTGCCTGCTTGTTGAATTGCAGCTGATAACATATAGGTTTTGGGCGAACTTATGAAGTAAACGTACATCTGGTACTTTTTTAAACCTTATATAATAATGGATGTAACGTAGAACTATCGAATGGTCTTTGTTTTGTGCGAATTTGTCGAGTATTTGTCGAGATATCGCCAAAAAGGGTATCGTGCAAAATCATCAATTTTTCTTCAAAATCTGCCTGTGATAGCAAGCAAAAAATCTGGTGACGATTTTCTGGTCAGGACAATATTTTCAATATTTCATGATAGAGTTATTCCAGGGCTTCAAGTAATAGCTCATTCGATAGGAATTTTTTTGCTCTACAATGTTTAGTAATGCTTAACAAAATGTTTTGATGACAAATACTGATTAATCATTTGAAACAGTGAAAAGTCGCAAAATTTAACTTATCAAATATCAGCTGAACAATGTACAGCAAACACTTGATATAAATTCCATTGTATTTTCCTTGCAATTCTCTACAAGCTTCATATAAGTTTGAAGGGGTGCTTACTATCAAGAAACGCGTAATTTTAAGGTCAATAGATTTCGGAATCCCATGGATCATCATTCAGAACAATAAAAGTTGAAGCTCCGTTGGCCTTCCGCATGTGTACACCACACAAGCATGCATTTGACCAAGCTTTTCAAAAATCGGAGCATACGAAAAGGGCCATATTAACTTGCTAGTTTCTGTTTAGGATATAGATCATTGATGAATTCGTAATAATAAGTCGATGATAATAATCAGTTGTCAACTGTATCTAAAACGAAAGCAAAGAGCTTCTTTATTACAGGGCATCTAGCTTGCTTAAATATGGTAAATCCCTGGTCAATGACTACTACGTTGAGATGGTATATAAATAGCAGGCCACTGGGGCCTTATGGATTGTTGGTATAGCTTGTTGAGAGGCCACCTAAGTCGGTATGTTTCATGTAGTGTAGGTGGATCTCGATATTTTGACATTGGGGAGATTGAATGTATTGTAGTTCCTGAGGCACCTGTGCACACACAATTGACTGGACTTGTAAACATAGATGTGATGTGATACGATAAACATCATCTATGCTGCTACACTGTAAAAGGTGGCTTGAGGAGAAAGTGAATGTAGCCTAAGATGCATGCTTGTATGCAACATTACCCCCACCCAGCTTTCGACCAGCCACAAACTAGGATATCATACGAGCCGAATGCAATAATCGAGGATACAACACAGAACGAAGAGACAGAACCAAGAAACAAGAAGGCGATACAAACAGGTAGACAGGCAAAGCGATGGAAACCAATATGAAGTAAAAAAACCGAGATGGTGCCAAAAAAAACAACATACATGGGGTATACGAGGAGAGGTTATCAGAAGATGATAGCAGCAAAGGGAATAGCAGATCGAAGAAAAACCTTGTAAAAAAAAACCATATTCAGGCCAAAAAAAACAAATCAAGGACAAAAAGATCACGGCTATTGCTGAATGTTATGGTTACGAGAGTTTGGAATCGACGGATAACGCAATGTGACGGACGGTCCTGCATGCTTACGACGACTATAAATCTTGCGCTTATTGACAGTGTTGGGAAGGAGTCGATTGGGATTCTTGTGATCCGGTGCAATGCGATCCCAGTAGTCGCGAATAGGTCGTTTGGAATCAAAATCGCTTTCATATTGCCAGGTATTGTCCTTCGAGGACGGATAACCTACCCAATTGACAAGAAACTTCATTCGACCAGTCTTTCTTTCAACGCGATGATTGACGATGGCTTGCACTTCATAGTGGCGAGGAAGTAAGCCTTTTGTAACATGATTGTCCGAGAAATCGACAACGCGAATGTGCTGGGTGGGCACATCACGGGGCAGCAATTCACCAGTAATGTCGGCTAAAGTATAACTACCATTGCGAGTATAGTTCTTGATGAAATATGGACCGAGCCATCTAGGGTGAAGTTTAGTTGACCTGACAGGGTCGAAGAGCATGACCTTTGAATTGATGGGATACTTCTCTTCAATGATCTTGTGATGCTTTTCGAAGCGCTCATGGTCGCGCAATTGTGTTTCTTTGATACGCTTATGGATGGCAGGGATTACCACATCCTTAATGTTCTGTAAGCGGGCATCAATGACTTCCTTGGTAGGATCCTCGGGTGTCTGGTCAGCATTAGGCAATTGAGTGTAATCCTGGAAGAGATTTGGGGCACGCCCAAACATGATAGCAAACGGCTGCGATTGATGCAATCTAGCATATTGAATGTTCATGGCATACTGAATGACATCGAGATACTCATCCCATGCCTCAGGTTCTGCAGCATCGTGTGTCAATGATTTAATGATAGATCGTTTCGAAATGCCCACATACGCTTCGACAACACCATTAGCTTGTGCAGCGTACGGCAACGAGGTCAAGCGATCCATGCCACTAATCTGACTGAACTCTCTCATAAATGCTCCAACAAATTCAGAGCCATTGTCACTAGTGAGTCGCTTGGGAAATCCAAATAGACAACATACACTAAGCAATGCTCTTGCAACAGTGATTGGACTCTTATCAGGAAGAGCTCGTAGAATGGTGAATCGACTGAAATAATCAACAATGACTAGCAGGAAGTTATTGCCCGAGGTGGAAGTCGTAGCGAAATCACCTAAATCGATAGCTATATGATCGAACACATTGTCTGGCAACACGCTACGAGGAGGATGATATCCCACTTGGTAGATACCATGCGATTGACAAGCATGACAATCCTTGGTTACTGTGGCGATGTCATTGCGCATGTTGGTCCAATGTACCTTGTAATCATTGTGCAAAATCTTTTCCATTGAATTGATGCCCACATGACCGAGTAAATGCACTCGCATAACAAGCTCTAGACGATCCTTCTTCGGAGGAGTCATGTAATCAGCATATTTCATAGCACGTGAAATAAGAGCATTACAACCTGACTGTCCACCAGATGAACCATTGTATGAACTTTTGGCATCAGCAGTCTGTTGATTCTTTAAATCTTGAGCGCTGACAGATGGCATGTTGTAGGTGCTCGCATCAAAAATATCAACATTGCTATCATTCAATTCCTTGGAATAATAGTGTGGATCCAATTCGGTTGGCATCCCAAAGGAAAGCTGCTGCAATTGCTTTTGATTGTTGAACTGCTTCTTGCGTTTGAACTGCGTACGATTGGAGTGATTGGGCTTAGCAAGAGAAAATTGAGTGACTTGGGACTCTTTGGCGTTGGTGAAGCCATGTTTGTTCTTTCGCGTAGGTTTACGCTTTTTTTCAGGTAGCATAATACTTTGATTGTTATAACGATTACCCCCACCCAGGTTATTGCCACCCTCGTCATCGTCAGAGGTGAATAACCGACTGAGTGCATCAGGTAACAGGTTACGCGTACCAGGGATATGAACCAGCTCATACTTGTAATCAAAGAACAGTTTTTCATACCACGTCAACAGCATCATGTTGGGCGTACTTTGCGTTTGAAGCCAGATTAAAGAGCGATGATCTGTGTGCAAGACAAACTCAATACCGAAAAGCCATTTGTGGTATTTGGTAAGCATGTAGACAATGGCAAGCAACTCACGTTTGGTGGTAGAATAGGCCATTTCAGAAGGGGAAAGCTTACGACTCGCCATGACAACGTAATGAACCACGCCATCCTTGATGTAGTAGATGATACCACCGATAGCAGTAGCTGAGGCATCAGTAGCGACGTGCAGCTTGTAACGAAAATCAACTGGGCTGAGAGCGACTGGAGATGACAGAGCATCCTGCAACGATTTGAATGCCTTGGTATGCGCATCAGTCCACAAACCAGAAAGGGATTTACAATTGCGCAATGCATCGAGAGGTGCTGCCAGTTCGCTGTATCCAGGGATGACATTTCGAAAGTAATTGCAAAACCCCAAGTACTTCATCAGCTGCTTACCAGTGGTAGGTATAGGCCACAGATGAAAATTGGTCAATTTGCGAGCGTCAGGCACAAGGCGGTTCTGAATGATGCTCCAACCCAGCACATGAGTACTGCGCTGAGCAAACACAAACTTGTCCTGGTTAATTTGGAGATTAACCTTGGTCAGACGACGGATCACCTCAGCGACTAACGCAACGTGCTCATCCAGAGAGTCAGTGTACGTAAGGCACCCTAAATCGTCGATATAAAGTGACACCTGATCAAGCATGTCGGTAAACAAATTGGATATCAAGCGCATAGCTAAATTGCCCATGAAATTTACTCCAAAGCAAACCTTCCTGTGGACCCATTGCGTTTGCGTGAATGGATCGGTAAAGGTTAACTTGTGGCGATGACGTGGATCGACCAAGAAACTCGTGAAGAAACTTTTGATGTCGATGGAACTTGTCATGACAGCGCGGCTGTGACGAGCATGGATCTCATCAATGCGAGGCATAATGTACTTGTCAGTGGAGACCAAGATTTGGTTGAGTAGGCGAACGTCAGCAACAATACGTAGCTTGTCAAACGAATATTCACCATTAGAATTCTTTTTGGCAACGACGAGCAAAGGAGAATTCCAGCCATTATGACTTGGACTGCGCTCAATGACACCATCTCGTTCCCACTCCATCAACTGCTTAGACACAGCTTCCTTATAGACAACTGGAATAGGATAGGGAGCACGATAGGCAACCTTACCAGGGATTGTCTCGAGTTGGACAATCGCACCAGGCAAGTTACAATGAGTAGTGGCAAGATCAATGGCAGCATTTTCTACCAATAACTGTTCAATAGGTTTGAAAGCCTTTGCACGCTCAGCAGGTGATCCGTATGGATCGTTATTAGGCTCGATGTCAGGATCAATGGGGTCGGGAAGTCTGGGTCCAAGCTCTTCAAACCATGTTGAAGCAAGGCCAGTGATTCCAATCTGTAGATCAGGCATGATATCCAACCCAAGCAACATGGGGCAATCATCCGAATCAGTAAAGAAATCAAATATCTCAAATGTGTGAATAAAACTGCGTTTATTATACGAGATTTTAAGTGAGCAAGTGCCAATACGAGGTTTAACACTGTCTGTATGGCCTAACTGGACCTGACCATGAACAGAGCGGTTGATTTGAACACCAAGCTGGTTGGCGAAACGAGGGGAACAAATTGAAAATGTACATCCCGTATCTAAAACACCATATACCTTGTGCGATTATTTGTGTGCATGAACTGCAGTATGTAGATCAATGTCCATAGGCTCAACAGCCGAGTGGCAATCACTTTGATCGTGACGACTCTGTTTAGCAACAGCAGCGGGCACCAACAACGAGGAACCAGATTCACTCGAGTTGTTGTTACTTTGCTGATCTTCCTGAACAACAACAGAATTACCAGTAGTAGGTTGGGCTTGAGGAGACGAAACAGACGATGACAACAATGCGGCACTGCGGCCACCATTGGTCTCAACAGCAAGACGAGATTGAGAACGCGGAGGGTTCTTTTTGATCACTTGCAAAAGCTCAACACAGTCGTCAGTGCTATGGGTCTTGCTATTTGGATGGTATCTGCAGAACTTGGCTGCACCAGCCTCAGACAACGAGCCCACAGTAGGATCAACAGCAGGAGCAGTTGCAATAGCAGTGGTGAACGAGCCGTACCAAGTACGTTTGTGGAATACATCCACTATGATCTGCATTCCGACAGTTCATCCAGTTACCAGATTTAGATATAAACTGTATGTACACTGGATTAGATGTACGATATCGATTTATACTATGATCATGAGAAGATATGGACTTCAGATACGCTAGTACTATAAGATTCATACTATATAAGATATAGGCTATAGATGGCACCACGGACATGGATGGCACTATAGACTTATACTTGTATTCCGACATTAACTACGGATGTTTACCATATCTGGATAGGCACCAAGATTAATGCAATATGAGCTTGTTGCTTCAGATGTGCACTTCATGATCCACGCTATAAGACACATGCTTATATCCGTGATACTAGCTACAGATACTTTATGTACTACAGACTTGTACTATATATGAGACATGCTATAGACATGCATACGATATGCTATAGACATGCCATATATCCAGATACATGCTAAAGATGTATGCTTAGCGATATACACTCAGATATGTACTATTAATATAGACTAAGAAGACTGTACCTATCGGATACATGCTACTAGATCGATATTAATTATCCTTATGGAAAGGATAGATCAGGGTACTTCGGATGAGAGTCTAATTATTCATCCAGACAGAGCTAAATCATGATTAGCTTGCTGGAGTTGTCTTTTAGCATGATTAGACATTAGTTGATCTGAGTTGACTTATTTGTCAATCTAATTAATAGAACTTTTATCCATTGTTATAGTATATAAGAAGGATCATCTACCTGGCCAGTAGAGAGACTTCAGTTTACTTGACACCTGTCAGTTTGATAATAAAATATACCTTTATCAAGTTGACATTACTGTTTTTTATTCTTTTTTTTCCGTGAATTTTAGTCTGTAAAGCCTCAAATTCCACATTTTTTTCAACTCAAAGGTTATCACTTTTACACTTTATCTTATACTCTACATTTTATTATTCTACTTTAAAAACTATTTTTATCATGTCTCACAACCAATACAACGCTACCGAAAACACTCAAGAGGATATTGCTCAAGACTCTATCCGTGTTTCTTCTCCTTATGACTCATCTATGCAAGTGGATGAGCACGCTCAACTTTCTGCAGTTGATCATCTTCTCAAGAAGATTGACACTGCTCAGGCTCGCTTGGATCAGATCCATCGTAACGCTGGTGATACTTACACTGAGGAAGAACGCTTGGCGGCTGATGAAGCATCTGCGTCTATCGAATGGCTCAGCAAGCAAGTCAATGCGATTACTAAGAGGGCTGATTCCAAAGCAAGACCTGTCAATCTCAATGAGATCCCCCGTTTCCAGGTGGTAGGACAAGCTAAGCATTGGCCTGACCATCCAAGATTCACCACAGTCGATCATTTCTTCAGTGCTTTTGAGAACGTCATCAGAGCATCCGGTAATGAAGTAAATTTGGTTTGGAAACGCTACGTGCCTGTTTCACTGCCATTTGACTTCGAATCATGGACCAAGAATGATCTTCTGGCATGCAATGATTGGGATCAAGCCAAGGCATTGTTCCGCAAACATTTTGGTGCTCCCATCAACTCTGAGGAATCCATGGCCAAACTCTTCAGCATGCGCATGAAGAACAAAGATACTCTACAGGACTATACGAATAAGTTCATGAAGTACGTCAAGGATTGTGGCTTCCCTCCTAACAGCAACATGTTAGCCAAGTTCTATCAGTTCACGCTGTTACGCAAGAATCAGCAAATGATGGTCAACCAAATGTCCGTCAAGCATGGTTCCAACCACAAATGGACTATCAACGAGATCTATGAGTGTGTGTTGCCTTTGTTCCTTGTTGACGAGCAAAATCGTGGTGATGATGATGTTGAGGTCGACATCAGAGGTAAGTGTAAGGGTGGTTCTGGTGGTTCTGGTTCGAGAACAAAGATGGCAAGGGTATCTGCCACTGGGTATTTCTGTGCGAAGCATGGCGGGAGCAATGCCAACCACAACACCATTGACTGTAAGTCAAGATTGAAGCACTTTGGCTCTGACAACAAGCCTAACCGGGCTACTACTGCTGCTCCGTATTCTATGAATTCCTCATCCTCTGATCCCAAAACCTGCAACTTTTGTGGTAAGCCCCGTGCTTACGGTCATCGTTGTCAAGAGTTCTACGACTGGAAGAAGGAGAGAGAATCAAGGAAGAACATTGGTGTGCATACTGTACAAACAACCACTGTTCGCAAGGACAACAAGTCTGGTTCTGGTTCTGAGACCAACGATGTTACCATGGAAAGTAGCACTGATTCTGACATTGGTGATGCTGTTGGAGATGTCACCATGGAGGAAATAGATGCTTGCTTGGACGAGATTGAAGCAGAGGATGCCTCGCTCAACTGTAAGTCTAATGTGAAAAATGTACCTGAAAGTTTCAATCCATTTCAGTTACTGACTCCTATTATTTTAGAGAGCAAAGAAGGAAAACCAGTCCGTTTGATCGCGAAAGTAGATACGGGATCAGATTCCACCTTCTTAAATAAAAACATTTTTCACAATAAATTACTATTCACTTCCCAAGATATTATTTCTGTTGAAGGCAATTTGAACTTTCTGAGTCATTCAGTAAAGAGATTGGGTAAAACACCAGCTATCAAGATAAGATATCTTAATGACATTGCATTTGATCACTCGTTTGAGCTATCCAATTTTATTCAGGACCTAGGCGATTTTGATGTGCTACTGGGTGTAGACACATTGAGTCGACTTAGAATTGGGCTAACTGGCGTTGCTCACAAGTTTGCTGATATTGGACATCTTACAGAGGAAGAGAAATCAGAGCTTCTTGAAAGCATCGATTTCGAAAATGTCAATTTTGATACTAAACATTCTATTGATCCAGAAACCGCATCAATCTTTGAATCCCAAGCTGAGGAGAATAAGTATATGAGCAACATCCAAGATGCTATTGATGAGAATCAGAGAATCAAGCCTGGAACGTTTTGTAACGTGCCTGAATCTGAGATCACTATACCAATCAAGGAGAATGTTGATTACTACGTCAAGCAATATCCGATCGCACATCATGCAATGCCCGAAATCGAAAAGCAATTGAATGAATGGCTGGATGCAGGAATTGTAGAACAGTGTAGACCTAACGGCTTATTCAACAGCCCTCTCATTGCAGTATCAAAGAAGGACAATGATGGCAAACCCACCAAAACTCGAGTTTGTATGGATGTGCGGAGGATCAACCAGCATATGCCCAACAATACAAACCAATTTGAGATACCAAATATACAGGATATCTTCACCCGGATCAAGCAGAAGGGGACAATATTTTCGAAAATCGATCTGAAAAACGCATATTTTTCATTTAGAATTTCTGACATATCAAGAAATGTGCTTTTGTTCAATTTTAGAGGAAAATCGTATAGATGGTTAGGCTGCTGTTTCGGGTTGCGCCCAATCACATCTGTCTTTAGCTCTGTCATGAACATTTTGTTTTCTGATATGCCCAACGTGGAGGTCTATGTGGACGACCTATGCCTCGTATCTTCATCCTTATCCAGTCATTGCGAATTGATTAAGGAGGTGCTGAGACGCTTGACACATGCCAACTTAAAGATTGGTGTTGAAAAGTGCTCCTGGTTTCGATCTAGCATCTACTTGCTAGGCTTTGTAGTTGGTCCTCATGTTTCCAAGGTTGACATGCGACGTCTCTCTGACATTGATCATTGGGGTCCATGCAAATCTGCCAAACAGGTTAAACAACTAGCTGGTGTTATTTCATATTTGAGACCACACATCCCAAATCTGTCAAAACTGATGGCGCCTATTGATGCTCTACGAAATGATCCAGATGCTGGTAGCAAATGGACTGAGGAGCACACCAAACGACTTGAGATTATCAAGAAGGTCTTGTTATCTGAAGCTTTACTGACTGCACCAGACATGAATAAGAAATTTTATCTTGAATGTGATGCTAGCTTATATGCAGTTGCAGTCATTTTGACGCAGCGCGACGATCAAGGACGCACAGTCTATGTGGCGATGTTGAGCAAATCTCTGACCAAATCCCAACAGAACTGGCCTGTCCTGAGACGAGAACTGTATGCCGTGTTATTCGGTTTAGTTCGTTTGCGACCCTTATTGTACGGGCATCCTGAGATTGAGGTTATGACAGATCATCGAGCTCTGATTTATATCTACACATGTAAATGTCCTACTAGAGTCATTCAAAATTACATGGAGATTTTAAACGAGTATCCCCAACTGCAATTCACTCATATCAAGGGCTTAGACAACATCTTACCTGACAAACTTAGTCGCTTGTATGAACCTTTAGAAGATCATACAGAGCTGGCGGGAGACAGTGATAAGAAAATTGCTAAATTACAAAAGAATATCATGAGAAGCAAAGGCTCCAAGAAACGATTCATTGGCAACAATAAGCAAACAAAGCATTATCTAACCAAGAACAACGTAGTCTATAATAAAGACAAGCACTTGAATGTACTTGCTATGAAGATCAAGGAGGGCAATTATGAAAGCGTTGCTTACATTGCACCACCTGACAATGAGAGAGACCAACTGCTTCGTGAAACTCATGAATTTGGACACTTTGGTGCCACTAGTATTGTCAAGAAACTACATGAAGAAGGTATTCATTGGACAGGTCTATATGATGATGCAAAGGCAATTTGTCAATCATGTATGGAATGTGCAAGGCATAATGTAGTTCAAAAGGGTTACCATGAACTGAGAAACGTTGTAGCGTATGGTCCATTTGATCACATAGGCATTGACTTTCTTGGTCCGTTAACTCCAACCAACAATGGCAATATATATATATTAGTTGTATACGACATTTGCACCAGATTTATTATAACTCGTGCATTGCCCAACAAACAAACCGATACTGTCGCTAGAGCTCTGACTACCATCTTTGGAGACTTTGGCGTAGTACAAATACTACAATCTGATAATGGACGTGAATTCAAGAGTGCTTTGATGAGCGAGATCGGTAAAGCACTTGGCATCAATCAAAGATACTCTACGGCTTTCCACGCTAGGGGCAATGGTGCATCCGAATCAGGTGTTAAAAATATTCTTAATGCACTTCGTAAGATGGTCAGTGAACACATCTATGACTGGGACTCGGTTCTACCTGGAACTCAACTGGCTATAAACACAAAAATTAGGTATCGCACTGAGAGTGCACCTTTTCAATTGATGTTTGCTAGACCATTGAATAGATTCGTAGACTACGATGATCCTAAGATCAAGGACAACTTACCAAAGAAGCCAATGACTCTCGGTGAGCTACGCAAGAAGGCAGAGATTATGAACCAGGTTGTCTTTCCAGCTATTAACCAAAGAACACAACGCATTATTGAAGAGCAAGCAACGCGATTCAATAAGCATCACAAGATTACACACTTCAAAGTTGGTGATTGGGTTATGGTAAGACTTCCGCATAGAGAAAGCAAACTTGAGGCCGCTTATGATGGACCTTATCAAGTTGTTCAAAAGAAAAGATCTACATATGTGTTGAAAGACGATATGAATGAACTACTACATCGCGACTATGTGCCATCTGAATTGAAGCTGGTAGCAATCGACGAGTCTATCATCGAACAAGAAGTATATGAGGTTGACGAGATCAGAGCGCATCGTGGTCCTGAACACAATAGAGAGTATTTGGTAAAATGGAAGACATTTGGAGAAGCTGCCAACTCCTGGGAAACTGCTGCATCGTTCAACAACCCTCAAACCATTCGTAAGTACTGGGCAAAGATCAAGGAATATGAGCTGCTTGAGAAGAGAAGACAGGCACTAAATAGTGACACTGCTTCCTCCAAATCAAAGCGTAAGCGTGATGATTCTGACAAGCGTTTGAGAGGCTCTAAGAGACTCAACGTTGCAGAACAGTAAAGTGATGTTTGTCATGGGATATATCAGGGCAACATGCAAATTGCAGTAGCACCTTTAGACTATCACATTGCGTTATATCTTTGTCAGCGAATACGAAATACAGATCATTGATCGTTTACATAATTCTTTGAATTAGTCAACATGCGTTGAAACTGGTGGGGGCAAATGTGGAATACATCCACTATGATCTGCATTCCGACAGTTCATCCAGTTACCAGATTTAGATATAAACTGTATGTACACTGGATTAGATGTACGATATCGATTTATACTATGATCATGAGAAGATATGGACTTCAGATACGCTAGTACTATAAGATTCATACTATATAAGATATAGGCTATAGATGGCACCACGGACATGGATGGCACTATAGACTTATACTTGTATTCCGACATTAACTACGGATGTTTACCATATCTGGATAGGCACCAAGATTAATGCAATATGAGCTTGTTGCTTCAGATGTGCACTTCATGATCCACGCTATAAGACACATGCTTATATCCGTGATACTAGCTACAGATACTTTATGTACTACAGACTTGTACTATATATGAGACATGCTATAGACATGCATACGATATGCTATAGACATGCCATATATCCAGATACATGCTAAAGATGTATGCTTAGCGATATACACTCAGATATGTACTATTAATATAGACTAAGAAGACTGTACCTATCGGATACATGCTACTAGATCGATATTAATTATCCTTATGGAAAGGATAGATCAGGGTACTTCGGATGAGAGTCTAATTATTCATCCAGACAGAGCTAAATCATGATTAGCTTGCTGGAGTTGTCTTTTAGCATGATTAGACATTAGTTGATCTGAGTTGACTTATTTGTCAATCTAATTAATAGAACTTTTATCCATTGTTATAGTATATAAGAAGGATCATCTACCTGGCCAGTAGAGAGACTTCAGTTTACTTGACACCTGTCAGTTTGATAATAAAATATACCTTTATCAAGTTGACATTACTGTTTTTTATTCTTTTTTTTCCGTGAATTTTAGTCTGTAAAGCCTCAAATTCCACAACGTTGTTCTGGAGACAGCATAGGTGGTACTAAGCGAGCATATTCCTTGTCGAAATCCATCTTGTAAGCGAACATGACATCCTCAAACTTCAACAGACAAGCGTCGACTGTAGGAAATATAGGGCTTTTGGGGTCGAATTCATCCATACCAACCCACTGAAATGCAGGTAAGTTGTTGGGAAAGAAAACCGGTACAGAGGCGCTCTTGTTGGATTTGACTCCATCGACTGAGGATGAGCCAAACGAAGCAGCAGCCGAAGAAACGAGGTTATCATTTGCAGTAGCTTTGGATGCAAGCAAACAATCTCGAATCTGTATGATACTTTGAATGGACGTATTCAACTGGATCAACCGAGCTAGGGCCTGGGCTCTGGCCTCCTCACTTTGCTCGAGGAGCAAGGTCGTAGAGAGAAGCTGAACTTCGGCGAGCTGATTGTCAACAATTAGCTTCAACTGATCAGTGCGACCTTGAAGATCCACATCACTAGAAGATGAACTAGCAGAGGAAGGGGGGTCGAGGTCCATCGCATCACTAGCAGTAGTAGTGGGAGCTTCGCCAGCTTGACCACCCAATTTCTGAGACGTTTCAGCGAGAAAAAACTGAGAAGGGCCAGTAATATCTACAGCCTTGGTGGCACTGGCGTCTGAAGGACGCAGCTCAGTGTTTCCAGCAGGCTTAGATTCGGAACTGGGGGGTGTGGTGGTACTTTGAGCAGACATCAGAGTATACAAAATTGAGAAGTAGTAGTAGTAAGAGTAGTAGTATTGATACAATCAAGGTTTTGATTAAAAAAAATGATGAATTCGTAATAATAAGTCGATGATAATAATCAGTTGTCAACTGTATCTAAAACGAAAGCAAAGAGCTTCTTTATTACAGGGCATCTAGCTTGCTTAAATATGGTAAATCCCTGGTCAATGACTACTACGTTGAGATGGTATATAAATAGCAGGCCACTGGGGCCTTATGGATTGTTGGTATAGCTTGTTGAGAGGCCACCTAAGTCGGTATGTTTCATGTAGTGTAGGTGGATCTCGATATTTTGACATTGGGGAGATTGAATGTATTGTAGTTCCTGAGGCACCTGTGCACACACAATTGACTGGACTTGTAAACATAGATGTGATGTGATACGATAAACATCATCTATGCTGCTACACTGTAAAAGGTGGCTTGAGGAGAAAGTGAATGTAGCCTAAGATGCATGCTTGTATGCAACAATCATCTCTGAGAGGCAAATGTATTAAGCGCTGTATATTACATAAGAGGATCTGAGAATGAGCAGAGATGCATAGTAGAAGTGAGAGGTCTTTATTCAAGCAGCACGAAGGAACATGAGTGGTGCCATCAAATGGCTAATCTATATCCTGGTTCCTAGAGAGTGGTAGCCTATGGCCTTTCGTCCCTGGAAGTGGGTTTCAATTCCGACAAATGTTCTTCCGTCAAAGCTATTAGGAAGAACATTCTATCCTGCTGGATCATCTTTGTTGTTTATCCTTGACTGGCGGTTCATGAGTTCTTATGCAGCACATTCTCGTTAACTGGTTCAAGACTTATACAATTATCCCGCATTCAAGATCAAGGCCCCATTGTTGCGGCACTGTCAAATAATTATAGATACCTTTGATATCTACACTAGTTTTGATCCCCATTCAATCTTGGAATAACGTAATAAATATATTCAGTTCTAATTGTATTTACTCTGTCTATATTTCGTTATTCTAAACAGTTTCAAGTTATCAATAGATACTTGACATGTTGGAGAATCTTGCTTTTAGGACTAGGCAGTTGTAGCTTGTATGGAATACATCCACTATGATCTGCATTCCGACAGTTCATCAAGTTACCAGATTTAGATATAAGCTGTATGTACACTGGATTAGATGTACGATATCGATTTATACTATGAGAAGATATGGACTTCAGATACGCTAGTAATATAAGATTCATACTATATAAGATATAGGCTATAGATGGCACCACGGACATGGATGGCGCTATAGACTTATACTTGTATTCCGACATTGACTACGGATGTTTACCATATCTGGATAAGCACCAAGATTAATGCAATATGAGCTTACTGCTTCAGATGTGCACTTTATGATCCACGCTATAAGACACATGCTTATATCCGTGATACTAACTACAGATACTTTATGTACTACAGACTTGCACTATATATGAGATATGCTATAGGCATGCCATGTATTATCCAGATACATGCTAAAGATGTATACTCAGCGATATACACTCAGATATGTACTATTGATATAGACTAAGTAGACTGCACCTATCGGATACATGCTACTAGATCGATATTAATTATCCTTATAGAAAGGATAGATCAGGGTACTTTGGATGAGAGTCTAATTATTCATCCAGACAGAGCTAAATCATGATTAGCTTGCTAGAGTTGTCTTTTAGCATGATTAGACATTAGTTGATCTGAGTTGACTTATTTGTCAATCTAATTAATAGAACTTTTATCCATTGTTATAGTATATAAGAAGGATTATCTACCTGGCCAGTAGAGAGACTTCAATTTACTTTACACCTGTCAGTTTGATAATAAAACATACCTTTATCAAGTTGACTTTACTGTTTTTTATTCTTTTTTTCCGTGAATTTTAGTCTATAAAGCCTCAAATTTCACAGGAGCATTTTGGCCAGAAATTGCAAATAGTGGGCTACAGAATATGAGGGATTTTTTTTTATTTTTTTTTTCCCACTCCAAAGGGAGGCTCGATGTTTTGACGATAATTTATCTAAAAAAAAAAATATACAAATTTACTGGTTAAAACAACGACGGTGTTGTCTCACATAGGTCATAAAGCCTCGAATTCCACAGTAATACTTCAAAAAGTTGCAGAGAACTAAATAAATATTTTGAAATATATATTATATATATACCTTCCAAATATAGAAGGTCGCTTTGTCCGAGTGGTTAAGGAGTATGACTAGAAATCATATACGCTCTGCGTGCGCAGGTTCAAATCCTGCAGGCGACGGTATTTTTTACGAAAATTTTGTGTAGTGCACGTAGCATACTTATTTTCGTTTTGTTTCGCTTTTCCGTTGCTTGAAGCATTTTGTGGCAATTGATCTACTAATTTAGATCTAAATCGTGTAGAGGCTATCAAGTGACCCAAAACTTCTATAAACAAGTATATTGTCTTCTTTTTTGACCTATAGAGGAAACTTTTCATGATTGCTTAAGATTAACAATTGCCCTATCAATTTCAAGTTTCCTAAGTTGTGGTCCGGAATATTTGCAATTGAATCAAGTAGCATCCATTATGGAAAAACCGAGCGCAAATAGAAATGGAAATCATTAGTTTCTGCTTGAGATGGGAAATTAGACGGTTCATAGCGTATCTAATGCAAGCAGTGTTGGTCACTTAATTCAATCAACACGCCACAGTCATTCTCAACGAGGAGCCCAGTGCATTAAATATGCAGCAGCGTTTGTAATTGATATCTCTTTGATATACCAATGTTGATTCTGATCAAACTTCCAACCTATACTTATGATTTGACATCAGATATCATGTTTGTAGTGCTGAGATCCCAGCATTGCTTAATTTGATATTACAAAAATCTAAATTCTACAAAATGAATGTGAGCCTTCCTAAATTTATCATTTGTGCACTGTTCTCTGAGTTTGTGCACCCATTATACAAATGCTGTTTTGTATGACAGCTTTCACCCATTGAAATAGCATAGCATTGCTATCAAATAGCTCACTGTGTTCTTGCAATGAGCGTTCATAGAGTCTTACAATTACCGGAAACAAAATTGCATAGCAAGAAATGACACAGCTTTAAAAGATGAATGCGAGCCGGCATTGATGATTGATGTGATAATGTCACACAATAAATCATACAGCTAAAAATAATCGAAATCATTCTCCTTTAAAGCTGGGTACCTCATTCAGGAACTCACTTTAATTTGCCCTGATTTATACATATATTTCGCTGATGTTTTTTTACTGGTTCATACTAAATTAACAAGGATTTGAGTAACTTTTTATTTTTTTTCCATTACAAAGAGAGAGTGTTCTAATAATGACTCGAATTTTTATTAATATAGTACACATACAAGCAAATCAATACAAAAAGAAGGAAGAAGTGGTATAGCCTTGTTCTTTCAGCACCCAGGCTTCATTCAACTCGGCAATGTATTTCGAGAATGTAGACCGTGGAGTTGTGAATATGCGTCTTGCATGTGCTGCTACCATAGCATCCACCAATGGAATCAAGAATGATTTTAGTGATTTGTTGGGATTATACATGCAATGCATTTTGTCTAGTGGGTCCAGCAGCTCTGGTGGAATATCGTTGAGGGTCAATGTACAGGGAAAATAATCAAACCATTCCAGCAGTCGACTATTTTCTCCACGAATATCCCTATGATCTGTCGCAATATACACAACTGCCCTTGATCCCACATTTTCCATCGACACACTGAAATCGGGTGATACGTTTTCGCACACATTGGACCAGGGCGGTAACGAGAGATTGTATTGTGGCATCAAGTGAACAGTCTGCTCTGGTGGTGGTGGCGGTTTTGGTATGCTAGTCAATACGCCGAATTCGTCGTAGGGCGGAAGTGGTGGTACAGGTGTGCCAGTTGCTATAGACATGTTGCGTTCAAATTGATGCAAGTTCTCGATGGCGTATTTTCTAAAGGGCACATCTCTCAAGCGAAAATGGACAGCATTGAAGCTTGCCTTTCCGCCCAAATGTTGTACAATGCCTGCAACTGTCTCTCCTAACGGTGTGTCCAATCGATAATGCAATGTAGATGATATTAATTGTTGCAATTCAATGTGCTCTGGTTTCACCATATTCATACGAGTGGATCCAAAGATGCCGCCTAAATGTAGTAGTCGCTCTGTCCGCTGTTGCCAGTGCATTGGTGTAAAGATCTTATAGAATTTGCGATCCGTGAAGCTATCCACGAAATTGGAGCCGTTATTCAGAATTGCATTTGCCTCTTGTATATCTTCATATAGCCTCCAGTCGTACAAGTGATCGTCATAGTGGATAAACGTATCATTGTCGTGCACATTGAGGTCCTCTTGCAGTTTCGTAAATGATACAGTGTCGACAAATTTCATCTTGACATGGGACTCCAGCATTGAGAAATCGTGTAATTGCGTCCACGGGATGGCGGCAAATTGATGGTATTCAGCGCATTTGTTTCTTTGCACGTAGCTGTGAAGGTCGCCTGGTGTGGGCGGTTGGCAAATCAAGTCAAAGTCTTTTGGCGTGGTGAGCCAGCTGAGGTGGTCGAGCAGTTGATCCATCGGCATCCAGCCTACCACATTTCCCAAGAAAGCAGGAGGTATGATGAGGGTGCGTTTCAGCAGAGCGGCTAGTAACAGAGCATTTGCCAGTTCTATACGCTGATTAGATAATCCAGAATGAGGCAGATATGCGAGAAACTTCTCCTGTCGCGGATCATCACCGCTGTCCAATGGATGCTGTGTGAATAGAAAATAGCAAGAGAGCAGTATGCTGACGGTGAATAGCACGGTGATGATGAGCGTCAGTCGCTTCTGTTTCAGCATTGTGATGTGTTGATGAAAGAAGTGGGAAAGAAAAGAATTTTTGTGCTATTGGTGCTAAATGTGGGATTAAACCCACTTACAAGGTTTGCTAAAATAGAATACCCAGTTACACAGGTGAGGGAGGAAATATAACCAAGATGGAACACACACATTTATTTATAAACTCTTGACAACGTTCTCTACCAAGCTCACGTTTAAGCCTGTAGTGTCAGGCTCGACAAACAATTTCTTGATCTTGCCGTCTTGCAAAATGGCAGCAAAACGCTTGAAGCGGTGATTGCCCAAGGCTCCAGATGCATCAAAGTCCAGATCCATGGCCTTTGCCAATTCGCCTTTAGAGTCAGCTAATAGAGTCACTTTATCGTCTGCTTGATGTGCCTTGCCCCATTCGGTCATGACAAACGCGTCATTGACAGCAACACAAGCGACTAAATCTATTCCCTTGGACTTTAATGTCTCTGCCTCCTTGATATAGCCAGGCAAATGGGTCTTGCTACATCCAGGTGTGAAGGCGCCAGGGACACCTATACAGCCCATCACCATGGTTACTTTTCAGGGTACTTGTCTGATCATCTCTCACTTACCAAACAAGATGGACTTTTTGCCCTTGAACAAATCTTGGGTTTTTACTGTTTCTCCGGGTGATTTGAGTTGAACTTCAATGTTGGGGATAGCATCGCCTTCAGCAATGAGTAAGCGACTGGTATTGGTAAAAGTACGGCGTTGAATTTGAGAGAAGGTGGTACGCAACATTTTGGGTGAGTGAATGGAGAAGAAGAAGAAGAAGAAGAAGAAGAAGAAGAAAAATGGTACTTTTGGGCCTAGATATAGCGCATTGATGCAGGTTAGACTGATGCCGTTTAAGGGTTGTAGCGAGTCACGAACATACACAGCATCCATGCCATGCAGTGAAGTTTGATACCATACTAGTTGATTCATGTCAGAACTAGGCAACGCTAGTAGATCAGCATGATTATGATCAGTTCTTGTCTCTGAATCAAACCGATTTCAATACTGGTAATGTTGGTTGAAATTGTGAGCAATGCATCTCAAGCATCCAGATGCCGATATTGATCCTGTTGTGTTTGAACGCCATCTCTTGGTCCTGTGCACATATACATGAGATGGCACCGCTTTTGATGATTTTTTTTATTGCACATGTTGTTGTAAATGTCAGCTTTTGAAAAGCTCAAGATATACTCAGTCTAATGATTGCGTTTGGATATGATAATCTACCAAGAAGTAAGCCGGTATTTCAGCAATCATCTCACACAGCGAAAAAATCATAATATCAGCTTTGATATCTTGCAAAACTTCAGGAACATGTGTTTTTATTGACAAGTGTATGACGAGTTGCTAGAAAAGCTATTGCCAATATCTATAATTGGTGTTTGGTGGGTGTTCTTCAACATTGATCTGCTACATGCTAGCATGAATTTTACTGCTGCAAGAATTCAACCCAGATTCGACAGGTTTGCTTTTCAAACAATAGCCTCCTTTCTTTTTCTTTTTATTCAATCATCAATTCTATTGCTTAGCATGAGCTCTCAAAAAGACAATGCGATCGATGAAGAGCTGTTCCAGTTCTATCTTCAGTTTCGTTTGCGTCAGATCCAGAAGAACATGCTGCTCTGGGAAGACAACAGTGAAAAGGAAGTCTTGGTAAACATACTAACCAACTGCCAGCATGTCAACGGAAGTGAGTAAGGTCTCAATATACTGTACTGCAGTTGAACTGACACATGCCACTAGACACGCTACGAATGATAGTTAACGACATATTTGACAAGTCGGTTCAAACATTTACCTATGATAAACCTCTAGCGACAAAATCAGTGGCTGTCAGTGATGGAGAAAAGAGAGAACACAGCAAAAGCCACGCTGAGTCTAGCAAGGCAACTCTTGATTGTAATCAACCCAGCCCTCTACATGATGATACAGACTGTGAATATGATGATACTACAGAATCAGTTCAGAACGGCGAATCATCAGTCTATTCAGATTCAGCAGGCAGCGAAGAAATCAGAAAGAAGAGGCCCAGAGGTAACTGCAAAGAAGTATTAGCTCAAGGCGAAAGACTAACCAGCTAACAGTAATCAGCATTGAGTCCTCTGTCCCTCTAGTTCTTCAACACTTGATTACAAAGAGCTCAAGTACAGGTGAGTTGTTCACGCTTATGATGGTTAGCGTCTTTTCATGCGTGGTGATTAGATTTGGAAGCCATGCTCAGCAACTTGCAAGTAACCAAAGACATCTTTCGCTCAAGAATGAACATAATAAAGAACACTTTCAAGATCCATTACACCCCTCGCAGTGCATCCAGCTTCTCCACCATCCCCAAATGCAGATTTGAAATAATCAACCAGTTCAGCTATAAAAGTCCCATGGGCCAATGCCAATTGAACATGATTGCCTATCAGCTTGGAAAGATTGAAGAGATGGAAAAGGAGGTATTTTCAATCAAGCAAGTGAGAAAAAACCGATTGCGATATTATCAGGATTTGAGTGGTAAGACTACATTGGATCTTCTAAGCATGAGAGACCGTTTATCATTGACTATTCATGTTTTATAGTGAGTCTGAATGAGCCTAGGCTAGCATACGCTTCTCATTTACAGGATTTTCCTCGACACTGTGAAAGAGCCTTGTACTTTGTCAGAAACCTTGGGGCTTATGTCCTCTTTATGCCAGAGGTATTGCCACCTAAAACATATAAAAGGGTAAGATGGTGGTAGCTGAAATTGCTTTGATGAACTGACTGTTTGGATGTTTAAAGATACAAAATACATCTATCCCAGTACTGAAAGCCTACTTGCAAGGCAAATGCTATCAATTCAAAGACATTGCGCGATATGATAACAAGGACAAATTGATTGTATCTGCTAGCACTGGCGATCTAAGCAAATTCCAAAAGAAGGGCAAACCATATTACTGCCGATTTGTGGATTTCTCTTTATAAGTATCCTATAGCCATTCTACATGACCCTACTGAAATGAAGAAATTGCTGTATAATTGTCGTATTTTGTTGTTCTATAAATTGTTGCACTACCAATTCACCATTATTGGCATGAATAATAACATGCCAGCATTATAACAGGTATCAAGCATTGCCATTTGATATAAGAATACGTATTCTTTAATAAATCCTTTTTCTTGCCTCTCCAAAATGAGCTCCCAACAAAACGACACACCCATCGACAATGAGCTTTTCAGATTCTACAGCCAGTACAAGCTATGCAAGATTGAGAAGAGCAAGGACCTCAGTGAATCAGAGAAGGCGGCTATCATCAGCATCCTCAAAAGTTTTCAATTTGTCGATGGAAGTAAATTGTACACCATCTTGAGTAATTGCGAATTATGGCTCATTGTACATCTTGTAGACATACTACAGTCAATCTGGAATGAAGCTTTTGAGCACGCATCTGAGAACAGCTGCTTTCCTGTTGGCAAGAAAGCTGACATTGTCTATGATGGCCCAAGCAATGTTAACAAGAAAAGCGCAAATAGCATGGCAAACGTGATTGATTTGACTCTGGATGGAGAAAGTAGTAGCAAAAGCACCCCAAAGACTCCTTGTTCAGAATTAGCTCACAGAGCCTTGAGCACAAGGGAATCCAGTGATGGCAGTTCTGATTTCGAGCCGTATGACTTGATCCCTGACAGTAGCTCTTTCAGTCGCATGAGAGAGTACTCCTCTTTCAAGGAACTCAAAGAAAAGGGGTGTGCCGAAGAAGTAGCTATGCAAGGCATTTTGCCAGGAGAAGCATTCATACGTTTGTATATTCTACACTCTGTCAAATATCATAGTAAACTCATCTGCTCTTTGCATCTGTAGGGGCGAGAAACGTATTACGACATGTTGAAGAAAGCAAGCGTACGCTCTGTGATAGAATAAAGGCTGTGAATGATAGCTTTGACATCCAAAATCCATTTCCTACTGATACATCCGTTTATGGCCCTAGCCAAACCGAGATATTCAAGATCAATAAACATTTCGTCCGTAAAAGCCGTTTGAGCCAGTCTCAAGAACACCTTGCTGCCTACAAGATTGGTAAACTCATTCAAAGAGATAGAAGGCTATTCTCGCTCGACATTGTTTACAGAAATATGAAGCGATATTATCAGGGTTTGATCAGTAAGTCAAGTGTTTACTTGTCGGGATTCTCTTTCATAGTGATATACTTATTGATTCAAATAGAAAAAATACAGTTCTACTCTCGCTCCCAACAACAGGACTTTGTCTACTTTGGCAAATATTGTTAATCTGGTCGAGAAAACTGGGCTCTACACTATCTTTATTCCTGAAATACTGCCACCATACCGCATCAAGACTGTGAGATTGAATATCATAGAAAGAAAATATGGCATTATGTACTCACACATCATCGATCATTCATGTAGGCATCGCTTGAAGACTTTGAGAAGATTAAAATTTACTTGAATCAAAGATGCTCCTGCTTCAAAAACGTTGCCCACTTTGATGAAAATGGAAAGTTGAAGTTGAAGGATAGCAAGGATAGTTCTGCTGGGGATGTAGGCCAAAGCAGTAGTAGTGGTCAATCCTTGACTCATGTCTAGTCAGATGAAAGGCTGTTGGCTGTAAATCCAATGAAATAAAATCGATTGTAATATCCAGACCTGATGTCTGCTTAATTTGAATATTTTAATGCAAAATATTTAGTAAGTAGGTATAACAGTTAAAAAAACTAAAAGCTAGGTGGTTCATTTCCCGTAAGTAGAGGCATTTACTACTGCACTATGCCTCATTTAACGCTTAAAAATGCGTGATATATACTCACAATTTGTTATCAATGCTTTAATCTCTCCTAATTATGGAGGGCTATTCACACACGATCACGCACCTGGATACATTGCGATTGATCGCGCTATCAACAAAATTTCTTCACCCAAATCCCCATTATACCTATATATATTGCCTTGAGTCATCATAAGGAATTCTTAGACAACGAGTTGTTTCAAGTCTACATACGGTATTAGCTGTGCAGAATTAAAAATAATACATCAACTTCATTTGGCTTATCACAAAGAAATGCTCTGGTTGGTATCTTGGAAAATTGTCAGTTTGTCAATGGAGGTAGGAACATCAGTAAATCAATAGACATTTAAGCTCAAGTACTAAAATTTGTTTGATATAGATCATTTGCATACCATCTTGCGCAATACGTTTGAGAATTCTGTTCAGAAACTTCTGTTTGACAAGGCCGATGCTACACACACTGGCAACACTAACATGAATAATGCCTGTAGTTTTACATATTCCTGCTGATTCTCAATCAGAAAATGACAAATAAGTATCTTCATATATCATACAGTCTTCCCAGTCAGCAGAGTCAAGCACAGCTTCCAAATGAGCTTGGCCTATTTAACATTAACAAAAGATACCATGTTAACAAAATCAGTCTAAAGTTGATACCATAGCGGAAAGGACTCAAGAATTATAGTAAAATGATGAAAAATAGCTTCATCAACTAAATTACAGGCAAATAAGCTACCAAGTATAATTATATAGTATATGAAATGTCATGCTGAAAAATCAACAAACTTCTAGTCGCTAAGCACTTTCAAATCTTGCACTATCAGAACCTTTAAAGGGAAATTTGGCCACTATAAATTTCGGTGGTAAGCCAGATTGACCAGCATTATCTTTTATAAAACAAAAAAAAAGTAGCCATAGCCATGGTTCCGTTTGACATCTAATCTTCCTTTCATTTGCATCACAAACATCATCTACCTTTATGGTGTGGCATTATTGATCTCACCAGCAACGGCGAGCGGGTGACCACAGCAGTTAAACTCCGGTTCACCTCTGTTCCAGATTGGACATATTTCATTAGCTTTCGACTTGATTTACTCAATTTGTGAAATTAGACTATGTTGATTGTGATGATCACCCTGTGCTTCTTTAAGATTTCTTGGAGTGATTTTCAAGGCGCATCCGATGGTACAAAATAAGATAAATGTTTTGAATAAACTTATAGAGCAATTTGCGAAAATATGAAATAAGGTTTCTGGCCAAAATGTCGAAATTTTACATATCAAGGTCCCACAAAGATGATTTCAGGTGTTACGTTAGATCGATAGAAACATTTTGATCCAATATTTACTATAGTAAAAGTCTTCATTATCAAGGTCAAAAACGCAATCGTTTAATTTTCGATGAAAGCCATGAGGGGTACCTCATGCTTTTTGGTCGAATTTTGTCCATGTTTTTTTTGGTCCCCAAAAAGTTGAGCAAAAGTGTCATTCAGTAAGTGCTGGGCGAGAGCAATTGTTTGGTGCTATTCTGACCATCTAAAACGGCTATGAGCCCAAGAAAACGCAGCTCAAATGTACTCTGATTTTGCTGTATCAGGGATACTAAGGATTGAAAAGGAGAAATGCCAGTATGCTGTTTGCCCATATATGAAGTAGCTACGTGCATATAGATGTAGAGTATTGCGAAAGAATTAGGCCCACAGATAATATGAAGGGTTTTCATAGGTAAGTGGAGGGTCAAAATGAAAGTGGCGGTATTTTGATATGATACGCAAGGGCAATCGGTAGCGCGAACTACCGCTGTGCAGGTTAGCTCTCATCGAAGCGAAACAAAGGTAGAGAGCTATCCGAAGTGTAAACACTCGTCATAACATAATAAATTTATTTTCCCTACACACATTCGAAGCCTCAAAAAGAAAAGAAGTTGCTCTTACAAGTATTTCGATGAGTTGGCATTATTAGATGCAAGACTTCAAAAGTAAAACATGTCTCATATAATTCGCCACCTACGTTCTATTGGTTTCAAAGACATTTATTTTTGTCTTCTGCGCAAAAGAGGAGAAAGCTAACATTATGCATGCCAAGGTGCCAATTTTAGCATGCTCTGAGCCAGTTTCCTTTAGTTTTAAAAATTATCTACTAATCTTGTCGGCTTTTCATTGGGGAAGGATGATTTGGATGCTGAGGAGAGTAATTTGTAAGTTGTAGAGGGCATCAGTCCTATTTGAGTAATCAAATAAATAGTCGGATATAATATGACCACCTAGTAATTTGAACTGCCATTATGTCACCAATAAGCTGTATTATTGTGCTTTGATACAACGGTTTAACAGTGCCACTCAACCTAATATTTCCAGCTGAATATTTGGATTTAACATAATGCTCTAAGTCTAGATCAATACATACAATGTCTTTACGCCTTGATATCATAACAAAAACCTGCCTATTGACAAGCAAATGTATAAAACACAGTCAAATTTGACAGCTTTTGAACCTTGATACTTGACATATAAACCTTTCTGAGCGGTTGGAATGACGCCAAACAGTTATACTCGAGTAGCATTAACTTTCTGATACCTTTGCTCAACTTTTTGGGTACCTAAAAAACATGGTCAAAAATCGACCAAAAAGCATGAGGTACCCCTCATGGTTTTCATTGAAAATCAAACGATCGCATTTTTCACCTTGATAACGAAGACTTTTATTATGGTATATCTTGAATCAAAATGTTTCTATCGATCCAAAGCAACCTCTGAAATCATCTTTGTGGGACTTTGATATGTAAAATCTCGACATTTTGGCCAGAAACCTCTTTTCATATTTTTACAAATCATTCAATAAGTTTATTCAAAACATCTATATTACTTGGTACCATTGGATGCGCCTTGAAAAGTACTCCAGGAAAGCTTAAGGAAGCATGGGGTGATCATCATACTTCACTTAGTCGAATCTGCAAAAATAGTTCAATCGAGTCCAAAATCATCAAGATTTGTCCAATCTGGAACAGACTATAAATCTGGGTTTGAATTAATTTTGGCTGGTGGGGCTGACTGACAAACTCAATGCTCTTCTTCTAATCGTGAAAGACAATAATACTGTCAATTGGCCACTTCTTTGAAAAAAACTTGGCCACTTTTTAAATTTCAATTGGTCGCTTTTTTGAGCCTTAACTGGACACTTAATACCGTATCTTTACTTGATTTTCGACGAAATCACTTTCTTTTTTTGGAAGAACTCTTTTCTCAATACAGATCGTCCCCTTTTTTTTTAAACGCAATTGGTTCTTGGAAAGCGAGACGTTGCTGACACGAATCAGCGAAGCATCAAAGTGTTTGGAATTGAGTGATTTTGAAGTATTTGTTTCTCATTCTCATAAATGTCTAGACAGCTGTCGCAACGGAGAGCCATTATCAGATGACGCTTCAGTTCTTTGAACGATTGATAATAACAAGCAAAAGCACAAAAAAAAAAAGTGGTTTTGAAAATGGACAGCCATGGTTCAAAGATTTTTTCAGTGAGAAGTTATTGACCTGCGTTCCAACTGCGTTCCGGCTGCGTTCCTTCACAGTACTTTTTTTTTGGCCTGCGTTTCAACTGCGTTCCAACTGCGTTCCAACTGCGTTCCTGCACACTTTTTTTTTTGGCCTGCGTTCCGGCTGCGTTCCTTCACAGTACTTTTTTTTTGGCCTGCGTTTCAACTGCGTTCCAACTGCGTTCCTGCACACTTTTTTTTTTGGCCTGCGTTCCGGCTGCGTTCCTTCACAGTACTTTTTTTTTGGCCTGCGTTTCAACTGCGTTCCAACTGCGTTCCTGCACACTTTTTTTTTTGGCTCCAGTGAATGTTGGTGACGAAGTGTGTTAAAAGTAAAAGATAGACTCAGCATTTTATGCAGAAAAGAGGGAGTGTTGTCGATTCGACATGGTAAAAACGCAGACGAAAAACGCAGATCAAAAACGCAATGGTGTGATTTCTATTATCAAAGAGGTCTCAGATATTAGAAATACAAACCAATGAAGTGAGAACACTTCATTTAGACAGCGACATTAATTAGAACACAGTGAAGCCTTTGTAAAGTATATAAGAGTCGCTATTCTCATTAGCTGTACTTATCGTTTTTCTTTTCACACACACAACAGCGAGGATTTTTATTCAAAGATTGAAATGACAAGAGCGTACTAATAACCATTCAGGACACGAGACTTCACATTTTCTACTACTGATTTGTTTGCTAAAACGAGGCTTGTTGACATCAAGTTGGCCAAAGACATCAATTTTTCGTTGAGGAAATGGTTTTCCAAGATATCTATAGCGTTTTCATTGTGGTATAGTTCAACGATTTGTTGCAGTATGGATTTCACTTGCCCATCTTGGTACTTGGTCAATAAAGTATTTACGAAAGTTTTTGGCAACGTTGGATGGATGTTAGATTGGACAGTTTCCGCAATCTTGAGAAAAAGTTTCGAGGCTATTTTCGCTGCTGATTCGCGTCCTGTGTCAGGTGCTTCGTATAAGGTGAAAATGCTATATGGTTGTGACCGCAGGTCATTTGCAAAGATACTTGACGCGCGACAAAGGAGGTATGTTGAAGGGTATTGGAACTTTGATCGTAATTGTCGAAGTTGGTATCGCAGATCAAATTGATCAACCTTGTTATCAAACACAGCCAATTCATCTGGTGTTGAAGAAAGTGACATTGAGGACACGACCATTGCCACCATCGAAATGAAGGCCTCAGAACTCATCACTGTGTTTCCCAAATCTGTTGACAGCCCTCAAAGAAGCTTTGATGAATCAATTTTACGTGCCTTAAGACAATCAGGCGGTTCTACCTGTGAGAGAAACAAAGCCCTGTGGATCGCAGATAGTTTGAAATTAAAACCATTTGCACTACTGAACGACAATCAAGTGGAAGAAATCGCTCTAACCCACTGCGATAATCTTATGCCTTTGATCGCCAAGAGTCAGGATCACAGTTTTCGCGTCAAACATGTTACAGCTGGCAAGAAACGTGCATGGGATAACAGTCTTATATCAACAAATGCAAATGCAACAATGGATATCGAAGCTAATCTCATGTCAATCCAACATTACGGACCTTACGCCCAACAATTATCCAAACGATGCTACAAGCAGTTAGATATCAATTCCTGTCAATTATTGAACGACGACTGGACGTTTTTACCTCAACTACGATATATCTGCGCCCAATTGCTTGCCGGTGCGATTATTATGAACAAAAAAAATGAGGCCGTACTTGTCAACACCGTGGAGATTTATGGACGCCAGCGTTCCCTTGACGTCCATCGAGAAAGCTTTGTGAACAAAAAAGGAAAATCAGCATCCTCATCTTTACCACCTGTCACCACCAAATACTACTACACTTGGGCAACAATTATGAATGACAATGAAGGCGATAAGTTAGTTGTGGGAACCAAGACATTGAATGCATTAATCACATCAAGTCTCCGAATCGATTCCATTCATGAAGCAAGTGTTGGGGGGGGGATCATCTCGCATTTTGAATTGGACGAAAGTGCAGCTTTGACGGCATCAATTTTCTTGGATAGCGATTCGATCAAGAAAGCCAGCAGCTTGGCAAGCAATCAAAACGTAAACAAGGTTGATCGATTTGATCTGCGATACCAACTTCGACAATTACGATCAAAGTTCCAATACCCTTCAACATACCTCCTTTGTCGCGCGTCAAGTATCTTTGCAAATGACCTGCGGTCACAACCATATAGCATTTTCACCTTATACGAAGCACCTGACACAGGACGCGAATCAGCAGCGAAAATAGCCTCGAAACTTTTTCTCAAGATTGCGGAAACTGTCCAATCTAACATCCATCCAACGTTGCCAAAAACTTTCGTAAATACTTTATTGACCAAGTACCAAGATGGGCAAGTGAAATCCATACTGCAACAAATCGTTGAACTATACCACAATGAAAACGCTATAGATATCTTGGAAAACCATTTCCTCAACGAAAAATTGATGTCTTTGGCCAACTTGATGTCAACAAGCCTCGTTTTAGCAAACAAATCAGTAGTAGAAAATGTGAAGTCTCGTGTCCTGAATGGTTATTAGTACGCTCTTGTCATTTCAATCTTTGAATAAAAATCCTCGCTGTTGTGTGTGTGAAAAGAAAAACGATAAGTACAGCTAATGAGAATAGCGACTCTTATATACTTTACAAAGGCTTCACTGTGTTCTAATTAATGTCGCTGTCTAAATGAAGTGTTCTCACTTCATTGGTTTGTATTTCTAATATCTGAGACCTCTTTGATAATAGAAATCACACCATTGCGTTTTTGATCTGCGTTTTTCGTCTGCGTTTTTACCATGTCGAATCGACAACACTCCCTCTTTTCTGCATAAAATGCTGAGTCTATCTTTTACTTTTAACACACTTCGTCACCAACATTCACTGGAGCCAAAAAAAAAAGTGTGCAGGAACGCAGTTGGAACGCAGTTGAAACGCAGGCCAAAAAAAAAGTACTGTGAAGGAACGCAGCCGGAACGCAGGCCAAAAAAAAAAGTGTGCAGGAACGCAGTTGGAACGCAGTTGAAACGCAGGCCAAAAAAAAAGTACTGTGAAGGAACGCAGCCGGAACGCAGGCCAAAAAAAAAAGTGTGCAGGAACGCAGTTGGAACGCAGTTGGAACGCAGTTGAAACGCAGGCCAAAAAAAAAGTACTGTGAAGGAACGCAGCCGGAACGCAGTTGGAACGCAGGTCAATAACTTCTCACTGAAAAAATCTTTGAACCATGGCTGTCCATTTTCAAAACCACTTTTTTTTTTTGTGCTTTTGCTTGTTATTATCAATCGTTCAAAGAACTGAAGCGTCATCTGATAATGGCTCTCCGTTGCGACAGCTGTCTAGACATTTATGAGAATGAGAAACAAATACTTCAAAATCACTCAATTCCAAACACTTTGATGCTTCGCTGATTCGTGTCAGCAACGTCTCGCTTTCCAAGAACCAATTGCGTTTAAAAAAAAAGGGGACGATCTGTATTGAGAAAAGAGTTCTTCCAAAAAAAGAAAGTGATTTCGTCGAAAATCAAGTAAAGATACGGTATTAAGTGTCCAGTTAAGGCTCAAAAAAGCGACCAATTGAAATTTAAAAAGTGGCCAAGTTTTTTTCAAAGAAGTGGCCAATTGACAGTATTATTGTCTTTCACGATTAGAAGAAGAGCATTGAGTTTGTCAGTCAGCCCCACCAGCCAAAATTAATTCAAACCCAGATTTATAGTCTGTTCCAGATTGGACAAATCTTGATGATTTTGGACTCGATTGAACTATTTTTGCAGATTCGACTAAGTGAAGTATGATGATCACCCCATGCTTCCTTAAGCTTTCCTGGAGTACTTTTCAAGGCGCATCCAATGGTACCAAGTAATATAGATGTTTTGAATAAACTTATTGAATGATTTGTAAAAATATGAAAAGAGGTTTCTGGCCAAAATGTCGAGATTTTACATATCAAAGTCCCACAAAGATGATTTCAGAGGTTGCTTTGGATCGATAGAAACATTTTGATTCAAGATATACCATAATAAAAGTCTTCGTTATCAAGGTGAAAAATGCGATCGTTTGATTTTCAATGAAAACCATGAGGGGTACCTCATGCTTTTTGGTCGATTTTTGACCATGTTTTTTAGGTACCCAAAAAGTTGAGCAAAGGTATCAGAAAGTTAATGCTACTCGAGTATAACTGTTTGGCGTCATTCCAACCGCTCAGAAAGGTTTATATGTCAAGTATCAAGGTTCAAAAGCTGTCAAATTTGACTGTGTTTTATACATTTGCTTGTCAATAGGCAGGTTTTTGTTATGATATCAAGGCGTAAAGACATTGTATGTATTGATCTAGACTTAGAGCATTATGTTAAATCCAAATATTCAGCTGGAAATATTAGGTTGAGTGGCACTGTTAAACCGTTGTATCAAAGCACAATAATACAGCTTATTGGTGACATAATGGCAGTTCAAATTACTAGGTGGTCATATTATATCCGACTATTTATTTGATTACTCAAATAGGACTGATGCCCTCTACAACTTACAAATTACTCTCCTCAGCATCCAAATCATCCTTCCCCAATGAAAAGCCGACAAGATTAGTAGATAATTTTTAAAACTAAAGGAAACTGGCTCAGAGCATGCTAAAATTGGCACCTTGGCATGCATAATGTTAGCTTTCTCCTCTTTTGCGCAGAAGACAAAAATAAATGTCTTTGAAACCAATAGAACGTAGGTGGCGAATTATATGAGACATGTTTTACTTTTGAAGTCTTGCATCTAATAATGCCAACTCATCGAAATACTTGTAAGAGCAACTTCTTTTCTTTTTGAGGCTTCGAATGTGTGTAGGGAAAATAAATTTATTATGTTATGACGAGTGTTTACACTTCGGATAGCTCTCTACCTTTGTTTCGCTTCGATGAGAGCTAACCTGCACAGCGGTAGTTCGCGCTACCGATTGCCCTTGCGTATCATATCAAAATACCGCCACTTTCATTTTGACCCTCCACTTACCTATGAAAACCCTTCATATTATCTGTGGGCCTAATTCTTTCGCAATACTCTACATCTATATGCACGTAGCTACTTCATATATGGGCAAACAGCATACTGGCATTTCTCCTTTTCAATCCTTAGTATCCCTGATACAGCAAAATCAGAGTACATTTGAGCTGCGTTTTCTTGGGCTCATAGCCGTTTTAGATGGTCAGAATAGCACCAAACAATTGCTCTCGCCCAGCACTTACTGAATGACACTTTTGCTCAACTTTTTGGGGACCAAAAAAAACATGGACAAAATTCGACCAAAAAGCATGAGGTACCCCTCATGGCTTTCATCGAAAATTAAACGATTGCGTTTTTGACCTTGATAATGAAGACTTTTACTATAGTAAATATTGGATCAAAATGTTTCTATCGATCTAACGTAACACCTGAAATCATCTTTGTGGGACCTTGATATGTAAAATTTCGACATTTTGGCCAGAAACCTTATTTCATATTTTCGCAAATTGCTCTATAAGTTTATTCAAAACATTTATCTTATTTTGTACCATCGGATGCGCCTTGAAAATCACTCCAAGAAATCTTAAAGAAGCACAGGGTGATCATCACAACCAACATAGTCTAATTTCACAAATTGAGTAAATCAAGTCGAAAGCTAATGAAATATGTCCAATCTGGAACAGACTATGAGTCTGAGTCAGAATTGATTTTGACTGGTGGGGCCGGCTGACAAACTCAGCTGCCCTTTTCATCATAAAGGCAACATAGTAATAGAAGCTTTTGAAGCGTATGGAAAGTAGGTGGTAAATTACATAGAATTATAGTTAGCCGTGCTATTTTTTTTGCATTCTGTATTTAATAACGCCAGTCTATTAAAATACTTGTTAGTTCAATCTCATTCCTTTTTGAGGCTATGAAAGTGTCTAGGGACCATAAATTTACTATGTTTTGGTTCATCGAAAGAAGCTCTTCGAAATTAAGGAGCCCTTCAAATAGAGTGTCTCAAAATAAGATGTCTCGCAAAATAAACAAGATACCATAGTAATTACCTACTGTTACTCGTCTTTTTGTAAGGAAAAGTCGCATTTCTGAATGTTACCTTTTCAAGCGGCCATATTGTAGATCATACATCTATCAACCGCCACACGGAGTTACAACTCTGATGTGATAAGAAGTATAATGGTACAGAAACTCAGAAGAATAACGAAGATCAATCATAAGTGACCGAAAACTTTTCTTTTCTCCTCGTTTAAGTTTTACACAATGAACCCTCAAGAGCAGAACTCTCCAGCTGTCATTGATAATGAGTTGTTTCAAATGTATGCTCATTACCAGCTATGCAGAGTGAAGAATATTAGCAACTCGAGCGATGCGGCAGAAAAAAAGGCTTTAGTTCAGATATTGGAAGCCTGCCAGCACATAAATGCGAGTAGGTATCCCACTCATTACATGTTCAAATGGCATACTGACGGCTGATGCGCGTGCTAGGCACTTTCCATTCGCTTGCCAATGATCTCTTGAAGCATTCCGTCCAGCTAGAGTCTTTCCACGAGGGTGGTCTCACATCGCTATTTGACAGTACCGTATATAATCCAAATGGCATACCCAGTATCGGAAGTCCGTTGGACAATATACCTCAAGTGAATGTACACGCTGGAACAAAGAGAGCCAAGAAGGATTCAGGCAGGTTACGTAATCTCAGTCGTGATGTGATGAAAGCCCCTCACGCTACAACATCGTATGGGGCTGATCTGAATCGACAATACAGCGCTGAACAATCTAGCACCGAAGATTCCGATAATGAGGAGCCCACCATTATAACACCAAAGAGAAAGAGAACACTGTCAATGACTATCACAGACAGCAGACAAGGCTTGTCAACTCCCAATTTACGAAGCGACAGACAATACAATTTATCAAGCTCGTCAAGAAGAGGTTTGTGCATAAAGCCATGTTATTATATTTGACCCAGTGCCTAACGTGGCGAACACACACATAGATCTGGACTATATGAGCTCAGTTCCAGAGCAAACCAAGCAAGAGTTATTCAAACGAATGAAAAAGATCACCGACAGTTTTCAAATTGATTACAGCGTTTCTCAGGAGGGCAAAACTCCCGTCCGGTCTTTCCAGATTCACTTTAAGGAAAGGTTCTCTGGTAAAATTATCTACCATCAATGCCAAACAAATTTCATTGCATTCCAGATTGGCCAAATCATCGACAGAGAGACACGTATATTTTCAGCTGAAGTGCAAGAGGAAAACCAGAGGCTGTATTATACAAAGGGTAAGAGTATATGTCGTTTTGGTGTGTTTTTCAGTATGAGCTCACCACCGCTCGCCATAAAGGTTTTAAGAAAACAAAGTCGGATCCAAGCCTGAAAGTACTCAACAAGTATAGCAAGACCTTGGCCCGATTAGTCAATGAAATTGGCGTCTATTGCTTGTTCATGCCAGAAGTCTTACCACCCACCTTTTACAAAAGAGTAAATGCATTCATTGACAGTGTTAGTATCACAAACTCTAACACGATTGTTTGCGAATAGGCCGATGAGGATCTTCTTAACAGAGTTATTAATCACATGAACGAGAAATTTCCTCATTTTGCTACTATTGCAAGCATTGATGAAAATGGAAACTTGTTCATTGCGGATATTGGAAATGTGGGAGAAGATGCGGGCGAAATGGCCTGTGAAGATGTAGGCAAAGATGCATCTGATGATGCGAAGCAAGATGTCAAGCCAGAGGCTGTACAGTGCAGTACCGATTAAAGTCCAAACTTTACTCAGAATATGAATGAGGATACACCAAGCTGGCATACATTATAAAAGTGGCCAAATACTTTACTGTACACTCAACATTGCTATACCACTTTTTACTCATATAATCTCAATATTATCAACATGTTATCGATATCAATCTATAAAAGCAAGGGTCTATAATTTATAGGATGGCAAATAACTATTCTGCATCAATGATTCATTACAAGGCAACGAAGCCTTCTTGTGCAGTTAGTTTTGATCTAGCTTGACTGATATGAATCAATTGTGGGTCAACATAAGCCTTACCAGCATAACTCAGATCAATCAACCCATTAGATGTATACAAGTTCTAGCACGCGCTTACAGCTATCATATGAGTCGCTTTCTTATCAATCGCGTCTCCTTCAATTATTCCTCCTTTCTCTCTCCTTCTTTCTTGAACTCTCACCGCTTTTACAAGCACAATGGCAAACAATCAAGAATCAGAGCCTTTGAGTCCTATTGACAACGACTTGTTTCACTCTTATACTCGCTATAAGTTGTGTCAATTGGCGGAGAGCACGTCTCTCTGGACTTGCAGCCAAGAAAAGGATGCCATGCTCAATATACTAGCTCAATTCGAAAAAATCGATGGTAGTAAGTGATCCAGTCTCTTTGCGACAACAACATGAGTCTAACATAGGTTTAACTACTAGATACTTTGCGCATGATGGTCAACCAAATCTTTGAGAACTCGGCTCAAACGTACAGCTTTAGTGACACAAACAAAGAGCCTCTGGGCTTTCAAGAAGAATCAAGTGGCGCTTATCATCTCGAAAACCTTCCCTCTCCGCCTGGCACTGTCATTGCTGAAGTATTCGACAGTGAAGCAATACAAAACAAACCATGGACCACTCGCACAATCACTAGCATAACACGCCAAAAAAGACCAATGGTCATTCGAGAGCCTTCTCTCGCAAAGAAGAGCAAGGCAACTGACCGTATCATTGAAAAATTGAAGAACCTCATGTCAAGAACAAATTTGGAAGGTTTGTTTTATGCATCTCTTTGATACACTCCATACTCATCTCATCTCAACCTGTTCTGCTAGAGCTTGGCAATCTAACAGACCATGTTGAACGCAGTAAATATGTCATCTTGACCAGGATGAGACGCGTAAGCACCAGTTTCAAGTTCAAGGCATCTACTGTAACTGCAAATTACTTGCTCCATGTATCAAATTCCTTTGGTGATCCTCGAAGCCCAATGAGTATGTGCCAGATGAACCTCATTGCTTATCGATTCGGCAAGCTGCTTGAACAAGGAAGATTTCATTCAAAGGACGGAAAAAGGAAAAAGGCTGAATTAGAGTGCTATCAAATCATCAAAGGTGATGAGCTGTATAGATGACAGACATGCATGGCGATTGTTGACCTCTATTTTGTCCATAGAAGAGTTGAACGCTCATGGAAAACGAATAGCTACACCTGTTTACAAGTATGCTAGATATGCTCAAAATGTTGTGGAGGCTGCAGAAAAGATTGGCGTATATGTCTTGTTCATTCCTGAGATTTTGACACCTTACGCATTGCAAGCTGTAAGTTTTTTTTTTGTGCGGAAGCAAAAAAGAGCCTAAAAGATGATTGACAGGCCATATTGTTTTAGATCAGTCGCAACAACTTTCCAATTCTTCAGAAATGTTTGAATGTAAAATGTGCAGGGTTTAAGGAAATTGCTCGCTTGGATCATGATGGGAACCTGATCATGGCAGAAATGAACTATTCTCGTAAACATATTGACAAGAGCTATCGTCGCACGAAGAGCAAATTCTTGAATAGTTGTGCCTGAATTGTCATTCGTTTCTATGGATACATAAATAGTATGAAATAGCCTCTTTAAATAAATTATCAGTTGATCGTGCAGTGAGTTCAGTACCAATGACATGCATTTGGACGCCCCTTCCATGATGCTGCTAGGATTCTTACACATATATGCTGACCTGTTGATGCATCCATAAAATCAGAACCGTCATCTGCAGTGAAATGTCACTATTAAACAGCATTGCATTGTATATGAATCAATTTTTTGTTTATTTGTGAATAAATAAAAAAAAAATTGAAAGTATGTGATAGAGAGAGTGTGGTTCAGAGTGGTTCAGATGAGTGGATCCCAGATGGAAGGTTCCAGTGCATAAACGCAATGTTGATGCTTGAGCAAAAAAAAAAAAGGAGATTGCTAGATCAGGGGTAAAGGTTGGTAGAGATGGGTTCATTTTTTTTTTTTTTTCATTTTTCATTTTTTTTAGGTCTTTTTGATACGGTTTTTGAGAGAGACATGGTTCTTGAGAGTTCATGGTACGGCGATGAGAAGCAGAGGCAGAGGACAGCACCAACCAGGAGATTTCCAAGCGAGAACCGCAAGGAAAAAAGTAGCAGCAGGCGGCGGTCTTGGGCAGAAGGGTGGCAACGCTTTGATTTTTTTGAGGGACATTTTATGATTTTTTTTGGGAATATAGATCTTGGCCGAGAAGAGCGAGAAGAGAGACAGATAAGGATAGCAGCAGCATAAAAAGGAACTCGGAGCAAGAGAGATACAGAGAGACATTGAGTGTTGGGAGTGCGAGCATTGGAGGATATTGACATAACATTTGGAATAAAAATGATACTGATGATAATGATTTTATAACTTGTGATGGAACAAAAAAAAAAAAAAAAATAGAGAGAGCGTTTAGCCTTTTCTTTCACAATAGAACCATTGTATAACTGAAAGAAAAGTTTCCCGGGGAACACCAACTGGGAGGTACACTCAAATGATCCCCATATACAAAGAGAAAGATTGGAAAGGAATGGCTGAATGGCTGCTTCGATGGGCATGTTTTGCCAGCTATTTATACTATGCGTGTGTGTGAGCTAACATGCTCATCTGACACCTTGTTTATTCGACTAGTAAGAAATCGTCATTCGATTAGGAGTAAAATATGCTCTATAGTTCATGCATCTCTGTTAAATCAGCTGTTGTTGTTGTTGTTGTTGTAGTAGTAGTAGTAGTGTGTGTGAATTCACTTTTTTTGTTGAAAGGCTACTAGTTTATCCTTAAATGTGATATCGACCAGCAATTTTGTAAAATCATCAAATACAGGATCTTGCGCTCTTATTAAATCCAGATCCTTCTCGGGCTGCTTTGATGTGTCTAGTTTTGCGATGATTTCTCTTAATTGCGGGTATTGGAGGAAATCATGGATCTCCTTGGAGTATTGCAGCTTTTCTAGATCCTGAGGCGTTAATCTGCTTGGGTCTTCCTCGTCAGGTGGACCAACGGGCGTAATCTCCTTTCTCGTTTGTTGTTCTATATGATTTCTTTTTAGCATTGGGGAATGGGAAAATACATAAACAAATCAACACACAAGTACCTTGTACTGGGGTGGGAGGCTCGCATGGCGTTTCTAATTTGGATCCATGTTGGTTAATAGATTCATTGTTTCGATTCAAGTATTACCCTTATGCTGTTTAAAACAAATCAAGGAGCAACTGTGCATTGGGAAATGAGTCATCTTGAAATGCGTTTTGTTGAGTGAATACGTTACTATGGTGCTCTGCATGTAGGACACTTGTACTTGGATTCTGCCTTTTCGCACACTTTGCAAATGGCCATTTTGTATATATTAACGAGCAAAGAGAAAAGCTTGCTTGAATGAAAATAAAAGGGTTTTCCTTGAATATCCATGAAACAAGCCACAAAGACATCTCGTTTGCATTAATTGCCATGCTCATTGCGTTGTGCATGAATTTCATCCAAAGGATACAGTAAACTACAAGTGAAATCTGCCCATCAGCACTTGCATCGCAGTGGGATGATCAACGATATCATGAAATGGTATTGTAATCCCTTTTCAACAGCAATGGAGGGATGATGCCTTCAAACTCAGTGAGTGAATGTCTATTCAATGAAACCAAGCTTTTTTTCTTGGTGTTTTTCTTTCAGCCTACTATACAATTTACAGCATGAGTTTATTAAGACGATTCAGGGCTACTGATTTGTTTGAATTCAACAACATGTAACTATCGCAAAAGGCCAGTAGTGCAATGTATAGCAAACTAACAATACAAACGACTCTAGTAATCTTGATCCCTTGACCGAGACAGTAAGTACATTGATTCATTATTACATGGACACGCGCGCTTACGTTTCACTAGTACAACATTTCATTCTATCTCCAATACCTCGCTCGCTGGCCTGATTTGTTCAGTGTGCAAGTCTCTCCTCACAACAGATTGATGGGTTATGGTAGGATACACATTCACAAACGTAGCATGGCAGATGGGCTAACAGGTACTCAGTGATGGGAAAGACCGAAGGCACAGGTAAAAACTGGCATGGCCACGTTACAGCCATCACAGTGGCACCCGAATACCGTAGATTAGGCCTTGCAGATGGCATGATGAACCTGTTGGAGGAAGTGTCAGAGAAAGCATACAACGGGTGGTTTGTGGATCTCTATGTCAGAATGTCAAATTCAGTTGCCATAGACATGTACCGTAAATTTGGATATTCAGTGTATCGAAGAGTACGAAACTATTATGCGGGACATACGAATGAAGATGCTTATGGTAAAATGATGGAGTTCAGGTCGATTGATATTAACCAACTCACGCTCATCACTACTCTATAGATATGCGAAAGGCTCTACCAAGAGACACAAACAAGGAGACGATTCGAGAAAACGGTGAAAAGGTCTTTATTAATCCAGAGGATTTAGATTCATGGCGTTAAATGCTTCAATCAATAAATCACGGTTTCACTACATGATTATTGCTACGACGTTTAAAAGCACCTGCCATGGTGCGTTTGGTTGTGGATGTGGATGCTTGAGGCACTCTGTCATCACTGTCATCCCGTCGCATCATCAACAATCCGCCCGCTGCTTCACCAGCGTGCGCTTTGCGCACATTGTATTTGCTGCCAGCACGATTTCCACCATCTAAACCTCCTCTGACTGTCTGCCCATCTGTAGGAGGCACTCGCATCGATTCATGGGATCCAGTCCTGACTTTGATTTGTTGCGATATCTTGACTTTACGTTCCTTGACAACATTGGTGCTAGGCACTTCAGGTGGTAAAAGGCCAATGTAGTCGCCTTGAGAACGAGTGTTACGTTGTCTGTAGGCATCAGAAGGCGGTTGTTCGGAGTAGCTTTCATGCTGCTGCTGTTGGTGAGAATGGTTCTGTTCTTTGGGGTATTTGTTAATGGGGGATTGTATCTTTTTAGCAATGATTTGGATCTGTTCAGGAGCAGTGGGTTTGCCCATGGATTCAGCTCTTCTACGGTTGGACCTAAGACTGCCGCTAGGCTTGTCATCTAGGAAGGGCGTTAGATGAGATGATGAGTATATTACTTGAAGATTCATCTGCTTACTGGTGACATCCAGGTTTGCCAGCGAGTTACTGGTACTAGGCAACATGGACTTGATTTGATCATCAGGCTTGAATGGGCCTGTGTATGGCTTTTGAGTGATGAACGGATGCTGCAGTGCCTGCTGAGGAGTCCATCGTTTCAGTGGATTCAACTCGAGCACACCATATAAAAAGTCGAGAATGCACAGCCTTGCTTCGATTTCTTTCTGCCTCTCTTCGTCTTCGTTCAGATAGTAGCTAGACCCTGATGCTGCTCTTCTTCTCTCCTCTTCCCTGGACAGGCTTGGCTTGCCATTGTTGAACATCATGATGATATCTTTGAGCTTGGTCTGAGGAAAGTACTTTTTTCTCGGTAATTCGTTCTTGTTGTTTTCCTGGCTGTACTGCTCTCTTGACTTTAGCTCGTATTCATAATTGTCTGGTCCAATTTGTTTCTTGTTGAAAAATTTCTTGGTATTTCTTCCTTTGCTTAGCATATCCTTTGACGGAACACTGTTTGGATTGTTAGGTACTGCTTCATTTGAGCTGATGTCAAGCCTTACCCAAGCATTTCTACGATACGAAACAGCTGGTTATACTCTGAACTACCAGGAAACAACGGCAAACCTAAGAATAATTCAGCTACGATACAGCCAAAAGACCACATATCGATTGCTCCAGTATATCGCATGTTCAGCAAGACTTCGGGTGATCTGTAAAATCTGGACTGAATGTAGGTGTAGATTCGATTGGCTTCATGACATGAGGATCCAAAATCAATCACTTTGATGGTCAATGACTTTTCACTGTTTCAAGCACATGTCAGTTTATCGATTTCGAGATGACATTCGGCATTTTCTTCTTTACCTCACCAGCAAGATATTTTCGGGTTTCAAATCACAATGGATGATTTTGGCTTCTTTTAACAAACACAATGTATCTAAAATCTGTACAGCAAATGCTCTCACTTTCTCGGGTGCAAATCCCTTGTATCGGTTGTGGCCAATGAGATCGTATAGATTGTAAGAAAGCAGTTCGAAAACCAAGCAGAGATGGTGTTTGTGCGAGAATATATGGTGTAATCTCAAGATATGGTGTTTGTCATCTGGATCCAGCTGCTTGTTCAACTATCACATAAACCAATTTTAGCCAATATCCCTCCCCTGTGTAAACAAAAGCATATACCTTTTTCAAAATTTCAATTTCCATACAGCTTTGCGTCTTGTAGGCGCTCTTGTTCTTGATCACTTTGACTGAGAATAACTCGCCTGTAGATATACGCTCACATTTGACAACCTGTCCAAATGTACCCTGCCCCAGCAAATCAATCACACGATATCTACACGGGCTCATATTAGCCATGAAGAATACAGTGCTTGTGAGTCAAAACTTACTGATAGTTAGGATCATGACCCAAGATTTCATTCACTTTCAAGATATAGTCGTAATTTTCGTTGTCGTTCATCTCGTTGCGGAATGGTTTGCTCGGCTTTGTCAGTATTCGCTTAGGAATCTTATCTTGATCATAGGCAAATTTAGGATTTTTGGCACTGTAGGTGTCTTTGAGGTTCACTGTCATTGATAGCAGCGAGTTTCTGTGTTGCTACAATGCGTATGATTCAGTGAATCATACTGCTGTACACTACACTTTGCCTTACCTTTTGACGTCGAGCCAGTAGCATTTGATCGACTCGTCTCTGTCTGGAAGATGTATTACCAGCAGATACCTTGACAAATCCCTTTGTTTCATGCAACGGCTGTTGTGGCCATTGGTAGCCCAAATCCAGCTGAGGTCCAATCTCCTGACAGTAAAAAGGGGTGGAGGATCCGCCACCGTTGCTCTTGGATTGATGTGTGATGGGAACGTGCTGCTGTTGGGTCGTCATTGATTTGCTATTGTTGCGTATCGAAGGTACACGTCGAGAGAGTCTTGCGGCTTCTTGTACTGTTGCCATTTCCAACTCGGGCTCGGAATCCCAGTCGCTATCCTCATCCTCGTCATCCGAAGAGTGTTGCGGGTGATGTGATTGAGTCATGGTTCTTGCGCTTTTTTTCATTGATGTGGTATCTAATGGGCGCCCTGTCATACAAAAGAAGGGTGTCAGATGGCATCAAACGAGACATGAGCGTGTGTACTTACCATGAAAACTGAACGAGCTGTTGTTGTGATTTTCACTTGCAACGGAGCCCAATGTAAATTGCGAATCACGCATCCGCTGCGAAGTGCTGTTGGGTGTATCTCGGAACGAAATGTTGCCAGCAGCTAAACTTGCAGCATATAGCTTTTTACCTCGTTGCTCAAAACTGTTCATTTTACACAAGATGATGAGAAAAAAGAGAAAGAGAACGAACAGCAAATATTTATTTTTTTATAAAAAGACTTTTTCCCTAAAAAGGTACAATGTTTTGATAAAACCTTCTTCCACTGCTAATAACATCAGGTACTTTGTTCAAGCAAACAGACAGTGGCTTCTTGAAGAATAGAGCTCGCTGATAGGCTTTATACTCACATCGCAGTATTTGCTTCAAATATCCTCAGGCTCCATGTCAGATTAAAACGTTTGAGACCATTCTCAGGCAATCAATGGGACACATCTTTGCCGTCATCCACTTGGTGTAACCAATAGCACTATAACAGCTTACACGAGAGAAAACGTAGTAAAGATCAACCAGAGTTGGTTATACGGAAGCATTGGAGCATTAAAGAGATGGCTTTAGCAGAAATTGGTCTCTTGACTCCTCTTTAGAACCTCCTTTGTAAAGACAATTTTAGCGGGACACTGAAGTGTTACTAGTATCAAATCACCACACTCATCAGCATAGATTATTGTGTCTTGTAGCCTCTCAACAAACACCTCGTTACAGTGAGTTTAGTCAATACTTTATTCTCTTTCAGCGCAAACAAATGCAACTAACATCTTACGCTATCAACGATAGCACTGCGTTGCATAGACCTTACTACTACGACACTATCTTTATTACGATCCACAGTTTCAGTAGAGCCATCAGCATGCCTGACCGCTAGCTCACCTGTATAATAAATAAACACCGTTTCTAAATGCTTTCTTCAGAATTTCTACAATATCCCTTCATAACGAGAGTAAAACAAATATCTCCAATCTCTTCCCTGTTGAGATTGACATCCGTGGCTATTGTACTTTTTCGCACTAGAAGTTCATTTCATGTGAGAATAGTGGTCAAGAGGGTTTACTTTGTTTGTCTTCATTGTACTGAAATATACAGCGTAAAATGGTCATAGGTCGATAAAGCAGGTCCTTTAGCTAGATTGGGTCAGCTTACCCCCTACAGTACTATTACTCATGATATTTTCTACCATGGTAAATCTCGATCAAGCCATAGCTTGTGTAGATTTTGAATTCGATGCCTTCATATGGCGGATCAAGTTAATCGACAAAGAAACCCCAACCAAATGCAGGCGATACAAATCTTTTGTATGTATTGCATTAACTAAATGACCAAGGCGAACAGCATCTTCAAGGCTACATATCTCGCTCTGAACTGTATGTACACTATTGTAATGAGTCACCTCATGTTCTTTCAAAAGCTTCCAAATAATTGTATAGACTAACTAACTAGTCCAACATGCACTACATGGGCAAAACCTCAAAAACACAGTGATGGATAAAAGTTGATCATGAATAAACATGCCCAATGCCATCATGTAATTCAAAGAGATACAACAACTTCATTTTTATTTAATCCGGCATTGAACAGTATTGATTTATATGGGGTTTTACTGTATAGCGAAGCGAAGGTGCAAAACCATAGTATTCAAGCAGCAAATTTGATTTCTCATTCCCATTATTAATAAGCTTACCGACAACATAACGCATCCGAATGTGCATGAATTAGCTTTACCAAAGTCAATATGCCTCCTATTCGAATTAGAAATTGCGCAGGCTGCAGAACTGCCCTTCCAGAAGATTTCAGTTACGCAAGATGTGGTTCATTCCGTGTAAATAAACTCTATAAAGCAATACCTAACCAATTTTGACAGCTTTCAAGCCTTTATATCTTGACATGTAGGCCTTTCTGAGCCGCTGGAATGACACCAAACTATTGTATTCGAGTAGTAGTAACTTCCTGACACCTTTGCTCAACTTTTTGGGGACCAAAAAAACATGGGCAAAAATCGACCAAAAAGCATGAGGTACCCCTCATGGTTTTCATCGAAAATCATGGCTTTCTTCGCTAAAGATCACAAAATAGCAGAAAAAGGTGGGATTTTCAGTAATGGAGGTTCCACGCTGGATTCTAGCCATAATCCAGGCAACAACATTTTTATCTATGCATCACTTTTTCGAGATATCAAGAGTCAGAAGCGAACAACCTTCAACATTGCTCCAGCTATCGACAACAACGCCTCCACAACTGGAAGACCTCTGGACTACAACTCAACATTCGTAGAAGCTAAAGATGACTACTCTCTCGTCATTGATTGTTCTCAATTTGCTGGGATGGTATTCAGAGAGAAGCCCTTGCTCACTTGTCTTCGAGATCACTATTCCAAAGGATTGGGAATTAGAACACGTATGGTTGGTAAGAACCATAAGGTCATTGAAATCAACTTTCCAAGCCAGGAAGATTGCGAGGAGGCTCTGAACAAGGAACTCGTCTTACAAGGGAAGATAATTAAGGTGAACAAGGCTTTGGACAAAAATGCCAACGTCCTCAGAGTAGGTGTCTCTGAGCTTCCTTACAAAACTGAAGAGGTTTTGAAGCCTTTGATGGTGGAGACCTTCCAAAAATATGGGGACATTCTCAATCTTGGTCTTAGTTATACCAAGGGTGGTAATTGGTTTACTGGTCGTGGTTTTGTCACTCTAAATAGGGACAATTTAAAAAATTATGCAGCTGAACTTACCCCTCAGATCCAGTTTGGGAATTTCAAGGAGAAGCTACATTTGGTTTGGAGTAACATGAATCCAATTTGTCAAGACTGTCACACTGATGATCATATCAAAGCTGATTGTCCTCGAACAAAGAGGAAAGCATGTTTCCGATGCGGAAGCTTGGAACATCTCATCGCCGGGTGCCCATTAGCCTCATGGAATAGAATGAAGAAAACCAATGATCACAACAAACAAGGTCAACATCGCCAGCAAGAGAATGTTGCCCAACTTAAGCCTACAGGTAGAAAGGTTGACCTTTTAGATCTAATGAATGTGGACCCTCCTAAGTACCTCAACCACAAGAAGGGGAAAAAGAAGGCTACATCCCTTTCGTCGAAATTCCCAAGCGATGATGAGGCACTTTCCAAGGGGGAAGTATCTTCAGCTGACGAGCCAGAGTCTGATTCCGACGCTGAAAACGTCCAAGGACATTCAACCAACTTGAACGACAGCAAGGATATGCAAATGGAAGAGGAAGGTGACTCCCATGATGGTGAATCTCAGGATGATGAATCTCAGGTTGCTGAATCCGAGGGTCGGGAATCTCAGTCAGGTAGCCTCTCACAAGAGGATGCTCCCAATGGACATCTCGAGGAGGAGGACAATAATTCCTTTGGTGATGAAGAGTATGTCAAGTCTACTAGCGAGGAAGATAGCGATGGGGAAACTCCTAAGGTTGTTCAGGACAATGTAAGTAGATATAACTTACGACACTCTGGGCACAAGAAGAGTGTAGATGAACCTACTGAGGAACATCCCAAGCGATCTATCGATAAACTGGCTTCTACCCCTCCAGTAGAGGACAGCGAAGGTTCTGGTAAAAAGCAGATTAAACAGCAAGAGACTAACACCAGAGACGAAATGGTCTTGGATGGACCATCAACCACAAACACATTATAATTAATTAATGAGTAACACCAACCAAACTAGAAACATTAACATTAGGATAGGTTCCCTCAATTGCAGGAACCTCAACAAACAATACAACACCAATACAGCAAATAGGTTCATCACCTACCTTAAGCAGCAAAAGTTAAATATATTACTATGCCAGGAAACAAATATTCCTCACCATTCCTTTGAAAACATTACAACAAATTTTAAATATCAATTCCAGTACCACCAAGCAATCTGGACTGGACAATGTGGAGTCATCAACTTCAATCCATCACTGAATCTACAACAAATCAAAATACTAGAAGACGGAAGAGTTATTCTGGCCAAGCTATCACTGGTGAACAATAACATGCCTCCAATTTACATTTTAAATATCTATGCTCACTCTGATGACTACAGGGCGAGAAATCACTTGTTCGACCAAATCATCAGTCTCCTCAACTCCATGCCTGAGATGATCCCTTCTCTCATCATAGCCGGTGACTTGAACTGCTGCTTCGACTCCACAAGCCAACGCTATAACCGCCAAACCGGAAAGCCCAAAAGTTTCATTGAATTTTTGAACACTCACTTTTCAGATTGCTTGAACCAACCAAATTTACCGCATGATTACACTTTTAGACGTGGATCGTCTCTTTCCACTCTCGACTATATGTTTGCAGGACGGGACGCCTTCTTCAAAATGAGTGATGGCGACATCACCTTCCTCTCTCAAGAATGGACTGACCATGCCTTACTAACCAAGACTTACACTACCGGGATGACTAACTGTGGCAAAGGTGTCTGGCGGGCCAACCCCTTTCTTGCGAAGAACCCTATCTACGTCAACAAATTGAACAATGCTATCTCTAACTACGTTGAAACTAAATTAGATTCTAACCTCTCTGCTCAAGATAAATGGGACCTGATTAAGAAGAAAACTAAGCAAGTTACTCAAAACTTCAGCCGCACCCACTGTTCATGGAGAAAAGCTAAAATCAAGAAGTTACAGAGTGAGAGGAACAATTTGTTACGTAGATACCGGAATGATCATGCCTGCCTTAATCTTTTGCTACCTATTGTCGAAGAAGAGCTATCTAAACTCCAGCAGGAGATAGTCGACATCCAACGATTAAGAGCAGGACAGCGATGGTACGAGAAGAGCGAAAAGTCCCCAGGCTACATCAAGCAAACCTTAGCGGAAAAGGCATCAAAGCGAACAATCTCAAGCTTAAAGCACCCTACTTCTGAGGAACAATGCTTGGACACTAGCTCTAAACTTGACGCCGCCAAAGTCTTCTACCAAGACTTATACACCGAGGAAGAAATTGATCTTAATTGTGTGGAAGAAATGCTACAATACATTGACCAAACAATTACAGACGAGGACTCACAAGACATCATCGAAGAAATCACCTACGACGATATCATTCAAGGATCCCGAAGAACGCCAAATGGTAGTAGCCCAGGTCTGGATGGTATATGCTATGAAATTCTGCACCTCCTAGTTATCAACCCGAGTTGTGAAGCGATTATCGTGCAAGTATTCAATGATGCCCTATTACTAGGCAAATTTCCAAAATCCTGGCAGGAATCATGTATTATGTTGCTACCAAAGAAAGGGGATATGACTGACCTTGGCAACTACCGTCCAATAACCCTAATAGCCTCTGATTGCAAAGTGTTTACCAGACTATTTAACTCACGAGTCATAGAGATAGCAAGTGACCTTATAGGCCCCCCCACCAAAGTGGCTTCCTGAGAGGTAGATACATTGGAGACCATGGAATGTCATTGAAAGTGATTGTAGACAATGCACGTGAAGCAAGATGGAACAATTCTGGAGAATTTGTCGAATATGCTGGGATTATGCTGGACAACGCCAAAGCGTATGATAGGGTACATCCCCAGTATCTATCCAAGGTCCTAGTGAAGTTTGGTTTTCCAAAACAGTTTGTCCAATGCATCTGCAAATTATTCTTCGACAACTCAATTTACGTGAATGTCAATGGCTTTTTAACAGATCCTATCGAGCAAAGACGCGGCATCAGACAAGGAGACAGTATATCACCAATGCTGTTCAATTTGGCTATTGAACCATTTCTGCTATCTGTGACCAAAAGTACAACTATCTCGGGGTATAGTCTCCAGCACGTCAAGCCTATAAGCAAGAGAACAAACAGTTGGGTGGCTCCTCCTCCACTGAAAGTACTCGCATATGCGGATGATGTCCTGACATTCGCCAAGTCTCGGGCTGAACTTCTTGATCTGGAAGAAAGATGGAGAACTTACAACAAGGCCTCGAGCTCCAAGATCAACTACGACAAGTCCGTGGCCTTCCCTCTTCATGGTGGAAGAATGACAAGCCAAACTGGTGGCCTAATTCAAGATCATGCAACAAACAGTCTCAAAATCAAATGGTATGATTCTACGTCTACAGGATTTATAAAATACCTAGGCTATCCAATTTGGTTCTGCAATCAACAAAGAGACGTATACATCGCTAAACTGCTGGGTGATATCACTACTGCTGCTGAAAGGTTTGCAGCACGACAAGTCTCACTGTATGGCAGAGCGAATATTGCCAACACTATGATATTGTCCAAACTATGGCATGTCATTCGGATCGTTTCCCTGCCCAAAGACACAGTCAAGAAGATAACCTCAATCATTTATCAGTTTGTAATGTCTGGCCTGTATCCACCTCTAAAGGGCAATTCTCTCTTCCTACCAAGGTATCAAGGCGGTTTAGGACTGATTGATATAATGGCGCAACAAAAGGTTCTGCAATTCAGATATCTGAACGCTTTGCTGACAGAAAACAGCAACAACATACCTGGTCTCACTTATAGGCTACTAGTGGATTATTTGAAGATGTCGCACGACTCACCATCGCACATAATCCCTATACTGTTCCAAACGGCTAGATACAAAAACCAGTTAAGAGGCTTCCACCCTTATCACATGATGTTCGAGGCAATAGATACTTATATGAAGCATTCCCCATTCTCACTCGCTTGGTCTGTCAAACCAAATGTCATGACACTCTTGTCATTGCCAGTGCTGGAAATTCTTGATTTTGTCAATGAGGAAGTAGCCATGGGATACACAAGCAGAGACTCGATCAGGGAGAGTAAAGTTCATGACTTCTTCCACGTCAACCAGGAAACAAGTACTCTGCAGATAAAGCCAAGAAGTGAATGCAAGCGACCAAACATTAGGAATCAGATAGAAAGAGGTCTTCTCTGTGGGAACATCAGATTGGAATCTTTCGCGGATACAAGAAACATGGAGGCTCATCTAGATCTACAGCCTTTCGTTGCTATGCTTAACTACCAAGACCGCCCAATGCTTCAAATGTCAAACAAATACTTGAGATCAATTATGCTGGACATACACAACCTTGATGTTGGACGAAAGTTCAATCATACCATCAGCAAAGTCCAGTGGAAACACTTCTATCATCAAAACATGCATCACTCTGTGAGAAATGTCTGGTATAGAATGATCCATAAGCAATGCCCAAGTAAATCAGCTCTTTTCGTTCGACGACTGAGGAACGTTGAAGATGACAAATGTACCCTCTGCAATGATACTGAAGATGCCAAACATCTCATGGTTAGCTGCCCCCCACAAAAACGACATTTGGTCCAACATCCAATCCACAAGTATACCAATCTATAGTCAATCTGAACTTGAAGCAATACTTCATCTACAATCTCGACATCAAGATTACAATCTTCGACCTGTTTGCTGTCACCATTCGTACGATATGGAGATTCCACCTCCTACTAACATTCGAAGGAGTGCCTTTTGATACCAACAATGTCACCACCAAGATCTGTGCTGAAGTGATGAGATTGTCAGATCTCAAGCATTAATACAAGTAGTAGTTTAATTAAATATTATATATGGCAAGTCACTTTGTTACATACACTTGTCCATCATTTGATGTTCTTATTGTATTTGTATACCTACTAATAAATAAGCAACATCCATACAAAAAAAAAAAAAAAAATCACCAAAAATTAAACGATCGCATTTTTTATCACAAAAACGAAGACTTTTATTATGGCATGTATTGAACCAAAATGTCTCTTTCGATCCAACGCAACCCCTGAAGCTTTGTTTGTGAGACGTTGATATAAAATCTCGACATTTTCGCCAAAAACGTCATTTCATAATTTCATAAATTGCTCAACAAGTTCAATCAAAACAGCTATAATAAATAGCACCATTGGATGCGCCTCGAAAAGTATTCTAGATAGCTTAATGCTGTAAAGGATGATCACTACAACTCTCATAGTCGAATTTGGTAAAATGAGTCGATCAAGTCGCAAAAGGATCAGAAATCAACGAATTGTGATAGAATGTCGATCGAGATTTTAATTCCTTCTGGCTGGCAAAAAAAGACTCTCCTTGATTGCTCAAAGCCCTATAATATAACGGCAATGATATCCACAGAAACGATTATACGAGAAAGCGAGACTCCTTCTCAAATGGATAGCGTACCCAACGTGAGACCCAAAAAGGACAGGCTGGTGACATAGGAGGAGCGTGGCATGATCCAAAGCAACAGAATAGCACACAGACAAAAATGATATTGCAGGTGAAGTTTAATTCAGAAACCTCCTTCTTTTGGAAATCCCACGGCCTTGTTTGATGAATTTCGCAATGTATACTTTACTTAGAACCCTGAAAATAGTACCATTGGATTCCTCAAGCGATTTGCTTTCTAATGATGTACATACCTTCTAATAAAATATCCTCTCTTTGACCACAAATTGGCCATTTACTTGCTTATCTCTCTTCAATTCATGTCCTTTTGTTTACTTTACATGTGATTTTTTTTAAAGCTTAATTTTGCCTAGCAAATGAATTATTTTGATCTTGCATGATCCGAATACCTTCTAAAAGAGGACGATCCCTAAAAAAAATGATATGAAACGTGTTGACTCTTTATGAGATGAATACTCTTGGCATAAGAACTACAAACAGGTTGCAGGAATGATACACAAGAATGACCAACTCACTATGTAAATGTGGGCATATTGATGATGTCTAGTAGTGCAAACACTTGATTGACATCATTGACAGCAACCATGATAGCTGGAAACAAGATGACTTGCACTGGTTCGAAAACGATCCATTATGTTCCATTCCATGGAGGTTGCCGCAGTAATATTCATATGGCACGCTTGTTTTCCGAGGTGTACACTTGTTTCTTGGTCCAGAATCAGTTATGCTGGCTCCGGTGTGATGTAAACGACAAGAAAGCCAACCTTAACACTCGTATTGTCCGATTAGATGGATAGTTTATGACTGATGTAAACAAAAAGAGAGATGGATCGAGAACCGTATGATCTTGGAGAGAGAAATTAAGGAGAGGTAAAAAAAAAAAAAGATTACTTAATCAAGCAACCAGCTGCATTTGTTTCAGTGTCAAATGACATTTTTTGTTTACTTTTTGATGAGGCTGAGCCAGTGAAAAGTTGTCTGTTAATTACATCTAGGAAGAGATGGGGGAACTCGTTTCATGTGAAGGTGGAAAAAGGGCTTTTTGAAGTAGCAAAATGGACATAACTCGAGACAGAAAACAGTTGAAAGCCTCGGACGAAGCGGATCAAATAGAGCAAGTGTCAAACGTCAAAATGGTACTATTTTCACGCGCTCAAAGTAGTATATCGTGGAGAAAAGTAAAAGGAAACGAATTTGAGTGTGGCAAGGATACTAGACTCACATGAAAGTCGATGAGAAGGATATAAATAGGGATTTTTTTCAACAGCTTTTCCCTCTTCTTCTTCATCTCATCTCTCTACAACAAGCAAAATACTCTATACATACAAACTCTCTACAAGACATTTGGGCTCTCTCTCTCTCTACATATGGTCATCTGAATCAAATACTCTACTGTCTATTGGCCTCTACTACTGCTACATACAATGCCTTACAAATCCATGGTCCTCTCTACGTCTCTTGGTCCATGCTAGAAAAAGGCCACACTATCTTTGATACATGCAGACCTTGGTGAACTGTGCGAGTAAGTTATTATCTTGTTGAACGTATGAGCCATGTTGACTAACCTATTGATTACATAGTGCCGAAAAACTACTTTGTAGGGACTGAGTAGGATCACCGCTTCATAATCATGGGTAGACTGCAGGACAAATCCATTGGTCATGCTACGGGATGATCACAAGCTTTATTGCCGACGAGAGTAGGGTTTAACCCTATGATCCGGAGATGGAGGCGGCTTGAGCGTGTCGATGATCTTGTGATGGGTGAAGCAAGTTTACACCTTGGTACCTGTTTATATAGTGTTGGTTCCTTTTATTGATGGTCAATTTTCTTTGCCCAAATGGTTTGTTACGCACTCATGCCACAGTACTTGTGTACTCATCTCATCTTTATCTAGTTACCTCTGCCATCTCATGTTCTATCTCATTTAAAGCAAGCTGTTCTTTCCAAATGCTATCAAGCCAAGTTCTCTGTGCCTCCTACAAGCTCCTAAAATGACAAGACTGTTCAAATATACCATCTCTACATCTATACAAGGTCAAGCCCTACTCTCATCTGTGCTTCCTACAAGCTCCTAAAATGACAAGACTGTTCAAATATATCATCTCTACATCTATACAAGGTCAAGCCCTACTCTCATCTGTGCTTCCTCTTACTCAATCAATTATCAAGACAATTAATGCCTGACATCTATACAAGGCCAAGTCGTTCTTATATCTCTGCTACCTCTATCTATACAAGTCAAAATAGCCTCAAAAATCTGAAATATTTTAATCCATCAAGTATGGTGATCTCATAAACTCAAATACACATTAATAAAAAAACAACCACGTCTTGTCATTAGCTTCAATATTATGCTCTATTAAGATTACATCTTCTTTCAATGCTTGTACTGTCCATCAATTGCTGTGACCAATGTATTTTAAAGCTTGTACATAAGTTAATCATATTCATATAATTCAACGTCAAAAGATTTTGCCGGTATGTAATATCATAACATGATAAATTTATGGTCCCTAGACACTTTCAAAGCCTCAAAAAGGAAAGAAATTGATCTAACAAGTATTTTGATAGACTGACGTTATTAAATATAAATTCAAGGAGAGCAGCACGACTAGCGATAGTGATATATGATTTGCCACCTACTTTCCATACGCTTCAAAAGCATCTACTACTGTATTGCCTTCATGATGGAAAGGGCATTGAGTCTGCCAGCCGGCCCCACCAGCCGCCAAAATTGATTCAAATCCAGAACATTTTTTCTCTTCAAGATTGGACAGAAAGTGTCTTTTTTCGACTCGATTGAACTCTTTTGTAAAAGAACTCCCTCCACAGTGTTCAAAGGCCTAGCGACAGGGAAATTACAGTTTCAACCTTACTTCGAGCCAGTCTGTAGCCCAGCTCCTTTAGAGGATTCAGTCGTCTCATTTGCTCCTTTGATTGAGCAGTTTCGTCTCCTTGATGATCAACCTCTTGGTAATGTTCAGGCCTCGGCTAAGGCATTTCGTCGGGCTGTCCTTTCGTCTGTGGTCTCTCCTTTGGCATTGCGCAAAATCTCTGCGTCCAGCTGGAAATTTTTTTGGTCCCTGTCTCTTACCACTGTCCAACGTAATGTGATATACCGTCTCATTCTGGGTCGAATTCCTCACCGTCGATTTTTGCATTTTATTATGCCCAAAGTCTTTGTGTCTCCTCTCTGTCCAGTTTGTTTGTCTATGAACGATTCCCCAAGTCACCTCCTCTTTCATTGTCCTTCTAAAGAGAAAGTTTGGCAGGGAGTCATCTTCGAGTTTCTGTGGCCTACCACCTCGATTCTAGATATTAAAGAGGCTCTTCTGCAACTTGATTTCTCCAACGTTTGGTATTGCCAAATTGCTGGAATCAAGCCTTTCCGAATCCTCATCATCACCCTTGGTCAACTGTGGCTTGCCCACATGAGGTTCATCTATGACAATGTTCCTATGGACCATACAGCGATATTGGCCAGTATTCGAACCAGTGTTCGTCAGATCATTGCGGAAGATCAGTGCCATTCCCTCCTGTAATCCTAAGCCAATTATTAGGTAGTTTTTTCTTTATAGTTTAGTTTAGTATCTTATTCTTCATATTTTAGCTTATAGTTATCCAATTCTGTATCTAAATTGCACTCGCCTCTTCACTCTGACCTATTACTCTCAGTGTACGCGAATCAATCAATAAACAAGATTTAAAAAAAAAAAAAACTCTTTTGTAAGATTCGACTATACTAGTTGTGATGATCACCCTTTGCTTCCTAATAAAATTTCGAAGCACTTTTCAAGACGCATCCAATGGTACCAAATAAGGTAGATGTTTTGAATAAACTTACTGAGCAGTTTATGAAAATATAAAAAGAGGTTTCTGGCCAAAAAGTCGAGATTTTCCATATAAAGGCCCCACAAAGATAGCTTCAGGGGTTGCGTTGGATCGATAGAAACAATTTGATTTAATATATACCATAGTAAAATTCTTCATTATCAAGGTCAAAAACGCGATCGTTTGATTTTTGATGAAAACCATGAGGGTTACCTCATGCTTTTTGGCCATTTTTTGGCCATTTTTTTTTGGTCCCCAAAAAGTTGAGCAATAGTGGCAATAAGTAACTGCCAGATAAGAGCAATTGTTTGGTGCTATTCTGACAATCTAAAACAGCTTTGAAAGCGAGAAAACGCAGCTCAAATGCGCTCAGATTTTGCTGTATTAGCCACACTGTCGACTAAGAAGGGATAATACCTGTATGCTACTTGCCTGTATATGAAGTATTTACATGTATACGGATGTGGAACATCGCATAAAAGTCAGATCCACAAATGATGTGAAGGGTTCTCAAGTGCAAGCGGAAAGTTATAAGGAAAGTAGCAGTATTTTGATAAGATACGCAAGGGCAATTGGTAGAGAACTATCCGGAGCATAATCACTCGTATATTATAATGCAGAATGCTGCTCTATCATTCCAGATGATCATTGAAAAGTATGGCAATGTGACAATGACACGATCAAGGTCGTGCTTTTTGGCATCTTATATAGTGTGACATTCAGTCATTCTACCAATATATGCTAGGATTTCGCTGTTTAGCCTTCAATTATCGCATGAGAGCCATTTATATACTATCTGGACTACGGAGCCGGCTTTTCAACAATATACCACGCCTATATCAATGGAAATAACCAATATGCGTACAGACAGCATACTTGTATTGTCTCTTACTACCTAAAACTATGCAAAACGCAGCAAAAACTGAGTATATTTAAGCTGTGTTTTCTCGTGTTTGAAGCTGCTTTAGACCACCAGAATGGCACCAAACAATTTCTCTCAGCTAGCATTATCTTACTGACACCTTTGCTCAACTTTTTTAGAATCGACAAAAATCGGCCGAAAACCACGAGGGATACCTCATGGTTTTCATTGAAAATCAAATGATCTCATTTTTCACCTTGAAAATGAAGACTTTTACTATGGCATATATTGAATCAAAAGTGTTTCTCTTGGTCAAAAGTAACCCCTGAAACCACTTTTGTAAGGCCTTCATATGCAAAGTCTCGACATTTTAGCCAAAAATCTCATTTAATACTTTGCCTAATTGCTCAGTAATTTTATTCAAGACGTCTATTACAATTAACACCATTGGAAGCGCCTTGAAAAGCACTCCAAGAATGTATTAGGAAGCATTTTTTTTTGTAGGGGAGTCGAGTTCCAGGTTTTATTTAAAGTCCTTAAAATGTCATACTGAGGGAAAGAAAAGATTGTTGGTGGACCCAATGTCTGCAAAGAAGGGGAATAAGATATTTTTGAATTAAGTTGGGAAAGAAATCTACTACTAATAAGGTGCGACACCTAGAGCCAATACAGTCTTGCGGAAATCGTCAAAATATAGATAATGGATAGAGTACAAAACACCAAACGAGGACATCAGTACTACGTCAAAAAATCAGACAGCTTGCGTTCACCAGAATTTGAACCGGGGATCCTCCCGTTGGCATACGGGAGTTCTACCACTTCGCCCTACCACCAGGGCCGCAGTATTAGGAAGCATTTTTTTTTTTTTTTTTTTTGTAGGGGAGTCGAGCTCCAGGTTTTATTTAAAGTCCTTAAAATGTCATACTGAGGGAAAGAAAAGACTGTTGGTGGACCCAATGTCTGCAAAGAAGGGGAATAAGATATTTTTGAATTAAGTTGGGAAAGAAATCTACTACTAATAAGGTGCGACACCTAGAGCCAATACAGTCTTGCGGAAATCGTCAAAATATAGATAATGGATAGAGTAAAAAACACCAAACGAGGACATCAGTACTACTTCAAAAAATCAAACAACTTGCGTTCACCAGGATTTGAACCGGGATCCTCCCGTTGGCATACGGGAGTTCTACCACTTCGCCCTACCACCAGGGACAGTATTAGGAAGCATCGGATGATCATTACAGTTTATATAGTCGAATATGACAAAATAGTTCAATCAAGTCGAAAAAAGACAAGATCTGTCCAATCTTGAGCAGAAAAAGTATTCTGGGATTGAATTTATTTTAGCGGCGGAAGCAATGCTGCTGGTCGACCAAAATGCTTTTCTAATATAATAGCAATGATGATTAGAATATTAAATAAATGGGAATCATAAAGTTGAAAAGATTATTGGTTAGCTTGAATAATGTACTTCCTTTGGTGCTTGAGTATAGTATATGATAGATACACTACGTTCAAGCATAGAGAATAACAGTAAGATACCTCATTGATTTGATGCTCTGTTTAGATTATAGGTCATATACGTATAAGGATTGAGTATAGACAAAGATGTGTAATATATTGAGATCTTTTCTTTATTTAGATATTGCAAAGAGACGTAAGTGGTGTCATCAAAGGGCTAATCTGTATCCTGGTTCCTGTAGTGTGGTAGCCTATGATCGTTCGTCCCTGAAAGTGGGTTCAATTCTAACAAATTTTCTTCTGTCAAAGCTACTATGAAGAACATTCTATCCTGGACTCTCATTGTTGTTCGTTCCTGACTGGCGTCCCACAATCTTTTACGCAACAAAGCTTCGTCAACTAGTTCAAAGCGTATGCAATTATCCCTCATTCACTTGGAATAACATTATACTGTATATATATATATTCGGCTTTATTTGCATTTTCTCTGTCTATATTCGATTACAACAAACTCGTCGTTGTTTCTCGAGCTCTCAATTGGTAAACATAATGACTGATTCAGAAGCATACTATTATCAACAAATTGTATTGCATGTTCCTGTGTATGATTGCAGTTTTGAACAATACAAAATCATTGACGTTGGGTAGAGGTGATGAAGTTCCTGGAACATTCAGCTGGACAATTGTACAGTCATTTGGTTGCACTTGGTACGATCGATGTAGATGAGGTGCTTTCAGCTCATGAGATGATGGCTTACGATGTTTCTGCATCTGCTCTCCTGCCAGTTAATAGAAAATCTCTGGTTGCATTACACACCAAATTGTAAATCTGAATGACAACTTCCATTAGATATTAGGCGGTGCTGGAACAAGCAGGAATTTTCTATTAGCAAAGTCGAACCAGGTTTTCAATGATCTTGGATACCATGTTAAGAGATTGGTACCAATAGAAGTTGCGGCGTACAATGTTCAAGGGCAAACGGTAGATTGGTTTTTTTTTGGTTTGACATTACAAGAACAAGAAATCAACAAGATAAAAACGTAACGACCATGTCAAATTGTATAAAACGATTTTGTTAGTGATGTTGGACAGTTGCTCCCTTCAAAAAGCAAAAATTACTTTAGGAAATCTCAACTGTTTCTACGTGGCTACAGATATTTTTTGAAAGAGAGCATACGCCATATGGAAGTTGAAGAGTTTCAAAGTATTTTACAGATGGTCTGAAAAGGTCGAGTAGATCAGGATATGAAGATAGTCGAGTTTATTAGACAAAATTATCATGCAACTGCTCCTGTGAATTGAGTGGGATTACATACGTCGAACAAACGAGCAAGAAAAGCCAACAGTGAAGCGATTGGTCAGGCAGAAGGTCTATTGGAGAGTTTTTCTACCACTGGTTATCCAGCACAAAATGCCAATGCCGTTGCGGCGTTAAATTTTGACACAAATTTGCCTGAACGATTGTATTTGAACAATGGTGTACAAGTGATGATAGTTAGAAATTTGAATGTTGAACAAGTTTCAAGCAACGGTGCATTGGTGGAAGTAATTAGTATGTGTAATGATGTGATTGAGTTGCAGTATCTTGATAATCGATTGAGAAAATTGGTGCGTAGAATTAATGAGTATGTGCCAGGTACCTACTATGTATAGTAGAAGGCAGTTTCTCATTGTGCTTGTTTTACATCGACTAATCACAAAGTGCGAAGTTTGACGTTGTCCAGAGTCGCTAATTGCTTTGATGATATGCCATTTCATAGTGAGTAGACTACAGGAGAGAATGGCACTGGTCCTCAGTAAAGGTCTGACGAACATTGTTTCGGATGTTGGTCAATATCGCTGTGTGGTCAATGGGAGCCTTGTAGTAGATAAAATGCATATGTGTCAGCCCATAGCTGTGAGAGTGTAATAATGAGGATTCTGTATGGTTTAATTCCATTGAGTTGGCAGTACCAAACATTGGAAAAATCCAGAGGCAGAAGAGCCTTTTTGATATCTTGTATTGTTGTCGTTGGTCAGAGAGCTCAAAAATGACGCCCTGCCAAATTTTCTCTTCCGATGGACAATGAAAGAGATGGCTAGAGGAATCCTCCACACAGACAGACATAACACAAACGCGATTCGAAAACCGTAGGCATGCTACGGTATAAGAGACGACGGTGAGGAATACACCCCAAGATGAAGCGGTATATTACATTACGTTGGACAGAGGTATAAGTGATAGGGACCAGAAAAACTCGAGGAAATGAAGATGATGATTTGGAGTCATCACAAATGTTAAAGCGAACAATAGACATAGCATCTAGCTAAAGGGCTTAAAGTGATTATGTTTTTATTTGCTATATTACTTTTTCATTTTCATTGGAATAAAAAAAAAAACGTTTGAAGAATCACAAACGGACCCACTTCCAGCATACCATCTATCAACACCACTTGATAGCACAGACCCAATGATATATCCAGGCGCCTAGATGTGCCAAAGGGTCCATGGAACAGCGTTGGCTACCGACATCTCCAAACATATCATACGATAAACATATCGCATAATATCCAGGCGCCTAGATGTGCCAAAGGGTCCACGGAACAGCGTTGGCTACCGACATCTCCAAACATATATCATTAAGCCACAAACGTATCCAGGCGCCTAGATGTGCCAAAGGGTCCATGGAACAGCGTTGGCTACCGACATCTCCAAACATATCATACGATAAACATATCGCATAATATCCAGGCGCCTAGATGTGCCAAAGGGTCCACGGAACAGCGTTGGCTACCGACATCTCCAAACATACGAATGCGTCTAACTGGCAATACTACAAAGATAATGTTCATATGTGGTATGCAAAAAAGAAAGTGGGTGAGGTCAAAAATTTTGGCATTGAATTTGCGGTTTTTATTAGGAAACATTTGTGACTTCTGTTACCATGGCAATAATTTTTTTTTTTTTTTTACTGTCTGTGAACGGATTTGCTTTTTGACAAAATGTCCCAACCTGTCTTGGTCGCAGAAGTAAAACGCATTATCCTGTCTATCAAGGATGACACCGATGTAGTGTACTGGTCGTATTTTGTCAGTGCAGCTAAAGATCAGATTGTTGCTTCATGTAACCTGTTTGAGACGCAAGAGAAATGTCGTAGTCATTGGGTTCGCTTGTTTTCAAACAACGTCGAAAAATTAGGCTACCAAGCAAACTTTGGTCTAGACGATTGGTTTATAATTGAACGAGAAATAGAGGCAAATAGCGCTGCTATGCTATCATTATCAGCAACCTCTACTTCACCACCAACATCTGTTTCGATACCACCACCAATATCAACTAGAGTGCCATTACAATCATCACAGCAAATGATGATATCTCCCCCTGCCCAATCCACATCTTCACCATCAGTTCGATCTGCGTCAACATTGGGTACATTGCTTTCGGAAGATGAAAGAGAAGCTGCATTATCCACTTACAGTGAGATGCAAGACGAAAAAAAATGGAAGCTTAAATCAGGACGTTGTGTAGAGGATGTCATGGCAAACGTTGTTAGAACACAAGTCTATGATCAGTAAGTTTGAGTTGCTATTTGAAACCACTAGAGCTAATTTTATTAGTCCTGTGCTGCATTGTATTCTGGATATGACAGATCGTAATTGGAAAGGAATATTTTCTCAAGATGAGATCCAGGAGCTGAACGAAATTGTAAATTTAGAAATCCAATATCCAGAACTACCTAGTGATATGGTGGATTTCATGAAAAAATTGCCCACAACAAGCAGTTTGGGTGATATTTACAATCATCTTGAAACACAATATCTTGATTATTATTCTCAACAACACTTGATTTGGATCAAGACGCAGGTACAATCTGCAATTCAGTTGTTTAAACGCCATTACTTCCCAATCAATGACCAATCAGAAAGAGATATTTGCGCCAAAGTTTGGAGTATGATCTCCAGTGCATTCGATGATAGTAGTATGACAGTGAGGATGGAGAAGGCTAGTCTGGCATCAAAAGAAACAAACAACAAGAAAAGAAAAATGGCGTTGATAGATTCAATGGTAAGAAAACAAAGTCCATTGGTCCCTGACATGTCTATCTTGTATGGTACACAAGAATTTGCGTTTGTTGAAGCTGCCAAAACCAACAATGATACCAAAGAACTTGTTGAGGGAGGAAAAAAAATGCCCCCAGCTGATGTCATAAGCATTTGATCAGTTGCTGTCACTACATCCCACTGAGCAACGATCAATTAAAATTCATGGTCTGCTTTTATCAAGACTGAATTGTACGCCTTTAGAATTGTCAAGTCCATTTGGTTACGTAAAGATCCTGAAAAAAGGTAAAATGGTTCAGCATCCAGAGATGCCAGAGCCATTCAAAGCACAAATGACAAAATTGTTGGCGCAAGTTTGGAAATTTAGGTTAGCAATAGAGATGGTTGTGGAAGCAATCATAGCAAGTGAAAATGAAAACAACGAATTCATTTAATTAACATCGTAAATAAAGCAAATCTAGTATTGAGTTTCCAAACTACTCTCAATTGGCAAACCATACTGCAGTTCCAAAATAGGCCTCCCGTCAGGGCAAAGTAACGAAAAATGCGTGCATTGCAACTATAGCATAGAACCCCTATAAATTTATTTATACTTAGACATGCGTGGCTTAATCTTTGAGACAAGCAGATGACTACTGGTAGGATCAACCAGGTAACTAAATGAATAAGGACACTACATCCGAAAGAATAATCAATAAATTCACCACTCTTACCTTTTGTTTCAAGTTACATGAAGTTTGCTTATTTCAAATCGAGCCATAATACACTATAACTTCGTTGTGATTTTATCTGTTGCCATAGTACTTTAACGCCGAAACCATTGCTGAGCCTTCAGCAATCCCATAATTTTTCTTGCAAAATGCTGAATCAGAATGCAATATTCTGACCTGCACTCACTCGATAACTCTTGGTTTCCAACAAACTTTGCAGCTCTGTTTTGTCAAGTTCGCCCAGTTGTATAGTAGTATCATTATCCATAGTTGGAAAGCAATATACAAAAGTATCACGCATACAAATGTCTTCCAAATAGCTGTACCGTACTACTGCAGTCTCTCAGTAAGCAAAGGGAGAATCAGTGATCCTTGAGTGTCTCACACTAAAAGTGCAACAGAGATAGTCTATACTAAATATCGAGTTGTTTGATATATAATAATAAACAAAGATATAAAAGACAGAGAAATGTGATAGCCTTCAAGCCTTCATATCCTGACAATTAGACCTTTCTGAGCAGCCTGGATGACGCCAAACAACTGTACTTGAGTAGCACTAACTTCCTGACACCCTTGCTCAACTTTTTGAGAACCAAAAAAAAACATGGGGCAAAAATCGACCAAAAAGCATGAGGTACCCCTCATGGTTTTCATCGAAAATCAAACGATCGCGTTTTTGACCTCCAAAACGACGACTTTCACTATGGTATGTATTACATAAAAATGTTGCTATCGATCCAAAGCAACCCTTGAAACGTCGTTTGTGTAACTTTTATATGTAAATTTTTGACATTTTTGCCAGAAACCTCATTTCATATTTTCTGATATAGCTCAATACGTTTACTAAAAACATCTGCCATAAGCACCACCATTCGATGCGCCTTGAAAAGCACTCCAAGAATGCATTAGAAAGCATCGGATGATCATCACAGTTCATATAGTCGAATATCGTAAAATAGATTCATGAAGTCGACAAAAGACGAAATTTGGCGAATCTTGAGCAGAAGAAATAAGCTGGGTTTGAGTAAGCTTTGGTGGTGGCGGCGGACGGCTCTGCTGCTGGCTGAAGCAAATGCCTTTCCGATACTGACATTGCTGATGACCATGTTGATTACGATGCTAATTAAATGGGGATCATGAATTTGAAAGAACAATCGATTAGCTTGCATCCTTTTTCTTTGGTTTTATTGGGAGTTTTTCTTTATAATAAAGGTGTCTTTTGCAATGACAATAGCTCAAAAAAGTCGCTGTAGACCTTACACATGTCCTGCATTATTTTCGGCTTTTTCGTGCTTTTCTTTAAGCAGATAAATGCGCCCACTAAAACTATCTGCGTTCGACTTTATAAGTTTTTATGAAAGTATATGTCTTAGTCAGGCAGGATGTCTTAGTGAGAGAATGTCTACTTACATCACTGAAGGCTCCAAGGTTGATCCATTGACAGCGCAGCTTCTTAAGCTAATAACGTGAGATGTCACGAGTATTGGATGCAGTTACAGTTGGTAGCTGCTTGAACATATCGGCATTGGTATATAACGAGTTTAATAATGGAGAGATAGACTGAAATGAGTGGCAAAGGTACTAGGCTGTTAAGCGATAAAAAAAGAAGAGGATTGTTTGACTTGTTTGGTAGATCCCAGCATGCTGTAATCATGGATACTTCCAAATGATATGAAACGAAAAGCATTTATTCAAGTCTGATTTGGTTCATGATATCTTTCATGGCATAAGGGTATTTTGTATGGCCGTCAATGTCTACCTGAATGTTTTCAATTCGGTTGCCCAATCCAGACACTGCCTCTAAGCCTGCAACGTTGGTAGCTAATGAATGTAATCTATACACAAATGCCAATACCCAGTCGTTGGGTGTATAGCAATTGACAAAGCGACCAGAGACAACATTGGCAGCGTTCTTCCATTCCCAGGTTTCCTCTGTAGAAATTGGAGCACCCATCAACACTACATTATCAACAAGTCCATGCCTTCCTCTTTCATTAAGCTCTTGTAAGCAACTCCAAATAACCAAGCATCCACAGCTATATGCCACCTAAAGACACTGACGTTAGAGACAGAGCAATGGATGCACCGGGTTCATACTTGCCAAGTTGCATGGTCTGTTTCCCTGTACTCTTTCTTCCAACACATCTGCCAGCACTGCAAGATTCATACTAATAGTGAGCCATTGCTCATGACATACGGTAAACCCCTATCAATCTTACCAACACCTGCTTTCTTTGATCTGTCTACTGCCATCTGCCATGGATTGTCAATGACATCCGCAATTTTCAAAATCGTAGCGGGCAAAGCAACAGCAGCTATTCTTGTTATCAGTATTCAACATTGATTGACTCTACAATTCTCCCACTTACCAAAGAACGCATGAAGCACAGTCGCCTTGGCAATCTCCATCCCAGCATAATTCACAGCCGTGTCTTTTACAAATTGCCTAAATGAATAGCCAAGCTGTAGCAAAGTATCTGTTTCATACTCCAAGCAGAATATATCTGTATGATTCCTTCTTCCTTCAAAAGCATGCTCCCAAGGTGACTAAATACAACAGATGAGCTATCATAAAAAAACCAAACGCCGGCTCTCAACGTACTCTTGTTTCTTGCTTTGATTCCAACAAAAACCCTGATATACACACTGTGCAACGAAGAGCAGGTACAGGCGGTAAATCCGGATCGTTCAGTATCTGCTTAAACTCAAACTCCTCTATGCCCTTCATGCGTTTATGCATCTTCCATCCTGCTAGACCACCACCTGTCAGGCCAAACAAGCTTGTCACCAGAGCGACACCACCTGCTGTAGCAAAGAAGGTAGCGCCTGTAACACCCACCAGGAGTGGAGCCAATAATGGTGCTGCAAGACCACCTGTCAAAGCTGTATTTAATGTAAATCAGAACGAGAGACGCTCTACCGACGTAGGTGTCTTACCAATGACAGCGCCGCCGCCTATAATACCAGCACCTGTGGCAATCCATCGAAATGCTTGCTTCTTCCTGTTGGCGCCTTCTATGGCTTTTCGTGCTGACAAGTCCATATTCTGCTGCATACTCGAGCCTCCATCTTCCTGTTGTTTCTCCTGCTGTTCCAGCAATCCATAATACATTTGTTGTGCTACACTCTTCTCAACGGATACCAAATCGCCTATATACAGATTCAATGCGTGCTCCAGCTCCAGTAAAAAACGTCTCGATCGAGCATCGTACAGCATGATATGCTTGGCTTTGCTCTTTCTGGCGTCTTCCTTCATCGCATTAGGCGTAACGTGTAAAGCTAAAGCCAATAAATCGACCATGACTTCAATGCGGATGTCTCTTTTTTCGCCAGTCAACAGCTCTACAGCTTGCTTATATGTCATATAACGGCCTTCCAGCTCTTGTTGAGTTACTTGAAGGTATTTGATAACATCGTTCCACCAATGACTGGACCAAGGTTCACCTAATAGAGGAGCTACTTGTGTGAGTGATTGAGCTGCGACGCGAGCAACAGCAATTCTTTGATCGTGGTCCCACTCTTCCACTGAAAGCTTGATAATGGACTCGTCTGTCATGTTGCAAATATAAAGAGTAAGAAACAAGAGTAGTTGCTAGTTTCGAGAAATGCATTTAAATCTCGATATTGAGACGCAGTTGAATTTTAGCTTCAGGTGAGTATGATATCAGGTAGACCTCAGTAAACGCATGTGATCAAGGAGGTAAAATTCGTGTTTATTCAGTGTAATGAGATAGCTAGGAGTGCTTTTGCTGAGGCACAAGAACCAGCTTGGGGTAATAATAGCATCTACAGTCGTTTTTTCGATGCTCACATCGCTTATCCTTGTATTCATCTCGAGAAAAGACATTGATGTAGTCGACTACAGAATATGCTTCCACTGCATCGCCTGTCTTTTTAATCAATGTGTATGTGCTCTTGTCTTGATCAAACATTTTCTTCAAATCGATAAATTCGAGACCCATTTTAGTTGAAGCTTGTTGAGATAACCTGATTTTATCCAATTGAATCTGCAAGGCATTCACCATTTCCTGACATTGATAAAATTTTGCTTCAGAGAGTAGCTGCTTGACGCCTTCTTCGTCATTAGGTATAATGAGCCCCGTTCTCAAGTAGAATAACACTTGCCGGAATAGGTTGCTATCACGGTTGATGGAAAGAGCTATTTTGCCTTCCAAGCTCTCGCTATTGCTCTTGATGAGATCTTTAAGGTATTTGGATTTTTCGAGGTTTTTGCTCGTAGACATAAATTCTTTACCGCCAACGTTGAGAAAAACGAAAATTAAAGGCCTGGAGTGGCCATGCTGCTTGTTTTGTAGCCCACCCATTATGTAGTAGTGGAAAGTTTCCAATTTATAAAGTAGAGGGCTTTTGAAAGAAAGGCAAAGACGATATTTCAGGACTAGGATCTGTATTTATATGGCCATATCTATCAGATTCGAGCGCATGACGATGGCGCAGGATTGTTCACTATGAAGCTTAGGAAGATTGCTTGTTTGATCACAATTTAGCATTGACGTCAAGGTTTCAAAGTACATACTATAATACATCCAACTGATTTTATTCAGCATACAAAACACTACATCAACAATGGCCTCGTAATTATGAGTTTTTGATTACAATTTTTGCTTCGTAGTGATCCTGAGAAGCAGGGTATCGAAAAGCCTGAACAAGAGTTTGGTTTAAAGTAGTATCGAATTTGACTGTATCAAAATTCACTGGAAGGTAACCGGTTTCTTTTGATTCATAGGTTTCCTTGAATAACTTGTCATACAGAGCAGTATCTGTTAGCATTAGATCGATTCTCTTGACCAAATCATCAAAGCCATAGAACCTAGCTTCGTTTTGCAGTATTCTCAAGTAGTGCTCATCCGTCGAATGTATCTCCAAAGTCTTCAGATAGTGTAAGATATCTCGAAAGATTTCTGGATCTCGATCGATCCAGTAGTAGCCACTAAGTTCTTCTCCAACGATAATAGCATCTGGTTGAGGAACGTTGCTTGCCAGTTTACGAAAGTATAAGGACGTCTTTAAAGCATCCTCAGGAGCCTCAAATGCTTGGCCGCCAACAATAAACTTCATTAGATTTGCAGTTCCCATGTGCTTGCTTGATGTTGAAGTAAAAAGAAAGAGCAGATGTATTCAAAACTTGTTCTGCAAATTTATACACCAAAAAACACTTGCTTGATAGATCTTTGTTTACGCAATGGATTCATTTGCATCTGTCGGTTAACATGTAAATTGCAGCATGCACCGCCTTGGGCCATACGTTTGACAGATTGCCGTAACAGCTGATTGACTTGAGCTGTCTTGAAATTCATCAGTGAACGCACTTTGGGATTCAAATTGGGAATTTAGACTCGTTTCAATGTATAATGGTAGTGTTGAGTTGACATTGATGTAGAGAGTGATAAACCCCGCGATTGATTGGACCCACTTCAACAGGGCATGGCTTGTGAACAGCCGTAGACCATACAGACATCCACCAGACATGCATAGCTGATGCTCTAGTAGCAAGTCTCCAGGGAGATCACACTATATCTGCCAATCTCCATAGTGACACAACAGACTTTTTATATACATGAGATGACATCGAAGACGGGGCATTACCTAATTTAGATGCTTTCGCTCACTTTTTTTAGTGTGGAAAATATCTTTTATCCAGCAAAAGAGTGTGGTGATACACACCATTTTAGACTTTCTTTTTTTCTCCCTTCTCTCTCTTTCTTCTTCCCGCCTTAGTGAGAAACGCACAAAAACGACAGCCTACTTAGAATGAATGAGGACGAACAGCAGTCTTTTCAAGCGTTAAAGAGTAGATGGGCCCAACAAGCAAAGCAGGAACAGCCGCCTTCAGTTGTATCACCACCACCCATTCCACCTAAACCAACAGCTGCTCTACTGCATAAAGTACATGTTGATGAGGACCCTACAAAAAGGACGCAAGAACAGACATCTAATTTCGAGGATGCTGCAAAGAAAGTATCTTTACTCACTCAACAGTTTGAAAAGCAAAAGATGGACGTGGCACCCGGAAATTTCTCAAATGCTTCCTCGAGAGCATCGTCTCCACCTCCAAGCACACTACCAGCATTAGCACCAGCACGGACAGTGGTGGCACCTGTACTGACGACACCGCCTAAGCCTATATTGAAAAAGGCGCCTGCACCACCTCCTCCTTCTGGCAACACAGCAGCAAATGTAGTTCAATCACCACCTAGCTTTGACAATGATCCATTTACACATGACGATGGATCCAGTGATGGAGATAGCGATATAGAAGAGACAGAAGAAGGGGATGAAGCGGACATGTTCTCTCATGAAAACTCGTCAAGCAGTGGGGATGGAGACAATTTAATAGAGCAGGTGCATAAAGCACATTTGAAGTATACAAAATTAGAGGAAACACGTTTCATTGGTGCTCCAGGTGTGCGAAACCATGATCTACCCTCTGCCGCAGAAAACAACCAGCAACGAGGCAGAGCTTCATCGCCTGCTTCGTCTGTGAAATCATCCACTGTAAAAAAACCGCCTCCACCTCCTCCACCCAGCAAAAAGTACCACAGTTCAGCTCGTGGCACCATCGCACCTACAACAGCCGCTCCCGCAACAGCAGCTCCCATCATTCAACATCCTCCAGCACCACCACCCGTAGTGGCCAGTATACCCATGCGTCCTAAACAAGATATGCCTCCTCCTAGTGATGCTACTATCATTTCACCACCTGTATTACCACCTCGTCCTCCTCCAGGAGGCACAAGCCCGCTCATGCCGCAACTGCCTCCTCGACCCTCACAATCTACACTCGCCAGAGCACACACCATTGCCAGTGGATCACACTCACCTCAACTCAAAAACATGTCGCCCAGCTCCACTTACTCGGATCCGCCCTCCTCCTTTAGCGATTACGATGAAGAGGACAGTCGCAGTAACGGGCTGAAACGAGCCAATACAGTGTCAACCAACAAACGAGCCATGTCTCGAAGCGAATTGCTCATGACCAGCTCCATCTACCCTGATTTCTCCAAGGCAACTCGAAACGCACCTTCCATCATATTAGAAAAGCCCTTTTCAACAGGCCATAAAGCATCACTCAGTGCGCTGGCGGCGAGTAGAAATCTCATCATCACAGGCTCGGGATTGCTCCGTACCTGGGATGCACAGACGGGGTCCGTTATCAGTACAATCGTCATGGATGCCAACAGCAGCAGCAGTAATGCAAGTCAGAATAATGGAGGCGAGAGTAACGATCGTATTCGAGCAGTCGCTGTAGCGCCGTGTCGCATTCCAGTGGATGAAGGTCGTTATATATGGGTGGCCAGACAGGACACCATGCTGGCAGTGGTTGACATAAGATCAGGCGGCCATAAGGTCCTCAGCAAGCGTAACGATGTGCACATGGCACCCATCTTGTTTCTATTACGCTATGGCAATTCTGAGATTTGGTCCATTGATGATGGAGGTGTCTTGAACGTATGGGATGTTGTGTCTGCCGATTACCACAGCCAGCAGAACCCTTTACTGACAGCCATGCCGAGACGGTACCATGTCACCTCACATGCAGTGGCTGCTGTTATCTACGGTTCCAAACTATGGATGTCTTCAGGCAGAACCTTGTCTGCCCACGCTATTCCCATAGCCGGTTCTCAAGTGGGATCCAACGACACCAAATCACAGCCTCCTATCCGCATTCCAAACGATATGGGCAACATTACCAAGTTGATGACCATTCCTTACCATCCGTACCGCATTTTTGCTTCTCATGATGACGGTAAAATCAGCATGTGGGATGCCAACACAATGGAACGACTGCAAGTGATTACAGTATCCATGTACGGTATTTGTACCATGGCAAGTGTGGGTGAATATCATGTGTGGGCGGGCTACAATACGGGTATGATCTACGTGTATGATACCCGACCCGAGAAATGGGTGGTGCTCAAAATGTGGAAGGCGCATACAGGTGCTGTTACTCAGTTGGTGGTGGATGAATCCAGTCTTTTGTTGGATGAAAACAGAGGTCGCTTGCAAGTCGTCAGTAGCGATTCCAATGGCTTTGTGGGTGTATGGGATGGTTTGTTGACTGAGCATTGGAAAGGTAAGCGCACCCCCCCTTTTTTTTTACAGTAGACAGAATGGCGTACTGACAGGCTATTCTCATAGATGACCATTTGCAAAAGAGGGCTTCTGAGTATTGCACATACGATGATGCGCGTGTCATGATTTGCTCCTGGAATATCGATGCCAACAAGCCAGAAAAGATTCTCGGAGAAGACGATAGACAGGTGCGTGAATGGCTGGGATCCATGCAGGATCCTGATATCATTGTGGTTGGCATCCAAGAAATTGTGGATCTAGAGTCGAAAAAGCAGACAGCTCGTAAGTACTTGATGCGCGGTAACCATGGTGATATAGACTGACTCTGTGTGTGTATAAGGCTCTTTGTTCTTTAAAAAGAAGGTAGATCCGCATGAAACAGAGGAAGTGCTAACACATCGCTACAAATTATGGCATGATTATCTCGTCAGAATCATTGGAGAGAATTATGGACCACACACTTACACTGTCATCAAGACCGATCAGCTCGTGGGACTATTCAGTTGTATCTTTGTGCGCACAACGGATGTGGATCGTGTGTTTGATGTGGACTCTACTTCGGTCAAGACGGGTCTCAAGGTGATGAACAAGAGTATCCATGGCAATAAGGGCGGTATTGCTATTCGATTTGTCTATGACCACTCCTCGCTGTGCTTTGTCAATTGCCATTTAGCAGCTGGTCAGTCGCATGTACAACAGAGAAATGCTGATGCTGAAGGCATTCTCCAGACCGCTGGCTTTCCTCGACACGAATATGCTGATGTCTTTAGTCATGGCGGTGATGGCTCCATGGTATTGGATCATGAATTCTGCTTCCTCAGTGGCGATCTCAATTATCGTATCAAAATGCCTCGCAACGAAGTTCTCAAGATTTTGATCAACCCAGACAAGTATGCAGCATGGGAGAAATTACAGGTGCAAGATCAATTGCTACGACAAAAGATCAACAATCCCTTATTCAAGCTATTGACTTTTGAAGAGGCGCCCATTCATTTCGATCCAACCTATAAATACGACCCAGGAACAGACTTTTATGACAGATCAGAAAAGATGCGTGTACCTGCTTGGTGTGATCGTGTCCTGTACAAGGGCCATGATATCAAGAATCTGTATTACCGTCGATTTGAACCACGTTGCTCGGACCATCGTCCTATTGCTGCTGGTTTTAGTTTCAAGACAAAGATTACAGATCCAAGGAAACGAGATCAACTCATGGTCAAGGTGGATGAAGAATGGCGAGATCATCTGGATCGATTTGTGAGGGACAAAAAGGCGCGCTATGTAGCTGACTATGAGAGATGCACACTGAACGATGCCTTCAACCTGCTAGACAAGTCTGATTGGGATGTAAATGATACTGTCATTAGACTATTAGGTGCAGAATAACCATACACATATCTACAACAGTGCTGAATCTGTTTATTTACATATATACATATAATTTTTACATTGTGCTTTTATAATACATTTTACAATCTTCTTGTTGAAAAGAAAATAATAGTGAGGTTGACAGCTAAATAGTGGTAACACAATATGTGCCACATGAAGGAAGCCATAACCCAATAGGCCACATGATAAGGTAATCGCCTTTCACAAATCGAAGCTTTTCGGTCGGCATATACAAATTTGACAAGACTCGTACATATATATACAGCCAAATTTGCGTATGTATTGATTGCTCTAGAATTTTATTATTATTACGAGTGTTTATTTTTCGGATGGCTCTCTACCTTCGCTTTGCTTCGATAAGAACCAACCTGCGCAGCGACAGCTCGTGCTACCGATTACCCTTGCGTATCATATCAAGATATTGCTACTTTCATTTTTGACCCTCCACTTACACATAAAAACCCTTATTATCTGTGGATCTGATTCTTATGTGATGCTCTACATCCATACACACGTAGCTGCATTATATACGGGCAAGCAGCATACTGGTATTTCCTCTTTTTAGTCCTTAGTAGTGTCCCTAATGCAGCAAAATCTAAGTGCATTTGAGCTGCGTTTTCTTGCGTCCAAGGCTGTTTTAAATGGTCAGAATAGCATCAAACAATTGCTCCCGTCTGGCAGTTACTTACTGGCACTATTGCTCAACTTTTTTGGGGGCCAAAAAAACATGGTCAAAAATCGACCAAAAAGCATGAGGTAACCCTCATGCTTTTCATCGAAAATTAAACGATCGCGTTTTTGACCTCCAAAACGAAGACTTTTACTATGGCATATATTGAATCAAAATGATTCTATCGATCGGAAGCAGCCCCTGAAGCTCCTTTTGTGCGACCTTCATATGTGAAATCTCGACATTTTGACCAAAGTAGTCTATTCATATTTTTTGAGATTGCTCTAAAAGTTAGTTTAAAGTAACCATCTTTATTAACACCTTCAGATGCGCCTTGAAAAGTGCTCCAAAAAACCATTAGGGAGTATGGGATGATCATGACAACTTACATGGTCAGATTTTGCAAAATAGGTCGAATCGTGTTCCAAAAGTCCAAAATCAACAAATCAACGACGAAAATTATAAATCGGAGATTCAACTGGTTTTGGCTGCTGTTGCTTGCTGGCAAAGTCAATGCCTCTGGAATCATGGCTATTTGAAGCTAATCAGACGGTATATTATACGACAGCTTATCTCCTTGGTGAACAAAGGACACTTTCTAATTGACAGCGTTTAATTAGAATTTGATAGACCAAAAATTACATTATACTAAAGTAGCTTACCTATTAGGCCAAGTTTAAATTGTTGTGTAGTAAACAACAATGGACCCTCTTGATTTGATCCATACGCATTTTTCAGCGACATTTTTTTTTTTTTTTTTTTTTTTTTTTTTTTTTTGCTAGCCACAAGCTCTCATGTGCTATTTGCTCTATGGTGGTCAGATATATATATATATATATATATTACGCAGATCCCTTTAATTCAACCGTAAATAAAATGAAACAGCAAAACGTCAACATTGGCTTATTACTGTTGTACAGGATCATCAAACAAAAACAATGAGCATCTACCTTTTTCGAGCAGTGAAACCTAAACAAGCAATCGATTAAGGTTCAAGGATAATGATCATTTTCTTTTTCCAACTAGACACAGCCAACATTCCCGAAAAAAAAAAAAGCGGATTGCCTCTCTTTTCTTGATCTGTGTATAATACAAAAGCTGCCCAATTTTAAATAAAGAACCCTTCTCTTTTTTCTTTCTTCAACTCTCATTTCTTGTATACAATGGTCGCCAAGAGACATCCTCGCTATCTCTCATCATCAACTCCTAACCGACAGCAACAAACGACTGCATTGTATTTATGCTCATCATGCCACTCGGAGTTATTTGACCAAAAAGACATCATCTCCAGAGCATTTCAGGGCAGAGTAAGCTAACATGCTCATGTCAACAACATGTTCACTAATAACGTAGCACTATAGCATGGACAAGCATTCCTGATTCATCAAGTCATCAACATTTCAATTGGAGATCAGGAAGAAAGAATGCTCATGACCGGTCTTCACACGGTAGCAGACATTTCATGCAGCGTCTGTTGCGGTACAATTGGGTGGGTGTACATCAAATCACCAGAAATGAACCAGAAATACAAGGAAAACAAATTCATCATAGAGAAACTACGAGTAATAAAAGAGGCTGTTGTATAAGTTTTATTCTTCTTCGTCGCTGCTGCTGCTCAACACCTCCACATCGTCTGTCCAATGGAGAGAACTCTCAATCGCTTTTCTCCAAATTTTGTGCTTTTCTTCTCTTTCCTCCAATGTCAAATGAGGTATAAATGTTGTCACACCTTCGCTATTCACTTGATCTAAATCATGAATGCTGTTCCACACACCAACCGCTAATCCTGCTGCAATAGCCGTGCCAAATGCCGTCGTTTCGCGCATGGAAGGTCGATCCACCTTGATGCCCAAAATATCTGCTTGAATCTGCATAGCAATGTTGGAGTTGGATACACCACCGTCTACTTTGAGCACCTTGAGTGGAACACCAGCGTCTTGGTTCATGGCTTCCAAAATGGCTCGTGATTGAAAGGACATGGATTCTAGCGTTGCGCGAGCCAGGTGATACTTGTTTGTATAACTGGTAAGGCCAATCATGGTGCCTCGAGCATCGTCTCTCCAGTAAGGCGCAAAGAGACCTGAGAATGCAGTGACGAAATAGACACCACCCGTATCAGGAACATGCTCTGCTAGTTCGCTCACTTCCTCCATAGAGTTGATCAGCCTCAAGTTATCTCGTAACCAACGAAGCGACGAGCCAGCCACAGCCATGGATCCCTCCAGAGCGTACGTTGCCTTAACATTTTTTCCCAGTTGAAATGCGATGGTGGTGATCAATCCCTGCTTTGATTTCACAGCCTCTTCGCCCGTATTAAAAAGCATGAACGCACCGGTGCCAAACGTGCATTTGGCTTCACCTTTGCTGAAGCATTTCTGGCCCAGTAAAGCCGCTTGCTGATCACCGAGACACCCAGCGATAGGTACACCTTCCAAAGGTGAATCCTTCAACCCCACCTTACCATAAATTTCAGAGGAGGAGCACAACTTGGGCAGCAACTCCTTTGGTATATCGAAAAACGCCAACAACTCTGGATCCCACTCTAATGTCTTGAGATTCATCAGCAGCGTTCTACTGGCATTTGTCACATCAGTAACATGCGCCTCTCCACCACTCAATTTATAGATAAGCCAACTGTCCACAGTACCAAAGCAGGCAGTGCCTTCCTTTACTGCTTTTTTCACATTCTGGTCGTGTTCCAACATCCATCGAAATTTGACAGCTGTAAAGTACGACGTAATATCCAGGCCTGATAATTCTTGAACAATGTGCGCATTGTCCCGTTTCTTCAATTGATGTACAATGTCGTCGGTTCTCACATCGCTCCAGACAATGGTGTTTCGCAAAGGCTCTCCAGTGGATTTGTCCCAGCACACGGCAGATTCTCGTTGATTAGTGACACCAATGGCTTTGATGTCCTTTACGTTGTATCCCATCAACTCGAATCGTTTGATTGTTTCGTAAATACAGGTAACGACTGTATCGAGAATATCCATCGGGTCATGTTCGAGCCAGCTACGAGATGTCAATAGAGATGAGTACATGGCTTTTCGCTTAAAAAAAAAAAAAAAAAAAAAAAAAAACTGCTCCAACTTACCCAGCATGTGGTTGAGATTGCGGCAACTCGACTTGATGAAAGGTAATCAGTCTGCCTTCTTCATCAAATATCAGAAATCTCGACGATGTGGTGCCCTGGTCGACAGCGCCTATAAACTGCTTCTTTTCGTTTGAAATCATGGTCAAAATAGATATTAAATGTGGGGAAACTGCTATCTAATCTCCTGCACTGGGCTGCTTTTATCTATTGGTGAAAAAAGCCCTGTCACTATTACTTCATCTCAATCGAAAGCGAGCTAAAGAAGTTGACTAACTTGAAGCTAAAGAAATGGTAATTCAAACTGAATCCTAATCAACAGAGGAGACGTTGGCCTACTATTCAGTATGGCTGCTCAACTGAAAAGGCCATTAATTGCTGGACAGGGATGAGTGGGAAACTTGTTTGTAATCAGATCAAAAAGAGCAAACGGAGATGGATCGCATTTACCCGGGGAAATATGGGATATACAACTAAAAATTTTGTGGGTTGAATGCAGTGGGGAAACTTGCTCTTGTTCTTGTTCTTCTTCTCTTCTTACATACATACACTCTAGGAATAGCAGCAAAATGACAATTTCCAATAATAACCCTACTGACAATCATGTGCGACAGCAAGACCCGCTGCCATCCATAGCAAGCATTCATCGCAATGGATTTGGTGTTGGAGGGCACAATCACACCATGTTGGACAGTAATAGCACGAAATCAAATCATCATCATCACAGTCGATTGCTGTATTTCCTGACAGATCCCTCTTCCTTTTCAAGGTTCAATTATACACAATTCCAATCATCACAGCCCCTAATAATACCAACCTCATCCACAGCCATCATGCCTGCTGCTGCTGCTGCTGCTGCTGCTGTTGCCTCACCTATTACACCTAGACTCAATATTACTACCAACACACTGAATCATATCATCTCCAAACCAACAAATACGCTGCCCATCTTACCTCCACCACAGCCAACAACACAACCCATTGCTGTAGCAGCAGTAAATGATTGTTGCAACGAATGCTGTCCTGTCATTGCTGCGGAGGCAAATGCAGCAGCAAACGACTTGTCAGATCAGAATATCACTCTACCTTCTATCAAGAAACGAAAGAGAGATGAGCAACAGCAGCGTGTGAATAACAGCGCACCTACCGATACCAACTACACTGACACTAGCAACAAGAGAGCCAAGACACCCACACAATGCAAATGGTCCAGCTGTGCAGCGAGCTTCGATACATTGGAAGACTTGACACCCCATCTCTTCAACAACCATCTCAACAAGCAGCCTTTGAAAGATTGCTGCTGGGAATCCTGCAGCCAGCAGTTCTTGGACGGCGAGACAAATATCTTGGATCATCTCAGTAGTCAGCATTTGCACAACGCTTTGTTATTGCACGCCTGTCGATGGATCAACTGTCAAGAACGATTCTCAGCTTTTGATACACTCACCATTCATCTTTCGCAGGTGCATGTGGGTTCTGGCAAAAGCGAATACAAATGCGAATGGGTTGCCTGCGAGAGAAACGGCAAGATATTCACGCAGAGACAAAAGATCATGCGCCACATCCAAACACACACAGGAGCCAAACCCTATCAATGCGATACCTGCAAAAGACGGTTTTCAGAGTCTAATATGGTTGTCCAGCACATGAGAACACACACAGGAGAGAGGCCCTATCAATGCGATCAGTGCCAAAAGAACTTTTCGGTCTCTGCGGCCTTGACGATCCACAAACGAGTGCACACAGGCGAGAAGCCTTTTGCTTGCAAATACCCGGATTGCTCCAAACGGTTTTCAGAGAGTAGTAATTTGACCAAACATGTAATGTATATACATTGAAAGCAAGAGAAATGGTCATGTATTTATTGATTCTTTTTTTTTTTTTTTTTTGAAATGTGTTATAGATGCGAGTACATACAGGCGAAAGACCCTTTAAATGTACAGTAAAACCATGCGGAAAGGCCTTTTCAAGACCTGATCAAGTTACACGTCATTTGAAAACGCACAATAAAGATGTTTGTTAAGCAGAGGGACCCGTTGCAGAAGACGAGGATCGAGCAATAAGTTTGGAGAGAATCAAATACACAAACACAACAAGCACAAAGACCCAACGCTTTCCTTGACTCACGGTGCGAGTGATGGGGTGCTGTTGTTGTTGCTGTTGTGATTGCTGAGGCTGCTGTGCTTGTGGATGCTGTTGGTGATCAGATTGCTCTTCTCGTTGCTGTTGCTGTGCATTGTTGTTTCCAGCAGGTATTCTTTTTATTAAGCCATTGTCAGCTGCTGCTTTGACTTGATGGTAGTTGATTTTACATAGTTCAGGATACACCTCTATATCATGCCCAACAAAGATAGATGAATAAAAGAAACATCTAGGTAAAACACACACACACACACACACACAACTTGCCTCTAAACTTTTGGTTCTTTACGTTCCATAGATGAGATCTGGCAGCGTACATTTTCTTTTCATGGACACTTGTCTTTATACTGCCAGTGGTTGATTCATCACCTACCATAAAACTCAACAAGCCGTTCAGTATAGTGGAGATGGACCAACTTGGATTCCAGGAACTGGGATGAAAGTCGCTCATACTGAGGCAGAGTCGAGTATCTGGTTGAAATCGTCCTGAGGGTGTAATCATGCGAATGGAAGGTGGTTTGAAAGGATATTCAGCTGGAAAAGTGATTCGACCGTAGTATTCTCCTCCGTCATAAGGTGTATCGGGTGGTCCTGTAATCACATAGTGCCTACATGTAGCTACTCTATCAGCCTCTGATGGATTCGTATGAAATAAAAGAGGTTTACCAATCCAAAATGTTACTCTCTAAGGGTTTGGCAGTAATATAAGGTGGTGGACTATCAAATTGGGTTAGTTGGCCAATGTATCTATCCCACATGGATTACGAAACCTACTTTTTCTGAATAGCCATGTACTCTTTGGTCAAACGTTTATAAGCACCTTTTGTAGCCATATTGCAATTGTATGTAAAACGTCGAGTCGAAGCAAACTGGTTTGGTAACCAAAAAACAATATAAAAAAGGAGAAAGAGAGAGAGAGAGAGAGAGAGAGAGAGAAAGAGTGAGTGGTTAGAAAAAAAAAAAAAGAAGAGTCTGTATCCCAATGTCCATGTTGGCATCACGTGATAGTATGGATGAAATGATATAAAATACAAGTTTATGTCAATAATAAATAGAGGTTTGCTTAGTGCTTGCTTTGAGGGCAATGTCTGATGATCCAATCGACATAGTATTCAGCAATTTGCTGTCTTTGAGGCATCGTTTCGTTGTGCAATTCATGATACAATCCAGTCCAATTCTTTAGTTCCTTATCTTGACTGCTAGTGATTTCATAGGCACTCTTGCAGCCATTGAACGAGTTGATAGGATCTGAATCAGCGTGTGAGTATAAAATAGGTGTCTTGATGGCTTTGGCTTTCGTCAAGAGATCGGTTCCAGCATCAACGAAGCTTCTCAAAGTAGCCAAGGTAGCGAAATCATGGACCAATGGATCATCGAGGTATTTTTGGACTTCTTCCTGATCATGAGATACACCGGCAGGATCCACACCAGCCTGAATAGTCATGCTGGGTACAATGGCAGCCAAGGCACGGATGGTGTAGTACTTTATCATGGGAATCTTCATGGATAATGTAACGAGTGGAGCAGATGCAATTGCGCCAGTTAATAGATCGACTCCTTTGTAGATATCGCTTCTAGCAAGATAGTTGAGAATAAGGCCGCCACCCTAAATCAAAAAATGTGTCAACCATGGCTGTTGAAATGAGATGCAACCGTGCTCTGATGCTTACCATACTGTGGCCCATCAAGAAGAGTGGAATGCCTTGACGCTTGTGCTTGAGAACAGCATCATCAATGTCCTTCAACGCTGTGTTATAACTGGACTCATATCAGTGTCTCATCATCACCCATCGATATGTGAGTAGATAGTTACCCCTGGTTGTTACCAAACTGGGCAGTTTTCTTTCCAGTCTCTCCCCATCCACGTTGATCGTACCCATAGCACTCGATACCTTGAGTAGCAAAGAAAGAGAACAATCTATCGTAGCGGCCAATATGCTCGCCAAAGCCATGGATCATGCTGTGCTCAGTGTGGATGTGTGTAAGAGAGAGAGAGAGACAAATGCATCCAATGCCCGAGCCATATAATACTTACATTAGATTGGCAGAGGGTGTAGAAGTTGTCTTCCAGGTCTTGGTGTAGATATCATGCTTATCCTTAGTTTGGATCCATTCATTTGCGACGGTAACAACACCAGCAGACATTTTGTATGTGCGTATAAGAGAGAAGAAAGAAGAAGGAAAAGGCTATTTTGGTAAAAAGCTTTTTTTTTTTTTATCCACATTTGTGTATGCGAGAAAAGGAGGCGACTCAAATTATCCCAAGCATCCCATCACATGCAATTCATGGTTACACTCAAACATGCATTATTTTAATATGTACAAGGAATGGCTGCAAAAAGACCCAAAGTGTATCTCTCAAGTCTGTTGGCGATGATTCTAAAATTCAGATGTTTCCATGCTTCATGCCAACTTGCCTTGAGACGACATGCAGTGGATTCCAGTTGCTAGTACCTTGCATTGTCATTTCCCTCAAGTAGCAGGCTTAAATTAGCTTTGTTCTTGCTGTTACTACTAGAGAACAGCAGTTGGGGGGGGGACATAGTGAGCATCTGATCGATCTACTATCAAAGGGGAGCTTGCTAGTAATTAACAGCGATGCAATGACTTTGCCAAATACGCCTTTTTATGTACCCGTAAGATGACATTCATTTGCAAACAGACTGTAGATAGCACATTGCGCTAACATCTTTTTGATGTAATTGCGCAGGGCTACTGCCATGATGATTTGTTGCCATTACCAGTTAGCAAATGCCTTTCAAATAAGATGATGACTGTTGTTGGCACGGCTGTTTAGATGATTGGGCTTTGCTGCATACTTGCTAGATAGCAATCTGTTTACTTGTGTAGCAAAAGAAGAATGCGGTTCGCCGCCTTAGCGTGCAAAAGATGGACACACTCTGGCTTTATCAAATGTCAATTTATCCCATGATATAAAGCCAATAAATTACAGTTCATCTCATCTATTAGCAAAAGCGTGTTCGCTCAAATTTTCTTCCAACAGCCATAAAATAGTAGCTCTAAACCAATGACAATAGCAATACAATCTCTTTCCATCATTGGATCTGCCTTGACACGCTGGACAGCAGACATCATTCGAGAATGGGAGGGGTCTCACCAAGAGGCGGTCGTATTCAACAGAGACACCATACATTTGGGCCAAGTAGACATGAAGAATGCCTTGATGGGCCCAGCTGGTAGTCGTAGAACCACCACAAGACTGCAGACGATCGACAGCACGCTGGGAATCCACTTGCATCATTTGGCTTTGGCGCTATACCGTGACAAGCTCATCCTGGCAGAGCACATTTGCAAGTCTTCATGAGCCATAAGCCATTTGCAGCCTTGGCTCCTGAAACGGCTACGAATTGCGATTCCATCAGAGCTGGCTACTTGAGGGGTGAAATGCCAGCTAGCACAAAAACATTACCCATCATCTTTGTCAGGATTTCCAAAATGTCGTATTGGGATCAAACTGCTTTTAACGAATAAACAGATATGCATTTAGAAACGCAGGGCATGCTTCACCTGCCAGTGTACCTTTTCTTCTGCTAAATAGAGTTCAAGGTCTACCAAAGAAGATTAGATGAAAACAGCATATTGAGGTTCTTGGTGCGCTGAGAATTGGCAATCTTTGGCTCAAGATGCTTTGGCACTACTATCACACACTGCTCGAAGACGAAAGTGTCTTGAGTCAATGTTCCTATCGTTAAAGCCCTGCAATTGACTACTAGAACTTGGCAAGTTGCTTTTTCAAGCTTCTCTCGTCCATCCTTCAGTCATGTTATCAATGTAGCACAACAATAAACAAGGACCATGATCCCCTTATTTTATAACCAGTGTATTTGTTATTGTTCTGTCTCTCTCTTTCTCTTCTCTTGTTCTTGCTCCTTACTCACATACCCTATGCCAGAAGTGCGTGTTCAACCAAGAAGTGTGTATGAGCACCATATTCTCATCCAGAAAGCAAATACCACGCTCAGTTGGTCGTTTTCAACCAAAAAAAAGAGCATCTGCTTTGGTCTCTACTACAGGCCCATGACAGCCGCTACTGCAAACAACAGCACGCGTGCTTCATTGGACGAAGAGCATTCTACAAGCATGAAAAAGAGGAATCTATCACTACCAAAGCTATCTCATCTGCGCACCACAAACAGATCCAACAATGCGGATGTTGAGTTACCGACACCCACCACCAGTACAACCATGAATTACTGTTCTGATAACGAGGAAACACACCGCAGAAAGAGACACAGTATGGCATCCATACCCTCCATGAAAGATGTGGCTACTACAAACACAACAGCAGCACCCTCTGTACACTCTCGTAATCGCAGGAAATCGTCATCTGCCACCTCGGTCATTAATCTATTGGAGAATGACTTTATTGAGCTGATACCCATTGATCAAGTGAACTCGTCCAAAGAAGCAATAACAGGCTCCTATCTTGCTGAGGATCCAGGAAATTACGTGCTGATTTTTGGTAGGTAACAAGTGAGGAGGTGGCACTGCTGTTTTGACTGTAACCTTGAATTCCCATAGACAACATGTTTTCGAGAAACACATCCAAATCACTGACATTCTCAGTAACAAGCGATGAGCCTATTGACGAAGGATTGGATTTAGATAACGACATGTGTGGCTGGCTGCTGAAAAAAAGGAGAAAACGGATGCAAGGCAAGTTGTGTCTAGAAATCTACATGGCTTTAAGGAGATTGACACTTGAGAAGGTTGGGCAAAACGATGGTTTGAATTGTCATCGACGGGTGTATTGTCTTATTCAGTCAGGAACGGAGATATCAAGCGAGGATCGCTCCAGATCATGCTAGCCACCATCTCTATTGCCCCCAAGCAGCGCACTATTCACATTGATTCAGGTACAACCACATTCCACCTAAAAGCACTCTCCGCAGACGACTTTGATCGGTGGCTCAACAGCATCCGGAAACAGAGATCAGATACCTTGACGGAATCATGGCAGCACGGCAATGGCACAATGACCCATGCAGCAGACATTCAGTCTGCTATCAGTCTGGTGCCAGATAGCATCACCACACGGGACGATGCATTCGAGCGAAACCATCAAGTGATTGTCTCTGCTTTGCATAATCTAGATGCAGAAATAAGAAGCCTCGCATTCATTGCCAAAGAACTGAGTCAGCTGCCTCATGATGCTAGCAGTAGTGAATCACTCATCTCACAGCTGCAGCAACAGCAGCAGTCAGTGGCAGTACCTGTCTTACACTCTCACAGCAGCAGCAGCAGCAGCAAACTCATGCGATTTCCATTCATGCGTGGCTCTTCTTCCAACAGTATACCTGATGACCACACCACCCAGCTTACTTCTGTATCCTCCTCTCATCAAGCAAGTCTGGACAAACTGCATGCCTGCATCGAGGCGTTGATCGAGCAACGAGATAAGCTGTCAACCGCTTATAACGACACTTACGAAAACTACACCAACGCAGCTATCAATTCACTTGAGATTCCTAGCAGAACAGGCACAGGCTTCTTATCTCATCGCGCCGCTAGCTACTACTCTTACAGCGCTCATTCAGACCAGTTTTTTGATGCCGAGGACGTTTTACTGAACGAAGACAACGAATCCACTTATGGGTCCATCGTGATTGACTCGGAAGATGAAGAAGACCATCAAGGCAACACCATAGACAAGACTGCGCTTGCCCTGCCAAACATAAAGCGCAGAACAAAACTGCCTCATCCTGTAGCTGTGCGAAATATATCTGTGCTGGGCATATTACGCAAAAACATTGGCAAGGACTTGTCCACCATCTCCATGCCGATCAGTCTCAATGAGCCTGTCAATTTTCTGCAACGACTCTGTGAGGAATTGGAGTACTCAGAGTTACTAGATAAAGCAGCGACGCTCTCTTCATCCATGGATCGGCTCATGTATGTTGCAGTATTTGCCATCTCAGGTTACGCAGCCACACAGTATCGCATTGGTCGCAAGCCGTTCAACCCAATGATGAGTGAGACGTATGAATGTATCAGGCCTGACAAAGGGTTTCGATTTATCGCCGAGAAAGTATCGCATTATCCCAATGTGATGGCTGTGAGTTGATTAGTCGTTACATGTGTATGTATGTTTATCCTGATTGATTCTATGTAGTGCTTTGCAGAGTCCAAGACATTTACATATAGGCAAACCAATCTTGGAAAGACGAAATTCTGGGGAAAATCGCTGGAACTCATTACAGAGGGGCAGAGCCACATTTCCATCAAGGGACATCAAGACGAATACACCTATTCAAAGCCATCGAGCTGGCTCAGGAATCTAATAACAGGCACCAAGTACTTGGAGCACATTGGTGAGATGAAAGTTCAGAATCACACCACAGGTGAGTATGCTGTGATCACCTTTAAAGAAGCAGCCACTGGATCCACCTCGTTCTTTTCATCCAACAACAACAGTGCCATGTATCGCAACAACGTCGTGGCCAAGTTTTTCGATTGCCGTGGATCTCTGATTCGAGAAGTGGAAGGTAAATGGAGTGATAGCTTATCAGAGGTGGTTGGCCCTGATCAGTATGCGGTTATTTGGCGCTGTAAACCACCTGGCATACCGGATTACACCGACTACTATGGATTGACGTCCTTTGCCACGGAACTCAACGAAATCACATCACTGGAGCAAGGCAAGTTGCCCATCACAGATACTCGATGTCGACCAGACCAGCGTTTGTTTGAACAGGGGCAGGTGCAAGAAGCAGAGGATGAAAAAGTGCGAATCGAGCAGTGTCAGCGAGAACGAAGAAAGCAGTTTGAGTCTATTGCAAAGCCATGGAAGCCGTTGTGGTTTGAACTTGTCAGGGATGAATATGCGCACACAGGTGAATCGTGGCAGTATAAGGGCGGCTATTGGGAGGCGAGAGAAACAGGTCAATGGCCAAGAGAAATGCTGCAATTATGGTAGTTGTAGATGTTGATGAAATCAGCTCGAATCAATAAAAAAAAAGGGGGCTCTTTGCTACTATGATTAAACAAGTCTTTCGATACTTTGGGTGGTTTCCTGACCTACGCTTCGCTTCGGTGGAAACCAACCTACGTTCAAACGGCTCGCGCTGCCGCGGGCCTTTGGCTAATATCGCAAAATGAATATAGCTAAAATGTTAGAAGAACCCTGATGGTTGATTGATATAAAATCACTAATCATATAAGTGTTTATGCTTCGGATGGTTCTCACCGAAGCGAAGCCAAGATAGAGAACCAACCTGCGCAGCGGCAGCTCGCGCTACTGATTGCTCTTGCGTATCTTATCAAAATACTGCTACTTTGATTTTGACCCTCCACTTGCACATAAAACCCCTTCATAATATCTGTAAATCTGATTCTTATATGATGCTCTACATCCATATACACGTAGTTATTCCATGTACAGGCAAGGGTCATACAGGTACTATCCCTTTTTAGCCAAGAGTGCGCCTAATACAGCAAAGTATGTGTGCATTTGAGCTGCGTTTTCTCGCGTTCAAGGCCGTTTTAGAATGTCAGAATAGCCCTAAACAGTTGCTCTCATCTGGCAGCTACTTTTTGACACGTTTTGCTCAACTTTTTGGGGATCAAAAAAAACATGGACGAAATTCGACGAAAAGCATGAGGTACCCCTCATGGTTTTCATTGAAAATCAAACAATCGCATTTTTCACCTTGATAACGAAGACTTTTACTATGGTATATCTTGAATCAAAATGTTTCTATTATCGATCCAATGTAGCCTCTGAAATCATCTTTGTGGGACTTTGATATGTAAAATGTCGACTTTTTGGCCAGAAACCTCTTTTTATATTTTCATAAATTACTCAATAAGTTTATTCAAATCATCTATATTACTTGGTACCATCAGATGCACCTTGAAAAGCACTTCAAGAAAGCTTAAAGAAGCATAGGATGATTATCTTATTTCTCTTAGTCGAATCTGCAAAAATAGCTTGATCGAGTCTAAAATCATCAAAATTTGGCCAATCTGAAACAGACAATGATTTTGGGTTTGAATTAATTTTGGCGGCTGGCGGGGCTGGCTGGTAAACTCAATGCCCTTTCCATCATGAAGGCAATACAGTAATAGATGCTTTTGAAGCGTATGAAAAGTAGGTGGCAAGTCATAGAACTATTGTTCATCATGCCATTTTCTTGCATTCTATATTTAATAACGTTAGTGTGGACATTGACGATTCAAGGGCTGGATAACATGTCTGCAGTAAGTAGTGAAGTCTCTGCGACTTTATGTCGTTGTTCAAAGAAAACGTTGACAGCATTGGGCCAGAGGAAAGACGGTAGAAATAGCAGTGGTTTTTGTTGATTGATTGTAAAATCATTAATCATATATGAACCAGGCCTGACAGATGCCTTGAAATTCAGTTTCCGTATTAGGATTGTAACAGTGTCTAGGGATTGAAGAGCATTTTTTTAAGTTATGACGAGCGTCTTTATTATGCTTATAAAGCTAAAATGGTATTCACAAACTTCTCCACCTTATCCTCATCTTGTCTGGCCATCTCAATGATCATCAGCAGCTTTTTAACGCCTATTGTCAGCTTTTGATCCATGTTGGCTTGTTTCAAAACGGATAAAGCTCTTTCTCTCTCTGCATCATTGAATAATTCCAGCTGCTGCAAAACGGTATCCACGCCCTCCAAACTGGTAATAGTAGGCACATAGATTTCAGCCGAGAATTCGTCCGTCATGTCCATTTGATCCAAGATTTGACGTTGCGTGGTAGTAGCCAAAATCAACAAACGACGATCCTTAGGTGGCTTCTTCTTCAGCAACACCAAGAGTGCTTGCAAAACGGAATTGGAGAAACGAGGGCCAATAGGCACATAGTCCAACAGACGCTCAATGGCATCAATGACTATCACACTGATAGGGGATTTGTAAGAGTCGTTAAAGATCTTGTTGATCTCAGTCACCTTGGCTGTTTCAGACATGCCAACCATGGTTTCAGGGGAAATCAGCTTGATAAAGGGGAAATCACTTTGCATGGCAATAGTAGCAGCAAGTGCTGTCTTACCGCTACCAGCAGGGCCGTTCAAGAGCACACTGACCAAGGGCGTGCGAGAAGACTGACGCACTTGATCCACGTAGAGACGGCCATCTGTCAGGATCTGCTTGACAGAGGGACTAAAGGGAATGATGTGATTTTGCACGCATTGTTGCAACTCGGCTTCAGATACACCAAACGCAGGTTGCACTTCCTTGAGCGCATTCAAGAAATCGTCCATACTCACCTTCATGTTCTCCACATCAGCAGAGATGCCGGCCATAGTACCCACTTTGATATGTCTACTGAACGCATAAGAGGAAGCCGCCTTAACAACACCAGAGATCTCAGCACCACTGTAGTTCTTGGTCAGTTCGGCCAAATCATCCAAATTGACATCGCTCTCCAGGACATCGTTGGTTCTCATCTTGCCGGTATGGATCTTGAGGATCTGCAGGCGGCCCTTCTCATCAGGCAAGCCAATTTCCATGTGCACTTCCAAACGACCGGGACGCAGCAAGGCCTCATCAATCATGTCCTTTCTGTTGGTCATACCAATGATCAAGATGTTGTTGAGTTGCTCCACACCGTCCATTTTAGCCAGCAATTGATTGACCACAGAATCACCCACACCCGTGTCTCCACTGCGACTACCACGCGACTTACAGATGGCATCCAGCTCATCAAAGATGATGATATGAAGGCCAGACTCTTCACCCTTGGCACGGTACTCTTCCTCAGCATCAGCAAACAGCTTGCGCACATTCTCTTCCGACTGACCCACAAACTTGGATAACACTTCAGGACCACTGACAATTTTGGGTTCCTTGGCATTCAGCATTTTGCCAATTTGACGAGCCATCAACGTCTTACCCGTACCGGGAGGACCGTAGAGCAAGATACCCTTGACATGTTGCACACCTAGTTTCTCGACCAAAGCAGGTGGAAAGATACGAGAGGCAAAGGCACGACGGAAGATAGCATTGAACTCGTCATCCAGGCCACCGATACCGAGGTCTTCAAACTGGAAGTCAGGCTTGATCAAAGCTTTAGCAGCCATGGCTCTCTTCTTGGCTTGCTTCAAGTTTAAAAACGAGCCTTCTATCTTTGTAAATTCTACATTGGTTTCACGCATTAATATACCACGCACAGCGTCTGATTTCTTTTCTTGATGTGCATCCACTTCGCCCTTTTTCAGCACGTTCAGGTCCACGACATCCAAGTCATTGACAGTGGCTCTAAACTTGACGCCGCAGTACTCGAATACCAGAAATTGGCCCTTGGTGAACATTTGGTTGTGAAAGTTGATGGAGAAGGCTTGTGCAAGATCTTCTTCTTTGAACTCATCAGGCAGTCTGTTGCTGCGTTGAAAAAAATCGATGTCCATCTTCAAGTTGCCTAGATAAATGTCCATTCCTTCAGAGTGAATGTCGTAAGGGTCAACCGTAACACGTTGTCCAAGGGAGAAGGAAGCCCAACGACGAGAAGTGCCGTTGATACCAATCTGGCCTCTCTGAATGCTTCTATCGACACTGTTTGTATGCTGTAAGTTAGTCATAGTCTCATGACTGGACTGCATGATAGGGCTCTTCTTACCGTACAGACAAAACGAATTGGTGAGCAATCACAACGTAGTGCACTTTGGGGTCAATCACACCAGGAGCAATGTAAGCAAAGTTGGTTAATGCAGCAGCATCTGTAGGACATTGGACGACTTCAAATAGGCCAGAGTCTTCCTTTTCGCCATAATGACGCTGATCATCATAACGAGAATAATCCATTATAACGAGGGAGAAAGAGTTGTGTATTCTCGAAACTGAAACGATTTGAGTTTTTATTGGCAATTTACCACTGCGCTAATACAAATTGGACATGCGCATGGCGTAAGGGCATTAACCATTGAGGTACACACACACACACACACACACACACACACACACACACACACACACACACACACACACACACACACACACACACACAATTTGATTATGCCAGTAGTTTAGAGTACCATGCTTTTGTGAGTGAGTCGATATGGTCTCTTGTTGATAGTATACACGCTATTGCTCTAGAATGCTTCAAGTGTGTGTGTGTGTGCTGTTATTGTGTGTGATATAAACAACTGCTTCACATTAGCATGATTGGATGACAGCTAGATCCATAAAGATTGATGTATCAACAGCTAAAACACAGTTCTTTTTCTTTTTTTTTTCGAATCATATCAATCAAACTAATGGAGACCATTCTGTGCCTTCAATGGAAGCAAAGCGCTTCACTTGGCAGATTGGGATGTTGCTACTATTCAGGCACCAATCTAGAGTTGCAACTGATGGAGGACACTGTGGAATCTGACAAGTTTGAGTACACTTCCATGCGTATGTTTGCTGTTAAGCGCATTAGCAGTTGATAGATGATCTAACACAGCTTACTAGTGCTTGCTCAATTGTCACCTCAAACAATTATCCTCCCAGACCCTTCTGATGAAAACCTAGTAGAGTTCTTGACAAGTGAACATGGAGCAACTGCTACTTTGATCAGGACAAGTAACAAAGAGTTTCTGTTTGACAAGGGACGTATAACACTATTGAACTGGTACATCAGCCACATCAACCAGCAGCAGGAGCAGCAGCCATCAGCCAACACTGCTATATACACTGACACAGAAGATACCGGCATAGAAAACCATCACATCTACTTTCGAGACCATGAAGAGGGCATCAAGACGCATGCGTATTTACAGATGGAGGGTCTTATTGAGCTGGAGGAGAGCCAGTTGACTGTGAGTGTATACTAAGAATAGGCAGGGATCAGAATAGAGGCTAACGTATGCTAGATTGGTTGTGCTGGTGTGCTGCTGAAGCATTTGGACAAGTTACAACAAGAGCGCAATATGCAAGAAGACGAGACTGGAGTGGGGCCAGAAGTAGTTCAACCCACTGTTATCAAGGCATTCTCATGGTAGGTGTAATGTAGTGATAGGTTTCAATGTGCCTACCTCTTATGCAAATCTACAGTAATAGATACATGCAAGTCAATTCAGACACAATGAGGCAAGTAGAGACAATACTATACACCCTTTTCGATACTGTACCCTACTTACAAGGCAAACAGATCATTGTGTATATTTGAATCAGAAAGACATCCCAACATGCATCAAATCCAAAAAAAAGAGATCCTGTCGCTGTTTGGTACGATGCGACTAAAGCCTGTTTATACAAATGCAGTCTAGTAACGGTAATATGGCATAGGCTTACTAAACAAGACAACAAGCGTGTTGGGTAAAGAAATGCTGAGAGAATGGGTATCTCGTCCAATGACCGACAAAATGGCCCTCGAGGATCGACATCTAGCAATTGGCTTGTTTATGGCGTCCGATATGCGTGATAAAAGCATAGCACTGAGATCCCATTTGCGACACATCAAGAACATCCATCGACTCTTGGTCAGAGTAAGGGAGAGCAAAGCAAAGACAAATGATTGGCAGTATATTTTAAAGGTATTGATACGAAGCTGTATTTATATGCGTACGTGGCTCATCATTTTATATACACACAGTTTGCATACTACACCATCTGCATCTTCAACGCACTTCAACCCATCTTCAATAGCCCATACGCCCAATGTCTACTCATCCAAAAATTCAAAAAGCGATCATCTACTGTAAAGGCAATGCAAGAAGCAGGCTCTGTTATTGACAGTATCGTAAGCAGGTGTTTTGTAGTTACGAATTGTGTTTAAACCGTGCGCTTTAGATTGATTTCGGTGCAAGTAAAGCAGAAGCTCAGACCATCGTCAAGAAAGGAGTCGATAATGAACTGGACATGTTAAGAGAAGAATACGAAAAGCTGAACGATACGTTGGTAAGTAGAGTTGATATCAGAATGTGGTCCGAGTTATGTATTCACAGCGATGTGCATAGCTTCGAGTGTCGCAGGAGATCGGATCGGCATTACCTATTGGTCTGAGTGCTGCCTTGAATGTGGTTTATTTTCCTCAATTGGGCTATCTGATTACCTTGCCTCAGTATCATCTACAACGCAACTCTGGATTGAGTAGTGCAAGTAGTAGTTATTGTGATAATAGCAACGTTACTGAATACTACCAGAGAAATTTGCCAGGCTTTGAGCTTCAGGTAACAGCTGGAATACAGGTGCTGTTGTTCTTTCCTACATCATTGACTCTTGTCTATTGTAGTTTTCGACAGCAGACAACTTGTATTACAAAAATGACAGGACAAAAGGTTCTATAATGCGCCTCCAAGCAAAATAACTCTACTGACCCAACTGTATAGAACTGGATGCTACTCTGGGAGATCTCCATGCCATGATTTCAGACAGAGAAATAGAGATCTTACAAGAGCTATCAACTACAGTCCTACAGTATTCAACACAATTTATTGAAATCTCTGAAGCTTTGTCCGAACTTGATTGGTAAATCTGTTGGTGTATTCATTGAACGAAGTAAGCTAACCCCATGCAAGCATACTTTCTCTGGCAGTGGTTGCGCTACAATTCAGCTACGTCAAACCCAATTTGACTATGGACAACTCACTTGATGTTGTAAAAGGAAGGTATGATAAAACAAGCGGCGAGAAAGTAAGGTAGCGAACAAAAGGACCAATGGACTAGTACTATCAGGCATCCATTGCAAGAGCTTTCTGTTGGTATTTTCATTCCAAATCATACACACCTCAAAGGCGGCCAAGGGTTCAAGAGTCAGCGCCCAGATGTCCAATACTCAAGCGCATTCGATAGCTTGCGAGATACAGCATCTTCTCGCCTCAATTCAGCAGGCAGAGACAGAAGGATGGGTGATGACACCAATAGCATTCAGATCGTAACAGGAGCCAACTTCTCTGGCAAAAGCGTGTATTTGAAGCAAGTGGCTCTCCTTACATACATGGCACATGTTGGGAGGTAAGTTTGGAGGTTATACAAAGCATTTTGCACGCCATTGATTGTCTGTACAGCTTTGTACCTGCAGAAAGAGCTACTATTGGCATCACAGACAAGCTATTTACTCGAATCCAGACATCAGAAACCGTTTTAAAGGTAAAATATCTCAAAGCAGGGGGAGCTATAGCACTTGCCAAATCATTCACATGTATCTATATTAGCCTCAAAGCGCCTTTGCATTCGATCTACAGCAAATCAACCGAGCTTTGCAAAATGCAACATGCCAAAGCTTGGTTATCATTGATGAATTTGGAAAGGTGATGTTTATTCAGGTAATATTACGGTTTGTACTCATCCCTACAACTAGGGAACCGATATAGCAGATGGATCAGCATTATTCTGTTCTGCTCTAGGCTATTTTCTTTCCAAAGGTGATCAATGTCCCAAAGTGATTGCTAGCACACATTTCCATGGTATGATCATTGAATACAATGCGGTTTGGATTTTCTGTATCAATTCGACTTGATTTGTATATAGACCTTGTTTGCAAAAACATCCTTTCGGTTCAAGATGGTATCACATTATCTCAAACTGAAATCATGAGCCAAAATATGCAGAATCAAGACAATAACAAAGAGGGATTACATTTGGAATTAGTGCCTGGAAAAGAGAGTGAAGTCGTGTTTCTGTATCGCATTGTGCCTAGTAATGGCGATTCAAAATCACATGGTCTGTGGTGTGCAAGTATTGCAGGATTTCCAGCTCATACCATCGAAAGAGGTATATGTAGACATATCATGCCATCTCGATTTATTGACTCATACTTATATTATGACAAGCCGCGTATCTCACTCGCAAATTCAAGAACATGGAGCCCATTGAAAAGATACAAACCGAGCAAGAGGAAGAAAAGTATAGGCTGTTGGAGATCATACGCGATGATTTCGTAACAAAAAACATCAGTGATCAGGATATTTCACAATTGATCCCTTCCATAAACTCCATCTTTATCTAAAAAAATTTCAATTGCTAGTCTTATTTAGCCAATCCAAATAAAAGCACCATTGCAAGATACCTTTCTGCCTTTCAGAGGCAAAATAAGTTGTAAATGTTACAACTATAGCAGCCGAATTCTTTGCTTGTATTTTTTTTTTTTTTTTTTTTTTTGCATTAGGCATTACTGTTGTATAAAATCGTTTCAAAATTGTCTATAGCTCATCAATTACTGCCCTTCTATGGGAGACCAACACGAGCTTTGAATAGTAATAGCAACGACAGTGTTTATTTAGTGATCTACGGTTAATACAGTGGACCAGAGCTTCTTTCAGGGCGTGTATCACACTATCTATTTCATAAAATATGGATTTTTGGATTAGAACGGTCAGGGCTCCCTTGTTGCTGGAGAAAATGACACCAGGTTATAGAAATAAAAGAATCTGACGAAACAGATCACCGCCACGATCAATGAAGATCTCGTCTTGATTGACGATAACTTGTTTGCTGTCTACAGTTAATTCATGAAAAATCTGGAATCGGCTTTCATCTTAGAATCCAAAGAACTTTGCTTCATGATTGAATGTCTTGAGATAAGCATCATCCTTGAAACGCACTTGCCATGTTCAAAGGTAACACATGATGCCTTTGAAACCTTTGGATCTCGATCAATTAAGAAATACACGTTGCCTTGATTAGCGATTCTGATCGAGTCTGGTGGAGTCTCGTTGTGAACAAATCTGTTAAAGTAAGGTGAGCTCATGGGATTCTCGTATTTAGCAATGAAGGCTTGTCCACAAACATTCAGTTTGATATATCCATAGCTTGACATTGCTTGTAAAACGATGTAAATGGAAAGAAGAGAGAAGAGATAACCTAGATGTACATTTATTTGAGGCAGGTATTTATATGATAATTTGAAGGTCAAGCAGCCAACTGTGGTCAGGGTGATTACCAGTATTCATACTACGTCTAACATGCTCTATACTCAAACAAGCAATTACCTGTATTAATTGTCAGTGTTTCCAAATAGGAGTAGCTTTCATCATTGGCAGGCTGCTCTTTCAAAGTTTTCGATTACATCCGTCATTACGTTTGCTAGCCAGGCTAACTGGCGCTATCAGATATAAGACTACACTTCAAAAGCAAACAAAAGTAGCCTAGCTCATTGGTGATAATTTTCAATGTATAAAGTTCTTTTTTTTTTATTATTATTATTAGCTCTAGAAGCATTGTTAACCCTCAAGAAAAGTCTGATGTTCATTCTTGTCAGCCAAAACTCGATTAAAATGCCGCCCGTTTTCTTTACTCGGGATGGTAATTTTCGATCAATTTGCGACTTGTTTGATCTCTTTTGCAAGATCCGACCATGTAAGTTGTACAAATTACCATATACTTCCTTAAGCTTCTACCTATTCTCCTTCAATCCCGAACTGTATGGTATAGACTTATCCATCGAAAAATTCCCTCCAAATCGATCCTCCACCACTTCATCCCCACAACTCACCCTTCACCTTCGTGTCCTCTCTGTTTGACCCAGAGCCCGGAGGATATCCAACATTTCTTCTTTACTTGTCCTCTCAAACTCGCTGTATGGCGGTTCCTCGCCACTACATACCTATCCCACACACCGATGACCGACGACGTCCTTCTCCCATTCCTCCACGGCATTCAAACTCTATCCATAGCTGAACCCACTCGCTCTGCCTCCTTACCTTTTCCAGAGCTTACCGTTTACCAAGTTTTCGCTACCAGTCTACTCTGTATATGGCAAGCCCACTGGCGCTCCATCTTCGACCATGTCCCTTTTGTCACTCTCAACGTTAACACATCTATTGCCCGTTCTCTGTCTCGCTTGGAATCGGAATTACAGTTTGATTTGTAAGTATGTACCCCCACGTATTTTATGGTCGTATTCCACTTCCTTGCTTCCCTTTTCATTTCCTTGCCTTTAAAAATATATCCAGTCTTCTTCTTCCCTCATCATGACATTTAGAGGACTTTAAATAAAAAATGGAGTACAACTCCCCTACAAAAAAAAAAAAATACTTCCTTAAGCTTCTTTGAAGTACTTTTTAAGGCGCATCCAATGGTGCTAATTACGAATAGTGTTTTGAACAAACTTATTGAGCAATTTTATGAAACATGAAGTCAGTTTTTTTTTGCGAAAAAGTCGAGATTCTGCATAAGAAGGTTTCCCAAATGTGATTTCAGGGGTTGCCTTGGATTGAGAGAAACATCTTGATATAATATCATAACATAATAAATGTTCAGTACTTTTGCACTTTACAATCCTAATATGGAACCTGAGTTTCAAGGCATCTATCAGACCTGGCTCATATCATAACATAATAAATGTTCAGTACTTTTGCACTTTACAATCCTAATATGGAACCTGAGTTTCAAGGCATCTATCAGACCTGGCTCATATGAGAATAATGATTTTACAATCAATCAACAAAAACCACTGTAATTTCTACCCTCTTTCCTCTGCTCAATGCTGTCAATGTTTTATTTGAGCGACGTCTCAGAGCCTCAGAGATTTCATTACTTACTGCAGACATTTTATGCAACCCATGCATTGTCAATGTCCAGACTAACGTTATTAAATATAGAATGCAATAAAATATCATTATGAACGATATAGAAGGCAATAAAATATCATCATAAACGATAGTGCTATGACCTGCCACCTACTTTCTATACGCTTCAAGAGCATTTACTACTGTATTGCCTTATGAAAAGGGCATGAGTTTGTCAGCTGGCCCCACAAGCCAAAATTAATTCAAATCCAGAATCATAGTTTGTTCCAGATTGGACATATTTTGATAATTTTGTACTCGATCGAGCTATTTTTGCAGATTCGACTAAGTGAAGTATGATAATCACCCCATGCTTCCTTAAGCTTTCCTGGAGTACTTTTCAAGGCGCTTCCAATGGTACTAAGTAAAATAGATGTTTTGAATACACTTATTAAATGATTTGTAAAGATATGAAAAGAGGTTTATGGCCAAAATGTCGAAATTTTATATATCAAAGTCCCACAAAGATAATTTCAGAGGTTGCTTTGGATTGATAGAAACATTTTGATTCAAGATATACCATAGTAAAAGTCTCCATTATCAAGATGAAAAATGCGATCGTTTGATTTTCGATGAAAACCATGAGGGATACCTCATGCTTTTTGGTCGATTTTTGACCATGTTTTTTTGGTCCCCAAAAAGTCGAGCAAAAGTGTCAGAAAGTAACTGCCAGATGAAAGCAACCATTTGGGGCTATTCTGACGATCTAAAACGGCCTTGAACGCAAGAAAATTCAGCTCAAATGCACTCATTTTTTGCTGTATTAGGGACACTAAGGACTAAAAAGTGGGAATACCAGTATGCTGCTTGCCCGTATATGAAGTAACTACGTGTATATGGATGTAGAACATCACATAAGAATCAGATCCACAGATAATATGAAGGGCTACTATGTGTAAGTGGAGGGTCAAAATGAAAGTAGCAGTATTTTGATAAAATACGCAAGAGCAATCTATAGTACTAGCTGCCGCTGCGCAGGTTGGTTCTCTACCTTCGCTACGCTTCGGTGAGAACCATCCGAAGCGTAAACACTCATATGATTAGTGATTATATATCAATCAACAATCAGGGTTCTTCTTCTAACATTTTAGCTATGTTGATTTTGGGATATTAGCCAAAGGCCCGCGGCAGCGCGAGCCGCCTGAACGTAGGTTGGTTTCCACCGAAGCGAAGCGTAGGTCAGGAAACCACCCGAAGTGCTGAAAGGCTCGTATGCTATAGTAAAACTCTTCATTTTGAAGGTAAAAAACGCGGTCGTTTCATTTTCGATAAAAATTATGAGGTATCCCTCATGAATTTTGGGTCGATTTTGGGCGATCCCAAAAAAGCTGAGCAAAGGCATCAGATAGTAAGCGCTAGTTGAGAACAATTGTTTGGTTCTATTCTGGCGGTCTACAGTGGCCTATAACAGGAGAAATAGCGGCTCAAACGCATCTCGATTAAGCTGTGTTTGGCACATGTTCAAGCACGAAGACACAATTCGACTACACTGTCTACCCGTATATAGCTTATTCCCATTGTTACAGACGTAGGGCATCCTAGAAAAGTTAGATCCACAGTTATGAACGGGTGTTACCAGTGGAGAATCGCCGTGAATGGCAGCCCTACAGCATTAAAATAGCATGGATGAAGGCGATCAGCAGCACGAACCTCCGACGCGTAGGCTGGCTCTCATCTAAGCGTAGATCTACTCGTACGCTTTGAGAATGCTAAGCTCATATAAGGATAGCATGTTAAATTAGGCAGATAAGCGCTAGCGTTTAAGCTAGAACTCTTAACATGCCCAAATGTGCTCTTGTGATCATCTACTAGTGCCAATTACTAGTAGCATTGAAAAAGGAGTATAGTATGTATCAACATGCCGATAAACTAACTGCATTCAATTAACTCCACTGGATGTATTTTGATTCATGCAATGCGCATCTCAGTGCTATTTCTGATTTAATAAAATGTTGTTTAATTTGACGTTAATAACGTCTAATACAGAGCTGCGTATCACACATCAGTGCCCATATGTATGTATTTCAACTAATGTGCTTGCAAGTGGTGCTTTGTGATGCTTACATTGCTATGCCATTTGATGGACAACCTCATCCGTTCGAGCATTTACGATCAGCCATCATTGCAAATCATTTCATTTGCAATCACTGTGAAGCTAGCGGTACTTGTGTAGCTTTTCTCTGCTAAAAAACAATTCTTTTGTCATCTTTGGAATCATACTTGTTTTAATTGACACTTTGCAAAATCCGTCTTGATACAAATTGTCTTTTGTAGCTCTATTCCAGTTGGGGTTTTGCCAACATGAGCTTCGGCCATTCAAAGCGTCAAAACGCTCAGTACTGTTTATTCAATGCGTGGTCTTCTATTGCGTGAATCCAGCCATAAAACTTTTTTTTTCTTTCACTTTCTTTTTACCATGAGTGATAACAACAACAACGTAAGTAGTGGCGCAAACACATGTAGCGAACCACGACACTAACTGGCATGTCATATAGACAGCAGCTGGCTTCGATGCTGAAGATGATGACTACGTTCCTTATATTCCTATCAAACAAAGACGCTTAGAAAAGCTTCATAAATATGCAACACAGCGCAGGGTTACTGAGCAGCCAGACAATAATGCAGACGACGATGAGGATGATGTGATTGTAGCTGGGCCCAAAGCCAACATTAGTTTATTGGATCAAACAGTACAACAAAAACTAGCAAACGCTGTGCCCGGTAAGCGAGAGATGAATGGATAAACCAGCATCAATGGAAACTGACAAGGTCCATTTACAATTAGAGAAAACCGAAGAGGAAAAGCGACTGGAGGAGGAGAGGCGAATCGAAGAAGCTCAAGCACGCCATAAAGCCCTGGTGTCAGTGCAGGAATCAGCCATGGGGTTAAAGTACACAGAACCCATCAAGACATCGTAAGTCAGAGGACTCTTGCTGTATTGCCCAACCACACAAGACTCAACTCTCTCTCTCTCTCTCTCTCTCTATTAGATGGACACCTCCTCATTATATTAGAAACCTCACAGAAGTAGATCACCAAGCCGTTCGCGACAAGTGGCACATTTTGATTGAAGGCGAGGATCCCGTACCACCCATTCGCCACTTTCAAGACATGAAATTACCAGAACCTATCCTCAAATACCTCAAAGAAAAGAACATTGAAAAGCCTTCACCTATTCAAATACAAGGGCTGCCAGTAGCACTGACAGGACGTGATATGATTGGTATTGCATTCACTGGCTCAGGTAAAACCTTGACATTTTCATTACCCTTGGTCATGTTTGCATTGGAGGCAGAGGTGCGATTACCGCTTACTCAGGGAGAGGGACCCATCGGCATGATTATTTGTCCCTCGAGAGAATTGGCGCGACAGACATTTGACGGATTGAACGACATGGCACACGCACTGACAAAGGGTGGCAACTATCCAGAATTGAGGTCCTTGTTGTGTATCGGCGGCATCAATATGAGGGATCAGCAGGATGTGTTTCAAAAGGGCATTCACATGGTTGTCGCCACGCCTGGCAGATTGATGGACTTGCTCAACAAGAAGAAGTTTAATTTGGACAACTGTAAATATTTATGTATGGATGAGGCCGATAGAATGATTGATATGGGTTTCGAGGAGGATGTAAGAAATATTATGTCATATTTCAAGGTACATTGGATATACTTTCTGCAACCCTGCAGCTCCCTCACTGAGCAACTGACTTTTTGATTCTATATAGAGCCAGCGTCAAACACTGCTGTTCTCTGCTACCATGCCCAAGAAGATTCAAGACTTTGCCTTGTCTGCTCTAGTGAAACCCATGGTTGTGAATGTGGGCCGCGCAGGCGCAGCAAATTTAGATGTTATTCAAGAAGTAGAGTATGTTAAACAAGATGCGAAAATGGTCTATTTACTGGAATGTTTGCAAAAGACCCCACCTCCTGTAAAGCTCAAAACAAAGTGGACACAAATGATGTCATGTCACTTACTCTTTTCATTTAGGTGCTCGTGTTTGCCGAGAATAAGAACGACGTGGATGATATTCATGAATACTTTTTGTTAAAGGGCGTGGAAACAGTAGCCATCCATGGTGGCAAGAGTAAGTTGGTGATGGATCTATGATGTGATGAGTCTGTTGACACATTGGATAGCTCAAGACGAACGTGAATACGCCATTCAATCCTTCAAGGACTACAAGAAGGATGTGCTGGTAGCTACTGATGTTGCTTCTAAGGGTCTTGATTTCCCAGAGATCAAGCATGTCATCAACTATGATATGCCCAAGGAGATTGAAGATTACGGTAAAGATGGCCATTCATACACATTAGGACCCATCACTCATCCATCTCTTGATAGTGCATCGTATTGGTCGTACTGGTCGCAGTGGTAAAACCGGTGTAGCAACTACGTTTATCAATCAGAATTGTTCTGAGCAAATTAGACTGGATTTAAAGCACTTGTTGAGGGAGGCAAAGCAGAGGATCCCACCCTTTTTGGCAGCCATGGAAGACCCAAGCGAAAAGTATGGCAGTCTTACAGGCGGCTGTTCCTTCTGTGGTGGCCTTGGTCATCGCATCAACGACTGTCCCAAGCTGGAGCAACAGCGCAAGCAGCAAATGAACTCGATGATGAGCAGCAGCAGAAACGCTGGCGGCGGAGGATTTTAATCTTGGGGAACGAAATAAACTTTTGTAACCATAGCGAACGTTTCTAAACTAACTAATTTTAGATGATCGATCTTTTTTAGCTTTTAATCATAATTTGAAATACATTTCATTTTCAACAGCAAAACCTGATTTACCACATAGTACCAACGTCATGAACCCAATCCCAATCAGGAATATTCTCGAATTTTGTCAGAGTCTTCTATTACCAAATTTGTATTTTTTTTTTTTTCATTTTTTTTTATAATCTAGTTTTATATCTGTCCACAAATGTATTTTTCTTTTTTTTTTTTTTTTTTTTTCATTCTTTCTTCTTTCTTCAATTTCACCAGTTCCTGTCACATATTCAATTCATCCGCCAGTCGATCACATTCCATAGAGTAAATGCTTGATAACGGTAGTAGCTTTTAGCTACTATCAATCTCGTAGCATGCTGAGGACTAACAATTCGTCTCCTAGTTCCTATTGCCAACTGTTTGAAGTCATGGATTCATATTCATCAATGCCTATTTCAATCGACGGGAAGAAACCTTCCTTTGAGTTCACATCAACAGAGCATCAGCAAGTAAAAGATTTCTTGGACAAATGCCATCTACCGCAGTACTATGCAACGTTTATCGACGAAGGATTTGAATCCTTACAAGCTGTAAGTATTTGTTCTGTTGCATTCTGTTGGAAGCTTCTTTGCTTCTTTTTTGTTGGTTGCATTTTACAAGCTTATTTTGGATGTTCGGGACCAAGTTTTTTTCTGACTTACAATTAGGTATTAGAGATTACAGAAGAGGACTTGATCGCCTTGAATGTAAAGAGAGGCCATCGACGAGTAACGTATTTGGATCGTTGTCTGAGTAGCGTGTGGGTATGAGTCTGACATCATACATCTATCTCTTAGGTAATACAGAGAGGCATAGCAACTTTAAATGGTGTCCCAAAAAATCAGCCGTTACATATGGTGGGTAGTAGTACCAGCATCCCAAATGGCATTCCGCCCTCTACAATCAGTACATCATGTTCCAGTATGTTCCAGAATAAAATGCAATTTGGTCTTTTCTCACACGACAGCCAATTTTGTAGAATCACATAATAACAATGGCAATCACTCGAGTGAAGGATCATCGGGCACCTATACTACAAGTGGCTATGGTTCAATGAGTTCGCCACGACATCCCACATCCAATACGAGCAGCATGAGTAAGCCTTACGAATTCCCCCCCTCAACATCCAGTTATACAACGACTAGCAGTAGCAACAACAACGGCACTAACAATACACCACCTTCTGTCACTATTGTAGACACTGAACATCCCGCATCCCATCAACACCAACTCGTCCATATTCTCCACCGTAACCCTACCGATTCCGAATCCCACGACATGATGGATACTACTCAGAAGGAATCCCGATCATCGTACTCCTCTAATGAAGACGAAGATGAGGACATGCTGGAGGAGGAACAATCCAATAATGGCAATTTCAGTGCTACCTCATCACCACTGAAAAGGAAATACAGACGCCATCCTAAACCTGATAAACATGCGCCCATTAAACCTCCTTCCGCCTACATCATGTTCTCAAACGACGCTCGTGCACAGCTCAAGGGTCACAACATGACGTTTGTCGAAATCGCAAAGATTGTGGGCGATCAGTGGAAGAATCTCGGCATCAGCCAGAAGCAACAATATGAGCGAACAGCGATGCGAGCCAAAGATGAGTACATTGACGCCCTGAACGAGTATAGAAAGACAAAGGAGTACAAGGTAAATGAAGGGAATTTGCCTCGATTTCAGGAGCGTTTCAGGGCATTGACATATTTCTCTACTAGGAGTACCAAAAGTATCTGAGTGATTTTAAAGCCGAACAAGATGCTACAAACCGAAAGATTGCCAGACTACGAAAACGAGCAAAGCGGTCATCTCCGGGAAGGTACAGTGTGATGGATGTGTGAAAGGGTTGTCGTATATGTGATACTGACTCGGTTAAAGTGGCAGTTTGGCCGATAGTTCTTCCAATGGTAACGACAAAACCTCCAGTAATGGTAGCTGTGAATCTCACTCATATTCTATGCATGCAGATAATGCTAGGAGTTCGTCGTCGAGTGGTGGATCCACTGATATATACAAGGTGCATCGCAAGATACACACAAATACCAAGGGCAGCAGTAGTGAAGACAGCAGTGTGCTACGAAGCATGTATACAACTCCCACTATCGAGGTGTCCACGTCCACAACACCGCTTGATGAAGACGTAGATGATGACGACGTAGACGACAATGAAGACAACAACACGGAGGAATGCTACTCTCCTCAACAAAAGGCGCCACCGCTTATAAGTGACAGCATGGCTAACTCCAATTACCATCGCCTGCCTTTCAATCAAGATCCTCGACCACAATAATATCTATACACACAACATGCCAGTAAAAGGAGAAATCAAAAAAATAATACCTGTGTGAATGTTTCTTCTTTCTTCCATCCCCCCCCCCCCTCTTTTTGTTTATTTGTGATTCTTCCTAGCTGTTATTTTATCTTTATTATTAATTTATGCATTACAAAGTGAACAAGATCATCAAGCTTAATAAACATCTGTAAATAAGATTTGCCTGGCTAGTGTGATCAGGAATATGTCACTTCAGATCCGTCGGTGTGTTCATCATGTTCAGGTTCTTACATTCGAAAGGGGAATGGAACAGAACAAACCATTCGACAATGTATTGGCAACAAATAGTTTTTGTCTGTTTTATCAAAATGGGAATTTCATGCGTTTGAAAATCGCCGCATTTCTAACAGGTTTCAGGATTTGTAGACGCTGCTGCTACTGTAATTTTCCCTCTGTCAACTTACATGTCAAAAAGCTTAATTTGTTTCCATACATGTTTAGCTTCCATTGACAATTACCTTTCCCAGTTTAGTCCAGGCACTAAAATCCGTAATTGGTTTAGTGCCATTGCTGTATCTTCAATTTCGACGCCCATTACGACTTTTTGATGCGTTGTAGTATTGACACCCTAATCGGACGAAATCCACTAGTTAAAATATGGACATTGGGACTGGAAATTTTGAGCTTTCCAAGCGATCTTTGGCTCAATCTGATTGAGTCGATCCCAGTACAACTTGATTTAGTAAGTCATTTCATTTACATTTTGCTCAGAAAATCGTGGTTTTACTACCCAAATGTGCTGTAATGAGGTAGCCCCCATGCGATGACATATGAGAAATGATCTCCTGAAAACTGCAACTAAAATGTTTACATAATGATGAGATTCATCTGGCTGTGTAACCGGATAAATATACCACTGGAGATAAATGTAACAATCATGTATCAAATGTGAATGGAAATGACATCAAATAGCGGATGGGTCCTTTTGTGGAAACTTACCACCTACATACCTAGCAGCAAATTCCATCTGACCCAAAGCCTTCACGAAAAACCACCATGTTCTTACATAATATTGATGTCACCAATTTCTTTAATTGTTTGTTTATAGCTATATGCATCTTGCAATTTACATTGAACGGGAGCATCAGCTATTTGGAAGCTCAATATTTTATAGTCACACAGAGAGCAGCCGAACCCATGTGGATCTTATATTGACAAAAGAAGCGCGTACGTCAAAGCAATTATTATCAGTGTTTATTTTACAAATATGGGGATAGAGATGGGGAGGGGTATATGGGCAGAATGCTTTAATCATTCTACTTCTTCAGTGGAGGCATTTTCGCTCTTTTTGTGATTCTTCTCCTTCCTATGCTTTTCAGCTTGTTCTCTATCAAACTCCACCTTTTTGAGGAACTCTGGAATGCGCTCAAACATGTGCTGGTAAATTTCATCTCTTGTCCAACCAAGCGAATTGGCCTCCAGTAGCAGATCGATAAAGAAACTCTGAATTTCAGCCGTGGTGATCTTGTCACTGGGAATCATCGATCCAAACTTGATGCCAAACTCTTGTGCCTTTTCCTTTTCGTCGCCTTCAATTGGCAGGGATGTGGCCTCGTCCAGTCTCATGAATCGCCAATAGGTGTCTCTCACTTGCTCAGGAGCTGCATAATCGAATTTGAGCTTGACATCAATTCTTCCAGGTCTCAGCAAGGCCGGTGTGATTTTGTTCAAATTATTGCATGTCATAAAGATCACTAGTAGGAGGTATGAGTACCACATCAATCAGTAAAACCCAAATGACAACTTACTTGATCCTTCTTGACTCTGCATACCGTCCAACACATTCAGCAAGCCAGACATGGTGAGTGTATCCTTCTTCTCCTTGTCGCTGGCGTTATTCTCAAACAAGTGATCAATATCCTCAATCACAACGATACTGTTATGAGGCACGCTTCGAATCAAAGACAACAGGTTGTCATTGGTTGTCGTGGCAAGAGCACCCATGATGGCAATATTGTAATCGAGATGGTTCTATATAACGGCATGATCAGCATTTCGCATATACACATAGCAAATGTGAAAGACTTACAGCAATAGCTTGAATCGTGGAGGTTTTGCCTGTACCAGGTGGACCATACAACAAGTATCCGCGACGATGTGGGATTCCTCTCTTCGTATACCAATCCGCCTTCTTTTTGAATGTCTGCATATCCATCATCAAATGCTCCATTTGGCCCTTCTTCAAATGAATACTGTCCATGTCTCTTTGAGGGAGCTCTCTCTCATGCTTCCAGTTGTATTGATCGCTTCTCCAGATATCCCTTGTTCGCTGAGTCTTGTTGTATTCATCAGACCATTCCTGCAAAATGACATGCAACAACTTGGTGTCGCGATCCAGCATACTATTCGATATATTGGCAAGTTAGTTTGGCATTTCTAGCAACCAACGTAATACAAAAGTACCTGACAGCAATATGCTCCTCATCACGTTCATTTTCATTCATGACAGCATCCTTAAATACGACCTTGACGACATGGCCTTTGTAGTTGAGCTCTTCATCAAAGTCAGCAGCTAAAGTACCATGTGAATAAAGGTTTACATTTTACCCTATAGATGGCACTTACGTGGCAACAGCTGAACCTTGATTGTGGAATCATCCATGCTAGATGCTTCGCTATAATTTGTAACATCGTCCCATTCATCCCAGCATGCCTCCTCATAGTTATCGACATAGGTGGTATTCATGGATCCATTACCATTATACATGGCAATACCAGAGGACAATTTATCCTTGGTATTACCATGCTCAAAAGCATACTTGGATACGATATTGTATAGATTGTCGCTGGAGTAAATCTTGATGGTAACATAGCCGGGAGGATCAGCCTTTTTGAAGATTCGCTCTACCAATTTTGTCCAGTGTGTTCTCAGGATGGCTATGATGTCGATGCTGGATTAGAGCATGGTTCAAATCCATGCAAAATTGGATACTTACGTGCAATATAAAAAGCTAGAGATAAGGCAACGAAATCGTTTCCAAAGTACTTTTGTCCCAAATTCACTAGTCTTTCACCAAGGATGTTCTTCCAAATATTTTCATCAGAGATCTTTTCGAGAAACGTCAACAGCAGGTTCAAAATGGTGCCAATACGGGCAACAGGGTTGATAGCATTCATTGTAGTCAAAGCGTTTGTCATCCTTTAAAGTGTTGTATTGAAGGTGGCGAAAAGAAAACAGGAAAAGAGGTGATAGGTAATAACCTGTTCACTTTTTTTCGTGTTGCCATGGTTTTTATAGTTGTCGAGGCCGTGATCAAGATGCTGCGGTTTGATCAAGGCTTTTTCTAATCGACTGCGGCTAGTGGGCCAAGCTTTATGTAGGTTAATGAAAAGGTTTTGTCAAAATGACAGATAAAGAGTAGTAGCACAGACGGAAGATAGGATGTCGCAGTAAAACTATGAGGAAAAGCTCACCATGCAAGTGAAACACATTGACGAAAGGCGGTTGCCATGTAACACGACAGCCCGTTGCTATGTGACACTAGTAGAATCAAATGCATGCAAGCACTTAGCCCTAGTTTCCTTTTTCTCGCATTCATCCTTCTAAACATAGAGACAAATGTGCTATAACATAGCGCCAATGAGCTGTTGAGCATTCAATGTGAGGAAGGATCTGTCTTATCAGCAAAAAAAAAAAAACCATTGCCATTTGTATATTTAGAAATCTTTCTTTTATTCTGTGGTGCTACAAAGCAGAACCCTTTCCACACTTTCGGAAAATATTAGCCGCCACACATGTTTTGGTATATGTGCAACTTTTCCTTTGAATTTGATCTTGCTATGGCACTTGAACCCATCCAGTGCGTCGCTTGCGTAACATTCCTGCAATCACTTCTTGTTCTTTTGTTCAGCAATGACAATGTAGGCTTGATGCAGCTTTTCGACAATCGAAAATTGATTTTTGAAAAATTAATGCTAGAGCTTTGAAAGTAGCAAGTTAGTATATCAAAATTTTGCGAAGAACATGATGGTGCCATTGGAAATTAGATAGAACGAAATGGTGCTGAGAAAAGAGTAAATTTTGAGATTTGCAAAATCTAGGCATGTTACTAATAAAAGTCATGGGATTACTATATGAATGTTGGTTGTATGTTTTGTAAAAGCTGTAAAGAGTACTTTGATTGACAAGGGCACGTTAGATTTGGGGTTGTTGACAACGACGTCGATGAGTAATGAAGAAAAAAGATAGCCGAAATGGTCAATCTTCAAAGGGCCATACTGCTGCATTTTACTAAGTGAACGATAATTTCAAGCTTAATAGTTTATGTTTCTTTTTCAATTCTCTATACAATAGTATGGTTTTTATAGATTTATTTTTTGAGTTTTGAAAATCCTCTGCTTCTTGTAGCTCATAAAATATGGGATTTTGAACGAATTCATAAAATGGAACCTATATCCGGTACTTTAAACTCTTACATCATAATAGATATAACGTAGAGCTATCGAATTGTTTTTGCTTTGTGCGAATCCAATGAGTATTTGTCGACATATGTTCAAAAAAGGGTATCATGCAAAATCATCAATTTTTCTTCAAAATCTGCCTGTGATAGCAAGCAAAAAATCTGGTGGCGATTTTTTGGTCAGGACAAGATTGTCGATATCTCATGATAGAGTTATGCCAGAGCTTCAAGCAATAGCTCATTCGATAGGAAATTTTTTGGTTTACAATGTTTAGTAGTTATTAATAAAACGTTTTAATGACAGATACTGATTAATCTTTTGAAAACAGTGAAAAAACTGCAAAAACTACTCCATCAAAAATAAGTTGAAAAATGTACACCAGACACTTGATATAAATGCCATTGTATTTTCCTTTAAATTCTCTACAAGTTTCATATAAGTTTGAAGGGGTGTTTACTACCAAGAAACGCGTAATGTTAAGGTCAATAGATTTTGGAATCCCATGGATCATCATTCAGAACAATAGAAATTGAAGCTCCGTTGGCTGTCATCTTGGGTATTTAAGGTACAATTATCCGTCAATCTATTTCCAAATGCAGATATTGTAATTCTGATAGATCACTTGACATGAGGGAGAATCTTGCTTTTAAGATTAGACAGTTGTAGCTTGTTTTGCTCGATAATAATAAGATTTACAATTTAAGGTGATTTATCAGAAATAAATTATTCATAAAAAAAAGAGTATGAAATTAATCAGGTAAAGAATATCATGTATTACATTGAAAATAAGAGGGTTTATATACTATTCGAAATGAGGAATTTGATGTGAGGATAAGGTATTAGATGGGTTGGTTTGGGTGATAGGATAATAGTTCCAATCTATTATTTTGAACATGCCATGATATGGATCGTAACTGAATCTTGTTTCATGTCAAAGTTTATGATCTGATGTGATCGATGCTTGAACTGATTGTTTCTACGCATTTGGAGATCCTGTTTAGAAATGATACATCTGTAATGAAATAGCCACCCAAACGCAACTTGATTGAAAACCGAAATTCATCAAATAGCACTCATTCAAATTCATGCTATTTGGATCTATTAGTAAAAGCGCTCAAATGTACATCAACAACCATTTAAACATACTAAAGTAAAGATACACGCTTATATCGCACATCGTGTGAATGAATCACTCCTGACCACAGTGTGTTCAATCACACCCATGATGGTCGTAATAAGAGATGTTATCTTTATCCAAATAAAATCAAATCAGTAACAAGCATATTCAAATATGACAACTATGCCCTGCTGCCATAGTTGCACAATATTCCAGGTAAAGGGTTTCATACTCCAATAACAAACATCATACTTTAAACCATCAAGGTCACATTAAACCATGCTATGACGATAGCTCACCCAAGCCTATCAAAGTTACTCAAATCGACCCTTATGGCCAGTGCTCTTGCATTGATTACCACTTTAAATCAAACATCAACAACATTTGCCAGATATCGCAATACCAGCACCTATTGCTCTCTATCATCACTAACCCTACAAGCCAGATGCAAATGTATAAATACTCTTCTTTTTTTTACTCAATTCCAGGATCTTCAGTTCATTTTATACACAAAATAAAATACAGTTGATTTCTATTGTATTTTACTACTGCTTTTTTTTTGTGAAATCTATTTAAACCTGATTTCACTGCATTGAGTACGGTGTTGCTATCGTTGTTATTGTTACAGCAGTAATTACTTAGAGTAGCTACAAAGCTACTGCTGCAATGGTGCTGAGTGGACTGAGTTCAACTGATCTCCCAAACATCACTTGTAGTAGGCTGGAAACACTACTGGTATCATTTGCAGGCATGGCACACCTTTTACAAGCCTCTACCAATATCATACTTGGCATACTGCAAGTAAATCTACTATACCTATCTCCGGAGCATATGATGTTTTGAGTAGAGCACTAACCTATCGTAATGCTTTAAACTTTAAGCTACTACTACTACTACGATCGTACAATGTTGAAAACATCATCGGATGCCATTTGATCTTCCCAGTTAAGCAACATCTTGACCAGTCAGTACTATCGTGGGGACATATGACGGTAATGCTGGCTGTTGTAGTTTCTTTTGGTATAACAGTAGCCAAGAGCACGTTTTCTTTCGAAGACCACGACAGCGTAAACCTCGCTGAAGGATCCAAAGGAAGCTAATGAACAACTCACAGATGTCAATACAAAGCTACAGACTGGCTACTAACGTATATTTATGAAAGTAGATAAGAATGCATTAGTGAATCGCATCAGACTAGAGATGCCATCTCTTCTTTGTCAATTGGCCAGTTTGGCTTGCATGCAGTAATCTTTGGCCCCCCCCCCCCTACTTGGCCCAGTCGATCCCAAAGGCACCCGTCCTTCCAACATTGATAATAAGAAACATGACACCACCAATTCCTTCTGTGCAAGAAGCGTGGAATGGCTGGAGTTTGATGAACTCGATATTTAAGGTAATTTTCTAATAAGCAATGATGTTATATGATACTAACGCTTTATCTCCTTGGTTTTTCTTTTCGTCATAATTTTTTATTACTGAAACATAGTGTTTAAATTATATTAGTATGTTTGCGACATGTCTTTCAAGGCTAGGAACTACGTCGTTGCTATATGACATAGAAATCGGATAGTTTAATGAAAATCAAGTTATATACTCATTGAATAAGTAAGTTAAAGAGGCCTATATATAAATTGCGAAGAGCTATGTATCCATTACAAAGGAAAATGAGGTTACTTCCACATTGATACATGATTCCAGGTATCACACCAGTGACAATGCAGAATCTGAATGATTTCCAGATGTTTATTTGAAAGCGCCTCACAAATCAGGTGCTGTTTCTGCATTAGCGTGTCTTTATAGCTAACCTACTCCCTGTAAGAGATATTGTTATTAACGGGAGGTCCTCAATTCGATATTTATGCAAAAAAATTACTGTAACACAACGAGTCCTATTTAGACAAGTGAGTTCAAATACTTGTAGTCACTTGAAAATCTTGGCTGATAAAATCTGTTACACCTTTTGCATGTTTTAATCTCTTTCATTTTGAAATGAAATTCTCCTTACAGAAACTACTTGCACTCGGCTCAATAGGTTTATATAGCGCTTTGGTGGCTGCAGATGCACAAAAGCAAAAACCTTTTCAGAATCACAATGCACTTGATGTCAAGTCTCTTCTAAAGCAGCATGATAAGCCGAACATGTTGGAAGCGCACGAAAAGCATTTTCAAGGAAATACGTTAGCGTATGTCACTCCATGGAATAACAGAGGTAACATGACAGCATTGGTGTACCTCAGCATGCTAATACAACGAGATCTTAGGCTATGATATTGTGAAGGAATTCAAGGGCAAATTTGACTAGTACGTGTCATTTACTAGGAATTATACTCTAATGACTCATGTTTGCTTTTCATTAGTGTTTCTCCTGTATGGTACTACATTCAACGCAGGTACGATTAAATTGCAATTTAATATATTCAAGGTGGGTGGACGCTCAGGATTATGAACAGATCATCTTTGGAGTTTGATATCGATGGCGAGCATGATGTGGATCAGGGTGTAAAGTGGCATATCTGCTTAACATGAATTGTGGATGCAGGAGTCTGACTGTTCATACTATAGTGGATGAAAGAGGTCAGGGATGAGACTACGGGTAAAGGCAAGATTTTGCCTCGGTTCCAGTTTCGTGGATGGACTGGGGATGATTTGAAATTGTTTGTATCCAACAAAGCAGAGTCTCAGGCATTGGCAGATAAACTGATGGATCAAGTCAGGTAAGTCCGTACAGATGCGTCTATCTAAAGGAATGGACGGTACTCAAGGCATATTGACTAGTAAACACAATTTTGATGGTGTTGTTATCGAGTGTGGATTCCCCGCTTTCTTTCAAATATTTCTCAATCAATTATCAACGCAGCTGCACAGAAACGATCGCCAATTGATAGTTGTTTTGCCCGCCATCATGACTGAAGAGCACAGAAAATACATGACTCCAGATATATTCAAAGCTATGGCACAATACGTGGATCAATTCAGTTTAATGACATACGATTTTTCCAGCCACGATCCGTAACTACCCACTAGAAACAAGTGGCGTGATGAAAATGACTAATACTTTGTTTCATGCGACATGTAGAAACGGTGGCCCCTCATCGCCTATTGAATGGATCATGGACAACATTGAATATCTTGCACCAGAACCAGAGGAACGCAGTAAATTATTGATAGGATTCAACATGTATGCCATGTCGTATTTGCAAACGCGAGCCCCTGAGCCTCTGGTGATGAAAACTATAGTTGAAAAGTTACGAGATCAGCCTAAGGAAAGGATGTTGGATGATGAGCTGTTTGATGATGATATACCAGATGACGATAGTTCAACAGAGGTCTTAAATTGGGATTCAACAAGCCAGGAAGCTTGGTTTGTGGATATTGATGAAGATGGCATTAGACAAGGCATTGTTTGGTTACCTACATTGAGGGCAAGTTTGACCTAGATCAAGTTATAAGAGCTCATTGTCTGATAATTCATGATTAGTCTATTAAAAATCGAGTGAGATTAGCCGAGGATTATGGAGGTAAGCAATTCCCAGAAGGTTTTACATCTGAATGTGCGTTTAATTAATTTTGTGTTGGACCCAACTAGTTGGTATTGCCCTTTGGGAGGTTGGACAGGGTCTTGATTACTATGTAAACATTGACAAACCATTCAAAAATAGGTGATTATTTTCTAAAATTTTCTATTTATTTTCTTAGTATGACCTATTTTAGGCGAGGACATTATCCTTGGTAGTGTGATCCACCAAAATGTCGTACTTGACATATATCAAGCGGACTACTATCCGAATAAACTTTGTCAGTGGAAGCTGCATTTGAGCAACCCATGTTATCTGTCTAATGCGTCCATTTGCCATCCAAACTCTCAATGTGCATATATATATATGATTCCATACATACTCAGAAAGTGCCTGATGTATCTTGTACACAATGTAATTATTCTATCTACAGAAATTGATCATTTGCTCAGCATCTACAATCTTTTTGATATGATCATTAATGCTTATGGGCTAATACACGTCGGTGCTTTTGTGAAACAAACCATGTCTTGGATAGCACTATTGTCCACAGGTCTGACGAAATGTGCTCTTCCTATGACTCTCTATTCTCTCAAAATAGAGCAATTTGAAACCAATTATGGATGATAAACTATATCAATAACTCGACGGCCGTGATATACTTCGCTTGTCCACATGGCTTGATGAAATTGAGGATCTTTTTTTCTTTTTCTTCGGCAATGTACTCATGTCGTAGCGAGTATCATACAATTATGTTGTAAAGTGATCCATGTACATTGAAGCAAGTTACGAGCAATGGACATACTGCATTTGAAATTAACCACCGTTGGCTCGGGATATCATCATGAGTTGCGCTTCGTAAGTTTAACTTTGTTTGGTTGGCGTTTACAATTTTTGAGCGCTACAATATGTGTTTCCATAGCAACCATATGAACACAATTTGACAGGACAGTAACCAGACGAGCATACTAAAAATAAGTAAAATCTTGCACTCATTCACTGATGAAACAGTTTTCAGTTTATTAACTGAAGAAGGCTCCTTTCAATGCAATGTCATAGCAAAGCAAAACCTTTCATGTTGGATAGGTTTCAGATTAATACATTCTGAGATAAATCCGTTTGATTGACAGCATGTGGCAAAAAAAAAAAATAAAGTAAAAACACAGGCAAATCTGTCAATGCGCATTTCTTAGTAACACAGCAGCATTGACACCAAAACGTGCAATTCCAAGATATTTCCACTTCTTTTCTTCTTTCCTTGAATAACACGTGTATGATCTACCTTTAATACATTCTGATGAAATTAAACATTTCTAGAACATGTTGCAAACAACAATGCTTCTCCACTTTTTTTTTTTTGGTGAAAAGCTTATTTCATACAATAAAATGCCATGTTGTATTTGATGTGTGTCAACCAGTACAGCTGACATTTATTTGATGTGCAATATAGATTGGGAAAAACGGCCTGCTCCGATGGGATCATGGTTTTATGAAACTTGCTATCAAGAAATTATTATTGATTTTATATTTAATCCAACATATAGACGTTCAATTCTTCCCTCTTTCTCTCTCTTTTCTCTAAAGTATTTATGCACCATTGATTCTATATCGATATGCACTTTCCTGATATTGTCTACGCTATTCATAATTTTGAGGCTGAAAATGAAGATGAAATGACATTTCGGTATGGTGAACCTATTGTCATCCTTGAGAAAGACGATCAATATCTTGACGGATGGTGGCAGGTACAGCCCTTTTACTTGTTAACAAAATTATGCCTAACATTTGTATTGTAAAAAGGGACGCAATACACTGGGTCAAACTGGCCTATTTCCAAAGAACTACACCTCACCCGAGAAACCACCAAATACCAACAATCGTATAGTATCATACAATGATGATATTTATCACCACATGCGCATGTCATCTGGAACAAGCAGTGCAACAATCTCATCTGATGAGTATCGTGCTACTAACACCATCCACTCGTCTCCATCAACAGAAGACATTGCAAATGTATCGGCGAGTAATACAACATTTGGCGTCAGCAATTCATCTCCATTTGATTGGAATATGGAAGAAGTTGTTACATGGCTTGACTCTGTTGGCTTAGAGTCTTTTGCTGATAACTTCATAGGTGAGTTGTCATTGGCGTATTTTTAGTCTAATCAATAGCTAATACACTACTAGATCAAGATATCACCGGGGATGTTCTCTTAAGTCTAGATCATAATGCTTTAAAAGAGTTAGGTATCCATGCGTATGGTCGTCGATACAAGGTGCTAAACGCCATCAAGTCGCTGATTGTCAGTACAACTAGTCAGTCAGAAGCATCAAATGATAGGCAATCAGCCAGTGCTTATTACAGTCGATACGGATCAGTAACCGAGAATTTTTCGAATAATAAAACCAACAGCGTCTCCTCTTTAAAGTCCAGTGTTTCATCTACAACACCCAGATCCGGTAAATACCTCATATGTGCCGTCTGTAAAACATACTAATATTAACCGCACTTACTGTAAAGCTGTACCCGCCAATCTGTCTGCATACCGCCATTCTCTGTCTACCCGCTCAAACAATAGCAATAACAATGACGCTCATTCCAGCTGCGCTTACAGTGAGAACAGTAGTTTGATGTTGGAAACCAGACCTTCATCCAACTCGACAGCTGCATGCAAAAGATCTACATTTGACAGTCATTTATCAGCATTGCCATCCACACCATCCATACATCAAAGGCATACACTATCCGATGTATCCATGTACGACCCATCTAAGGCAACAGTACCTCCTGCACAGCAGAGCAGTAACAGCACATTTCCTGAATGTGAAGGCTGGATTTACAAACAAAGTGATCGTTACAAGACTTGGAACAAGCGATGGTTCGTGCTTCATGGTACCAATTTATTTTATTTCAAGAATCCAAAGGTAAATAAGCATCAAAGTTTCAGACTTTATATGCAATGCAACTCATATATTGAATTTTAATGTTCGCTATAGGATTCAAGAATGAAAGGCATCATCCATTTGCGTGGTTATCGTGTTGTCTTGCAAGATGCCAATAGCCATTCAGCGTCTACCAAAAAGTACCACTTCAAGCTGCATCATGACCAAGAAAGAACCTTCTTTTTGTACACAAGCACAGTGCATGATATGAAGCGGTGGGTTCAAGTATTGATGAAATCGACAATACAGCGTGATTTATGTGGTATGATGAAAAAACAGTATGGGTCCATTTCAGAGCGTCAAACTAACACTTCCCTATAGTGCCCGTGGTATCTTCCAATACGGTGAATACCGTACCTCTGGAGATTGCTCAACAAATGAAGCCTAGACCACCTTCTACTCTCATGTGCAGCAACAAGGACAGAAAGGTGCTCAACTACCGTCAGGCTATAAAGAACGATGTTGTATCAAATGCACTAGAGGAAGAATTGGACGAGACGTTGCTTTGGATGGAGCATCCCAGCGATCAAGATGAAGAGCCTTATCAAAAACTCATTATTCGGTCCTACCCGTCGCCAAAGGAAGAAGAAGGACAGCAAGATGAACATGTAAATTTCCATTATACTAAACAAAGAGAGCAGAGCTATTTCTTTGCCACACCTACACAAGCTGAGAAAGAAGTGTATCCACGGTACCACTCACATCAGCACACCAACGAAGAACATCCACACGCTTATGACACGAATCCTTCCATATCCCTATCCTCCTCTAAACACGCCAACACCAACGATGCCATTCTGTACTGGGTAAATCGCACCTTGGCTCCTACCATTGAGATCTATGATTTAGGGTCTGCGTTTCGTTCAGGACAAGTTTTGATCCAATTACTGGAAACACTCAGTGGACAATCTATAGCCCTTGAGAAGACTCAGGCATCGGCTAGCATGAACACGCTAGACAGCATTGTAGAGGCTTTCGAGTTTATGAATCGAGAAGGCATTTTCAATAATGGCTACACCATCAAAGGTAGATATTAGATGGACATGTCTCAACTAGTTGTTACTGACCCTTATTCCTTTAGATGTCTTTAGTGGCAACGAAGAAAAGATTGTAGATATGATTCTTTCCATCAAGATTTGGTCAGAAGAAAAACAAAACAGAGCTCTTCAGATATAGATACCCTCAGCTTGTATACACGTTGTATCCTAGACATTATATCTTGTAAATAAAAGGCTGTGTGTAATATCAAAAATCGAGCCACGAAGGCGCAAGTGTTCGTTTCTGATGAAACACTTGATTGCGCAGTAACCGGCATTGATCATATCCACTCAAAAACATATATATATATATATATATATATCTTCTACTTTATTAACTGTTCATGCTTGTTCATGTCTATCAATTGGAGTACCTTGCCAGTAGAAATTTGGCTGTCCATTTTTGTAAAGAATTCTTTCAATTGGCATTCACCCCCCCCCCACCATCAAAAGAGCAGAGGGCACCCTAAGCAATGGGTCGCTCAAAGACATGCTTGACATTGCCCAAAGCTCAGCCAAAAGGTACCGAACAGCTCTATTTCAGACATTTATTGATAGAGCTCCTCTGCATAATTAGTCCCAAGGGTAAATTCTACTATGGTGAACACTCTCTGATGAATTGCTTGAATGAATTCGCAAATCGAAGCAAACTGTCCTTATTTTTACCTCGACGGCATGGACGACTTGGAGGCCGTTGACAATTTAGAAAGAACCTTCAGATTGACCTGTATCTCGTATAGAAGTATCCAAATGCTACCAAAATTTCATTTATTGGACGATAGTTTGCATGGGTACCGCTAACGCTTATAGAATGCTGCGTATTTGCCATCGATGCTTTTATTGCAGACGATTGGGAATTGAAAGATATGGAACTACTTAGAATCTCATGGCTGCATTGCAAAGAGAAACTAACTCGGTGCAGAGCCAGAAAGCCGATTCTTCTAATAGTAATTGCCAAGAGATGTAGATGATGGGCATACCCACTTTCTTATTAGCATCTCATAGCATTCTCCAGCATCATTGATAGAGACAATCTTGTTGTTTATCAGCGTGAAGTTTTATTAGCAACTGTGATCTTGATACGTGTAATTCTTTTAAGCATGTGTTCTGCTAAAAACGCTTGCTTTCGATGAATAAATAGCTTTCAAGTAACCATCATGCAGACTCATAAATGCGAGAAATGGTTGAGCCAGGGAATCGCCCATTACTATTAATATGATGTCGTTCGTTTTCTTCATTTTCCATAGAATTCTTGTGAATATGTAGATGCATTACCTCGGCAGCAACTAAGCTAGTCTACACATTATCTTGGCGCTTGCCTCTATAGCTCTAAAAACTTACCCTTCTTTTGATGAAAAAACCTATTTGATATGTTTTGATTTTAGAAAGTATACTAAATTTTGTATATATTCCTTGGCCCTGTTATGCTTAAACAGTGCTCTCTGTGCAAGCATTGCCCCGAATTTGTGCATGTATACAATTACGGCCAATGCAAGGCAGAAGGCAGAAAACTACCATTTATAGTTGGTGACCAAAGAACCAGCAACGTTGCGCGAAGTTGAGTTTCAATGGACAACAAATGTTAGCTTAAATATGTGGTCTTTTTAGTTTTTGCTTGGCTTCTTCTTTTTCTTCTCAACATTTCCCAATAAAGAGAAAATGAGTCTTGCGCCTTCCTCTTTTCAAACATCCAAAGCACAGGTTACCATCTCCTACAAGATCAACGGCGACAAGAATGTAATTCGTCATAAAAACGAGCTTGTACAACCAGACAGACCATTTATCAACCAAAACATCCAAGTGAGCGCCAAGGTGATGCGTCATTCTGATGGAAAGGGTGGCTACTTGCTCTCTTATCATGTCAAGGCCTTTAAACCCATCGAGCTAGTCAAATTCGAGGCCACTTACATGGCTGATCTGAAGGATCAACGCATGATGGCAAATGGTTTCCAGAGTTGGAGTCAAGCCCGTGAATTCACCAAGAACGAAAAGATTCCTGCTATCCGCACTGGTATTGCATGGTATACACAGCTCAACCTTCAGGGGTAAGTCATCTCTCCTGCAGTGGGGATTGTCATCTAGTGCTGATGTGGTGAAATCATAGTGATTACGATATCTTTCAACACACTGGCGAGAAGGGTCTGATTCATTCCAGCAGTTACACTCACTTTCGCGATGTGAACAATGTGCTTTCCTTTTTCGGATCTGTTTCCGAGCATTTAGGTTATACTTACTTTAAGGGAGACTTCAACAACAACACGCTTAGCATCTACAAGGATGTATTAGGAAAGAAGATGGATCAGAACGAGGAGATCGAGTTTGTGCGTGTCTTTATCGCTCAGGGATTGGATGCGGAAGCGCCTATTTGGGACAGTTATGCCGAATTTTACGAGGATCGCAGAGCCATCAAGAACAACGAAGATGACAAACGCCATGTCAACGGCTGGACTTCTTGGTACAACTATTACGGTGATGTCAGTGAATCCATCATTAACGAGAATGTCGAAGCACTGCAAAAACACAAGTATCCCATCAACATCTTCCAGATCGATGATGGCTTCCAGACGGCCATTGGTGATTGGCTGTCCATCAACAACAAGTTTCCTAATGGCATGAAGGCTGTTGCTGACAAGATCAAGGACGCTGGATTCAAGGCGGGTCTCTGGCTGGCACCTTACGCCGTTGGATTCACCAGCCGTATTGTCAAGGAGCATCCAGATTGGCTAGTCATCGATCCTGAAACCAAGAAGCCAGTGGTTGCAGGTCCTAATTGGGGTGGATTTTATGCATTGGACATGTACAATCGTGAGGCAAGAGAGTATTTGAAGCATGTGTTTGATGTCGTGCTGCAGGATTGGGGGTTCGATATGCTCAAGCTCGATTTTTGTTTTGCTGCAGCCATGATACCTCGCATGGGCAAATCCCGTGGTGAAATCATGTGGGAGGCTATGGATTTGATTCGTGATTTGGTGGGCCCTGAAAAGCTTGTGCTTGGCTGTGGTGTTCCTTTGGCCTCTGCGTTTAGAAAGGTAGATTACTGTCGTATTGGATCAGATGTGGCTCCTTGGTGGGAGGGTAAGTGGCACCTTTTGCTAGAGTGATCGTTTACTAATATGATATACAGACTCCAAGCTCAAGCTGCTCCATGTGCGTGAACGTGTATCTACAGCCAACTCACTAGTGTCAACCTTAACACGTTGGACAATGTCTGACCGTATGTTTGGTAACGACCCTGACGTAATGATCCTCCGTAACCACAAGAATAAACTGAGCCCAGATGAAAGATACACGCTGTGTGTCCTCAACAATATCCTCGGTGCTTTGGTCTTTAGTTCGGACAATGTCGCTCTGTATGGTCGTGATGAACATTTGCTTTATTCTGCCACTTTCCCCAAAGTCATTGCCCATGTCCACAGCGTGATTGAGTTTAGACGCAACTGCTTTGTCGTCAAATTCACTGTCAACGACGCCAATGGCAAGCCTCGCATCTACTCTACCTTTGCCAACCTTACAGAAGAAGAGCAAACCATCTATTTGCCCGAGTCCTCTAGAGACACGCACCTCTTGTTTGCCACTGACAATGATATGCACATGAGCCAAGCAGATGAAACAGAAGCCTTGTTTTACCATCCCTCTTCTGCCGCCAAACTCAAGGTGCACGAAACCAAGACATTCATGCACATCCCAGAGCCTCGTTCAGACCAAAACGACTTGCTTCTTTTGGGTTCCACTAGCCACATTGTGCCTGGTGCTGAATTGGATCAATTTAAGAATGACAATGGCACGCTTCACATCACTTTCAAGCCTGAAAACACAAGACATCACAAGGTGTACCTAGGTTTTGGTACCTATCTTCATCAACACCGCAACAACGTGCCTCCTCCTTGCAGACTGGGTGGTAAGCAATTGGACTATGAGTGGATTCCTGTGCACGGTATTGGAGAAGGCAGACCAAAGAGTGAAGTATTGGCTTTTATCATAGAAGAGAACTAGTTTATCATCCCAAGATAATAAATGTATTGTCCCCACACACTTTTGAAGCCTCAAAAAGGAAAGAAGTTGATTTTACAAATATATCAGTGGACTGGTGATAATAGATGCAAGAGGTTGAAAGAAAATAACATGGCTAGCGATAGTACTATGTAAAACGCCATCTACTTTCTATTATTGGCTCCAAAAGCATATAATATTATTGCCTTCATGATTAGGACAACCCGACTAGCAGTCGACGCCCGCCTAAATTAGTTCCAACTCAGATTTACGGTTCGCTCCAGATTGGACAAACTTCAATGAATTTCTACTTGATTGAACTATTTCGTCAGATTCGACTATAAAAATCTGATGGCCATCCTTCACTTTTTTAAGCTTTCTTGGAGTGCTTTTCAAGGTGCTTCCAATGGTACCAAGTAAGGTATATGTTTTGAATAAGTTTATTGAGTAATTTTTGAAAGTATTAAATGAGGTTTTTGGCCAAAATGTCGAGATTTTGCATATGAAAGCCTCATAAAAGTGGTTTCAGAGGCTGCTTTGGATCGAGAGGAACATTTTGATTTAATACATTCCATAGTAAAAGCCTTCATTTTCAAGGCGAAAACAGCGATCGTTTGATTTTCGATGAAAACCATGAGGTACTTTTTTTTTTTTTTTTTTAAATTGTTTTTATTGATTGCTCCGTGTAAGTAGGTCCCTAGGGCACTACCAAGAGGCGGGCGCAATTGATATGATATTCAATTGTATTTATGATAAAGCGATAGATGACAGGAACAGATGATAGATGGCAATTGTGATTAGAGAATTACAATTGCTTGTGAATTTCAGTTTGGGCATGTAGTTGAAGGAGCTCGTTCTTGATCTGCTGGACCACATCGATCCATATAAATGGAGTCGAGTGAAAGATCATACGAACTTGAGCTCGCCAAATGTTGCCAAGTGTTACCAGTACGACCATGTGAGCAGTGGTGTATGATTTGGAGACATACTTGATGTTTTCAAAGTCAAGAGAGGAACAAGCTTGGATAATATCACCAATCGAAACGGTTGGCCACAAGAATTCAAAGATGATAGCTTTCCAGATGGATGCCTTACTGGAACAGAGGAAAAGCAAGTGTACAGCATTTTCTTCGTTACCACAGATCGGGCAGAGAGGTGACTCAGCTATCTCAAAGTAGTGTAGCAGGCGTTTGGTCGGGATGGTGTGGGTGAGGAAGCGATAGATGACATTACGGTGGACAAGGTTCAGGGACAGAGACCAGAAGAAATTCCAGTTGGACCTGGCAATGCTGGAGGTGTGAGCCTCGATGCATGCTGTGCGGAATGTTCTGGTTGAAATCTGTCGAGTGAGGCCTTGCTGGCTGTTGAAATCATAGGAGTCAATAAACGGTTTGAAGGAGATGTCGGTTGTGCGGTTGGTGCCACCCTGAGGGGGTTGTAGCATGAGGCTAAAGTACGGCTGGATATGTACTTTGTTCTCGTTGATTTGCTTCAGGATTTTCTTGCAAGCGCGTCGAATGTCAGCTGGGATGGTTGGTGCTTTTCGTGCTTCGAGTTGCAGAGGTTGGTCAGGATTGGGTTGATAAAGATCCTTTACTTGCAACTGAGTGGCCCTAATCGGCATTTTGGAGACAGTGGCAGACGGCTGCAGAATGGCTTTGACAGGTAGGATTGAGGCGGTAGCAATATTGAGGTGAACTGGTTCATTGATGCGTTTGAGGCGGTCAACTGATTTGTAGATCATTGTTACCGTGTTGGTGCGTTGTTTGGTGAGACCAATGGTTCGTGTGAGGGGAAAGAGCAACGGAACCTGCACATGCGCACTCTGATTTTGCTTATTCACTAGCATGACCAGCATGAGATCTAGGATGTGGGGCGAGTCAGAGGGATGGAGGAGCGGTTGAACCCAACGAAAGTATAGGGCTGATTGTTGCAGAGCAACATCCAGAACACCTAATCCACCTAATGGCTTCGGCTTGGTCCATGTGGCCCAGGGGATAACAGGAAAGATGCCTTTTCGTAGAAACTTGGTGCAAATGGACTGGATAGCTTGGACATTACTTTGAGCAAACGGAGTTACTCGTAGTACATACCAGCATTTGGACAAAATCAAACTGTTGAGCACTGTAGCTTTGCCAACGACGGAGAGACTTCTTACACTGTGGATTTTGGTAGCTGTCCGGAGATTGTCGACAAGACCACCGATAAATACTTCACGTTGTTGAACCGATTGCAGCAGAGGAAACCCGAGATAGATCACTGGATTGGAATCCTTGTTGGATGTGAATTTTGTGATATTCATTTCCGAGAGTCGTGCTTGCCAATATGACCATGTGTTTTGACCAGAGAGCGAGATAGCTTCGACCTTGTTGTAGTTAATCTTGGCATTGGTTGCATTGCAATAGACATCTAAGTGGTACTCGAGTCTTGCCAGATCAGGAAGGTCTTGAACAAATACAAAAGCATCGTCAGCGTAACATAGGATTTTTGACACATGAACTAAAGGGTCATTAGCATTATAGTTGGGATGGTCAGTTGCATACTGCATTTGATAGCCGTGGTATAATGGATCATTGAGAATAGACCGCAGAAAGGGTTCAATAGCCAAATTGTACAAAATAGAGGAAATGGGGTCACCTTGCTTTAAGCCTCGCAGCTTGGGAATATCATCAGTAAAGTAACCATTCACATTGATGCGCAAGAGATTTTGGCCCATCATGTTGATGATGCAGCGGACAAGATTAGCAGGGAAGCCATAAGTAATGAGTGCTGTTTGAAGGTACGAGAGGTTAACTCGATCGTACGCTTTTTCCTGATCAAGACTAAGGCCAATTGCTTTGGGCATTTGGTGTATCACATTGTTCTTCTTGGCCAAGTTCATGGTTCGTTCAGCATCTTCCATTATGACCTGACACCGCAGAGCGTTTTGGGCAATGAACCGCCCAGGTACGAATCCCGCTTGGTTCTCGTTGATCAGTTGCTTAGCGACTTCCATCATTCGATGATTAAGCAAACGTGTCAAGAGTTTGTAGTCAGTGTTGCAGAGGGAGATAGGTCTATAATTTGCCATGTCATTGGGGTCATTTTTCTTGTAGAGGATTGTCATGAGGGAGACGTTCCAAGACGCAGGAAATATGCCTTTGGTGAGGGCATCATTGTAGACCGTGGTGATGAGAGAGTGGAGGGGTGGGAACTTGAGAATCAGCCGGAGGAGTTGGTAAGGGATGCCATCGCTGCCGGGAGACGCAAATTTAGGCGATCTTTTACATTCAAACAACAAATCATCTAGCTCTACTGGTAGTTCGAGGAGTGATTGCTGTTCACCGTCAAGTTGCATGTCAGGTGTGATTTGATCCAACAATAGCCGCATTGATCTGGCATCGGGTGGAGTTGGTGTGTACAAATTCGTGTAAAAGCTGCCAGCGATCTCGCTCATAGTACCTTGATCAGAATGCAATTCTTGAGTAACTGGATGCCTCAGTTGTTTCAATTGACGTTGATTCTGTCTAGATACGGTGAGTTTCTTCAAGAACCCAGCATTTTTCTCTCCATTTTCTCTCCAATACTTCCCTAATTTGAGGACTTCAATTTCGGCGATAGAGTCTTGTAACGCACCAATTTGTTGGTTGATGGTGTCTAGCCCTTGAAATATCAGTCCCCGGTTCTTCTTTGCTCGCATACACCGATTCCGTTTTGCTTGTAACGTCTTCAGTGCCTTTCTACGCCAGTTGACTTCTTCCAGTTGGAATTGTCGGACATGCTCCTTAAACTCGTCTTTGATCCAGTCCCAGATCTCTTGAGGGGATTGGGTGGCTGTCTTGAGCTCAACTTGCGGCTGTAGACCTTGCAAGAAGATCACCAATTCACGACGAAACTTGTGGTTGTTGGCCAAAAAGGGATTGCATTTGTAGGCGCCAGGCCCCTGTGTTGCATCCTTTTGCAGTTGTAAAGTAATGACCAGCATTTCATGATCTGTCCATGTCGGGTTCATAAACTCCTGGGTACATTCTGTAACTGTTCCATAGGAAGTGTTGTTGCAGAAGATGTAGTCCAAGATGTAATGGAGATTGTTGGATCCATGAAAAGTGGCGCTCTTGTTTTCCCAAAAGCAATCGATGAAATATTCCTCCAATAAGGCTGTCCATTCGACTGTAGTTGCTTCGACTGTTCCATTAGATCGGCGAGACTCATATTTGTAGTTGAAATCTCCCAAAATAATCATGTTGTTCTGAATAGTTGTAATCTTGTGTATCAAAAATCTGTGTTGCATCAATTCCGTGTAGAATTCCACGTTGTCTTTTCTTGATGCTGCTTTTCCGTATATGTTGAGTATTGTGGCTATGGAGTTGGAGGAGTTTGGTTCCTCTTCCGTCGCATAATGTACGTGTGCTAGTATAAATCTACCATCGATGCCAGTGTCAATGGGTGTAATAATGTATCTGTTGTTAAGTGATATGATTCCGCAATGTTTGGTGTAGGTGCTGGACTTGCTGGAAAACTGCATATCTAAAGTGTCTTGAGTATCTTTTTTGTCAGCATGAGATTCCTGGATGGCAAGAATATCAATGTCTGATGTTTTGAGGTATTTTATGAATTTTTTTTCTGCGTTTTTTATGTTTTTGTGTGTCAGACCACGACAGTTGAGAGTCGCAATCCGCAATCGATGATTAGGTGCTCTAATCATCATATTATTCTAAGTGTTGAGGGTTGGACTGAGCAGTTTCTGATGTTTCCTGCCCTTGGGAGTCGTCTGAAGCTCCTTTGCCGCCCTTGTCGGTGACAGTGTTGAATTTGCTGGCTGCACTGCCTCTGGTGAAGCGCCTGGTGAGATTGGCGCGCTGTTCCTGCTCCGTTCTGAGCTTTTTGCCATCTCTGCCATCTTCCAGATCTGGTCGTTCCTGAATGAGAGGCTCCTTCATACTGTCATCAGGCATAAATTGCTTGATCAGCTCTTGTCCATTCAGAGTTGATTCAGCTGCATTGAATGATGTCAATGTTTGCGTGTTGTTGGCAGATGTCTGTGCGCTCGCAGCATCTGCATTTGGTGTAACGTCATCATTGTTACTTTTGGGTTGAGGAGTGGGAGAATCAATATTCATGTTGTCCTCATCAGTACCCTCTTCCTCCTCCTTGGTGGGTTCAGGCTTGTTCTGTTGCTGTTGCTTCTTGGCCGACTCAGTGTCTGTGGTTTCCTGGGTCTTGGCTACTACCACTCTAGGGCCAATGGGAGGGTTGGGCTCTCGGGGAATGATCGGAGTAGGTACCTTGCGATCTTTCCTGGGGATCGTAGTGGGCTTCTTGTTGGGGGTGTCAGTGTTATCCTGTCTAGGGCAGTTGCGACTGACATGTCCATGTTGATTGCAGTTGTAGCATTGCGTGTACCTCTTGGCATCAGGACAATCGGCTTTGCAATGATCCGGTTTTTGACAGAGACGACAAAAATCTGGCATATCTTGCCATTTGAGAAGGACCTGACGGTTGGTGCCATTATCCAATCTGAAGTAGATAATTCGATCCAAGATTTCATACGCTGGTTCGTCTGGCTTGGGGGTGATGTTCAGAGTGGCATAGCCTTGTCCGACGTAGTCGCCCTGAGTGAAGGAGATGCCATAGTCCAAGACTTCTCCAAAATGTGACAGTCTATCCTTTATCAAAGATTTCAGGACAGGAACTGGCTCCATGGGTAGTCTGTCTAAACGAACATTAACTATAGTATCATTAGCTGGAAGAGAGGGGAAACCCTTGACAAAGGTCCCATCCGTCAGATTGAAGCCCTGCAGGATTGCGATGTGGCCAGGACTGTCGTGGATCCAACATGTTTCCATGATCTCTCGATTCATATACTTGCGAGTGCGAGATACTTTGCCGATATAATCGTTGTAGCCTTTTCTGAGATGAGCATCTTTGTTGAATGCTTGCAGAGCCTCTCGTAAGAGCTGTTGATTAGGCAAACCAGTAATGTCGATGAGCACCGAGTTGTCTTCAATGCCCTTGAGGAAGGGTCGAACCATTTCCACACTTTTGCTGACGGTGGCGTCCTCGGTCATCAGAGACTGATTCGATTCACTGGTGGCGGTGGAAGGTGTGATGGGTGTCTTTACGATCGTTGGATTGAAGGTCATCGTTGTATGCTTGATGCCCTTCGTTACCTTTGCCCATGATGCGTCAACAACGGTATTTGTAGCCTTGGAGGTGCTACTTTCGGTCGTTGAACCTGTTTTCTGTTTTTTAGCGGGAAGAGCCATGGCATGAGGTACCCCTCATGGTTTTTGGTCGATTTTTGGAGGTTCCAAAAACGTTGAGCAAAGGCGTCAGGAAGTTGGTGCTGAATGAAATCAATTGTTTGGTGCCATTCCGGCGGTCTAAAACGGCTTCTAACATGCTAAAACACAGTTCAGACGCACCCAGATTTTGCGGTATTAGGCACACTTTTGACTAAATAGGGGTAATACCAGTATGCTGCTTGTCCGTATATGACGTATCTACATGTATACGGATGTGGTATACTGCATAAGAGTGAGATCTATAGATAATAGGAAGAGTTTTCATGCGTAAGTGAATGGTTAAAATGAAAATGCAGTATTTGGATGAGGTTAGCAAGGAGAAACGGTAGTGCGAGCTGTCGTTGCGCAAGTTGGCTCTCACCGAAGCTAAGTTAAAGAGCAAACCAAGCATCCAATTCAGCATTTGATAGCATTGGCTTAAGGAGCGTTTCACCCTAGCGAAGCGAAGGTGCAAAACCATAGTATTCAAGCAGCAAATTTGGTTCTCTATTTCTATTATCAATAATCTTACCAATAATATAACACATCAAAATTTGCATGAATTAACTTTACCAAAATCAATAAGCCTCCTATTCGAATTAAAAAAATTGCTCAAGCTACAGAACTGCCTTTCTAATAAATTGTAGTTACCAATAAAGATGTGGTTCATGCCGTGTAAATAAACTCTATAAATCAATACATAACCAAATTCGACAGCTTTCAAGCCTTCATATCATGACATGTAGACCTTTTTGAGCCACTGGAATGAAGCCAAACAATTGTACTCGAGTAGTAGTAACTTCATGACATCTTTGTTCAACTTTTTGGGGATCAAAAAAACATGGCCAAAAATCGACCAAAAAGCATGAGGGGTACCTCATGGTTTTCATCGAAAATCAAACGATCGCTGTTTTCGCCTTGAAAATGAAGGCTTTTACTATGGAATGTATTAAATCAAAATGTTCCTCTCGATCCAAAGCAGCCTCTGAAACCACTTTTATGAGGCTTTCATATGCAAAATCTCGACATTTTGGCCAAAAACCTCATTTCATATTTTATTAAATAGCTCAGTAATTTCAGTCAAAACCTTTATTACAGTTAGCACCATCGGAAGCGCCTTGAAAAGTACTTCAAGAATGTATTAGGAAGCGTAGGCTGATCATCACAGTTTGTATAGTCGAATATCACAAAAACAAATTAAAGAAGTCGAAAAAAACGAATTATGTCCTATCTTGAACAGAAAAATGTAAACTGGGTTTGAATTAATGTTGGCGGCGGCGCTGCTACTGGCTGACCCAAATGCCTTTCTGATGATAACAATGATGATTGCGAAGCTGATTAAATGGGGGGCGGTTTTCTCCGCTAAAGATCACCAACCATGGCTTGAATAACCACCATCACATATAACCCACCAAATCAACACCAACAACTCATCAACCAACTTCACCGTTCGATACAACCCTATCTCTATCAACCTGTGCCCGATTACTCAACGCGATCTCTCACTACAGTCCGTTACTCCTCCTGTAATCCCACCAGAAGATCCTTGCACCACAATTTACCTTCGCCGTCCTCTCACCTCCACCATGGCGCCCGAAAAAGCCAAACCAGTTAAGAAAGCTGTCGAAGCAATTAAGCCCTCTCCCATCGCCACCAGGCAACAGGCCGCTCTTGCAACCAAAGAACCTAATTCCAATGAGCACCTCATGAAAGCTCTCAAAGAACTATTCTTGCCAAAATTCGATCTAATCTCCTCAGAAATTCAAACAATCCAGTCCAACGTTCAGAACCGCTTTCAAAATCTTGAAAACGCAATTGACCAGATTAACGGTTCCATGACACATTTGCAGGTAGATCTCACCCAGAAGCAAACCAACCTGGAACAACAACTGCAACAGGTACTGACACGCGTTGAGCAATTGGAACAGGAGAAATCCCACCCAATCAACACCTCAGCACCCTCTACATTTCAGGAGGCAATCACCACTGATCACCAATCAAATTCCAGTGCTAACTCCTCGAGATGCATCCAGCCCCACCACTCATGCACGAAATCGCATTATCTCACCTCCAGGAAATCCTAAACCACAGGCACCTGTTGACCCCCTAGCAGGAGGATTGCGTTATTTCACACTTGTTTCCAAGAATCAAGGTTTCCAACATCTGTTCATCCCACGCGCGGTCGCCGAGAACTGTCGGGTATACGACAGCTACTCTACGACAAAGTTCTCTTCAAGGCGGGATCCGCTGTAGATCTTCATTTCCCTAATTCCTCCACTATAGGCATCCTTGTCCACATCGATTATGCCGACATAGCTCTCAACAAACTCCGTATCAAAGGTCTTGAGCCAATTTCTAACTTTGATCCTTACCATCCAGACACTCTTGGCGATCCAGTCCTCCAGGCACTCTCCACCGAAGAACGCACAGTCAAGATGAAAGAGATCGCGGATAAACAGTACCACACCGCCCTCGCCGGCCTCGTCCACAAACCCAAAGTTCAACTGGCAGTCGCCCGTGATTTTCTTCGCAAAAACAAGATCACCAAGCAAGCTCTCCAAGACCTTATCCAACTCCAAAAATCCACCGAGAAAGGCACCACCCCCAACACCTCAACTCAGCCCTCTAAAGGTGATTTATTCCGGCTTTTCGAGTCAGAAGATGATATCATGGATGAACCAGGACCTCACCCCGACAGTAATGACAACAACAGCACTAGTATGGATGCTACTGCATCCTCAGTCCACCCTTCCTCTGCTGGTGGTGGTGAACCAGCCGTAGCTCACTAAATTGTCGGCTCATCCGACATCGTACCGTCCGGCGGTACCCCTATATGCTATAAAAATGAATATGAACATTAAGAATAAAATCACGAACGTACAAATCGGCAGTATCAATTGCAGAAGCCTCTCTAAGTCCTCTAAAGTCCCCAGTTCCCAATCATTCAGTCGCTACCTTACAGCACAACACCTAGACATACTATGCCTACAAGAAACCCGAACACTCTCTGAAACCATACAGCAAAGATTAGACATGCAGCTCAAAGCACAACAGTCCATTTGGTCCTCACATTGTGGTATTGTATCCCTTAATCCACAGATCCACATCACTAGCCTCTATGTCTCCTCGGATGATCGTGTCATCTTATGTAAAGTATCTCACCCCAACAATGTATTTCCGTCCTTCACCATTATGAACATTTATGCTCCTGCTACCTACCATCAACGCTATGCCTTCTATGCTAATTTACTATGCTCGGATTACTTTCAAGCCCTACTAACAAACATGACTACTGACAATCCTTTAACCTCAGCACACCCAGACATCATCGTGGGCGATTTCAACTACAATTTCACCCAATTCCCATCACATACTATTCCGGATTACTCACCATCATCCCTCGAATTTTTATCCTCTGCTTATGCTTCACAAGATCCAACAGAAGCGTCTCCTGATCCAGACTCTCAGTTCGTAATGCCGCAACTAGATCAACACCCCACACCACTCGTTCGCAGCCAATGGATTTGGCACGGAGTACTGCTACACCACTACCGTGAAGTCTCTCGCAAGCTCCAAACAGATCCCCCTATCCCCACATTCCGCCGCGAGTCCACCTCCACAACAATTGACTATATGTTCATCTCGCCCGACCTTGCTCCGCTTGTCAGACACTCGGATATTCAATTCATTTCTCGTACCTGGACAGATCACGCTCTGTTGCGGATTGATCTCCAATTTACATCCAATACACATGGCACAGGTATCTGGAAAGCCAACCCAAATCTTGCTCAAAATGACTACTTCGTCACTCAATTACACCCAGCATTAAATGAATTACATGCCAATTTAGCATCATATACAGAACCTCCTTCAGTTCAAATATCATGGGATGATATCAAGCGCCTCGCAATCAGCCTCCCCAAGAAGATCAGCCGACACAGAGCTTGCTGGCGTACACGACATTTGAAGCAATTTCAAAGGAAAAGGAACAAACTCATTAAATCCTATCGAGGCCAAAAGGCCATAGCCACCCAGATCCTGAAGGTTGAACGTCTCATCAACAACTTGCAAGAGGAACTCGTCGAAGTTGCAGCCCTACGCTCTGGCCTGCGCTGGAGGGAGCAGGGTGAAAAATCAGCGGGACTTATGAAGCGACTCACCACACAGCGTACCAATCGCAGATCCATTGACGCACTATAGCACCCTGACACCAATGAATTATGCACCCAACCAGAAGATCTACAAGCAGCTGCCCAACGCTATTATGAAATCTTATATACGCCCGCTCCGGTAGATCACTCAAACATTTCATACTTTACTAACCAAATCCCACCTTCTGACAGACTCTCCAACACCACTCATGACTCTCTCTGCGCTCCCTTCACTCCCGAGGACCTCAGGGATGGCGCTTTCCGCTCTCCCAACAAAAGTAGTCCAGGTATGGATGGGCTCCCCTATGAAATTCTTAGTGTACTGTTCCAGCATCCAGCTACATTGAAAATGGCTCTTCAGGTGTATAATGAAGCATTTTCCATTGGCATCTTTCCACCTTCGTGGCAACACACCTGTCTGATCCTTTTACCCAAGAAAGGGGATTTGTCTCTCTTGGAAAATCGGCGACCAATCTCTCTAATCAACACGGACGTTAAGATTTTTACACGCTGAATTAACCATCGACTTATGACACACCTAGGATCCAAACTTAGCACTACTCAACTGGGGTTTACGCCACAACGATTCATTGGCGAACAAGGTTTGATCGTTCAATGTATGCAATAAATAGCCACCAAGACCGGCTCAACTACAATCGCTCTCCTTCTCGATCAAGAGAAAGCTTACGACCGAGTTCACATAGATTATCTTCGCGCGTGCATGGAAGCCTTCAACATACCGCCCACTCTTACTACTGCCATCACCTCACTATTCTCTTCAATCACTAGTGCCGTCAACGTCAATGGCTTCTTGTCACCTTCCTTTCAACAAGGCCGAGGTCTACGTCAAGGCGACCCACTCAGTCCACTACTCTTTAACATTGCCTTCGACCCACTGCTTCGTGCTATAAACAATCACAGCAACATCACAGGTTTCCATTTACCCCTTGAAACTAATCAATCTATGTCTATGCCCTCCCCTCCTCCCATCAAAGTTTTAGCATACGCGGACGACACTCTTGTGGTCCTCCGGAATCCCACAGAATTTGAACACCTCCAAGACATCATCAACCGATATATGGCCTCATCTAATGCATATCTCAACTACAGTAAACCCAAGCACTCTCGTTATCAGGTAAACCGCATCCACACTGGATTTCTTTCCTCCAAGATCAGGGTATCACCTCATGGCACGACCGCACCGCTACCGAACCACTCACCTATCTAGGCTTCGCCATATGCTCAAGTGCCAATCAACGCGCAACCTATGCCCTCTCCATCATCTCCAAGATTCGCGCCTATTGCCAGCTTCACTTCACCCGCGCACTAGCATACCGAGGTAGGGTCACCGTCATCAATGCGCTCTTATCTTCGAAACTTTGGCACGTTATGCGCCTCTTTACATTTTCATCCCCTGAACTCAAACAGCTCCAGCAACTCGCCGCCACCTTCATCAACCGCGGATCCAAAATCTCTCGCCTCGCTTTTGACAACCTCACCCAACTCATCCACCAAGGTGGCTTGAAACTCCTCGATCCAGCCACTCAAGCTAATGCCTTACAATGGCGTTGACTCTACTTCCTGATTCAGCCCCCACAAGCCTCACCTTCACTCATGCCATCCATTCCCAGCCTTAGATACACTCTCAACTTTGTTCTTTCCACTGCCGAACATCCCTCCTATCATTGGTCACTCCTATTTCCCCACTGCCGACCTGTCATTCCTCGCCTCTTTGGTCCCATAGTCAACTTACTACGAGCCGTGGATTCGATCCCCCCCACAACTATCATTTTAGCCACGCCACCATGTCCACATGCCTTCACCTACCACTGATGGAACTCCTCGCCCACAATCTCCCACCTACTCATCCCATAGCCCATCTCGTTCAGCCCCCTCACAGCGCTCTCAAGAACCAGCCAACAATCCGTCAGCTCAAAGGATCTGATATATTTATCTTCAGCCCCAACCGAATCCGCCTAGAATACAATCATCTCCCCCCCCCCCAGCTCTGCCACATGGCCCATCAATCAACAAAACTATCTCTCTATTTTGCTCTAACCAACTACTTCTCAACAACTTTGTCCTTTACAACTTTCTCCCCAATGTACCGCGACCTCAGAACGCCTTGGAGGTTCACAACCTTCCAAATTTCAACATTCCTTCATTTTCAGCTCTCCATTCCTTTGTCACCACTCTGCTTGTACCTCCAGAACTCAACAGTATTCGTCCAACTACTAAAGCTACTTCTATCAAATATTTCAAATGCTTCCTAACCTCTTCCTCTCCCCCTACCCTAGTTCTATCCTTTCTTCTACTCAATGGCGTCAGTTTTGGAAGCTCGAAATAGCTCTGAATGCACGTAATACTTGGTACCGAATCCTCCTCAACAAGATAGCCACCAAAGAACTCCTACACCTTCGTATGTCTGATAAATTCGCTCCTCATTGCACGATCTGCCCTTCTACAACTACCAGCATCGAAACGACAGCGCACTTTCTCTTTGCCTGTCCCATCAAATACACTGTCTGGTTCCAAGCACTCTCCACATACATAGACCCAGGTCTGCAATCTCCCACTTATGAGCAATTTCAAGAACTTCTCCTCCTTCGCTCCCCCCCTTACAGTCTCAACATCTTCACCCTACCCCACACTCACCATGTACCAAGTATTTTCTTGCATTCTTCAAGCAATTTGGAGTTGCCACTACAGATCCATCTTTGACTCCTTTCATTTTGAACCCCTCCAAATCATGCTCTGCATAGGCAGGGCACTATATACTTTAGTTTCCCAAGACAACGTTCACTCACTTCTATAGCAAAGCACCTTATATCTAGTCTTACTATCCTCTTGGGAGTTTTCCCTATAACAAACAGACCCAACTGCATTGTTGCAATTTTTAAATGTCTACGTCCTTGGCAATTGGGATAACGAAGACGTGGCCATGGTGAGAGTATACACATTGCGAAATTTCATAGACTGCTTACAGAGGGTGGTAATAATACATGTATGGACTGAATCTGTATGCAATACTCACCCTTTTCCTACTTACTAAATGTAGGTTTTGGTCAAAGTAGCAGTATATCCCCTGAATTCAATTCCATGCTTCGTCATGGATCATTGAGCATTTGCAGTCGTTTACTTGTTTTAATACTTATAAGGTGCCTCAGTGTCTATGAATTGAGAGTCTGGTATCGAAACCAATCCTGCTGCGAAATTGCATTGTTTCGCTTTTTTCCCTCTTTCTTTCACAACTGCAGAGACACACAACATCAATATGACAGCCTACATAAAGACGAACATCAAAAGATATCAACTGAACATGTTTAAAAGGAGATCAGACTCACACGTATTGCTTGTCATTCTACAAGCTTGCATCATCTCCCAATCCTTTACAGCAATACAAGGTACACAAAAGTCATCACAACCGACCTCGTTTCTTACGTACTATCTACAAGGTATCCCAGATGGCAATTCTCACATACAAAAAGAATGAATTGGCAACAGCGATAAAGCAATGTTCAACATCCACATGTGGATCCACCACTTGAATTGTTTGACATCCATCATGGTAAGCCATCGCATTGATCCAGAAGGTCGTGTCTAGGTAATTGTAATAGAGCTTTGTAAAAGAGAGCATGATGAGCCAAGAGCGATAGATCCTCAGAAAAGTCAAGCTCTGGTGGAAGCGGATCTCAGAAAATGTACTGCTGTCTAGGAAAGATGCTAGTAGAGCTTTTACTGGCATCTACAGGTACACGCTTTTCAAATTCGGCTTTGAGAATAAGATATGATTCACACCTACATATCCGACAAATGTAGCTCAATTGACCAAAAACAGACAGGTAATCATGCCCTAGGATACTGGGCTTATACGTCATGGTAATTGAATATCAGAAGTGCTACGTCCAATCACCGAATCGACCATCCATGCTCCACTTGTCATTAGCAAGCTTTCGCAATCCATCATTTATGTGCATGACGTATGGTGTATTATGATGATCCTGTAAAACAACACATTTTCATCTACCAGCTTACTTTCACATTTTTCTCTCGTATATTTTTTTTAGTCCTCAGCAAAGAGATGATTCAAACCCTTCGATACACTCAGAGAGCGATTTCCACTCGACTAGCAACTCAATACTACCGGCAATTCGTTTGTGTCTCTGCGAAACCATCTCTGCAGCGCACATTATTCACTACCGCCGCAACCAAACCTAAAAGTCTATTACTGCGACGATCTGATGCAAAGCCTAATCATCAGCAAGCACATGACCTCCTCAAATCAATTGAGGAAAAGCAAGCGCTTGACAGAAAGAAAGCAGCCGATAAACTGGAAAAGAGTCAACAAAAGAAGACCATGTGGCAAAAGGTCAAGGCTGAAGCTGTCCATTACTGGCATGGTACCAAATTGTTGGGATTGGAGGTACGCATCTCTTCTCGGCTGACCTGGAAAATGCTGCAAGGCACAAAATTGAGCAGACGAGAAAACAGACAGGTATGTAGAAAAAGCATAGTCTACCATAGTATAATAACATCACACACATGTCGTTTTAGCTTCGTCGTACAACTTCAGACATTGTGCGATTAGTTCCCTTTGCCGTCTTTTTGATTGTGCCATTCATGGAGTTGTTGTTGCCAGTTGCTTTGAAGCTGTTTCCCAACATGTTGCCTAGTACATTCGAGAACAAAAAGATCCAAGACGAAAAGAAGCGGAAATTGCTCAACGTTCGACTGGACATGGCTCGGTTCCTACAAGAAACGATTGCAGAATCAGGAAACAACAATGTGTCTAGTAACAGCAATGATGATTTAACAGCTGGGCAAGAGTTTGTCCAGTTCTTTAGAAAGGTCCGCATGACAGGAGAGCAAGCATCCACGGACGACTTGCTCAAGATTGCCAGTAAATTTGAAGAAGAGCTGACATTGGACAACTTGTCGCGACCTCAACTCGTGTCCATCTGTCGATACATGAACATCAATGCGTTTGGCACCGACAATTTCTTGAGGTTCCAGATTAGAAACCGAATGCAACAATTGAAAAAGGACGATCAGGCGATCCAGCAGGAGGGTATTGATCACCTTACTACGGTGGAACTGAATGCGGCATGTGCTGCTCGAGGTATTCGGACATTAGGCAACACCTCACAACGACTGCGACAGGAACTGGCACAGTGGCTGGATCTCCATTTGGAGCACCACGTACCCTCCACCTTATTAATCTTATCTCGGGCATTCAGTTTTACGGACCGTATGACACCTGAAGACGCTCTTCGTGCAACGTTCAACAGCTTGCCTGATAATTTAGTCAATGAAGCCGAATTGCAAGTGTTGCAAACGATTGGTGCCAGTACCTACAAGCAGAAATTAGATGTTCTTGAGCAGCAGGAGGAGCTGATCGAGGATGAAACAGAGCAGGAGGAAAAGGAAGAAAAAGCACGCAGAGAAGAAGAGGAAGGCAAGGAAAAATCAGAAAAAGAGGTACAGATGTGTCTATGACATGAAATATGCGAGATTAATTGTATTGAATTGGATCTACCATAGGGACAGTCAGATCAAGATAATCTCTCTGAACAGCAGCAAAGTGATCTACGCGATGCATTAAATGCATTAAGATCCAAAGTGGATGGATTGGAACAAAGGGCACAATTGAACGAGATTAAATTTCATTACCAGGATTACAAAGATGTAAGCTTTCATTGTTCCAATGTTATATACGAAAGGCTCATCCTATTCTACACTAGCTGATTGAAGAACTCAAGGTGGCTACCCACAATGAACCCAATGTCGCAACACTTCGCCTGGGTAAACGACTAGAAAAGATGCTTCAAGTCATTGACAAGGAGCTAGATTCGCTTGAGAAGAGCAACTAAAAATAATAAACATGTGCGTACAAGCAATAATAGCAATGAAAAACCCAGCCCTGCGCCCGTTTTATATTAAGGGATCTAGATTTTTTTTTTTCCATTCGTGCGCTGTAAAGCGACAAGAGTTCCCCGATCAGCAACATGAAACTTTTTGGCATGTAAAAATGTACCCGTCCATGGCATGCTTTTTAAGGGGCTCCAATATGAGTGATTGGGAACAATCATGCAATAACAACAACAACAACAACAACAACAACAAGCACCCTAATTACAATAGGAGATACATCTGTCGTTCCTATACGCTTGTGATGTTCTTTATATACAATCATGCTAGGGAGAGAAATTGGCATTTTCCATATTCGAAAATAATACACTTTTTCCCAAAATGATTGGGACACTTTGCGAAAACGTAAGGGACAGAATTAAAAAACAGATGGGACAATTCTCAAATTTGTTTGTTACAAAAATAAAAGTTGACTTGAGACACCTGAAAGAGTGAATTGAGACAAATTGCAAATGGGACACGAAACAAAATCATCTTCACCTTGTAATAATCATAAAAATGACTGCCTACAAATTTTATCAAGAGGATGGCATTAATCCTCCTGTAGACGAATATGAAAATGAGCCTGTCAACATGGAGGTAGATGAGGTGAACTATCCATGAGGAGACATTACAAACTGCAGTGTCTACTCCGATAAAAAGCCTGCTGAAAAAGAAAAGGTTACTCGCGACGTTGAGATGAAGAATGCCAAATACAAGGACACGTCTACTCGAGCCCATAATGTTTATACCGATCAATATAAGGCCAGGTTCTTCAACTTCATATACAATGACGATATGACCGCCGGCAAAGCTACTAAAGCTGCCAACATACCTCGGTCTACTGCGTACCGATGGTATAAAGATGACCAAGACAAAATCAATAGGAGAAGCGGTAATGGCGAAGACACTCCTGGCTCAACTGAGACGAAGAAAGTTGGCCGATCAAAGCTTCTCAACGATGACCACAATGCGCACTTAAAGAAAGAGTTTGTGGACAGCCCTTCTGCCACTATAGATCAGGCCATGGAAAATTTAATTGGAGCTTTTCCTGGCTTAAAGATCAGTAAGTCGTTGGTCCATCAATATATGGTCAATGACTGTGCCTTGTCATTCAAGAAGGCCCATCTCCACTCAAAGCAAAGAAACTCCCCTGAAAGTATCCAAAATCGCTACGAATGGGTTAAGAAATGGGAGCAAACAGATATGGACTACATGTCGAACTACGTCTTCCTTGATGCATCTGCTTTCCTTATCAACCTGAAGCGAACAATGGCTTGGTCTGAGAGGGGAACTCGTGCTGAGGTGGCTGTTCCTGTACTGAGGGCCAAAACCACAACTATTCTCGGTGCAGTAAGCGTTTGGGGCATTACCAATGTTCAAGTAAGAATACCAGGTGCCTCTGTATTGTCATTCTCTTCTCTCCTTTTGTTCCTGGCTTTCTGTTTCTGCTTGCTTCTTGATTTCTATTGTATTTTTTCTTAGTACCACCATCAGCTTAGGTGTCCTTTCTTTTTCTTGAATCAAGAAGGAACGGCTCTTTGCAGTAATACATGCTGAAGATTTGGCCATCATCAATTATAGAAAGTTGCTTTCTTTTAACTGTTAAATTAGTAGTGATTTATTGATCTGTTGTGTCAGAATTAAACTTATACGTATTATGCGTGATAAACCAATTGATATTTTTCTTCCTTTCTCTTTCTCTTTCTATCGCAATATTCTGTCATCAAAGTTTCTAAGTTTATGTAAAATCTCTTTATGTACAAAGCAACAATTTTGAATAAGATTCGGTCTGTGAAAGAACAAAGGCGCTTAGAAGAAGGTACAAATATTGCAGAAAATATTGCATAACGTTTCTGTTAAACAGTTTTCAAGAAGGAGTTGGCTCTGCTAATAGTACAATTGTATGCAAAGACTGCAAAGAAGCTGGCCATTTTTCAAAGGCTTATTTCAAATGCAAATTTTATAAACAAATCAATGCCGATGATGGTAAGTATACATGCTTTGAAAGAGTACTCTACCCTTATACCCTGTTTGTTTCTGATGTTATTATATCAAAGTTGGAACGTCCAGCAAAAAACGCAAACAGAGTGACAGTGTGAAAGCCGACAAAAGACATGCAAAGAAGCTTAGAGCTTCTTCCAGCAATGAAGGCAGCCAAGATATATGCAAGAAGTGTCACAAGACTGGCCATAAATCAGCAAGATCACCAAAATGTGAAGCTCATATCGCCTCCAAGCAAGCCACACTCAAAGAAAATCTTGGCCAGGGATATCAAGCTTTCATCAGAAAGCTGTCTCTCGACAACTGTGTCCATCAACAATATATAAACCGCCTGAAACCAGCAATCATTTCTGTTAGCAGAGATATACGGGAGATAGTATTCCGTGCCAAGCTCTTTGTAAACTATTACCTTACATTTCGCTCCCAACAACAGCAAAACAATGATATCCCTCACTGTATCTTTACTCAACAATTTTGGTATTCCGTCTGTCAAATGGTGAATGCAAAAAGAGTTACAAGCAGTACAAACATACCATCAGATATACTAGCAGTCTGGAATAGATTTAGATCTACTCATAGGACTATTGTTTATGAAAAAAGATTGAAGGAGGAGCCTCCTAATGTATAGCCGAAGTGTGCACTGAGATGGCTACTGGCTACCAGAACAATATAGTAATGGAGAGAATGATGTACTGTTTGGCAATATCGTCAGGTCTGATGGCTTCTGTGTTGATTTTCTCTTTTATAAAAGAACTTCTGGTACAACGGACGAAATATCAACAGTAAATCACGATTTGGGTATAAAGGACTTTACCATAGAAGAGGTCACCCAATTGTATAGACCAAGTTTCCTTGACCCTGGCAGAAAGACAGTGTTTACTGCAGCTATTGGACTAGATCCTGATGTACATCAAGTGAGACGGTGCACAACAAAAGAGTACTACCATTTGACAGGCTCCACAGTGTATGCAAAGAAGTTGCAACAAGAAAAGGACACCGCCGGAATCACCGCAATTGAGTCTGCTATACCTTCAGCGAAAACTGCCAGAAATACCCAATTTTTACGATATGTAGATTACATACTTGCAAACATGGACACGTTGTTCACCTTTTATGGCTTCAGTACTGCTAAACATCGGTTTAACTTATACCAAGGAAAACAAAGAGCTCCTGACATGATGGTCAACATGTTGTTAAACGGCGGTGCTAAATACAATAAGAAGAAGCGTTTTAAAAAGAAGAACAAAAAACAAAAACGACATTACAAGAAAACGAAGCGGTTGCACAAGAACAAAAAAATAAGAAAGGAAAGAATAAGCAACAACAGTACAGAAAGTAAGTTCATTAATTCAGTTTCATGTGTTCGTATAAACCTACTCATTTTATGCACTTTACTAGGCGAAATAAGTGGAGACCTTTAAAATATCAGGAAGAAGACAAATCCAAAGTTCCACTTGTTGTATTTGGAAACGGAATGTTCGGAAAGGATCTGGTAAAACTGAAAGGGCTTACGCTGTGGTGTTGCTGGGGTCATGTAGAGATGTCTCAAGAAACGAGAAGCTGCTGGTGATCTTCTAGTCATAACTATTGACGAATTTCTGACCTCACAAATTTGCAATATATGCAAAAGTAGGACACTGACAGGCCATTCAAACGTCAAAGGTCAAAGTGTACTTGTCTGTACAACATGTAATACACTTTGGCAAAGAGATGTAAACGCTGCAAAAAACATGATGTCCATTTCTCTTTCTGTCTGGATCGACAAAGCAATACCCGAAATCTTCAGAAGAAACAATCGATAAACGTTACGTTCTCCCATCGCCGTAATCAACACGGTTTCCCTCTTTGGGATTTAGATTATTACAGGTAAAAAAAAAAAAAAAAAAAAGTCTGAATGATCATCTCTATTAGTCTTAAAACTGACTCTTTTCTGTCTCGACTTCATTTTCCTCTTTGTCTAAAAAGGGTAAACACACTGTCCAAAAATTAATTTTGATTCGTCCAGAAAGAAATTAACATTGTCTGAACTTGAAGTGTAAAAACTGTAGAAAAGCAGTGTAACTACAAAAATCTTAATTTGTCATACATTTGCTCAAGCAAACAAAGCGGATATCGTAATTCTGTTAATTAGCATCTATAAAGCATATAGGCAAAGGACATTTGCACTTCTTTCTCTCTCTCTCTTTCTCTCTCTCTTTCTTTCTCTCTCTCTCTCTCTCTCTCTTTCTTCATATACACTTGTACATAGTTTCTTTTTAAAGCTGGATCTTTCTATCATTCATACATTGCCATGGTGACAGCAGCAAAAATTGTAATGTATAAAATGCATCTTATAAGCAGAGATACCAACACTAAACATGACCTGTGTAGATTGATCGCGTTACAGAGACCAAATGGTCCAAACTATACATTTCAATGGCATCTTGCCAGTGTGTCATCATCATTGCACTGCAAGCATCGATTTGTTATCTCAACACCTACCAAGCACATTTACTGCCTGAACCCACAACTGACAGCGTGTTGACAGCAAGTTCCACAGTAGACGACTACCTCCCATTAAGAGCAGCAGATCGCTTGGGCAGAATCAAGTGGGAAAACATTGCTTTCATGGGATTTCAAGTCTGGTTTTTGGGCATGGCATTTGACGCTGTAAGTATATCATTTGATCTAAATATGTGCAATCGACTCATGTGTCCTTATAGACGGTTTACCAAAACACAGCGGAGATTCTGGCACTGGCTATTTTGAATGTACTCTGCTCTATATTAGGTGCCTTGCAAGTGGTCGATGGTGTGAAATGGCTGGATCGATTAATACACACAAACTATTCAGTAGACGCATTAGCCATGGCCGAAAAGATTGAAATCTCCTTGTCAGTCGTTATCTTGACATTTGCTGTCATCATGTCATTTCTTAGTTATCAAATGTCAAAGCAATTTGGCTGGAACATTTACAAAAAGATTGGTGCCGATGTGCAAATTCAAAAGATGTACCGCATGTTTCAATTCTTTGTGTTGGCTCTCAAGATTGACGTCTTTACGCAATTTATGGTCTCCATCTTTTACCTGATCCAGTTTGCTCTCAAGCAAGGCATCATGTGGGAAACTATCATCCAAGTCATTGTCACCATCTTTATTATACCATTCCTCTACTTTGCACGTTCGGCTGGAAGCGCAGAAAGCAAGCCTAAAATGATCCTGTTCATCGTGTTTGAATGTCTGGTCCTGTTCCATTTTGCCTTGATCTTTTCACAGACGTTGCAGCCCAACAACAACTGGTACACTTGGATTTGCTTGATCTGGATTGGTGTTGCATTCGCTCTGGTGTCTTGTGTATTGGGCATCATTTGTATGCGCAACTTTGGAAAGGGTCTCAAGCCATTTGTGCAAAGAGGCAATGTCAAGGCCAAGATGGACCTTGAGAGTAATAACCTGCAGAAACAAAAGGCACACGAAAGCTGGCAAATTGACGATGATTAGATATATATATATATATATATATATATATATACCATATTTTCTTTTAGCCTATTAACCATTTATCATATTTATATTCACCTTTTATACATCCCTCTCTTGCTCAATTATATCATTTTCCCATCATTTTATCTGAAAAGAAATATCATCGCTGGTCGATCTTTTCTTCTGTATTAAAGCCTCTTTACCCAAAACAATCACGTCGATCCTGTTGTATTTTGCAGTAATTGATCTCATTACATGTACTGTCCTATGTATATAGAATTTTCAACGCGCTATGTGATTACGTAATAGACAACTCGAATTGGGACTGTATGATATACGTTGCATGTATTTTATTAGTATCATAGATCAGACGAAACCATCAGTCGGCTAGTAAGCTATGTACAAGATGACTGCCGCATCATCTCAATTCCATATGAAGTTCCATGAATACTTGAAATCATTCTTTGAGTCAATGTCATTCACCCAACTGCCTGCTGGAATAGAGACGTTGGAGCTAGATGCTTTCGAGACAAACAATAAACGTTTCATACTGTTTGACCACATCTTGAATGTACATCTACAGGTGCTTCATACTCACCTTTAAGAGGGATGTCTGTACGTGGCAAGAGGTCTGATGCGGATTCAGGAACCGTTTGTTGGTTCTGTTGTAGATACAATATGTGTATAAGAAACACTGTTTGCATGAAAGTGAGTGAAATCCCGATGATGTTTATTTGGCTGATGACAAGCTAAAGATCAACACACTTCCTACAATGAACTGCTCTTCAATGCATTCAAAGGGTGGCCCTCACAATGAAATTGCATTGACTATCAGGCTATCTATTCTTAGTATGCCGCTTCAATGAAGTCCAGAAATACTTTATTATATACATGTTTGCTTTCTGAAATAAACTTCACATCTAGATACCTCCCATGTTAATGTACTTGATGTGCATGTAGTCATCTAAACCAAATTGACTGCCCTCGCGACCAAGACCAGACTCCTTGACACCACCAAATGGAGTGTAGCAACTAGAGATGATACCTGTGTTCACACCAACCATACCGGTCTCTAATTGCTCAGCAACACGCCAGCAACGTCCAATGTCACGACTGAAGAAGTAACTAGCTAAACCGAAAGGTGTGTCATTGGCAAGAGAAATAACATCGCTCTCATTGTCAAAGGGGAACAAGGCGGCAACAGGACCAAATGTCTCTTCAGTGTGAATCTTCATCTCGGCAGTCATGTTGGAAAGAACAGTAGGTGCGAAAAAGTTACCGCCCTTGTGTTCACCACCAGCCAAGACCTCGGCACCCTTACTAACAGCATCTTCGACATGAGACTTTACCTTGTCAATGCCCTTGGAGTTGATGAGAGGACCGTGAGTTGTCTTGCTGTCGAAACCATGGCCAACTTGGAATTGCTTGACTTTTTCAGCGAGACGAGTAGAGAACTCCTTGTAGACATTCTTTTGGACGTAGATACGGTTAGCGGAAACACAAGTTTGGCCGGTTCCTCTGAATTTACAGGCAATGATGGCTAGCATTCTCGTTAGAATGACAGTATGATAAGTACGCGCAAACTAAAACCTTACCATCAACAGCAGCAGATACGTCAGCATCATCAAAGACAATGAAAGCAGCATTACCACCAAGTTCCATAGAGACCTTCTTCATGGTACCTGATGATTGAGACATCAAAAGTTTACCGACAGCAGTCTGAGGAATTCATGCACAATGGGTCAACTGATTGCTACATTACAAATGACACACACACTTACAGAGCCAGTGAATGAAATTTTCTTGACGATGGGGTTGGTACACAATTCTTTGCCCACATCAGCGACATGCTTATCAGTAGGGACAATGTTAACAACACCAGCAGGAATACCAACGCGCTTGGCGAGTTCAGCCAAAGCCAATGCAGAGTAGGGAGTCTCAGCACCAGGCTTGATAACCACAGTACAGCCAGCAGCCAAAGCAGCACCGACCTTACGGGTAATCATAGCAGCAGGGAAATCTAAACGCATTTTGCATAAATATGACACACAATTGACGCACATTTTACGGACTAAAAACTTACTCCAAGGCGTAATGATACCGACCACACCAACAGGTTGCTTGATAGTGACAAAACGTTGTCCAGGGATATGAGAAGGAATCACAGAACCATAAGCACGAACGGCTTCTTCACCAAACCACTCAAAGAAGGAAGCAGCGTAAGCGACTTCACCCTTGGCCTCGGGCAAGGTCTTGCCGTTTTCCCAAGTCAAGATGGTAGCCAAATCATCTTGGTTCTCCATCATGGCGCGATACCACTTGAGCAAGAGGTCATGACGTTCCTTACCAGTGGTCTTGGACCATGACTTGAATGCATCAGAGGCAACTTGGATAGCTTCCTTGGTCTCCTTGCTGCCCATGTCAGGCAGCTTGCCAATCTCCTTATCTGTAGCAGGGTCGAGCACTGTAAACGTTTCGCTAACGTTCTTGTTGGTCCATTCATTGTTGATGAAGGCAGATTCCTTGAACAAAGAGGGATCCTTGAGCTGCAGCGTGGTGTCCGTTAGTGACATGGCTCCTCTTCAATGCATCCACACAAATGACATTACCTTTGGGATGTCGACAGAGGTGACGAATGATTTGAGAGCAGTGGACATGGTGAATTTTCTAATAGTGGTTGTACGAGTAGGATTCAAACAAGCTTTAATATATGTGTTCTGCAGGGCAGATCTGATCATTATTTAAATGAAAGAAAGAGGTGAGAAAGAAAAGGACAGTGGTTTGGCCCTTTTTATTTTCCTGAAGCATTAAGATTAGTACGTGTGAAAGCGGTTATTGAACCTTATTATTCAACAAGATATGCAATACTCCATACACTTAGTCATGGTGGGCGAATCATGGCTATCTGTAACCATCAATTGCCGTCACTGTTTTCACTTTCCCCTCAATCTCTTTTTGGAGTATTGTAAGGCAAATTCACTTGGTATGAATAAAGCGCATTTCCAGGATAAATGCTGCCATCATACTAGCTTGTAACCGGAGATCTCTCTCATCAAACTGGATAGCGATTGCAAAATTTGATCTCCCCAGAACTGGCAATCAGGGCATGCATGTATGCATTACACAGGATGACAGCTCATCTTGGTTGCTATCATGCAGTAAAAGGCAAGCTGTGATAGCATGAAATGAAGCAATACGAGGGATAAAGATACGCTTCAAAATAGTGAAATTTGTCAACCCAAATCGATTGACATTTATCATAGTAATACATAGTGTGTTCACTTCAGTTTCGTAAAAAAAAAATACAATTTGAATTCATGAACAAACTGAGATAAGAAAAGTTGATACTGAAAAGCCAGATAGACAAATACAGATTTGTTATAAAAGAAGAGGGGGGGGGGGGGGAATCTAGTAGCTTTTAGTCAATGGCAAAATAATAATTACGTACCTGAATATCTCGCCACACGCCCTTTGCAAAAATGTAGATTTGATTCAATGAACCCGCAATGTCAGGAGTGCCTAGCCGCTTGAGAACCAAAATGAATGAGGTTTTACTACAACAAAGTGCGTAAACGACCAGAGTAAGAGGGAAACCCCCCCCCCCTATCTATGAGTAAGCACAGTTATAGACCAAGAGAACAGAGAGCGTGCAAAATGTCGATCCTATGCGATAGCAATGAGCAATGAGCTTGAAGCATTTAGAGCGCTTGAACCATACCAGATAAGAGTACACATGGGCATGCAGCACATAGACCAACAGAAAGCATACTGAAAGCCTTGTGATGGCTTCTTGAGTGATCCGCGTTTTTTGGGAGCCTTGATAACCTTCATTGAGACTCTGAAAAACCATGTTATGATGCACCAGCTATGTAAATCACAGTAAGCTTCGCAGTTTGCAACAATTAAATTTATCAAAAAAGATACATCGCAGTGAAAGTAAGATACAATAGACAGGCTAGTCTATGGTACTTTTTGATTTGCAATCCTCTTGTTATTAGCTTCACAAACATCAGTTGTCTCTGTAATAACAGGGGGGGCGTTGCCATTGCTAGCCAGCATTTATTGAAACTCAGGTTGCAAGCTGCTTCAGATTGGCCAGTTTTGCTGAATTTCGATCCATTTCAAGTTATTTTGTAAAATTCGACTATATAAATTGCGGTCATCATCCCATGTCTCCTTAAGCTTTCCTGGAGTACATTTGAAGGCGCATCCAATGGTGCCAACTAGAATCAGTGTTATGAAGTAGCTTATTGACCAATTTTTTAAAATATGAAATGTCGTTTTTGACCAAAATGTAGAGATTTTACATATGAAGATCTTACAAACAAAGTTTAAGGAGTTGCTTTAGGTCGAGAGGAACAAATTGATTTAATATATGCTTTAGAAAAAGTCTTCATTTTGGAGGTCAAAAACGCAATCATTTGTTTTTCGATGAAAACCATGAGGCACCCCTCATGCTTTTGAGTCGATTTTTGAAATGTTTTTTTTTTTTTTTTTTTTTTTTTTTTTTTTTTTTTTTTGGTCCTGAAAAAGTTGAGCAAAAGTGTTAATAAGTTAGTGTTAGTTGAAAGAAATTGTTTGGTGCTATTTTGGTGGTCTAAAACGGCTTCTAACGCGAGAAATACCGACCCGAAAATCGCTGTATTTTGCATAATCTTGGACAGTAAGAGTTAAAACAAGTATCCTGTTTGTTTGTATAAGAGCTATACACATTGATATAGACATGGAGCATCGTAGAAAAGCCATTTCCACTACTATAGTCGTTTACATCTCTCATCTTACAAGTAAATAGCCACACAGTAAAAGACTCGGTATATAGGAGTAGAATCTTGGTGACACGGTATGAGTTATATGCACACTGTACCAATGTCAGCTATATAAACAATGTATTAATGCACATCGAAAACGAGTCTTGTACTCTACATGATTTATTAATGGTAATGAATACTATTGGTATCAATGTAACAGCTGTTTTAGGTCGATACATAGCAGATACTTATCGGTCTGTGGGTAGTGCTAATGATCCATAGTGTAGTATACTTCCAGACAGATGATTCACTCAAAGTTGGACCCATTTTGATCACCCTCGCTGGCCAGCTTTCTATATTATCTGTGAATGGAGGCAACTCATGCTATGCACTGTTCTCTTTCTCCATGGCATCCCCATCAATAACAAACAAACGCACTTACATTGAAAAAGCTGTGTACCTCCACTTGACGGGTTTATGCCACTCAAGGAGATGAGCTGCGGTCATGGAGGCTTCTGTCTAATGGGTTGACACACAAACATCAAAGCTGTAAGCAATCAAACCCAACCAAGTACTTAGCCATGCCAAACAATATTCGTGGTCGTATATCACTATACACTGAATACGGTATCATAACACACATATCGGCTTAACCAGCGTACTATCCAGTGCAAGTCTGCATATGCTCAATACTTGAAAGCACTCCTAAATCCATCAAAAACATGTATGTATGCCGTTTCTTTGCAACACGAATTATACCCTAGAACCCTATGTACGGATTGATCGACTTTCCTTTTCAAGCGAACAAAAGAATTGCTATAATAGGATCCATACTATTCTTTATGATACGATTCAACGCATAAACAGACAATCTTAAAAAAAAAAAATAGCATTGCTTAAATAAACACAATGAATGAACTATGTCCACAAGGATTCCTCATTTTTATTTCTTACTGAGCTTATCCTATCGCTTCTGTTTGGTAGGGAACAGCCGAATTACTTGCATGTATTCGTTGTTGTTATTTTGTGTCATGTCAGAAAAACCTGTTCTCTAGGGGAGCAGAGGAGACGGTACTAGTGACAAGACAGCGAGGCCGTTGCTTTTACACGGTAATCATTGAGGAGAGGAATGACACATAAAAAAGGGCTCAACAGACAACTCCATGATCTGCACTCTTTTTCTTCCGTTCTTCATCACTTTAACCCAACACAATGAACATGGCATTGCCTCCAGACGCTCAAATGTATATAGATTTACTTGCAAACATTACAGCAGAAGATGTGCGCTATGAATACCTCAATGATTCCACAAAACGATACTTTCGACATACGGCATCTACTGTGGTATACATGAGTGTGTGTCTTGGATGCACCATATGGCAATTGATGGCAGCCGCAGAACTGGTGTACAAGGCACGCAAATGGCTTCATTTTGCTGTCCTTTTCGAGACAGTACTGTCTTTTCTTGTCATATCTTGCAGTATTCTAAATCCATTGACAGATGTAACTTGCGAGCTAGTAAGTGTAGACATTCAACTTACAGTGCTTTTCACTAACATAGACTAGCGGTTCTGGGTATCCATCATATCAGTCAATCTTGGGGGATGCTGTATTCAAACGATTCTGCTCTACAAAGCCTACATTTGCTACGACCGTGCTAAATGGCTGATCATCATTGGGTCTCTGATCAATACTGGCTACATTGCATTGACGTTTGTCTATGGCACATTTGGAAAAGTGCCTACCTACAAGGATCTGATGGGAAACTGTGTTGTATGTGTATGCCAAATGTATATTTAATTGCTCTTATTCATTTCCTGTTGTAGATGACAAACTGTAAGCTGGTGATCATATGAATGATACATCATGTTGCTCATTGTGCATTTCCTATTTTCTTTAGTGGAATGGCCAGCATTAGCCAAACTGGGCCTGGATATCGCAAGCAACGTGTTTTTATCCTTTGCGTTTCTGATGGTCATTTACCGCCATTACCGTATCTTTGGAAACAGCCTTCATAAATCACTGCTATCAAGCGGTCTCATCTTCTCGTAATGTAATGTCTAGACAATGAGAACTGCCATGACTAACTTGAAATTGCAGCGTTGGTGTCATTGCCTCCAACATTGTCACCGCTATTTTGATCTCTTGCAGAACAATGGGTGGATTATCCGCAGATTTATATTCATTTGACTGTAAGTTGTTTTTCTTGAAATGGGGTGTGCTATACTCAATCGCAACATCCAGGGGTTATTACTAGTTATCTACTGATCAAGCAGTTCAAGATGAACAAGCCCAAGGCCAGCAACAAGGCAAATGAAGAAGATGACGATGAAGATGGGCAAGATGAGACACAATTTAAAAAATCTATCGCCTCGTCCAACCACAGCTTTGACATTGTAACTCTACGCCGCAACACAGTAACTCATGAGCAAGCGCTGCATAAAGAATCGATTCAAAAGAGCAACACGATTCTCGAGAACCAAGGCGATATTGACCTCGAAAAAAACCGCTTTTCTGATGGTGTTTTGTCTGCCATAACTACAGTCAACCCGAGTCTAGACGCTCATTATGTTTGCTCCCATTGTTTGGCTCATTCGCCACTCTTTATGGACCATTGTAAACCTTCATCTTCTTAACCATTTCTTCCGATGACGGTCACCTTTTTTTTTTTTTTTTTTTTTTTTTCCTTCAAACTTTCATTGACATTGCACGGTTGCCATCTCTCTTTTTTTTTTTTTTTGTCTCTTTTCTCTTTCACAAAAAAAAAAAAAACACGTAAAGCTAATCCTTGACAACGATCGGCTGCCTTTTTCATTATCTTCATAATAAACTCTCTTTTCAAACACAAACAGATATAAACAGTTCGATTGAATTGAACAGATCAAAGCAGTAAGTGTCATTGGCAATGCTCCTTTATATTTCGCTCGCGATGTTGCAAGAAAAAAAAATTTTTTTTTAATGCTTCATTTCCTTCAGTGGAGACACCACAATCAGAGCAACACAAGTCAGACGATAGCAAGAGACCAAGAGAGGAGGACTCAGGCGCTGATCAGCAACAACCGGCAGAAAAGAAGCAAGATGCAGACAATGCACCCGCACCGAAACCTCGACCTGAACAACGCAAACCACAATACGAACTCAAGTACTCGCTCGTTGGCCATCGCATGTCAGTATCCAGTGTCAAGTTCTCGCCAGATGGCAAATGGCTAGCTAGTTGCTGTAAGTTTACTAGATGCAATAGTTAATTCCCTATGTTATATTCACTCTCATCATTTAAGCTGCCGACAAAACCATCAAGATTTGGCATGCATTAGATGGTAAATACGAAGCTACATTGGAGGGCCATACACAAGGTATTTCCGATTGTGCATGGTCCTCGGACTCACAAAACCTATGCTCTGCCTCCGATGATCGCACCATTCGTATCTGGAGCCTTGCTACAGTAAGCATGATTGATTGACAACATGGATCTAGCATGAAATTGATAATTTTCTTGAAAGCGTGAAACTGTCAAAGTTTTAAAGGGCCATTCCAACTACGTATTCTGCGTCAACTACAATCCTCAATCAAATTTAATCGTTTCTGGATCGTTTGATGAAAGCATCAAAATTTGGGATGTGAAAAAAGGTAACAATACAAGGTGAAAAAGGGGCAGCATGGCATCTGAAGACTGACTCGATGGATTGCTAGGCAAATGCATGAAAACATTACCAGCGCACTCCGATCCCGTATCAGCAGTTCATTTCAACAGAGATGGTACCATGATTGTAAGCTGCAGTCATGATGGATTAATGTAAGTTGTAGATCCATTAATCAAACGCTATGGTCTTCTCATCAAGTCATGCCGAGTAGTCGTATCTGGGACACCGCCAGTGGACAATGTTTAAAAACACTCGTCGATGATGATAACCCGCCCGTATCGTTTGTCAAATTCTCGCCAAATGGTAAATATATCCTCGCCTCAACACTAGATAACACATTACGACTGTGGAACTATCATACCGGCAAATGTCTCAAGACGTATCGTGGACATGAAAACAGTAAATATTGTATATTTGCCAGTTTTAGTGTGACAGGTGGCAAGTGGATTGTGAGCGGCAGTGAGGATCACAACATATACATTTGGAATTTGCAGACAAAAGAAATTGTACAGAAATTAGAAGGACATTCAGACGTTGTTCTTTGCATAGCCTGCCATCCAACAATGAACATCATCGCATCCGGCTCAATCGACCAGGACAAGTCGGTCAAACTCTGGTTTGATAAATCACAACCTTCAGCTTAGTAAACAATGGCAGCACAATACTAATAAAGAACAAATATATAAATTTATTTTATATACAAAAAAAACAAGCGGTAAAAGGAAAGAAAAAGGGGGTATCAAAAAAAAAAAAAAAGTGTGTTATTTTGCATTGCTTTCAGAATTTGACCACCACTTTGATAAAAACCCTCGGCTACTTGTTGCTGTTGCTGTAGCAGAAGAAGAGGGAATATGGTCCATATCAATGCTCTTGCGAGATAATCCCTCCATACTCTTTTTGGCTAATTGCGATAAACTATCCAAACTAGGCCTAAAATCGAGACTACTTCTACGCTGATTGTTTTCCAGTGAGGGTCTACCAATAGGATACATATCAACTGATTTTCTACCGCTGCTGAACCACGTTTTCTTTGGTTTGAGTTGTTCTATATCGGGTCTATCGTCGCCTAGAGAGGGCCTTGGTGTTTCTTCATCTGCATCGTCGTCTATTTCAATCACATTGCCATTCTCATCGTCTTGCAATGAGATGTTGTTGGCAGCCATCGCATTCATCAAGGCAGTCGTACGCAAGTGACCACCATCTGAGCTGCATCTCTTTAAAGGGGTTGAATCCAAACAAGGACGTATATGAGCAGAGTCAAGAGAAGCACGTCCAATGATTTTATTTTCCTCCAGATCATGATTTGAAAAGTAGGCGCTGGGTGTGGTGGTGGGAGAAGCCACACCAAACGCTCTTCTTTCCAATGAGGTCAGATAATTCTCATCCTCGTAATGATTTACCACACCATAGCTGTAGTAATCTTGTTGCAATTCGTCGGCAGATGGTCGTGGTGTGTTTAAACTGTGTCTTGGTGGTGGTAACGTGGATATATCTGGTATATGCAATTGATGCTCGAATACACTGGGTAGACTAGGTCGTCGTAGTCTGTCTGCTTTGGCCTGCTGCTGCTGCTGTTGTTGTTGATATGAAGCTGCATCCATCGATCGACGGCCTGCTTCTGCAACATGTTTTCCTTCTTGCAACCCTTTTAGCATTATCTGCATTGACCCAAACGTCTCCAGTAGCTTAACTATCTCCACGTGATGTTTAGCTGCAGCTACATCAACTGGCCGAGACCCATATTTGTCCTTGACATTGATCTTGGCTCCATTTCTAAGCAGCAAGTCCACAATCTTTGTACATCCATTCGCACAGGCAACATGTAAAGCGGTTGATCCCGTGGCACCTGCAACTGCTTGCGACTTGTCTGCACTGTGCTTTCTTGACCATCTACTTGCAGTGTGAGTGTCGTCAAGCACAACGAAATCAAGGCGGTGGTTTACATACCTTTGGGCATTGACATCCGCTCCTCTGTCTATCAGATACTGCACAACAGCAATGTGATTTTCATTGATGCAAGCTAGCTGAAGTGGCATGTAGCCATTCACAACGGAATCTATAGGTGCGCCATGATCAAGAGCAAACTTGACAAGTCCTGGATTTCATTGTTAGAGTTGAACTTGTGCATGGTAACGAGCCCAATCCATCTCCATGACTTACCAACATTGCCGTTCATTGCTGCACCGTGTAAGCCAAGAGAATAGTCTTTCGTTTTGTCTTTCTTTCCATCGTACATGCTGAATAAACTAAAATTCTTGTGATATTAAGAGAAAAGAAACAAGATGAGAAAAAAAAAAAGCATTTATAAATCTACTAAAAAACGAAAAGGGGAAAAAGACTTCGGAGGTTGTAAAAATGGTGTATATCAGTAGTATGCTATGCGATAAAGGGAGAAATCAAAGGGGAGTGTGCCTGTGTAAGTCTGTGTCTTCCCTGGGTAATAGCATCTATTTTTTGTTATTTTTATCTATTGCCAAGTATTCTCACTCTCGCTCTGCTCAGCTTCATCATGATGATGATAATGGCTCTGTTGTTCAATAAATACGTTTCATGTTGCTAAATTTAAAATGTGTCAAGATTTTAAGAATAGTATCGTTACTCGTGTACTCGATAACTTTTGGGACATACAAAACAAGCAGATCGTTGTCATTGCCGTCTTCTTGATTCAATGCTCTCTTGTTGGCACTGTACTAGTATTTTCATATGACATTTGTTGTTTGATATGCTTCAAAATGTGTCAATCAACATTTTGTGTGTTTCGGAGCTCAAACCTTGAATGCTGATTTCAGGAACACATCTGAATCCTCTCCATAGCAACTGAATCACAGCCACGCAATCACAAACTGTGTCAGGTGGTTGTATTGGCTCTTTCACATCAAAGTGTGCTATTTGCAGAGGTCATTTGTATCATGGAAACCATCGTAATTCTTGACTCATTGGTCTCTTGTTACACTAAATTAAAAATAACGTATGACAGGGTATTGCAATATTTAAAATCTAATTTAAGGTAGGCGCCAATGTTTAATTCCTAAAAACTTTAAAGGCTTGTGTTTATATACACTTTACGATACAGACAATCAATGCAAATGTCGGTAATCTCTACTTTTATAATCCTTGGGAATTCAACTGCATTTGATGAGAATTTGAACATCTGTAATGAACAGTAAAATGGCGTCATCCTGCTCGATTTTACTTGTACCCATCGTGCGCATACAACCATTCATGTCCCATTACGTGGGCTTACTTTGATAGCAAATACGAACATGGCGTATAATGGCAATGCATTACTTTTTCGTTACTTTAAGATGCTTGTAGCAAACACATAAAACTTGATGATGTTTGCGTGAACGATGAATGCTTTGATCGATACGGCGGCTCACCTCATTTCAAAAGGACAATTCTCAATAGGCATGGTAAACATGATGCATAACTCGCTTTATGATATATCATTCTTAGCGTTTGCATATGACCTCATCTTAATGCATTTGCTTTATTTTTAATGGTTTGATGTAACTTGCACAGTAAGTAGCAGATTGTATAAGAATACGGAATGCACTTTCAGTTTTTACGGAGCCATCCTTTAACAACCTGATGAAGACACTTCAATGCATAATGGAAGTGATTAACAACTATTTTCAAGTACTGCAGAAACACCAAGCAAGCTTATCACAGAACTGGACTACCACCCCCGAATCTGTTCCCCTTTCTTTGAAACGCATTAACTGAGGAGAGAATGTTTAACTCAAATCTGATCCAAATTGATATCGTAAGGTGCCATAGCCTCGTTGATAAGTTGCTACTTTTAAGTTATTGAAGGATATTTGACATACTGATGAACCATGCTTCCAAGACTAGATGACCGTGGCTTGCTTTGTTCAGCTCCAGTAAGCGTCTCAATTTAAGATATTCATTTTCTCCTTACTTAAGAATGCAGTTTATCTCACCAATTAAGCCTTTCCACTTTCGGTTATCAAGTCTTCAGTCAAACATAGTCTGTTTAACATGAATCCACCACAAATTTACTGCTTCGAGCGCTATTGTTTGCCTTGTATCAGATTCTGAATGTACTGCAATGGTTTCAATTTCCAGGTTTGAGACTGAGGTGCGCATTTCAGCAAAAGGGAGTCGATTGTTTTTCACGACCCATGTCGATGATGCTAGAGACTTGGTATCAGATTCATTACATGCTTACTTCGAGGAGTTGTCAAACATATGAACAAGTTTTCAGTCGCTATATTAGTTGTCAAAAATCAAGCAAGTAAAATGTAAAGTAGCCAACAACACAAGAAAATCCCCGTGTTTCGGTACTTTTATCAGTACAACTACCAACTCAACCAAGCTTCTTCTTGTAACTGAGTTTTGCTCCTTTGCATTTGCTCTTCAGAATAAGACCTTGTTTGAGCACCTACCATGATACTTCCTTTCAAAAATTGCATTTTCAACCCTCAAATTGGAGTTTACGGTGGCAAAAACACATTTTTCCTTAATAACAGCACAGAAACGTCCATGTGATGGTCAAGTCTACGAAATAAATTCAAGACGTTGTATGACTACTCATACTGCCACACACAAAAAAAAAAAAAAAAAAAAAAAGTTTATATGCGCCACTGTAACAAAAGTTAGCTTTGGGCAATCAACTTTGGACAATTTGGCTGGAGCTGATCTTTTTGGCAGTGTAGATCCTTGAAACCATTTAAACCCGATTGTGGAATTTGAGGCTTGATAGACTAAAATTCACGGAAAAAAAAGAATAAAAAAAAACAGTAGTGTTAACTTGATAAAGGTATATTTTATTATCAAACTGACAGGTGTAAAGTAAACTGAAGTCTCTCTACTGGCCAGGTAGATGATCCTTCTTATATACTATAACAATGGATAAAAGTTCTATTAATTAGATTGACAAATAAGTCAACTCAGATCAACTAATGTCTAATCATGCTAAAAGACAACTCCAGCAAGCTAATCATGATTTAGCTTTGCCTGGATGAATAATTAGACTCTCATCCAAAGTACCCTGATCTATCCTTTCTATAAGGATAATTAATATCGATCTAGTAGCATGTATCCGATAGGTACAGTCTTCTTAGTCTATATTAATAGTACATATCTGAGTGTATATCGCTAAGCATACATCTTTAGCATGTATCTGGATATATGGCATGTCTATAGCATATCGTATGCATGTCTATAGCATGTCTATAGCATGTCTCATATATTGCACAAGTCTGTAGTACATAATGTATCTGTAGCTAGTATCACGGATATAAGCATGTGTCTTATAGCGTGGATCATGAAGTGTACATCTGAAGCAACAAGTTAATAATATTGCATCGGTTTTGGTGTTTATCCAAATATGACAAACATCCGTAGTCAATGTCGGAACACAAGTAGAAGTCTATAACACCATCTCTGTCCGTGGTGCCATCTATAGCCTACTGTATCTTATATACTATGAATCATATAGTACTAGCGTATCTGAAGTCCATATCTTCTTATAGTATAAATCGATATCGTACATCTTGTTATATCAAATGTCATAGCAAGGTCTCACACTAAAGGTTTTAGGCTATTCTTAGGTCCTTTGGGTAAATCATGCTAATCATGATTTACAAATCAATTGTTGGGTAGATAGTAAACCTATTTGTATTATAGTTCATCATCATGCTGTAAACCCTAGCTTAATGAAAAATATATAAATGCATCCTTGGGATGCATTCTCAATAAAAGTGTAATTCTTTGGCAGATTCAATTTTACATTGTATTTTGACATAACACATCTAATCCAGTGCACAGATAGTTTATATCTAAATCTGGTAACTGGATGATCTGTCGGAATGCAGATCATACTGGATGTATTCTACAGCAAGATCTGAGCCTTGGAATTATAATAAAAGCGCCTATCACTTGAAAATTGAGTTCTGTACAATGCAGAGCATCTGGGCCATCAGACAGAAGTGTAATTTACTGACTCTTCTGACAACGCAACCCACTACACCGTCATTTTAGGTCAAATTCTGTTCAAATCTAGCCATTTTCAAGCATGAATAACTCATGCCACAAAGCGTTTTGAGCGTTTGGAGTAGCACCACACGCCTTCTCTTGGCCACGCTTTACTTACTGATGCTTTATCTCAAGATTTTCTGGGTCATTGCAAACCCAGGAAAATTCTCATATTTACATGAGTATTAGCAAAGGAAAGTTCTTGAAAATCAAATGATCGCGCTTTTCACCCCAAAACTGAAGACTTTTTCTATGATATATATTAGGCCACTTTGATTGAAATGATAAAATGCGACATTGGAAGCTCTTTCTATAAGACTTGCATACGCTAAATTTTGACATATTCATAGAAAACCTGTTTTCATACTTTTGCGAATTGCTCAATATTTTCAGTTTAAAAACTGTATATAATTAAAATCATTCGATGCGGCTTCCTTAGTTCTCTAAGTTTGTATTAGAAAGCTGGTTATAACAACGAGAGTTTTCATAGTGAAATCTGGCAAAAACGTTTAAAAGATGTCAGACAGGTCAAGTTTGAACACGAGAATACCAATGCACAAATTCAAATTAAATTGCCGCAATTAGGGGGTGCCACTGCAGAAGACTGAGACCAAATATACTAGCCGTGACGCCGGATAGGGCGCCGTCTCATTTTTTTTTCCATATCCCCGTTTTTTTTCCCTTTTTGCAAGACGCGTTTAGCATCAAGTCATGGTCGGTTTGGAAACTGTTTGATTGATAATAACACTCTAGCTTCCAATAAATCTGTCTTGTACTTGTGGAAGAACTTGAAACTGCTTCTTTGAAGTGGAATATATTAGGTACTATTCAATAACGAACACTGGAAGGCGTAGAATTAACACTAATAATTGAGTTTATTCGGTTTTAGTAATTTTTTGCTTGTATGAGTGAGTGCTGCTGCTATTACTTCTCTGCCTTCTCTGCTGCTTGTTTCTTTGGTTCATCATGTCTGGTGGTTGCTTCTTTGGTCTCTGCTGGTGACGTTTGTTCTTTGTTTTTTCTATGATGCTTGTGTTGCTGCTGCTGCTAATCTGGTCTTTCCTGGTCTACTGTATTTGGTGCATGCTCGTTCTCTGGTTTATATCCGGTGATTGCGTAATATCTGGCCTATCTCTGGTGGTGATACGTGGTAAGTAATTTCTTTGATCTTTGTCTGCTCTCTGCTGATGGCGTTTCAAGTTCTTTAGTTTTTCCATGATGCCGGTGTTGCTGCTGCTGCTGCTGCTATTCTGGTCTTTCCTGGTCTGCTGTATTTGGTGCATGCTCGTTCTCTGGTCTGTCTCCGGTGATTATTGCCTATACTTTTCTGGTCTATCTGTGGCTGTGGTAAGTGGTAAGTATCTTCTTTCTTCTGGCCGCAATGATATAAAACTTCTTTGAACGCTTATATTTTTGCGTCCTTTCTCGTGATAATGCATTCATGATGTTTGCCTTGTTGCGCTTTTTCTTCTTCTTTTTCTTTTGTTGGTGGTGTTTCCTCTGTGGCTTCACATGAAACAACATTAGTCATTATGTCGTATTGCAAACTTATAATACCACTATTGCTTTTGCAGTTGTGCGTATTTGTGCCATGTTGCTTTACATCAGACTATTACTACCATGCACGTTGCTCATGTAAGCATTTTTATTGCAACAACAACGAGCTTTTTTGAACATCTTTGATGTTGTATTTTTTATGCTTTTCTTTGACTCGCTTCGTGTGAGTGTCTCTTTTTTTGTCTACATAATACTACTATACTCTTGTAGTATTATGTTCATTTGTTCCTCTTATTATGTTTCTTTTGAAGCATACTTTTTTACGTTGTGTGGATGCGCCTATCCCTGAAGCTCAACAAGACTTTATCCGAGGCTAGGAGGTAGATAGGCCGCCTCCACTTGGTTATCGCTACTTACTTTAGTGATGATTGAGAGTCTCAACGCCTGAATCTAAAGCTAGGTGGTGTAAGTAAGGCATGCTCTAGCACTTGGGGGAAGTTTAATGATAGCATCTGCTATATTGCTATATATAGCGGAGCTTAAAATTTTGCCTCACATCAAAACAGGGGGAAACCCTCGCAAATTTTTTTTAGGTCAGCGGAGTTTTTACGCGATTTGATTGGCTCAGAGGTTCAGGTACCGAAGGATTCTAGCTAGTTGATCTCCTATTGATCTGTCATTTACTATAATTTTGTGTTTGCAATAAAACGGGTATCCAAACAGATACAATTTAAATTCTTCCTTATTGGAAATAACATAAGGTGCAGTGATTTGATCTGATATCGGTTACACAGCTCTATGTGGGGGACATTTATTGAATTTATTATGTGAAAAACGTTATTATATTATAGGTACAGTAGTACACTCAATACTACTACATCCTCCCAGCAATACCGAACGCTTCGCCAAGCATGTGTCTTTTATCATTAGGTTTCAGCATGTGGTGTCAGTTTCAAGGTTTGCTAACTTCTATCTCGTAGCAAGATGCTGGATGTACAAAAGTAGTTCCGGCTTCGAGGTTTGGGCCATCGATACAAAGAACAGTGTTTCAACACTATTATCTTTACAGCTGCCAATTCAACCACGCTTCTTCTCTAGTAGCTGCATTTTGCTCCTCTATATTTGATTTACAGAATGAGACCTCTGGGTGCTCACTACAATACTTTCTTTCAAAAATTGGGGTTTGAAAAAACCCCAAATTAGAATTTACAGTGACAAAATCATGCTTTTCTTTTTTTAATAACAGCATAGAAAAATCCATACGATGCTCAAGTATATAAAATAAACCTATAGGGTGCATTGACTAATGCTGACGCACAAAATAAACTTATAGCACCCACTGTAGCAAAAGTTAGCTTTGAGCGATTAACAGTCTTGGCCAACTTGACTAGGGCAGAACTTTTTGACAGTGTAACAACTCCATGAAAACTGATGCTACAGCCTTGAGTAAAGCTCCAAACAATAGAAGAACTGTGTTTCTACACAATTATTACTACAGTTGAATTGGTACAGATTTAATACATGTTTTCCTCCGAAAAGCTTTAAAAGTAATGCGGTGCATTGCAGTCTCAAATTATTTGTCAAGTCTATACAAATCAATCTTGAAACAAACAGTATCCTACTATACAGCAGATCACACAAATTGTGTGCACTATTTCCTGAATCAATCTTTACACACGCTTATCAAAAAAACAGCATTTACTTCATAATCAACAATTAAAATATCGACATATTATATTCCATCCGTGAATTCAGTTATAGTTCATTCGGATGAATATACAGAGGCCCTATTTTCGACATTTACCTTATTTTTTTTTTGCAAGGATATACTGTATAGACAGACATTAGATTATTATGAATAGCATATTACATCAAGACATCTGAACAAAATCATCCATTTTTCCATCGAAATCTTTATATCAGTCTTCACATTTACTATTCTTAGCATCTCACATTATAGATCTGTCAAATATCTCGAATTAGTCTTGATAAATCCTTTGAATGCACTTCTGACAAATGTTTCTATCTTTTTATGCAGACCTGCTTAACATACTCTCTTACAACATTTTTATAGACCAGAATCAGATACGTAAATTATACATGCCAAGTTCAAATACCTATTGCAGATGACAATTTTATTGATTCAAACATAATGTAAGATAGCAAAAAGTAGATGGTTTGGATATAAGAGTAGTGATCTTTTCTTTAATTAGTCTATCAACATGGTCTGTCCAAATGCAGTAGTAATAAACTTTGTAGTAACGACAGAAAAGTCCTTGGCCACCATGTTGTTTGATACAACAGTAGAGGAAAAAGATGAAGCAGTAGAAGCATTGTCCTCATCCATCACGGAGACCAGCGATGGTTGATCTTTGGCAGCATTGATGTACTGGTCCCAAGCAGCGTCCAAAACTTGTCTTGGAGCCAAGTAATGCTCATCTGACATCATGAATGTGTCCCCAATGGATACCTGCAGATACTCGAGGACAACCCAAGTCAAAATACGTCTTGATAGTATTCTCTGGACCCATATGCAGATGTTGCATTAACTGTGTAGGCATGACGTTGCCAATAGGAATAGCTGCCAATGTAGAAGGTGCATAGAGATTGCCAATTGCCTTGAATAGTTCAGGGGAATACCTAGTATCGCCGCTAAGTGTTGAAGCCAAGCATCGAACTTTGATTATAATCAGAATGAGAACAGCCTGTCAGATTTTTAAGCAAGCGGTTTGCTGCTATATGCTAAATTCAGTGTAATTCATTTAACTGTAGTAGTATAACAAGATACATAACTAGAAAGAGGAATTGATGATATGTGGCTATCTTTTAGCTCTCGGCCACCACACGTTGAATCCAAGTTATTCCATGTTACATGCATACCTCCTTATTGTAACCTTTCAGGCCATTTATTAGCTCTATAGAATCTACGTCTAAACAAAGTTCAATCTGAAATGAGAGCTTATAAAACTCATAAAATTAACATAAGCCCCCTTCACATGTAATAGTTGCCGTTGAAAAGAAAGTATTCGCTGCTGCAATAACTGGTACATAAATTGCATACCTATCTGTGTCACGAAAAAACACTCTTGGCCAATCCGTCTACATTACGGAATGAGTTACACTGTCTTACCATGCATGTTGCCTTTTGTCAGTCAAAGGATTTTTCAGCCAAGCTCATCTAGTTACAGAAATCATTTTTTAGATGAGCCACACTGGTTGTTCTTTTTTTTTCGCGCTTGATTGTTTGTCTTTTACTGCTCTGAATTGAACTAATAATATCGATTTACCCCTGAATTAAAAACAGGACTATTGACATTCTCGACCTGCGATTTTTCTCCTCTCGAAAGAGAATGAAATAGGCGTTAACAATTTCACTAATTGGGTCGTATCACAGATTACTCAATTAAGAATTGACATCTATTCATTTTGTGTTTACAGCATGATGGGAAATGGAATGAGGCTTTGTTTACGATTATCACTATAAAAACCAATACGTTGGGCTGAATTCCAGGTATCTCTTTTCTTCTTTTTCTTTCTTGTATATACAAACAAACCCTCAAACAATATGGTTCATTCAATCAAGACAATTTATCATAGAATCAAAGCCAAGAAGAACACCAATACAGCCACTGATTACGATGAAGATTACCTTGTGGATTATGAAGATATACCCCAACACAAAAAAATATCCAAAGAGTTGATCACCAAACAAATTGAAAAATGCAAGCGAAAACTAGAGCAAATCAAGAGATCCACATCGCCCACATCATCACTATTATCTACTGAACACTACAACTACAAGCTGAATTATTCTGAAAAGGGATCCATTCAAAGGCCCACCTACTATGTTGAATCCACTGGCGAAATTTACTATATCCCAATTACCATGGATGTGATCCGGTCCGTGATCTTGAAACAGCATTGCCAAATCACAAAGCATGACGAGCTGATATGGTTTGAAGATGGTATCAAATGGTTGTCTCAACAACAGTATCAAAACAAGAGCAATATTAGTTTCAGGTACTACATTGAAGAAGAAAAGAATTATACCGGTTGGGATGAAAAGAGAACCATGCTACAACATGACATTGAAGACCTGGAGCGTGCTTGCGAGGCGTATTTTGGTATTCCTTTGGGACTCTGTGAAGATCACTGGGCTGCTGAATACTTGATGAGTCAAGCTTCTAAAGCAAAGCTATTACGCCGGGTGAATCTGCAACCCTCTTTACGTAAAGTCAAGTTTAGTCTCAAGCGCATGTTCTGTTGTGGATTGTAGACAAGAAGAAAAGAGACAAGAGGTTTCAAATATAAATATTATGTTGATCTGAACGAGCAACGCTTACAAGTTACTTTTGATAAGTCATCGTAGTGTATAATGTTGTCAACATTTCTGAAAAAAAAAACCATTATCATGTTCATTGTGTATAGCTTATCATACTTATATATATATATATATATATATATATGTCATTCAATAAAAAAAAGGAATTCATTATACGTGTCTGTTGGAAATGTGATACACTTTCAGGTATACCGAGAGAAGGGCAAAAAAATTAGTGATACAGCATCAGGGCCCGAATACACAAATAAACAAATAAACAAATAAATACAGATGAAAGGCTAAATACCCAAAGTTTCAAACAGTGTGAAATCAATCGATCTTTAAAGGATGAGTGTCATGAATGACGCCAAAGCAAAAAAGAACCTACCTTGATGGATGTGTAGATGTTCCGCATGAAGCCGTAAGTAGCAAAGAAGCCGATTGTTCCTGTGCACAATCCATAGATCAGGCACAAAATAAGCGAGTGCCCAAAATACACTACAGCTGATACTAGGCCGAGAAAGTTGGTGCGAAAGATAAAGTAACATGCAGAATATCTGTAAATAATGTGTAAGGCATGCTTCCCGTCTTACGACATAATGACAGCTTACATGAACAAGCACACGGATGACACGAACGAGACCCTAAAAGAATTCCACCACCACTGGTAGTCTTGACAGCAAAGACTGAAATAAGTGACTCCAATTGACATTATCGCTGCTGTGATGGTCAAGATAACAAAAATGATGATCAAGAATCCAAACATGTAGTGATATTTACTGCTCCACTCTGAGAGTGTAATGTAATACATATTCAGGTACAAGACGATGAATGATACCAACCCACCCACAGCACACCTAAAGATGGGCTCCAAATACCACGGCTGATCGGGTATATAGCAAGGAATTGGGTTCAGTTTGACAGGTGGTTTAAATTGATCTTTCTTTGTGTGCTTCCTTTGACTGAAATGAGCACCAAGATGAACCAACGGAACAGAGATACCAAACCATAGAAAAACCAGCGTTGTAAACGTGGACAATGGAATAGCAGCTGATGAGCTTTTACTCCACACAAATGAATTGATGATGAACACAATAGTGAATATGACTGAGGGGACAAGGAAAGCTGCCTGTACTACAGTTCAGATATGTCGTGGATTGACTTTGAAGGTGCTTACTTGCCTCAAGTGCGTTCTGCATCCATGATTTGCGGTCCTCTCCAAACACATGATGCATCAAATTGCTTGTGTATCCTGTGAAGAGCCTGAAACAACATAACATTAGCTATGGCTCTACACACACTTGACTTGATACCTGCCCTGAAAGCACATAAAGTGCAATTGCGTATAAGATGAAGCCTCCACGATAGGAAGGGCTCAGTAAACCTAACAATCCCACTACCAATGTAAACATTGACATGTTTAAAAACTGCATCCCAGATCCCAAAAGTGGGCCCATCCATGTCGAGTGTCTAGGAGGTCGAAATACATCGCCATGCATCAGCTTCCAGCCTTGATTTTTACCATCATTGAACTCATCTTTGCTCTCTCGGTTGTAGATGCTGATATCTCTGGCAAGTGTGCGCATCAATATCATGCCAGCAAATGCCTACAAATAGAAGCGTGCAGATCAATATGTTGCAGATGGAAATGAGATAAATGCGAGGTTGCTTATGCTGTTGATAGCGATTCAAGCGAGTGTTCCATGTGATGGTTTTCGACTGATACAAAGTGAGTTTTCACTGTTTTAGAGCAACTCCATACAGCACCTACCTCTTCCCATGACACCGAGTATGTGTAGTGAAGAAATGCACTTGCTCCTAATTCTGTGGCTGTAGAGTTTGGACTAACTATGCATGTATTTGCATTATGGATGCTACAAAATTCGAAAATCTGAGTGCTCGATGACACGTTAAAGGCTCTTTTTCGACATACGCTGAGGGGTACACTTCAAAGCCAACAATGTATTTGGTGCTTGCATCAGTTGGGTGTGCTTGGTACTGCAAATGTAGGTTAAAGTGGTTGTAAAGAAAGGTCTTGCTAGTAAACTTGTCCACATAGCCCATTTTCAACTGTGGTAGCCATTTGCGATGTTGCGTGTTGCTGTTGTCCTGCGATAATCCTCGCAAACCATCTACAAGCCTAGTGGTCACATTGGATATAAGCTTACAAGTGCCATACTTGATCACACATACCATTCCACCCTATAGTCTAGCCTAATTAGCTCTTTTGCCAGCTCAACATCTCTCTCGTTCAGTTTAACAGTGCATAGCTGATTGCAGTAGATAGCGTGGCCCAATTTCAGCTGAAATATGAATTAGCAACTCTCGATGCCAACAAAAGCTTAATCCTCACCTCAGATCTGCTCTTCATGTAGCGATCACCTTGCAGAATGTGCCCCAAATTGACCAGTGATCGTTGCTGTTTGCGTGTATTATCGTTGGAAGGACACACAAAAGGTAACTCTTCATATGCAAATGGTAATTGTGTCTTTGCAGATGTGATCTTGTTTACAACGAGTGGCACTGAATCATTCAAATGATAGCTATGAAGAATATCGCTGTCCGCCGAAAAAAATGCCTGTGTATTATGCTTGCAAAATAGCAACACTGTCACTAGTATCAAAAACAGCATTGCAGCGAAAAAGTAGTAAAGAGAAAGAAGGACAGCAGAGTGATCTCAACTCAAATTGAATCCATCAAGACACGCTCCTCGATTCGATCGAAATCTTTGGCCCCTCTTTCTCTCTCTCTCTCTCTCTTTCGCTCTTATAAAGACTAAACACAAAAAGTAAAGGAGTCCACTTCAAGCTAACTGCAGTAATCATGTATGCAGATCTATTGCAACAGTTCTTCTTTTATTCAAACGACATCTACTTGATATAAGTCTTCAATTCCTTCAGACGCTCTACAGCTTGTTCCAAGACTTCGTCGGTCTTACAGAAGGCAAAACGAGCAAAGTGAGCAGCCAAGGGCCAGTGCTCCTTTTCGTAGAATTCAGAGGGAGGAATAGCACAGACACCGATATGCTTGGTTAACCAGTAGCACATTTTGAAATCAGCACCACGATCATTTAAGATCTCGGGGAACTCAAAGTCCTTGGGGATTTGGATTTTGCTGGTATTGACCAGGATATAGTAAGCACCCTCTGGCATAGTGTAGGGTAAATTCAGCTCATCAAATAGCTTGCTCAGGATGGACTTTTTGTGCATGTACTGGTCGATCTGGTTCTGGAAGATGGGCTGTGTCATGGCATTCTCGAGGCCAGCAGCAACGGCTTCTTGGCAAGGGGAATTGACGCAGAAAACAACTCTTGTTTGAGCAGCAAATGCGTGCTTGATCAAGTGGTCAGGGCCAATCAACCATCCAACACGCCATCCAGTGGCAGCAAAAGATTTACCGCCTGATCCAACAGTGATTGTGCGTTCCCAGAGGTTGTCAATGTTGGCAATGCGTGGGAATTTGTTGAGAGGAGGGTAGTAGAGACGATCATAGACTTCATCAGACAAGATGACAAGGTTGTTCTCTTCCGCTACCTGACCAATGGCACGCAACTCGTCTTCATCGAATACTTTACCGATGGGATTATGGGGTGTGTTGAGTACAATCATCTTGGTCTTGGGTGTCACTTTGGATTTGAGTTCTTCAATGTCTAATTTCCACTCGTGAGATGAGATGACACGATCAGCAGCATCTGTAGGGGGTCTAAGAGGAACGTAGACAGGCTTGCCACCGTTCATGGTGATATTGGGCTAGACAATAAAGCCAATGTGAGCTCGTAGTCAGCTACCCTTTGCATGATTGTGACTCACAATGTATTGATCAAAGAAGGGCTCCATACAAATCACTTCATCTCCAGCATCCAGAAATCCAGCAAACGTAGCAAACATGCCTATAATCCACGTTGAGTGTCTCTGTATACTGTATAATGTGCTCACAATGTACCTTCATTGGCACCTGCTGTGACCAGAATCTCGGTCTCAGGATCCAACTTGCGATTGAATTGCTCGCTGTAAGAAGCAGCCAAAGCGTTTCTCAATCTAGGACGACCGCGAGGATGACTATACACACTAGCTTTAGAAACTTGATTCTTTCAGTCTGCTTGACTAATTTGGCTTGTTGTGTACCTGTATTGATTGGCTTCGACAACTTCGAGAGCTTCTTTGGCAGCATTTTGCACAATGGCAGGAGGAGCAAAGCTGTTTGTACGTTAATTTTTGAATAGAGTCCTACATGGATCGTATACCCACTTCATGTAACCTTGACCCAAATTGATGGCCTTTGTCTCTAAAGCAAGAGGGGTAAAGATAGACCATACTATCAACATGGTGAGCCACAGGCTTGACGCACACACACACACACACACACACACACACACACACACACAATGCGCGAGACTTACCATCTCTACTAAAATGAGAGACCCGTTCAGCAGGCTTGATTTGTTGAGCACTCTTGGTTGACATCCTATAGATTTGTTGCTGTTGCGAAGGAAAAGAGATGAAATTTCTTTTAGTCAAAAAACTTAATCTTCTAATAGATGCAATGTTCATTGTTTTTAAATCCGAACGTGTTGAGAAAAAGATGAGAGTGGGTGTTGGGTGGGGCGAGGGGTTAAGAACTTGACCATTCAACTATACCAGAGAGCCTTATTCAAAGCAAGATGAGCCAATGAAACTAGACATCTCCTATTGCGTAACTCACCAAATGATGTATTTTCTCATACAAATTGCGCTTTTCTTTTGTGCGCTTTACACACACTCAAACTATGAATGCATACACTGAAGTAATCTGACCGGAAGCAATGTTTTCTATTCAATTTAATACTAGAGCTTGGCGTGTTAAATCTGGGTTCGCTTATGCTTCCATAGCTCAAATTGCAAAACAGTAGTAAATATTCATCTTACAAGCTCAGAAAGGTAGAAACATGTCAGGCTGGTACCTGAATTGAGCTTCAATCCACGGTTCACCGCAGTGATTGAAGCTTTTTGGGGATCTGTAATGGTTTTTTAGCCAGATGTATGAACGCAGCATGGAGCCTGTATTGCCAAAACATCCTAATGCGGCTGTAAATGCGTCAAATTTTTGGCTCGATATCTCATGATGCGTAAACGAGCGCGAAATATTGGTTTCCACAACCAACTTTTACTTTATGCAACTGATCTACGCATCAAGAAACATGTGTTGAACAACGAATCAGTATGCAATCACAGCTCTATGGCAAGAAGAACAGATATCATAGTCCTTCATATGCATCAATTGCCTTCATTTGCCAACAAAGCAATCTGTCCAATCCAAATGTCGATTTTTACGCTAAAACAAAAATTTGACAATAAGCTTTCCCTCAAGATGAATCATTGCAAATCATCAAATCCAACGTTTAAAAGCACATTGCTGCGTAAAAATTCTCTAAATGCTTCCATCAATATAAAAATCGAGTTTTCAATCGCTCATATCTCGACAACCAAGCACAATCTCAGCTTCAAATTAAGTGCGATCGTGTTCTACGACAAGACATTAGGTTATGAATTACTTTTCAGCAATTTTTCTTGAGAACAAATTGATTATCGAAATCTAGCCATTTTGGCCTTGTACTAGTAAGGGAAAATCTGAAGATTTTAGAAAATCCGACTTTTCACCTCGAAAATCGCATTTTTTTATATGGCGTTCCTAAGCTCAAAATGACCTTAGAAACGCAAAGAAGCATCTGACGCTGTTTCTAAACGTGTTTACTATCCATTTTGTAGACTTTTTCTGGAAAAACCTAAATCAAGTTTATTGAAGATTACTCACCATAGACAAAAGGAATCGCTCTGAAAGTGGCACCATTGAATTCCTCATCTTTTTCTGCATGCGAAAGTTTAGAAATGTACCTGTTGATTATGTAATAGAATCCTGTCTAATGTCCACTGAAAGGTTTTGAAATGTCAATATCCAGGGTCCAAACAATCAGTTGAAGAGCTCATACTTCAATCTCCGAACGGGCATCATGAATGCCATGTTTGGTGATTTAGTTAAAATTTCTTCAACCTCTCCCCATCTGCTTTACGTTGAAATTCTTTATATTGTTTACTAAAAATTGTAAGTATCTATCTGCTTTGAACCTCTTGTATGTAAGCTATTTTGTACACTTTTGATATGAAGCCATTTTATGTCAATCGTAGGCTCAAGGTGATTGCTTATTATTCAGCTCAAAGCAACCTCAGATTTCTATATGGCTCATGCATATATTGCAGTTGCCGTCTATAGCAGCTATATAACATTTGCAGAAGTCAATAAAATATAGTGCTTATATCATAACATAATAGATTTATTGTCCCTAGACACTTTGAAATCCTCAAAAAGAAAAAAAATTGATTTAACAAGTATTTTGATGGACTGACGTTATTAAATATAGAATGCAAGAAGATAGAATTACTAAAAATAGTGCTGTATAATTTGCCATTTACTTTCCATACGCTTCAAAAGTATTTATTAATGTATTGCCTTCATGATGAAAAGGGCATTGTTGAGTCTGCCAGCCGGCTCCACCAGCCAAAATTAATTCCAGCTCAGAATCCTAGTCTGCTTCAGATTGGACAAATTTCTACCATCTTCGACTTGATCAATCTATTTTAGCAGATTCGATTATATGAAATGTAATGTTCATCCCTTGCCCCTTTAAGCTTTCTGGCAGTGCTTTCCAAGGCGCATCCAATGGTACCAAATAAGATAGATGTTTTGAATAAACTTACTGAGTAATTTATGAAAATATGAAAAGAGATTTCTGGCCAAAAAGTCGAAATTTTACATATCAAAGTCCCACAAAGATGATTTCAGGGGTTGCATTGGATCGAGAGAAACATTTTGATTCAATATATACCATAGCAAAAGTCTTCATTTTTGAGGTCAAAAACGCGATCGTTTGATTTTCGATGAAAACCATGAGGTACCCTTCATGCTTTTTGATCGAATTTTGGCCGTTTTTTTGGTCTCCAAAAAGTCGAGCAATAGTGGCAATAAGTAACTGCCAGATGAGAGCAATTGTTTGGTGCTATTCTGACCATCTAAAATGGCCTTCAACACGAGAAAATGCAGCTTAAATGTAGTCAGATTTTGCTGTATTAAGGACGCTAAAGACTAAAAAGGGGGATACACCAGTATGTTGCTTGCCCGTATATGAATTAGCTACGTATATATGGATGTAGAGCATCACATAATAATCAAATCCTCAGATAATAGGAAGCGATTTGATGTGTAGGTGGAGGGTCAAAATAAAAGTAGCGGTATTTCGATAAGACACGCAAGGGCAATCTGTAGTGTGAGCTACCACAGCGCAGGTTGGTTCTCACCAAAGCGAAGCGAAGATAGAGGGCCATCCGAAGCATAAACACTTGTATGCAATAATTTATTTACAAAAAAAGCAACCACTACTACTCTATCTTCTTCTTCTTCTCTTTTTCTTTTTGTTGCTTTTCCCCTTTCCTTTACCTTTATTCTTCGCTTTTACTTGCTGACTGGCTTGCTGGCTCGCTTGTTCCTTTGCTTTCTTTTTCAACGACTGCAGCTACGATAATTGCATTAATGGTTTCATCACTATATTACGTTATATGGAACACGTACTAGGCCTTCTGGCGGAGGAATTTCTACAGCTTCTGCAGGTTGGCAAATCAACAGACTAGATACTGCTTCATTGGCATTAGTTCCTTGCTCACCAATTGAATTGTTCGTATCAGCAAGAAGAATAGGAGACCTATCAATGAAAGAAGCAGCACTGCTGGGTGATTCAGCGTATTGTTGCGGTATGATTGAGGATGCAGCAACAACAGCAGTAGCAGCAGTAGCAGAGGGAAAAATGCTAGTATACGGAGATGTACCAGAAGCAGGAGGAGAGATATACATAGCAGCAGCAAGTTTTTGAGTATGCTCTTTGGTTGCTGCGAGAGGGAAGGTGGTTGCAACTTTGGCTGTGTAAAGATCTTTTCTCTTGGCTTCTCTTGCTGTTATTGTAGAGGAATGCAGGTGGGCATCGTGAGTGGCATCATTTGGTTTAATAGAAGGCGTACTATTTGAAGCAGCAGAGATATTAGCAGTAACTTGCGTTTTTTTGGATTCCTCTTTGCCAGCACTAGCAGCAGCAACAGGAGGCTCCGTTGTATCAGCAGCCAAAAGACCCACGGAATCAAAGCCATCGTCATTGCTTTCAGAGAAATGAATGGTTCTTCCGAGAATCTGCGGATCACTTGCAAGAAAAGCAGCAGCTAAATTTCCAAACGCTTCAGTATCATGCTTGCAATTTGTTGAGGGGGCAACTGGAGACGAATCAGGTTTCAATGGCTCAACAATACCAAAAGCAGTAGTAGCAAAAAAGTTTTCATCTGATAGATTGAGAGCGAGCTCAGTTTCCAGCGATACTTGGTCTGTACTGGAAGGAGGTCGATTCCCCATCAAAAAAACAGGTAAGGAAGATGTCTTCGTTTTGTCAGAACCAAATGCGTCAGGTGCTGTAGAGCTAATAATATCCACAGGAGCTTCAATATTGCTAGGAGGAGTGCTTCGATTACATCTTGAAGAGGCATTAGCAACTGTATGAATACTGGAGGGATCTTTCAGATGTTTGAACGACGATGTAAAGACAGGAGCACGCTTGACTTGGGAAATAATACCAGCAGTAGGAGATCGTAATGAACCAGGTGAATAAGCAAGTCGAGGCTTTGGAGAAAGAGATGACTTTGGAGACACCTTTTTCTTGGTTTCGTCGACTGAAGAAGAAGAAAACTGGCTTTCAGCTTTTAATGAACCAGGAGCGTAAGTAGGCTGGTTTTGGTGGAATGATGTTTGACCAACAACGTTTGAAGCATCAGTAGGAAGATCATCAGGATCAGCTTTGAATCGTGAAAATAAGAGCTTCATAGTGGTAGAAGCAGCCTTAGGTTGCATTTTTTTGCGAGGCATGAAAGGCGCATTTGCAATAGCCTCTGTCAACGATGAGCCAATTTTAGTAGATGATGAAGAAGGTCCAGCTGGAGGAGGAGCACCAAATCTGATGTTTGAAGGCTCTTGTTGAGATAGCTTTGGTTTCTCAGCTTTTTGGGATGATGCCTTCTTTTTTTGTGATGATTTACCTCTTTGACCTTTCGTAGAATCAGCATCACCTTTGAGAGGTGCTTTCTTGAAAGCTTGTTCAGGTAGATGTTTTGTGTGGGTAGAAGCCGGAGGTTTGACACCAGTACTAGATGTTTGTTGCTTGCTACCAGCAGCAGTGTTGGATGTAGGTAAATCGCCAAATGTTATCCGTCTTAGGAAGGCACCCATTTGGTCAGCAAAATCATTAACAGATTGCTTCTTGGCAGCAAAACGAGCTATTTCATCGGCATGCGGCATTGTTCTGCAGGCAAATTTGGGTTGTTCTGGAGGTGTGAAATGGCCATCAAAGGGAGGATTATCTTTCTCTCCACAAGACTTCGGTGCGTCATAGCGACCAGTGGATTGAGCAGCTTTGGAACGGTATAATACAACAGGAACAGGTGGATTAGTTACATTGGAAGGACCAAGGACGGCAAAAGGCAGGTTGAGAGTAAGCTTTAGCGCTTCGTCGTTGGTAGATTCAGGGAACCTCTCAGAAACGGGGCCAGTAGGTGGAACAAATGGCATGTTTGAAAAGTCAGAATTGAGTGTAAAGCTAGAGTCTAAAGGATAAGCAACCTTTTGACTTGGCTTAGGTGTGGTTTGTTCAGCATTAGTATCAGGACTACCAGGCGCATCACCTTGTGGCAAAGAGTTACTCTCGTTGTGGGGACCACCAGGAGCAGTAGGAAACTGGAATCTATTTCCATTATCGTTATTTCCACTGCTATCACTTGAATGACCTGACAAGGTGAATGGATAAGATCTAGCAGGTTGGAAACTAGACCAAAATCTTTGTGATTTCGACGGTTCAAAGGGCATTTCATTACGTTCTTCTGCAGGATCACGAGATTTGGTCTCCTCTGCAAGCAACTCTTCTGCTGTCCAATTGCGTGCAGCAGCATTGGTGTAATCAAGATGAATGGATCCGATGGAGCTGTCAGCAGAGGAACGTCTGGATGTTGCAGTAGGTTCTTCCGGTGTATTGTTGGCTTCTGTTGTGCTTTCATCAATGTAGACATTGTTGCTAATTCTTGTAAATCCACCATCAAATAGAGAGTCTTTCATGGAATGGTAACAGGATATAGCGCTATCATGCAGAAATGGGTACATGATGAAGAAAACCAGAGGCATATAAATCCAGAGATGCTCCATGTTATCAAGTGCTGAGTGATGGGCGAGGTTGCCTTTGGCCAGGATGCTTTCGATGAGGAGCTCATTGGCTAATGGGCTTTTTATGATTGTCGAGTTTCTCGTGTATAAATGAGACATTCCTGCTATCAATTGTGCGCTTGGTTTTCCAGGAACAGATAGATCAATAAGTCGACACGCAGTTACTACAAGTATAATGCGTGAGAGATGAAATCAGAGCATAGGCGAATGGGCTTACCGTTCACGTTGTTGAATTTATAATACAATGTTTCGAGATAGTTTAAATAGGACAAACCAGGAACACTTTTGAAAGTGGGTGCATTGATTTGGCATCTCTCGTCAACTATATATTAAGCGTCAATATCATGTTCGTGTTGTATAGTATGTATACTAGCAACTTACAAAGCTGCTTCAAATAAAGCAACCCCTTCATGCTGACATCGCGAGGTTCGAAGATGTAATGCAGTATAGTAACGCAGAAAATGAAGAGAATAACGTGTTGAGATGTAATCATAGTACGCAAATACAGCAAACGAAAAGCGAGAAAAAAAAAGAAGCTCTGTAGGAGCACTAGAGACTGATTCTTTTAAAAGAATTATTTTCATAGCAAGACCCATTGTCTAATTGCGCTTTGCCATAGCAAAGTGCACATAAAGCTTGATTTTAGCTTGTATTAGAAACGACAAGCTGCAAAATAAACTATCTTTCAATGGAATATTTGATTCCTAGATGTGAAAATCATGATGTTGATAATGTTGATCAGTTACAAGGTGGTACTGGTTGCTGTCATTGGTGGTAAGGCTTCTTTATGTCTTGACAACAAAGCGTAATAGTGGTATGTCACTTGTACAAATATTGTCAAGGACTTGAATAACTCAAACCATTGATTCGAGTGCCTTGCGGCCAGTGTGTAATGCGCTGACTGGATCATAACAAGCTATACATTACAATCATTAGTAAGCATAAATGCCTCACTGCTTGCAACAAACTAGTCTTTCATAAGGGGCCACCATGATCCTGTTATTTTGATTACTACATATCTCATGATTTAATCATTAATCCTCGTCTCCTTTAACTTATAGAACAATCGACTTTGTGCAGCTGCTGGGTATGCGATTGGTAGGATCTCAATCGCAAATACATTTGGTAATTAAACTCAACAATACCTGAACAATCGTTATCATCATACTAAATAAAGCATCTAATATATATATATACTGTAAATATTCAAAAAAAAATATAGACAAACAAATCATATCCTTTCAAAATTTTAAAGAATTGTGTGCCGTACAAGGTGAATAAAATCAACGGCAAAGCCGGCAATGAGGAGAGGGTTTGGGGGAAGAACATAATGTGTCTCATTCAACACTTGATAGCATTGATTTATAGGGGAGTTTTACCGTAGCGAAGCAAAGGTGCAAAGCCATGGTAATAAGGCGCCTAATCTAACACATGGTAACATTGATCTATATGAGGGCTTAATTGCAGCGGAGCAAAGGTGCAAACCTATGACAACTAAGCATCCAATCCTGCATTTGAGAGCATTGATCTATACGAGGGCTTGATTGTAGCGAAGCGAAAGTGCAAAACCATAGTATTCAAGCATCAAATTCGGTTTTTCAGTTCCATTGATAGTAAGCTTACCAGCAACATAGCGCATCAAAATTTGCATGAATCAGCTCTACCAGAATCAATATGTCTCCTATTCGAATTAGAAGTTGCACAGGCTGCAGAACTGCCTTTCCAGAAAGCTTCAGCTACCAAAGATGTGATTTATGCCGTGTCAATAAACTCTATAAAGCAATGCCTAACCAAATTTAACAGTTTTCATGCCTTCATATCTTGACATGTAGATCTTTCTGAGCCACCGAAATGACGCCAAACAATTGTACTTGAGTAGTAGTAATTCCCTGACACCTTTGCTCAACTTTTTGGGCCAAAAAAAAAAAAAAAATGCCAAAAATCGACCAAAAAGCATGAGGGGTACCTCATGGTTTTCATCGAAAATCAAACGATCGCTTTTTTCACCTTAGAAATGAAGGCTTTTACTATGGTACATATTAGACCAAAATGTTTCTCCTGATCCAAAGCAACCTCTAAAACCACTTTTATGAGGTGTTCATATGCAAAATATGGCTATTTTCGCTAAAATCCTCATTTCAAATTTTATTAAATTTCTCAATAATTTTGGTCAAAATACTTATTACAGTTAACACCATTAGAAGCGCCTTGAAAAGTACTTCAAGAATGTATTAAGAAGCGTAGGGTGATCATCACAGTTTATATAGTCGAATACCAGAGAATAGATTAAAGAAGTCGAAAAAAGACACAATCTGTCCAATCTTAAACAGAAAAAAATATACTGAGTTTGAATCAATTTTGGCTGCAGCGTTGTTGCTGGCTGGCCTAAATGCCTTACTGTTGATGGCAATGATGATTGCGATGCTGATTAAATGGGGATCGTGGAATTGAAAGAACAATTGCTTAGCGCAAATACTTTTTTTGTGGAGCTTTTCTTCATGAAATCATCTTTTGCAATGACAATATCTCAAAGAAAGTCGCTGTAGATTTTACGTAAGTCCTGTATTTACACATGACCAGCTTTATGCTGCCATCTCAAGAGCAACATCAGCGAATGGATAACTCTCCCTCCTGATTCTGATAAACCCCCCCCCCTTTTTTTTTTGCTATTAACTGGTTGTTTAAAATCTACTTGATATGCCAAATTTTTATAATCTTTGATTTGGAATGTCTTGGACGAGAGTCCGCAGGGCGACACCGTCATTGAGCATAGCAAGGTTGGCCGGCTAGTGGATTGATACAGAAAAATAGACACGGAATAACTTTTATCTGCGATAGCTAATATTTCAAGTAAGCTACATTGGCTCAAGATCTTGATAAGATGTGCATAAATGCTTACGTGTGCATCAACTACACTGATAGTGATATTCTCATCTAATGTCAATAATAGCTATTTAGAACCAGAGAACGAAATGCTGTGAAAAGCAATCAATAGATAATGCGTAGACCATAGCTCTTACTGTAGTGCAAATCTACAGTTTTGCACTAGTGCGAAAAACTGATAATTTTCTGTAAATCCTATATCAGCACTAGTGAGTCGAAACTTTCTGTGTCAGTGTCACATTGTGTAATGGTACCAGCAACTCTATTTAGGCTTGGCTAATGCTTATTTTAGTATCTACTGTTATGATATAGCAACCAAAGAGGGTCGAGTGCTGTGTATCGTATTCAAATCATAGGAAATACACCTGCTATGAGGTAAAATATATCTCTGGATCTCACTAAAAGCATCCACAGCTCTATATATGGTCATGGAGAGAAATATAGATTTGTACAACGTTAAAATGAACAGCAGATAATTCAATATTACATTAAATTAAGGATTTATTGCGCTTGCTCAAGAACCTTGCTATGTATGAAGAGTTTCATGTCTAAATTTATGGTATTTGACCCCAAAATTTCTGAGCACGTTGCACCAAAATCAAGACGAGTCAATTGATCAACCTTTTTGTTTGCAAGATAGAAATGAGAGAATGGTTCCATTCCATATAATCAAAATCCACGACTCTGGATAAGCTAACCTCCAAGTAATAAATTGTTTAAAATTGAAGCATTTACTGCTGTTAGAAGTAAAAATTACCTATTTGATCAGGTAAAACAGACATACTTTATTGTGATGTTGCTGAAAGGGCATTAGCGGTGATAGATGTACTATGTATACAAACAGAGAAATGAAAAAATCTTGGCGAGCCAATACCCAGGTTACAGCAGGATTTAAATTGACCAAAGCGCTTGATTTTCTGCAAACCAAATCTCAGGTCAATATGATAGAACAAGTTGTTAATGCGAGAACATTTCTTGTGTCCTCAAAATGAAATTGATCCATTTATTTCGTGTTTCCCTCGAGCAAAAGCGGCTGCCAATAAAACCTCATTTGATTCATCAAACACGAGTTACAAGTGTATTTCTGCACTTTAAACAAAATCCAAGGGGTACTATGCTTCATACAGCAAACAGGCAATCCTATTTAGAAAATATTTCTGTAGTTTAAACAACATGGAGAGCATAGTAACACAAAATAAAATTGAATTATATTGAACAATGGAAAATTGGGAAAGGATGAAAAGCGCAAAAACTCGATGTAAATTACTGTAAAAGTACATTTTATAGTATTTATGTGATTTTATATTAAAAAATATGATATGGCAGGTTATTACTACATAATTACATGTAGTTGAGAAGCTTACAAGAACCGCCTTGGTAGATATCAACATTGTTGATCTTGTGGGCCTTGTCCAGCTTTTCGTAGTTATCCATAGCATAAACGTAGAAATCAATGTGCTTGCCATTGAAACTCCAAGATTGATCATCGACCAACAAACAACCATTGTGAGTCTTGCTGGAGCCAGGAATCTTCCAGCCAACGAGAGCAGGGACGTAAATCTTGGTGTTCTTCTTGATATCATTGGAAGCAATAGTAACATAAGGACGAAGAGGAGTACCGAAAGAAGTCAAACCATAAGGGTCAGATTCCTTGTCAACCAGTTCGAAGCACTTGTAGCCAGAACAGCTACAACCGCCGAGATTGACAATCTTGGAACCAACAACACCCGTACCTTCCATGACAAGAGCATCGGCGTAGTTTTCACCAACAGAACCAATGGTCTTACCACTACAGGTCTTGACACTGACGCTCTTGCCACCAGAATAATCTCCGGGTTGAGCAATCCAGTAGTAAGTGAAGGCAGACTTGGATTGTAACTTCTTACGGGTTTCCTTCTTGGAGGAAGACTTTGAAGAGGACTTTTTGGTGGTCTTCTTGGTAGCCTTCTTCTTGGTAGTAGACTTCTTGGCAGCCAAGTTGGAGATCTTGGAAGAAGCAGAGCCGCCCTTAACACAGTAGGCCTTGCCAGTGTTGAGGTTATCACAGTTGGAGTGAACTTGAGGGTTCAACTTGTAAAAGGTGCTCAAGCTAATACCATTGGACTTGGCCAACTTGGCGCAGGTATCAGAGTTGGTAGCTAGAGAATGATGAAGGGTGTCAATGCGATGCTAACATGTCATACTGCGAATCAATGCCATACCTTTGTGAGTCTTGGAACATCCAGAGGTGCTTTCAGATGAAGAACCAGAAGAAGAAGAGCCGGACTTTTGTACACAGTATTTCTTGCCATTGTTGAGGTTAGGGCATCCACTCTTGATTTGAGGGTTCCAATCATAAATATTGTTTAAAGTAACACCGTATGTTTTGGCGAGCTTGACACAGCTATCACTGCCAGAGACAGTGTGGTACTTGGAGCAATCAGAAGCACGCTTTGTTAAAATGTGAGATTCTTCATCAAATTCTTCAGATAATTCAAAATCGGCATCTTCGGCATCATCCGCATCGAAAGCGGCGAGATAGGAATCAGAGAGCTGAGAAGCGCCGCCGTGAACGACAGCAATGTCATTTACAGTGTCTGCTGCTTGAACGAAGCTTCCACTGCTAAGTAAAAGAAAACCGAGTGTGGCTAAAGAGAGAGCTTTGAGTTGCATTGAATAAATAGTTTTCTGATTTGTCGTCTGCTGAAAAAAAAAATTAAAGGAAGGGTGAAGATTTGAACAAGGATTCAGAGAGATAGAGAGTAAGAGAGGAAATCAGTTAAAGAAAGGAAGGGGTTAGGGGAAGAAAGAAGCTTTTCAAATAATAAATAAGAAGAGAAAAAAAGAGCTTATTTCATGAATGAACGAGCTGCTTTTATATACAATTTTAAAGCGGGAAACATCAGCATGTAGGACAAGTTACACTTCATCAAGTAATGCAATCTATTATTTGTGTTGCCTTGGTGAATTTCCGCCAATTCTATGTGTGTGCCCTAACTATCTTGCAAATATCAATTGGGAGACCATGTTGTAAAGTGGGCAAAAAGATGGAAGGATGTGTATATGCCTGTGTTGACTGATCTGACATGTTGATGGCAATGTAAACAAAGCAGTAATAGATAAGCTCACTCCACAAAAACTAGAAAAAAAGGCACACCTATTTGATTGGTTGTTTCATCATATTATGATCTAAAAAAGGACACCATCCTCACTTTTACCATTCTTGGTTGAACTATTTCCATGTACAACATTATATTTGAGAAACAATCCTGGTATATTCCCTTTCGATATTGCTTTTTAGATCATGAAAAGGCTCCAGGTACAGTGATTTATTATGCCTCAAGTTGGTGTCATTTAACTGTCGATGCTCTCAATTGATTTCGGCAAGGGGCTATCAGGGACACTTTCAAGTTCTTGGCCACTGATGGGCCAAGAGAGTGCTTGCTTCTGTAAATCTTACGACAAGAGGATGCACACCGTTAAAGCACATCTTTTGTATGGCATTCTTGTGGTTGGCGTTTATCATCTTGAGGCATACGATGCTATTTTGAAGAGTCCACTCTTTTTCAATTGCTTTCATCATCGCTGAGAGACTGAGCATGACCTTATAGTGGCCAGAGCTAGCCTTTACACACACCGTCTTCCATGACATACGCTTGCCATATACTTGTTCATCATCTCGGATAGACGCTATCTTTTTTTTTTCTACGACCGTCGATGAAATCAAGCTCCTAAGCTCTGCAAATCCGTTCTTGACTATGAACTCAAATATCAAAAAAAAGCTCTCAGTCGTGGATACCATGGCTTATCAATGATCTGACGAGTACATCAGCAATGCAATGCCTGAGGAGAATAGTTGCTTAGAACCAAACGTTAATATTACAGCCTTTCGTATTACCAATGCCTTCTAGTGATCACCTCTTCTCTGCTCCTCCTGATATTTAGAGCTCGTTGATAATTATCAGACTCTCCCGTGTGTTGTTTGACGCTTGTTTTCATGCATTGGAGCAACCATACAGTCTATCATACACCTTGATTCTCACTGTCAGCACTTGGTACAAGCAGCAAGTGTGCTATACATATCTAGTGTAGGGGAATTCAGTTATTTATATTAAGGTAGATGCTGGCTTACCGTTATTATTGTATAGTAGAAAAAGAAGCAATAAATATACGAAAAGCAATAATAATAAAAAAAAAAGTTCAGGCTGGTACAATCCGCTGCCTGCAATACATTAGAGCTCTTTTGATAGACTATAACATCTACATTTGTATCCTACTGAACCCCCCCCCCCCCCCCTATCCACAGTTGCACCATGTTATAATTGCTCTCTATAAATTTCTGATATAGTTTACAAATTAAGCAATGCTTCCAAACACCTGAAAAGAGGTTACAATGTTTTGAGTGGTACACACAGTTGATGAAGCCATTTGACGATGATGCCTCATTTCCTAATTAAAGACGCGATCTTGGTGTTTTGATTTAAGCGTGTGCGTGCGTGCGTGCGTTCATTTTGCTGTTTTTTTTTTTTTTTTTTTTATTTTTATTTTTACCATCATTTCCTTTTTGTGGTGAAAGATATATAAATACATTTGCATTCATAAAATGAGCAGAATCAGTATTCCAGAAGAGAATCTCAACTGTCATCACATTCTCTTTATCAAGGATGTCAAGGAATCAGCATTCATACACAACCGCAACTGCTACAAGACCAGAAACACAAATCTGAGCTATAGATTTGCCAGGTCCTTAATTCTGCACAACAAAGAAGCCATAGTCAGCCTTTTAACACAATTAACCTTAGGCTGAATGGCGTTATTATTGTCACACAGAAATCCTCATTGTCAAACAGAAGCGAGGATTCTATTTGGTTAGGTGAGATTGTAATTAAGAAGTGTTATAGAGTGAAATTGACCTGGAATCAATATATATATATATATATATCCACATGAAACAGACGATGGTACAGACGTGATTCGAGTTGAATTACCACAGACCGTACTATTGAGAAAGAATGCATATCTCATCGAAAAAGGTGCATCATTGACAGTCTTTGGATCAGTTCAGACATTGGATGGCGACGAGATCATTTTGCATTGCAATGGATTCCAGGTGGATGAGGATGGTGGTGCCCTGAGTGAGATATATCATTGGCTGAAAGCGGTAGCAGATCGACCTCGCAATGTATCATCCCAAAGAAACATGTTTTACAGTGTATCATCAGCTCCATCTCCCAACCGTTTGCTCAAAGAGGACTTTATGGTGTCGCCTTTAAGAGACTTTACAACAGACAATAGCAAGTACCTGTGGTCCCCGGATCACGTCTTTGCCACATCTACACCGTTGAAGCTGATGCAAGAAAATGAACCAGGCGCAATGGCAGCAATCAATGAGGATGAGGATGAGGATGAGGATGAGGATGATGAGTTTGATACCTTTGGAGAGGACATTGATCTAGCTGCTGTAGAAGCTGCTGCTCTGCAACAATTCGAACAGCAGCAACAGCAGCAACAACCGAATAAGCGTAAATACTCATTGTCCATGGATTGATTGGATCTCGATCTTTTCCCCATTCCACTCACACACACACGCGCGCACATGGCCAAGAATAAAGTGATCATTCATCCAATCAATTTTCAATCAAAGTGACTTTTACGTCAAAATCCATCTGGATTTGACAACCAAAGGGGAAAGTGGGACATTGCGAAATCTCTATTCTCTTTCTCTCTTGGCTTTTTTTTTTTCTCATACAACAAATGCTTATACTCAAACACAACAAGGCTGAATTGACATCTGACGAACTAATACAGATTGAACGAGTAAGTCATCTATAAGCTGTTCCGTTGAGATGCGGTGAACTGAAGGTTCTCTATAGAAGTATCTACGTTGGATGACGGAACATGACGATGCCAATACCAACGCAATTGAAGTGAACGTTCTGGACTGTACAATGACAGATCTGTACGGGTATCTGTTGGGCATCTTTTCAAAGTTGGATGTATTTGACACACTCAAGATATCCACATGTCAGTTTCTGGACTTTTTGATTGACGTTCAACGCACATATCAAAATACACCGTATCACTCGTTCTACCATGCCGCTGATGTAGTGGTTGTTCTGTATTACATTGTGTTGGATTTAAAGGCAAAAAAGTACTTTTCAGACAACGAGATAGCCATTCTATTCATTGCTGCCATTTGCCATGATGCGGGCCATGTAAGTTTCGTCTAAAATACACCTATGAAATTGATTATCTAAACCGCTCGATGATGGATAGACCGGTTATAACAACGATTATCATGTCAAGCTAAAGACTGACCTCGCCATTCGCTACAACAATATCTCGGTCCTTGAATCCTTATCAGTCGAGATTGCGCTTGGCTTGCTGGAGAAGCATCAAATCACCAACAGCATCAACCCTGATCTGATCAAGAGCCTCATCCTGGCCACAGACATGACAGTGCACTATGATCTGCTCAGTGAAGCGGGTGTGTTGGAGGACCTTGTCTCGGCCGTCAATTTTTGGGACGATGACGAGCAAGATAACTTCAGCGACATGGGCGAAAGTTTAGCTGTATCTGAAACATTGTCAATGAGCGTGCAGCAGCAACATCTCTCATCATTATCCTACAACAATAGCAGCAGTGTAAAGGAAGGTTTCATTCAGTTTAATGACGACAGCGCCAAATCACCTCATTCGCCACTGGATCAATCTCAGAGACTATCGTTTGCTTGCATCCTGCTACACGCTGCTGATATCAGCAACACTGTCCGTTCTTGGCCTATCTCCAAGCAATGGTCTGATTTGATTGTGCAAGAATTCTTTCGACAAGGAGACGCCGAAAAGTTGGCTGGATTACAAGTGTCTCCGGGCATGGATCGTGATTTGGCTACACAAGCAAGCATCAGTCTCAAGTTTGGTGATTTCGTAGTAAAGCCGTATTTCGAGGCCTTGACTGGCTTGTTGCCTAGGGCCCAGGTATTTCTGGATACGCTTCAAGACAATAGAGAGGAATGGCTCAAGCTGAAAGCAAGTCCATTTTCTACCTCCATCACAAACTACTTTAACAGCTATCTCTCTTCTCGATTTTCTATTGCTACACCTACACCCAGTGCCGCTACTAGCACCGCCACAACACCTTCCTCATCCAAGATTCGTAAAGTGAGTGTCCCCGCTGGTACAGTGGCTATTCCTTTGACGCATGCTGCTGCCGTTGCTGCCTCGGCTGACAATGCCACTGTCAAGCCGATGCCCATCCTGCGTACCTCAAGCCATGCCAGTGCACTCTTGGAATCGCCACACACCTCGGTCTCCTCCGAATTGAGAAGAAATAGTGCTGATTTCAGAAAGGAACGATCCAGAGTGCCCACAAAGCAACACCATATTCAAATTTAGACGTTTTGTAACATACATCACCACCCCTCCCCTTCTCTCTCTCTCTCTCTCTCTCTCTCTCATATTCATGTAATTTGCTTGTAACATATTGTATTATTCTTAGACTCGTTGTATATTTAGATATACATCATAAATATATTTTTTTTTTCCCGTTTGCAAACAGGTTTTAAGGAGTGTTTAATAGTGTTGATCGGATGCCACGTTTTTCGTCTTGTGTTACATGACTCAAAAGCTAAAACGACGGACAAGTTGTTGAGGTAAACAAACGCTTGGAATCCACACACAATTCATCTCATTCTTCCTCTCTCTCTCTCTCTCTCTCTCTCTCTCTCTATCTTCACACACAAACACACATTTTTACTTGCAAGTCGACATAAAGAGAATGTATTTATAAATGGACATGTCATTAGAATCCATACTCGAATCCAGAGACCATCACTACGACAATTTCTCATTGTACATGCACCACACTTATTGTATAGAAAACCTGTATTTTTACCAAGATGTCCAAGATTACAAACGAAATCCAACACTAGCCGCCTATCAAACAATGATCAAAAACTACATTGCCACCAATGCCCCTCATGAGATCAATATACCGTGCGATATGCGACGCCAATTGCTAGACTGTCATACCCCACATTGCTTTGACGAAGCTGCTGAATCCATACTGGAGCTCATTCGGGTCAATTCATACCTGCCTTGGTATCAAAATCAATGCACCAGCAACGACAATGCACCATGCTATTATCCTTCCGCTAGAAGCTCGCTGTCGCCGTCCATGTCATTTCCAGACAGGTGCAATCTCACCTATCATCAGCAAACCTCGTCGTTTAGTATCAGTAGGCCTAGCTTTAGCTCTGTACGATCGACCTCTGCAGCGTCCATGTTTAACTTTATGGATAAATCAAGAAACAAGGAGGGCTCACCGAGTAGCAATCATAGCAAACTATCAAGCTTGCTGCAGAGAAAGCGACAAGCACTGATGATTCGGATGAAAAAGACGTTCATTGAACATGATTTCAATAATAAAACGAATAATGGCTTTTCTTGGCTTGCTAAGAAATGACGGAATATATACCCACACTTGTTTTATTTCTTCGTGTCTCTAGTGAACCAAGCAAGTGGGTAACTGTATATATATATATATATATATATATATATCGCTTCTTATCCCATTCGCAGGTATTGCTGTGCCTCGGTGGTCAGCTCACAATAGATTTCCTCTACTTGGTCTGAAGCGTGTGCAGCATCATCTGTGAACAGCAGCTCATTCTCTTCCTCTTGTTGATAAAACTTGTTGTCTGGTGCGCACATGTACAGTGTTATGTTCTCTTTGAGTTGCTGTGCCAACATTTTCGCAGCTCGGTAAAAGCCCTGAACGTCTTTGCTGCCAATGGGTATAGATATGCGGACAATGCGCTCAGTTGACTCTGGTAAAAAGCTAGACATGATTCTGATTTCTGTGCTTGTTTGCTTTGCCATTTCTTGGAACACTTTGTTTTCTTTCAAATGCTCGATAAATAAATCTGGCAGTACAAAATCGACGCCCCTCAGTATCTGAAATGGCTCGTTAGTCAATGTGTGATACCATTGAGCAGTGCGACTACCTACTGGGTCATCGAATATTGATATGAGCAGTTCAAAACAATTTGTACATGCCATGGCGCAATTATCTGCCTTGCCTCTGATGCTTAAGAGTCGCTTATATTGACGTGAAGACTCGCGTTTGGAAAACTGAAGAACGACTTGATAAAACTTTGAAATCTCTTGGATGGTTTTTCCTTGTGAGCCAATGACTTTGCCAGAGTAGATGTGTGGTATGAGCACTCGCAGGGAAATTCGATCCGTCTTGTAGTGGTTTTCGTAGTTCTGATAAGAGGCCAGTAGATCGCTGGCTGTGCGTGGCAATGGTGCTGATGAAGACATTTATTGTCAAAACAAGGAAAAAAAAAAAAAGAGCATTGTGTCTGAAATGAGAACAGTAGTCAAATGATAGACAACCAAGTTATGATGTCCGCAAAGCAATGCAGCCTGGAGACGATGGTGTGGCTGCATGTAATTGTCGTGTAATTGGACAGAGCAAAGGATCGCATCCGTTGCTAGGCATTGAACAAACGATAGAACATTTAATAATATACAGGCTGAGGCGATGCTCAGCATCTAATAAGCAGCAAAACAGATAAGAAGGCTTATTGAGGGACAACATTGTGAAATAGATAGGAAACAGATTCGCCATTGTGGGTTCTAGCAAGGTCATGTTAGTGGTCCATCATCCCAACATGTCGTTTGTGTAGATTACCTTCTGATGGCTTCGGCAATAGTAGGCGAAATATCAATAATATCAATCTTGGGGCAAAGCGTCATCTTGTCTTCAGAAGGAATGGTGTTGGTGATGACCATCTTCTCAATCACAGACTCATTAAGGACCTTGAGAGCCTTTCCAGACAAGATGCCGTGAGCAACAATGGCATACACCTTTTCAGCGCCGTTTTCCATCAAGGTCTTGGCAGCCAAACCCAATGTACCGCAAGTGTCAGCCATATCATCCACGAGAATAGCAATCTTTCCCTCGACAGAGCCCACCAACACCATGCGAGACACCTCATTTGCCTTTTTACGCTCTTTATGGATCAAAGCGAAATCCAGCTCAAGGTGGTCAGCAATGGAGGTAGCACGTTTAGCACCACCTGCATCAGGCGACACAATAATGGCATTTTCCCAGTTGGGGATCTTTGATTTGATGTAGTGAATGGTAGAAGGCTCGCAGTACAGGTTGTCGACAGGAATGTTGAAAAACCCTTGAATTTGAGAAGCGTGTAAATCCATGGTGATAACATGGTCAGCACCCGCCACGGTCAGCATATTAGCAGTGAGTCGTGCAGTAATAGGTGCTCTGCTTTTATCCTTTTTATCTTGGCGTGCATAAAAGAAGCAGGGGATGACAGCAGTAATGCGACGGGCAGATGCAGTTTTACAGGCATTAATCATGATGAGCAACTCCATCAGACTGTCGTTGATTTCACCACAGCCTGACTGGACGATAAACACATCTTCATCACGCACGGATTCACCAATAGTGACAGATGTCTCTTGATTGGAGAACTTGATCACGGTTGCTTTGGCAAGCTGGAGATTCAGGCGCTTTGCAACCAATTCAGCAAGTGCTGGTGAGGCGTTACCAGTGAAAATTTTAATGGCATTATCAGTCGACATGACGGATGTGTAGGAAAAAAGAACAACCCTTTCAAGTATATCCAATGTTTGACAGAAGGAGAAAAGATTTTCGGTCATTGTGACTCCAAACATACTACAAAAAACACCGGGGAAAACGTGAAATCACAAGCTTTGAAGGGTTTCAAATGTTGAAAAGTTTATTAGGCAGAAATTCGTGTTTCGATTATGTACAGATTGGAATGGGTATGTATTATGAAAAGCTTTAGTCGTCAAAGACGGCATTGACAGAGGGAGTAAAGACAGTGGTATCGTTGGCACTAGCAGATGTAGCAGTGGCGTTGGAGGCAGAGGAAGAAGCAGAGACATGTCCTTGAGGAGCGTAGAGAGTCGAATCAGTCAAAGGAGCGACTTGATGGTGTGCCTTTTCAAACTGCATGCGCACAGGAGAGCTGGCAAAAGTACGGACCATGGATTTAGAGATGGCAGCAGGACGGGCGATTTGAGAGATAATGGCAGAGTTCATTTTTGTAATGTATTTAAAGAGTTGTTGATGAGAAAAAGAAAGTGAAATGCTTGATAAGGGCTCGTATTTATATGAAATTGTTGGCATGATGGCCGCATGTGAAGCAGTATGTTCTTTTTCTAATCATCAAGTACAAGCAAGAACCAAACAAATAAAACTCATGTGACCCTGTAACTTTTTCTTGCGATATGCTAATCGACTCACAATCAATCAAACGACACACTTTACACAAACTCCCAATTTTATTGGCAACACCTTTTTTTTTTTGTTGGGGGAGTGTTGAAAGGGGATCACTACCTAAAAAGGCTTTCTCTCCTTTTAGAAATACTTAAATGTATTCAGGTTATCAAGCGGATGTCACTGCCGATCATAGTGTTGTTTGCTTGGCATACAGAAATGAGGCGTGTTTCAAATGTGAGGAGGGCTCCTTCTTTTCCATTGTTTCTATATGCAAAATGTGTCTTCCATACACAGTGTATCCAGCATGTATACAAAGGAGCCAATCAAATGGCAGGTAGAATGAGGTGAAATAATGATGAATCATTCAAAATGAATCAACCGAAATTTAGGGCGTTGTGTCATGTTCAACTCTACGAGCCCGTAAATTCCCTTTTCTTCATATGCTGTCAAAATGTTGCAAGGGAGAACCTTCTCTGTTTCAAAAAATAGGCTAATCCTACCGAGATGCACTAACATTTTATTTAATAACTTTCAGCTGTTTGGTGGAAACCATCCAGAAACAACTCTAGCTGTGGAGATGACGTTTTTGCTATGATTGGTATCCATACCAAGCGAAAAAAAAAAAAAAAAAAAAAAACTCTTATTCAAGCAGACAACACGCTTGCATTGCCTATTACTACTCAAAAATATGCTAATCATAGCCAATATTGGATGCATTCATGTCGCAATTTCTCGTGCTAAAAGCCGTTCCAGACCGCCAGAATAGCACCAAACCATCTCTTTCAACCAGCACTTACTTACTAACACGTTTGCTCAACTTTTTTGGAGACCAAAAAAAAAACCTGACCGAAAATCGACCAAAAAGTATGAGGTACCCCCTCATGGTTTTCATCGAAAATCAAACGATCGCGTTTTTGACCTCAAAAATGAAGACTTTTGCTATGGTATATATTGAATCAAAAAAGTTCTCTCGATCCAATGCAACCCCTAAAATCATCTTTGTGGGACTTTGATATGTAAAATTTCGACTTTTTGGCCAGAAACCTTTTTCCATATTTTTACGAATTGCTCAATAAGTTTACTCAAAACATCTATCTTATTTGGTACCATTGGATGTGCCTTGAAAAGCACTGCCAGAAAGCGTAAAGGGGCATGGGATGAACATTACATTTCATATAATCGAATCTGCTAAAATAGATTGATCAAGTCGAAGATGGTAGAAATATGTCCAATCTGAAGCAGACTAAGATTCTGAGCTGGAATTAATTTTGGCTGGTGGGGTAGGCTGGCAAACTGAATGCCCTTTTCATAAGGCAATACAGTAGTAGATGCTTTGAAACTAATGGAAAACAGGTAGAAACTGCATAGTACTACGTTTAGCCATATTATTTTCTTTGAAGGCTTTTCATATTATAATAAATGTTCAGCCCTTAGCCACTTTCACAGCCCTAATATGGAAACTGAGTTGTCAGGCATCTGTCAGGCCAGGCTCATATCAAAGTTCAGACTAACGTTATTAAAAATAGAACGCAAGAAAATAGCATAATAAATAATAGCGTTATGACTTGCCACCTACTTTCCATACGCTTCAAAGCATCTATTACTGTATTGCCTTATGAAAAGGGCATTCAGTTTGCCAGCCTACCCCACCAGCCAAAATTAATTCCAGCTCAGAATCTTAGTCTGCTTCAGATTGGACAAATTTCTACCGTCTTCGACTTGATCAATCTATTTTAGCAGATTCGATTATATGAAATGTAATGTTCATCCCATGCCCCTTTACGCTTTCTGGCAGTGCTTTTCAAGGCGCATCCAATGGTACCAAATAAGATAGATGTTTTGAGTAAACTTATTGAGCAATTCGTAAAAATATGGAAAAAGGTTTCTGGCCAAAAAGTCGAAATTTTACATATCAAAGTCCCACAAAGATGATTTTAGGGGTTGCATTGGATCGAGAGAACTTTTTTGATTCAATATATACCATAGCAAAAGTCTTCATTTTTGAGGTCAAAAACGCGATCGTTTGATTTTCGATGAAAACCATGAGGGGGTACCTCATACTTTTTGGTCGATTTTCGGTCAGGTTTTTTTTTTGGTCTCCAAAAAAGTTGAGCAAACGTGTTAGTAAGTGCTGGTTGAAAGAGATGGTTTGGTGCTATTCTGGCGGTCTAGAACGGCCTTGAACACGAGAAAAATGCAGCTCAATTGCACTCATATTTTGCTGTATTAAGGACGCTAAGGACTAAAAAGGGATACTATTTGTATGCTGCTTGCCCGTATATGAGTTAGCTATATATATATATATATATATGGATGTAGAGAATCACACAAGAATCAAATCCACAAGTAATATGAAGGGTTTCCATGTGTAAGTGGAAGGTCAAAATGAAAGCAGCAGTATTTCGATAGGATACGCAAGGGCAATCGGTAGCACGAACTACCGCAGCGCAGGTTGGTTCTCATCGAAGCGAAGCAAAGGTAGAGAGCTATCCGAAGCGTAAACACTCGTATTCAATAATACCAGTTTATCAAAATACTTGAAGATTTACTTTTCTGTTTGAGGTTTTGAAAGTGTCTAATAGGGACCATAAATCTATTATGTTGTGATTTTACTGAAAGCCGACTGTTGAAAGGCTGTGTATTTGGCTAGAATATGTCTTCACCAGCAAAGGTAGCTGATTTCTCTGGATAGTATCATGCTAGAGCTTCGAGTCGGGGCTCATGTCGAAGCATATTTCAATTATGTCCCATATGTGCGCTTGTTACTAGACGTTAGTAGACCGGTGCTAGAAGCAACGTTGACCTTGGGAGAAGCAGCAGAATTTGGAACAGTGCTAGTGGGAATAGCCTAGCTACTACTAGCAGATTTAGCATCCTCATCCTCCATTGCTTCAATCTATCATGTAGTAGAGTTTTTCATGTAGCACACCTTAATATTATACTACTTGATATACTGCGGTAGTTTTCTCTAGGATTGATGTGAAAACATTGCTTCATGTTGGTAGTATTCTGTAGCTACAGAAGAATAAAGCATCAATTGCCATATACCAGTATCATTGTCAGTGGTCGTAAGGCAATTACTTGTTGGACATTTTTCTTGGCTTGTCTGGCTCAAGTAATGCTAGCCTTCTGATTTAAGTCCATTTTGACATTCATCTCATATATTATGCGGAGAAATACTGCTGCAAGGACCTTCCAGGATTCAGTGTACTCTTGACAGTTTGATTGTTTGGCAAAGATGAATGCTGTACCTTCATCCAACTTTATGCAAACGTAACCAGACAGCCAGTATAACGGCTGGAAATTCGTTTGTATGTGTAGGAATTTCTCAGAGTGTTTTTGTACGTAATTTATCATTTTATTAGAGACAACCTTCAGAATATAACACTGGTGCTATTTTGAGCATCCTTATGTTACCTCGTAGCTGTTATTGCATGAATCCATTGTTAACATAATTCGGATACAAGGAACTGTACTGAACTAATGTATTTCTGGATACTTTCAAGTGAAAATTGTGTAATGCCACACCTTTTAATTGGTGCCTTCTCACAGTAAAAAAGTTGGATTAGAAGCCTCTCCTAGATGTGTTTGACATAAACACGCTCGTCATCCAGCACTAAACATAAAGCTCTTTGCTCCAATGAAACCTTGCGTATCCAAGCATTCAATGGGTTGTTTATTAGAAATCAAGAAATTTCTCTCTGTACGGATCCTCAGCAGGCAAGCCGTACTGTTCATTACTTTCAGGATATCTATCGAAATGACTAGCATCACCATCACCGCGGATTTGTGGGATATAGGGTGCTCTGATTTGTCTATTCGCAACGCGATCAAAATCGACGCCTTGGAACCAGGGATGATTCTTAATATCATCAGCACCGTTCTTTAGATTACCGTATCGACGGGATAAATCTGATGTGAGCAGGTGCTTTAGCAAATCCTTTGCATTGGGATCAAAATAGGATGGCCAACGAATCTTGCCCTGCAAAATCTTTTCGTAAAGCTTCAAATGATCGTCGTCATAAAATGGTGGATAGCCTGCCAACATTTCAAAAATCAAGATACCCAAACTCCACCAATCGACTGCTTTACCGTAACCCTTTGATTGAATCACTTCTGGGGCTGTGCAAAGAGATATTAGTCAACCCAATGAAAATATACCCTTTTGAGAACAACACTTACCGAGATAGTCGGGTGTGCCGCAGAGAGTCCATGTAATGTCGGGCACGTATTTGGCAAAGCCAAAATCTGTGATTTTGATATGACCATTGGCATCCAGTAGTAGATTTTCAGGCTTCAGATCACGATAAACCACATCCTTTTTATGGAGATATTCAATGGCCAGTGCCACTTCAGCAGCGTAAAATTTAGCGACATGATCAGGGAAACGCTGTGCATGCGAGATGTCAATCATTTGCCCTCCGCCATTTCGTACCATTGTGTGCTTACCTTGCTTTTTCGGAGTACGCTGAACAATTCACCACCTGGTACATAATCCATCACCATGTAGAGATTAGCATCATCTTGAAAAGTGCCCCACAAATTCACCAAGAAGGGATTAGCCACAGCTTCCAATATGTGCTTTTCATTGTTGGTGTGCTCAACCTGCTTCAACCGAACCACTTCTGTCTTTTTCAAGACCTTGATGGCGTAATATCGCCCATTGTGTCTTGATTGTGCCAAATGAACTCGACCAAAGGAGCCAGTGCCCAATGTACGTAGCAGATGGAAATCATCCAGTTTAAGCTTGGGCCTGTTTTTGCGTTGATCCATGATAGCGCTGTCGTAATGCTGGTACTTTTGTTTTAATGCAGCGCGACCTTTTGAAATAAATGTAAGCATGTTCCCCCCATGTCAAATGTCTCACGCCGTTGGATATCTATACCTTCTTGCGATTGTTCCGAGTGCTGCTGCTGCTGCTGTGGTTGTGGTTGTGGCTGCTGTTGGTTCATTTGCTCTAGTATCAATTGAATTGAGAGATTAAACAGCAAAGAATAAAGGAAAAACAAGCTTAACGCTTACCAGGTGTATCAATATCCATGTTTTGATGTAAATCTTGTGATTGTCTCGGTGTCACATAGCCAGTTGCATAATGGTTATTATTAGACCCAGCCTCTTCTTGGACTTTTGGTAATTGGGATTGGGGTTGCTCTTGCATTGAGTTGGTTGCATGGGAGGAGGAGGTTGAGGAATGTGGTGTGTGGATACCAAAGAATGGCCTATTACTATCGCCTTTGGATAGCTCTGGCTGTTGCTGTGGTTGCTGCTGCAAATGTTGTTGCTGTTGCTGAGGCAACTTCTCCTCCTTGAATGAGTTGTGATTACCGTGCTTGGCTCGGTCAATGATCTTGTTGAAAAAAGACATAATACTAGCAAGGAAAAAGGGAGATGGATACTGGGATAAAAAGGGCTTTTTTTTTTTTGAGAAAAGAAAGAAGAGAAAAAAAAATATGCTCTATCAAAACGGCAAAAGAGACACACGCTTATTTGAGATTACATCAAATAACATTGCCACGCTTTTCTAAATTATGGACTGCTGGCTTATCATCATCATCATCATCATCATCATCTCAAGCAAAAAAGTTTTATCGGCGATTATCAATGCAAACTTCCATTCTGTAAAATGATAGCATAAATAGATGCTTCCATCACATCCTGATATACCATAATTTTACTATTGAAATGAAATGGCCCCCCTGCTTTAAAGTAAAATACTAACATTTGCTTTTGCTTGATCCATTTAAATGAACACGTTTTACATATGCAACTAATCTCCCGCTTTCAATCATACTGTACATGCGATTGGCCTAATAGAATCAGTTTCCATGCCTCCATGTATCATTCGCTGCATTAAAAAATAAGAAAAAAAGCCCCTAGCGTATGTTTTGGCAACCCAGTAAGGTGCTAAATGTGTCATCCATTGAGCGCCTGGTATCTATAAAGAGAGTAGACAATCATGCTCGACATAGATGGAAACCATCATTTCATTTCAAGGTGCCGTATCTCCGAACATGAAGCTTCTTTCCTTACTTCAAATCATATATCCCGGCCCGATTAACCTCTCACATGCTAATCTTTGCCATTTAATGTGCACCTGTACACTCAACAACATCTGGAAGGGTGTTATCTTTGTGCTTGCAATCAAAAGTGGTCCATCTTTTTCGTGATTAAGATTTGAAACTGATATCCAATTGCCTGGGGTTTGTACGTAATGCAGACAACCCAAATTACAAGCTTATAATGTTCAAGGTTTCATGTCATGATTTAGCCATTTTCCATGAAAACCCAAAAATCTGGAGAGTTTGGTGTCTTGAGATCGCCAAGTGTATACATGACATGCCATGGTACATTCATTGATCGTAGAAACACGTGTAGCACATGCTGGGTGCCACTCAAAACCACGCTACACTTGTCAAATAGATAAAGGTTCATGGAACACTTTAGATCAAGCATGAGCCCGAGCAGATCAGACTAAAAGAAGCCTTTGACCTCGTAAAATCAAAACGTCATGTCATTTTACCAAGTAATGCCGCTTAAACCATAGCTCTCAGGTAGTAGAGAATACTCAATGGCGCCTCCCTCTACGGCTGGATGTATGGCCTCTTTGTTCAGATTACCCTCATTGTTAGAAAAAGCATTATAAAATGTAAACCAAATTGACACATTTCGATTGAAGGGCTCCTAATCCTGACATGGATTCTCAGCGGCATCGATCCGAAGCAGGTACAAATATGCAAGATCAGTGTGAAGCATAAATGATCAATAAGTAACGTTTATCATAGGTACTACTTGTGACATTTGTGGAAAAGGCAGTTTAAAAGGGACGAAAGGACTGAACATTCATAAGCACAGGAATAAAGCATGCAAAAGACTGTCGCTTATCCACGGCCAGCAACAAGGCGTTCCATTGCAACAAGAAAGACATCGCCATGTAATGACAGTGGTTATTCTTCTTCCAGAAGCGTACGTCTGGATGCGGCCTCAAATAATGGCATCCAGTGATACCCAACCTACTCGTCTGCGTGATTTTGGGCCCGATGTGCAACAGCTTTTCCAGCATATAGTCAACGCACAACAGCAGCAGCTTTGGCGTGAGGGAAGGGCGACATTGAGTGCAGAGAATGGTAGTAGGAGCTACTTTTTGCTATGGCTGTACCGCTTGTTAATCTTAAGATACGGTGCATCACTGTGCTTGTTTATGGGAAGGTTGGGTGGCAATACATTGGATAGGATTAGGCAGCTTTTAATGCAACTAGCAGCTCTCCTGCACCTGTTTATACGCTTTGTTTGCTATTGCATAGGTTTGATCGTAATTGTAGCTGTGATTTACGTTGTCTCCTATACCCTGATCAAATTCTGAAAACCCTCTTCCCCGGTTGATACTTGTATACAGTTCTAGTTTATTATTTATATATAAAAGGTTGTTGTATGAGAGGTGATATGAATTGATTTACGTCATCTTTGCTTTCAAGTCGCTGTTGAATTTCTCAATTTCAGCTTCATTCTCTGGACTGAAGCTGATCTTACTACGTTGCTGACGAACAAACTTAGCTTTGGCCTCGAGCTACATGGTAGAAACATCAGTAATATTATTCAGAATAAAGCACACGTAGAGAAACTTACATCCTTTGCCAATTTAGCCAACTTGTCTTTGCCCTTTATACTCTTTGATTGCTTGACGAAACGCTTGATAGCAATGATATCAGCATCCACCATCTCAGGGAATGAAATATGATGAGAATACTCCTTGTAATAGTTCTTCAATGCCTTGGCACATTGATCCAAAACTTCATCTTGATACATGCGACCATGAATACTCTTCTTATTGACCTTCAACACCAAATCCCAGTCAGTGGGCAAACCAGCATTGGATTGCTTGGCCTTCTCCATAGCCACTGTGCCTTCCAAGACCTCCAAAACATAGGTAGCGAGAGGAACAAAGACGTGTGTGTTGTGAATAAGTGAGTTGAGAGAGCGAAGTACGTGGAAACGAAGAGGATAGAATTGTGCAGTAGGAATCAATTGGATCACACCCACAGCTACTTGTGTTAAGGGATACACCAAAGCCTTAAGAGGGGACTCGACAACATCACCTTCTTCATCTACCATATTACCAGCATAGGCATTCAACACATCAGACCAGAAATCAATACAGTGGACGTATTGCCAGTTGTAGACCATGTTGTGATTTTTGGTGGAACGCACCTTCATGGCTTGTCTAAGATGAATAGCTAATTGACGAATATATACAAAGCCTTGTTGATAACTAAGGACGGGGTTGATGCCATATAACTGAACGGCCAAGTTACGCATCAAGTTGATAACAGGTAACGTGTGCAAGTTTGTGTTTTTGCAGTTTTTGACAAATGTGAGGTAGACATTCTTGAGACAGAGATCGAGATAGCCTTGAGAGTTGGTATCTTTGCTGGCAGGCACTGGCATGGTGGCTAAGGATTTGATGCTCAAAAACGCTTGCACACGGACAATATCAGTAGAACCAAGGTTGGACCATGCGTTCAGCAAGGTCTTGAGGTATTCCTTGGCAAGACGGTCAAAGCAGACGTAGAGGTTGGTGCATTTTTCGGCTTCACGGATAGTCAAACGAAGCATGTCGGCGTCAGTCAAGTTGCGCAAAAGATGGAGCAAGTTGTTGAGGTAAGATCTGACGTAGGATCTGAAGAATGACCAGCGACCCGAGGTCAATGGCGATCCATTCTCCTTCTTGGGCTTCAAATGATGAGCAAATACAATAGGTGCAAGACGAAGTGTGGTTGTGATGACCTTGGAAAAGACTGCAATAGTGTAAAATGTAAGTTTGACTGGTCCATACATACATACGACTCGGAAGCCGTGCTACTATTTACCTGTAGGGTCCTCAATCTTATAAGCAAATGTTACATTGTCATCTTCCTCTGACATTCTAGCAGCAGTCTTGAAAGCAGACAACAGTTTCTTGAATGCCTTGAAATCCTTATGGGTTTTGACAGCCTCGATCCATTCATTTAACTCGGCCTTTTTCAACACATGCACTGCAGCTTCCTTCTCGTCGTCCTCCTCAGGCTCCTCCATATCACTGTAAGCGCCTTCATCAGCGCCCTCGTCATCAGAGCCACCAACTTGTTCGGGCTCGTCTTCTTGATCAGATTCACCAAAACCTAAAAGGCCATCATCTTCTTTTTGCAAAAACTTATAAAACTCAGGATCACGCTCCTTCAATGCTTCCATGTCTTTCTTGTGCTGTTCAATATCTTGTTGCAACTTTTCCTCATTCTCTTCATCCTCTTCTTCATCCTCATCGTCGTCGTTATCGTCTTCATCCACTGCCATCTCCTTTTCGAAATCAGAAGGGATATCGCTGTCGCTGTCCTCAGCAGCAGCCTTCTCTTCATCACTGTTGTCTGAATCTTCATCCATGACACGTTGCAATTTCTACATGCAAATTGAGTGAGCTTATCGAGTGTTTATGCTGGTGCTGGTGAAGTTACCTTGAAAACATCGTCTTCCTCATCTGAATCAGCGGCATCTTCCATGACTTCATCCTCAGGCTCTGACTCACTCCTATACGGACAGATACATGAGTTTGCTATGCAATGCCAATCATAAATCTACTTACAATTGCCTGGCAACAGCCTTCTTTTGAGCATCTACTTGTTGAAACAGAGATCATCAGCAACCAGCACACTCCTACATTGGATTTCAAGGAACCACATACCCTTCTTGCTTCTCTTTTCGACCGCTTTCTCGACAATCTTTTGGACCTTTTTGTTGGCAGGCTTCTTTAAGGTAGAAGTCTTTTTGGTCTTCTTTTGAACTGCAGGTGCCATTGTAGAATGATTAGGATTGTATAGCGGAAAGAACACTTAACATTGAGAGTTACGATGGCTATTTTTTTTTCGACAACAAATATTGTGACCTTGTAGTGACCTGTTTTACTCTTTTATGCATCTATCAACACTGATTGCAACCAAGGTACGGATCATGATTGAAGGTATATCTCTTAGAACAGTTGCTCTAAACAGACGGACTGTAGTTTTATGCTGACACTATAGTCAGCTTTCAGGATGCATTCAGTTGATGGTTGATACATTCAAACAAGATCAGAGTGCGGAAGAGTGCAGTATGTGGATGGCATGTCGAGCACAGTATCAACATGCCTTTATGTGAATTACCTCTTAGAAGCATCGATATAAAAACCGACCGAGAAGTTCAAATTAGAGGATTCTGATGAGCCAGTGGAAGGCTAGGCACATTTATGAATACACCCATCTGTGCAAACTGTAGAATCGAAATGTCAAAGTACTAAATGCACTACATCCAAAACAATCACAAAAAATTATGGGCTCGCTCCGCAGGAAAGCATTGCTTCTTGATCATGGACACCTCAATTCTTGCAAAAAGAAAGCATAGTCAAGACGATGGCAATCAGCAAGATTCGAGCAACAAGAAACTACAGCTAGATACCCCGGAAATCCGTGGCAATGACGAATATAACCAAAATAATGCAGAGGAGGAAGAAGCGGAAGAAGCGATAAAGCAGTTTTCTTCTGATCAACGATTAGCCCTACCAGATGAGCCTATTTGTGTTGTGTGTGGAAAATACGGCGAATATATCAACGATGACACCAATCATGACATTTGCAGGTAATGAATATCAACATTGTGAGTATAGAATGTAAATTTTTAACGCTTGTCAAACAGTTTACAATGTAAAGCAATCAATACGGATTTGAACCAGCACAGACTTGTTAGAAAAAAGGCCAAAAAACCAGTGATAATCACGCATATTCGAGACTACGTTGCAGCCAATGTTCATGCCAAACTGACGAATTACCAAGAGCCACCTTCCATCGCTAGCATGAGCCCACAACAGGTCGATCAAATGCTGAAAGCACACGAAGTGGAAGTTACTGGAAGCAATATACCCAAACCATTCAGCACATACGATCAACTTGCACCAGTTTTGGGCGATACCATTTTACACAACATTGAATCGATGGGTTGGTCCATGGCCACAGGCGTGCAGCGACAGGCAGTTACTATTGGGCTCGCGGGACGAGATTTGATGGCTATTGCACCCACACACAGCGGAAAAACTGCTGCCTTCTGTATTCCGATGCTGGTGCACTGTGTATCGCTCTCAATGATAGACGATTACAAGCGAAGAGCTGGACCTTATGCGATAATCATGGCGCCCACCCGTGAGCTGTGTTGCCAGATTGAAAATGTCATGAAGAGTTTGGCCCAAGGTCTTCGAAACATGCGCACAGGACTTTTGATTGGAGGAGAGCCCTTACCAAATCAGTTGCATCGACTGAAAAAAGGGGTTCAAATCATCATTGGGACACCTGGTCGTATTTTAGATGTGATCACTCACCATCCAAAACTGTTTCGTGCGTGGAAAATTCAGATGCTCGTTTTAGATGAAGTCGATGCCATGTTTAGTCTGGGATTTGGAACGCAAGTGAAGCAAATTTTGGGGAAGATGCAAGACCACAAGACTGTCCGACAGACATCGTACTTTTCAGCTACCATGAGTGATGACAAGATGCTGGAGCGACTCTACGACAAACTCGTCTTGCCCATTGAAATCAAGGTTGAGCAGCAAAAAAAGATAACGAGGTTACCTGAAGCAAGTGATCAAGTGCGACAAACAATCCTCTGGGTGGACAACAAGAGCAAAGCCAAACGCCTGTTCTCTATTTTAAGAGATCCAAAATATTTTGTGATACCCATACTTGTATTTGTTGCTAGTCGACTGGGAGCAGAGTTCTTGACCAGAGCGATAAAGAAACGAAATTCCCATTTGCGAGTGGTGGCCATGCATGGAGATAAAACGCAGGAGGAAAGAGCGATGATCATTGCGGGGATTAACCAAACAGAACCATTGTGGGATATCATTGTTTCAACTGATGTACTTGCGCGCGGCATCGATTTACCATCTGTGCGGCTCGTTATCAATTATGATATGGCAACAACGCTGGATGATTATGTTCATCGCATAGGTCGTGCTATTTTGCAGAAGCCTTTGCCAGCAAATTCAAAACAGCAGATGGGATGGTCTATTACATTTATCAATCAAGTGAGTATTACATCTGATATGGATCTGATAAAGGACAGTTAATTAAAAAAAAGTTGTTTGTAGGAACATCAACATTTACTGAAATCTTTTGCAACCATGCTCTCCAACAAGTCCGTTGCCATGGTAACACCATTGCCCTCACAATTGAAACGACATTTGCAATAAAAATGAAGGTTCCGTTCTACTTGTTTCATTCTTGCTCATTGAGGGGTATATTAAATAGAGTTTCATGAACCAAAATATAAATGTAGACAAACAAACACATTTGATATTTTGGTATAAAAACGAGACAATTTTACTCCTTTCTTTTCTTTTTACATTTTTATATTAAAATCTCTCGCTCTCTCTCTCTCTCTTTTCATCGGTTGTAACACCAGCCTAAAACAACAAACATGACGGAAAGGATAAAGAAAATATCAGGCACTTCAAAAAAAAAGTTATTTGCAGGTTCTTCTCTTTCTTTGCTTTGCTCATACACAATGCCTCAACTTTTGAAACGGGTGAAAAGCAGCAATCTTATCTACAAAATATACAGTCATCATCAAACTGCAGTGTTAGTTACCGTCACTGCTGCAGCTACAGCTATCGCCTACTATTGTTATCATAAATCAAGTGCTCAGCATCATCATGATATTGAAATCAGCCGTCAAAAAGGCATCAACAAGAGGAAATCACTGAAAAGACCAGAAGAAAAATATGCCAGCTTGCGCATCGATAAGCGATTTGTGAACCCCTTTGATGAATGGAATGAAATACCTTTTTATAAGACGGCGTTGTTTTGGATGGGCAGATGGAAAGGCAACGGTATACCTAAATGCGAGCAGGTAGGCTATCTTATGGCAACGAACACTGAGACTAAAGACTGACTAGACATTATATAGGAATTGGATAAAACGCTTCCTGTCATGAAACCCAACTTGGATCAAATCAGAAACCCTGGCAAATCAGTAACATTCACATGGTTCGGGTAAGCTTATTCATAAATGAGAGGATAAAAGGATACAGACTGATGATGAATTGTGGCGCTTTCGTATTACATTGTAGTCAATCCACCTGTCTTATGACAATTGAAGGATTAACTATTTTGTCTGATCCGATATTCAGCAAATGTTCTATCAACGATTACTTTGGACCAAAGAGGTTGAGACCTATACCATGTCCATTGGAGGATTTCATCGACAATGTGGATATCGTCGTTGTTTCGCATGACCATTTTGATCATTTGGATGAATCTGCAGTAAAAAAATTAGGTAATTCTGTTGTGTGGTACATTCCTCTCGGTCTAAAGAACTGGTTTGTAAAGCGGGGTGTCACTAATGTGATAGAGCTGGATTGGTGGCAAGAAGTGTGTCATAAAAATACAGATATCACGATTGCATGTGTGCCTGCCATGGTAATGTGTATATAAACATTGATGTATGCCTCATCATGTATTGATCCAGTTTTTCATCATATAGCATTGGAGTGGTTCACGCACTCCCTTTGAAAAGAACAACACACTTTGGTGCAGCTATGTTATCAAAGCAAGTGACGACAAGATATTTTTTTGGTGAGTGTTTCTCTGAGCAGCACCAAGCATCATTTATTCAGATTTTCACACATAGCGGCGATACTGGGTATTCTCCTGAACTATTCAAGGCAATTGGCAATCTGTATGCTCCTTTTACATTGGCAGCTATTCCTATTGGCAGCTTCATGCCTACACAATTAATGCAACATCTGCATATGGGTCCAGAGGATGCTATCAAGGCGCATTTTGACTTGGGCTGTCCTCGAGTATCTGTAGGTATTCACTGGGGCACATTCATGATGTCAGATGAGCATTACTTGGCTCCGAGACAAGTTTTGGACACTGCTTGGGACCAGTACATCAATGCTGCCCAAGATCAACCATCACTAATCTCCGTTATGGAGAAGGACGATGCTTCTATTGCTTCATCTTCTTCCTCTACTGTTGTATCAAACAACATGGTAGCCAAGGACTTTTCTGTCGTTACTACAAAGTTTATTACTACTGCATTTGGCCAGACCATGTTGATAGATTAATTAAAGAAAAAATCACTACTCTTATATCCAAACCATCTACTTTTTGCTATCTTACATTATGTTTGAATCAATAAAATTGTCATCTGCAATAGGTATTTGAACTTGGCATGTATAATTTACGTATCTGATTCTGGTTTATAAAAATGTTGTAAGAGAGTATGTTAAGCAGGTCTGCATAAAAAGATAGAAACATTTGTCAAAAGTGCATTCAAAGGATTTATCAAGACTAATTCGAGATATTTGACAGATCTATAATGAGATGCTAAGAATAGTAAATGTGAAGACTGATATAAAGATTTCGATGGAAAAATGGATGATTTTGTTCAGATGTCTTGATGTAATATGCTATTCATAATAATCTAATGTCTGTCTATACAGTATATCCTTGCAAAAAAAAATAAGGTAAATGTCGAAAATAGGGCCTCTGTATATTCATCCGAATGAACTATAACTGAATTCACGGATGGAATATATGTCGATATTTTAATTGTTGATTATGAAATAAATGCTGTTTTTGATAATCGTTTGTAAAGATTGATTCAGGAAATAGTGCGCACAATTCGTGTGATCTGCTGTATAGTAGGATAATGTTTGTTTCAAGATTGATTTGTATAGACTTGACAAATAATTTGAGACTGCAATGCACCGCATTACTTTTAAAGCTTTTCGAAGGAAAACATGTATTAAATCTGTACCAATTCAACTGTAGTAATAATTGTGTAGAAACACAGTTCTTCTATTGTTTGGGGCTTTACTCAAAGCTGTAGCATCAGTTTTCATGGAGTTGTTACACTGTCAAAAAGTTCTGCCCTAGTCAAGTTGGCCAAGACTGTTAATCGCTCAAAGCTAACTTTTGCTACAGTGGGTGCTATAAGTTTATTTTGTGCGTCAGCATTAGTCAATGCACCCTATAGGTTTATTTTATATACTTGAGCATCGTATGGATTTTTCTATGCTGTTATTAAAAAAAGAAAAGCATGATTTTGTCACTGTAAATTCTAATTTGGGGTTTTTTCAAACCCCAATTTTTGAAAGTATTGTAGTGAGCACCCAGAGGTCTCATTCTGTAAATCAAATATAGAGAAGCAAAATGCAGCTACTAGAGAAGAAGCGTGGTTGAATTGGCAGCTGTAAAGATAATAGTGTTGAAACATTGTTCTTTGTATCGATGGCCCAAACCTCGAAGCCGGAACTACTTTTGTACATCCAGCATCTTGCTACGAAATAGAAGTTAGCAAACCTTGAAACTGACACCACATGCTGAAACCTAATGATAAAAGACACATGCTTGGCGAAGCGTTCGGTATTGCTGGGAGGATGTAGTAGTATTGAGTGTACTACTGTACCTATAATATAATAACGTTTTTCATATAATAAATTCAATAAACGTCCCCCACATAGAGCTGTGTAACCGATATCAGATCAAATCACTGCACCTTATGTTATTTCGAATAAGGAAGAATTTAAATTGTATCTGTTTGGATACCCGTTTTATTGCAAACACAAAATTATAATAAATGACAGATCAATAGGAGATCAACTAGCTAGAATCCTTCGGTCCCTGAACCTCTGAGCCAATCAAATCGCGTAAAAACTCCGCTGACCTAAAAAAAAATTTGCGAGGGTTTCCCCCTGTTTTGATGTGAGGCAAAATTTTAAGCTCCGCTATATATAGCAATATAGTAGATGCTATCATTAAACTTCCCCCAAGTGCTAGAGCATGCCTTACTTACACCACCTAGCTTTAGATTCAGGCGTTGAGACTCTCAATCATCACTAAAGTAAGTAGCGATAACCAAGTGGAGGCGGCCTATCTACCTCCTAGCCTCGGATAAAGTCTTGTTGAGCTTCAGGGATAGGCACATCCACACAACGTAAAAAAGTATGCTTCAAAAGAAACATAATAAGAGGAACAAATGAACATAATACTACAAGAGTATAGTAGTATTATGTAGACAAAAAAAGAGACACTCACACGAAGCGAGTCAAAGAAAAGCATGAAAAAATACAACATCAAAGATGTTCAAAAAAGCTCGTTGTTGTTACAATAAAAATGCATACATGAGCAACGTGCATGGTAGTAATAGTCTGATGTAGTAAAGCAACATGGCACAAATACGCACAACTGCAAAAGCAATAGTGGTATTATAAGTTTGCAATACGACATAATGACTAATGTTGTTTCATGTGAAGCCACAGAGGAAACACCACCAACAAAAGAAAAAGAAGAAGAAAAAGCGCAACAAGGCAAACATCATGAATGCATTATCACGAGGAAGGAAACAATGATATAAGCGTTCAAAGAAGTTTTATATCATTGCGGCCAGAAGAAAGAAGATACTTACCACTTACCACAGCCACAGATAGACCAGAAAAGTATAGGCAATAATCACCGGAGACAGACCAGAGAACGAGCATGCACCAAATACAGCAGACCAGGAAAGACCAGAATAGCAGCAGCAGCAGCAGCAACACCAGCATCATGGAAAAACTAAAGAACTTGAAACGCCATCAGCAGAGAGCAGACAAAGATCAAAGAAATTACTTACCACGTATCACCACCAGAGATAGGCCAGATATTACGCAATCACCGGATATAAACCAGAGAACGAGCATGCACCAAATACAGTAGACCAGGAAAGACCAGATTAGCAGCAGCAGCAGCAGCAACACAAGCATTATAGACAAACCAAAGAACGAACGTCACCAGCAGAGACCAAAGAAGCAACCACCAGACATGATGAACCAAAGAAACAAGCAGCAGAGAAGGCAGAGAAGTAATAGCAGCAGCACTCACTCATACAAGCAAAAAATTACTAAAACCTAATAAACAAACTCAATTATTAGTGTTAATTCTACGCCTTCCAGTGTTCGTTATTGAATAGTACCTAATATATTCCACTTCAAAGAAGCAGTTTCAAGTTCTTCCACAAGTACAAGACAGATTTATTGGAAGCTAGAGTGTTATTATCAATCAAACAGTTTCCAAACCGACCATGACTTGATGCTAAACGCGTCTTTCAAAAAGGGAAAAAAAAACGGGGATATGGAAAAAAATGAGACGGCGCCCTATCCGGCGTCACGGCTAGTAGATTTGGTCTCAGTCTTCTGCAGTGGCACCCCCTAATTGCGGCAATTTAATTTGAATTTGTGCAGTAGGTATTCTCGTGTTCAAATTTGACCTGTCTGACATCTTTTAAACGTTTTTGCCAGATTTCATTATGAAAACTGTCGTTGTTATAACCAACTTTCTAATACAAACTTAGAGAACTAAGGAAGCCGCATCGAATGATTTTAATTATATACAGTTCTTAAACTGAAAATATTGAGCAATTCGCAAAAGTATGAAAACAGGTTTTCTATGAATATGTCAAAATTTAGCGTATGCAAGTCTTATAGAAAGAGCTTCCAATGTCGCATTTTATCATTACAATCAAAGCGGCCTAATATATATCATAGAAAAAGTCTTCATTTTTGGGGTGAAAAGCGCGATCATTTGATTTTCAAGAACTTTCCTTTGCTAATACTCATGTAAATATGAGAATTTTCCTGGGTTTGCAATGACCCAGAAAATCTTGAGATAAAGCATCAGTAAGTAAAGCGTGGCCAAGAGAAGGCGTGTGGTGCTACTCCAAACGCTCCAAACGCTTTGTGGCATGAGTTATTCATGCTTGAAAATGGCTAGATTTGAACAGAATTTGACCTAAAATGACGACGTAATGGGTTGCGTTGTCAGAAGAGTCAGTAAATTACACTTCTGTCTGATGGCCCAGAGGTTCTGCATTGTACATGTTAAGCACAAAGAATAAAAGAATTATTATTTGTAGCTTATAAAAAAATGTTCGATATTATAAAAACAAGAGAAGACTTATTTGAATAAGATTAGACACAAAAACTAAAGATTTATTGATGAAGACAAGAGTTATTCTATTTATACTAAGTTTTGAATGCCAAAGTAGCAATTTATCTTGTACAACGCTTATCACATCTGGTGAACCTCAGTATTTTAATAGCTGAGATGCACTTCAATTATCATAGCTTGCCCATGTTGTTGCACAACACAGACATATCTACCCATCAAGAATACCTTAATCTTTATAGACAGTTGTAGCCCTTCTGGCACAACAATGTGGTGTCAGTTACAAGGTTCACTAACTTCTATCTCGTAACAAGATGCTGGATGTACAAAAGTAGTTCCGGCTTCGAGTTTTGGGCCATCCGAAATCAGCACTTGAAATATCGCTGCTGGAGCTCTGAGAGAAGTACATTATTCTAATAGTCAAAATGTCGAAATTAGCGAGAAAGACATTCGTGTAATTGTATTTTAAATTGGGTAGTGGGCGTAGAATACATCACCTCTGATCTGCCTTCCGATAGTTCATCCAGTTATCAGATTGAGATAGTATAAACTGTGCGTACTGGAGTAGATGTACGATACGACTTTATAGTGTAAGAAAGATATGAACATCAGATGCGCTAGTACTACTACTATAAGATTCATACTATATAAGATATACCGTAGGAGGCTATAGATGGCATTACGGACATGGATGGCGCTATGGATTTATACTTGCATTTCGACATTGGCTAAAGATGTTCTTGTTGAGGATATAGATCATCTCTGAGAGGCAAATGTATTAGGCGTCGTATATTACATAAGAGGATCTGAGAATGAGCTGAGATGCATAGTAGAAGTGAGAGGTCTTTATTCAAGCAGCACGAAGGAACATGAGTGGTGCCATCAAATGGCTAATCTATATCCTGGTTCCTAGAGAGTGGTAGCCTATGGCCTTTCGTCCCTGGAAGTGGGTTTCAATTCCGACAAATGTTCTTCCGTCAAAGCTATTAGGAAGAACATTCTATCCTGGATCATCTTTGTTGTTTATCCTTGACTGGCGGTTCATGAGTTCTGATGCAGCACATCCTCGTTACTGGTTCAAGGCTTATACAATTATCCCGCATTCAAGATCAAGGTCCTATTGCTGCGGCACTGTCAAATAACTATAAATACCTTTGATATCTACACTAGTTTTGATCCCTATTCAATCTTGGAATAACATAATAAATATATTCAGTTCTAATTGTATTTACTCTGTCTATATTTCGTTATTCTAAACAGTTCTATTTCCATCTTTGGATAAGCATCAAGATCGATGCAATTTGAGATTGCTGCTTCAGATGTGCACTTTATGATCCACACTATATACTGTATATGTCCATTCTCATTAGTAGAGCTTTTATCCATTGTTAAAGTATAGAAGAAGAATCATCTACTTGGCCAGTTGAGATTCTCTAGTGTATTTACACCTGTCAGTTTGATACCTTTATCAGGTTGGCATTATTGTTATTTATATTATTTTGTCTGGGGATTTTAGACTTAATAAGTCTTAATTTCCACATTTACCACTGTAAATTTCAATTTGGGGTTGAAAGTGCAATTGTTGAAAGGAAGTATCTTGGTAGGTGCTCAAACGAGGTTTCATTCTGTAGATCAAACACATAGGAGCAAAATGCAACTATTAGTTAGTAGAGAAAAAGCCTGGTTGAATTGGCAGTTGTACTGATAATAATGATGAAACACTGCTTTTTTTTGTATCGGGTACTTTACACTTTACTCGCTTAATTATTTGACAACCAATGTAGCGGCTGAAAACCTGTTCATACTTATGTTTAGCAACCCTCCAAAGTGGGCATATAATAGGCCTGCTATAAAGGCTTTAGCCCCAGCATAGGGCTTGGTTTAGCTGTACCCCCCTTTTCGTGAAACTTTAGAGCAAAATATAAATCTTTTATGACTCTCTTACCACGTATCGTGGAGCCCATTAGCGCGCTTCTTGTGCTTAGATACCGTTGTGTAGCAATGTGTAATGTGGTAAAGGGCTATAATGAAACAATTTATTAGTTGATCTTTTTGGGTTTATGGATTCATCGCTGCCATGTTCAAGTCAATATTTATATGTCATGCATTTGTCCTTCAAGGAATTACCACTTGAATCAAACAAGCGAGCAATGAGTAACATTATCCGTATCGCTTGATGAAACAACTCAAGATAACATTGAATTGCTTAGCTTCACGCAATAATATATGTATAAAAAACAATGATCTTCATTGACGCGATGTATAATCTTGTTGGGTGTTTATGCGGTTCATGATAAAGAGAGATGAATAAGGCTTACTACAAATGCTGGAAAAACCAGATAATTACTATCAAAAAGACGCAAGCTTATTTTTGGCCATCCACTAGTCAGTCCTACATTACAAGTTTTTCAAATGATCAAATCAACATAAAGTAAGTATGTTTAATAAGTCGAAATAGAAATCAAAATTACGCAAATGATTAAGAATAGGAGAATTTCAAACATACATCCGAAAGTACTGATGCTGCTTAAAGACTTAAGGAAACATATATCTTATGCACTGACTAACTATAGATCCAATCAAGCCCTATTTGTATTACTAATGACAGCATCTGCAGGTGAGTTCTAATTAGCAGCTAATGCAATGTCAATCCATGATCTAGCGAAAAAAAAACAAGGGGCTCAGGTGTAGTCTCCAATGCCAATCGGTCCACCATATAAGCCCAGTGAACCTAATTCTTGAGCCATGTCTTCCTCAGATGCTCTTGTAAGCTGTTTTTGACATCTTGCTCAACAGATACGCCTTCAAATGTCAAATAGAGGATCATGTATGATTGGCCATTGTGACTAGGGATGATGTCTTTTCCATTTGGTTTTACTGCTCAAATGTCTACTCGAGAAAAAGAAAAAAAAAGTTTCTCTTTACCTCTTTCTCTACATTACACACATTCATCAGTTAATTGATTACCTCCTTCAGTCAGCATGTCAGCGGCCGTATTCCGAGAAGGATTCTATCCTTTTCCTCCGTACATCAATGGATTCTCCTACACAACACCATTCTTCTTTACACCTACCTACCTGCTTACATTTGTGAGTGTCATAGGTCTCTGTCGCTATTTACGTACAAGACAAGTAACTTGGCAGGATATATCAAGTCCACTTGTATCACCTGATAGACGTTTATCGCCACTCTCCAAGCTGATTATCTACATGTGCTGCTTGATCACCATGTCTTACTTGCTGGATACTGCTGTTGTTGTCGCTCAAGTGTTTCTACAGGGAGATTTGTCAACCATTCTAGTGTACTACATTGGTGTTTCATGGCTTGCCTGGGCCGTCAGTTTACTCTGCTTGATGGATGAATCACACAAGTTCTCCAAATGGTACTGGCTGCAATACAGTTTTTTTGCTTTGGCTACATTGGGCGAAACCATCATTGCTTGGCTGTGGACAGTGGGTATTTACAAGCCAAGACCTGGTAAGTGCATTCATGAAGGGCTGAACAATGACATTGGATGCTAATAGCTCCCACTCAAGGTACCATTTTCACTACCTACGACTACATCTTCTTGGGCATCTTCGTGGGACGTTATTTCATGGAAGCGTCCGTCTTTCTGCTATCCTTCATCCAGCTCATGTCGACCAGACGTCATATTCAAAACTCTGAAACTTCTCCCTTACTTGCAAACAGAGCTAATTACGGCGCAACAACGAACAGCAGTAGCGAGGTTATTACTACAGCCAAGGATGAGAGTCGTAGTGGATATCATGATTTCTGGAACAAGCTAAGAAAAGTCATGCCATACATCTGGCCTCACAATGACCGCACACTGCAGAATTTAGTAGTGATTTGCTTTTTGCTGATGCTTTTGGGTTTGACCATCAACGTGTACACGCCATTGCAGATAGGTAAAGTGGTGGATCAATTCAACAGAGAACCTCAGACATTTGCTTGGGCAGCTGTCTGTGCGTATGTCGCCTTCAAGTTCTTGCAAGGTGGTTCAGGTCTGATTCAAGCAATGCAGAATTGGTTGTGGATTCCCATTGGCCAATTCACCACCAGAGAAATCTCTGTCAAACTGTTTGCTCATTTGCACAGCTTGTCGCTGCATTATCATATCAACAGAAAGACTGGCGAAGTGCTGCGTATTGTGGATCGTGGCACCAACAGTATTGTCCAGCTCCTGTCTCAAATCGTGTTCCAAATCTTCCCTGCGCTGGCCAACATCTTGATCGCTGTTGTTGTCTTTTCCGTTCAGTTCTCGCTGCCATTTGGTATCATTGTTTTTGTCACCATGTCTCTGTATCTGTACACCACCATCACATTGACAGAATGGAGAAACTCATTTAGACGTAAGATGAATGAATTGGATAACTTTGCTAGAACCAAGGCTGTGGATTCATTGCTCAACTTTGAAACTGTCAAGTACTACAATGCCGAGGGATTTGAAGTCAGACGCTACGATAATGCCATTGTTGATTATCAGAAGGCTGACTACAAAAACTCAGTGTCCCTCAATGTCCTGAATTTGGCACAGAATGCGGTTATTACAGGCGGTTTGTTGGCAGGATCACTCCTGTTTGCTTATGAAGTCTCTTTGGGCAAGCTGACACCTGGTGATTTCGTCTCGTTCAATGTATACATGATGCAACTGTACACCCCTTTGCATTTCTTTGGTACTTACTACCGTATGATCCAGCAAAACTTTATCGATATGGAAAAGATGTTTGATTTGTTTGATGTCGAGGAAACCGTTAAAGACGCAGAAGGAGCTGGCTCTCTCACTGTGACAGAAGGCCATGTCAAGTTTGACAATGTCTGTTTCGCCTATGACAATCGCCAAACTGCTCTGAATGGGGTCTCCTTTGATATTCCCAAGGGTGCTACTGTTGCCCTGGTTGGTCCTTCGGGCGGTGGCAAATCTACCATCTTGCGCCTGCTGTTCCGTTTCTATGATCCCAATTCTGGCCATATTTATATTGACGGACAGGACATTAGTCAAGTCAAGCAAAGCTCATTGCGTCAAAACATTGGTGTTGTTCCTCAAGATACTGTTCTCTTTAACGATACCATCATGTACAACATTCGCTATGGCCGCAACGATGCTTCTGATGAGGACGTTTACCGCGCAGCCAAAGCAGCTCAGATCCACGACAAAATCTTGACTTTCCCAGATGGATACGATACCAAGGTAGGAGAACGTGGTCTTCGTCTCAGTGGCGGTGAGAAGCAACGTGTTGCTATTGCCAGAACCATCCTCAAGAATCCTCCCGTCATTCTTTTGGATGAGGCTACCAGTGCTCTAGACACTACTACTGAACGTTATATTCAAGAAGCTTTGTCTGATATGACCAAAGACCGCACTACACTCGTCATCGCTCATCGTTTGTCTACTATTGTCAACTCTGATTTAATTTTGGTCATCAAAGACGGAAAGGTGGTTGAAAGCGGTAGTCACGAAGCCTTGATTCAAGGTGCCATGTCTGGACAAAATGAAGGCATCTACTATGAAATGTGGCAAAAGCAACTAGATGATCACCATGATTTGAGTCAGACTGCCAGTGGAGTTGTTACTCCCAAGCTACTGGAGGAAGTTGGCACATCCGCGTTTGTTCAAGAGCCTGTCAAAGTAACTCTTACGGAGCCCAGCAAAGAGCCTGCAACTGACAAGAGCGAGGAAGCCGTCAAAGAAAGAGAAATCCTGCAGGAAGTTGGTTCAAGTACTGCTCCAGTACAAGAAGATGAAGTGACAGAAAGCCCAATTGAAGCAAAGGCTGTGGAATCAAAGGCTGTTGAAGCGAATGACACAACTACTGATGCATCAGAATTCAGCACTGAACAAAAGAAGCAAAATCTCAAGATTGATACCACTGCTCCCACTACTTCTACAACAACAGAGGAGGACGATACTGCCGACAGCAGCAGCAGTAGCAGTGACAACAAGATCATCAAGGACAGAGACATTTCTATGACACCTGTCCAAGAAGAACAACCTGAAGATCAAAAGACACCACCTCCCACAAACAAGTCTGCTTCTCAGTCGTCTACTAAATCGCGCCGTAACAAGAAGAAGAAGAGAAAGAGCAAGAAATAAGCAATATATCATGATTTTACTACATCAATAAAGTAAACTTTACTGAGAAACGAAAGCGCTTAGCTACAAATTACTGTACTATGATGAGGATCAGGAGTTTTTTTTTTTTTTTTTTTTTTTTTCATCTGAGTCTTTTCAGCTTTGCCATGTAAGACGAGCAGAAGATTTTCTTTACATGCAAGAATGTTCTCCTTGAAGCAAGATGCGACACTTGTTCTTGATTGGCTTAAATCCAAAGGCAAATGTTGTTAATTGGAGGTTTTACAAAACGGTGCTTTTGTTTAGTTAAAAAAAAAAAAAAAAAAAATGCTACACGCGACCACCAAATTATTTACCATCATTGTATTCATCTATACAATCAACATTGTTCATGCATTTGATATCAAACAAGTGCTATTCGGTAACAAAGCAGCAGTAAATGACAAATTGACCCCATCTTTCGGCAGACCTGTGGAGGAAAGGCCAGCGTCCAACAGAGCAGGTATGAAAAATCATATATTACTACTATGGCCATGCGTACGAAACATTGACAATTTAACGCCATAGATATACCTTGCGACCACTACATTTGTGAAGGTACTGGAGCTTGTGTGTTGACGCCGCTTGATTGCCCTTGCCGTCTTGAAACAGACATCAAGTGCGAAGTTGGAGATTGGTATATCTGCATTCGGGGCGATCAATCATGCTCCAGCATGCAATGATATATGTCAAATCTATACACTTTGAAATAAAATTTAGAGCATGGTTAGAATAAGTAACCATGATATATCAGAGCTATTCTTGCGTATAAAGATGTTGATTTCAGCATTTGCTTTTCTCTCTCTTTTTCTCTGTCCATCAGCAACATGCCATCTGAGATCACCTACAAAGACATTATCCTTTACAAGACAGAATGTTGCAGAAATTGGGAGGAGAAGGGCCATTGCAGGTAGAATCAGTGCTCACTCAAACATACATATACTATTGGAGACTCATTGTGTGCTTTATAGATATGGTAAGCGATGCCGTTATGCTCATGGTAGAGAAGAATTGCGACCCATCTTGAGATCAAATCAATATAAAACCAAGATTTGTAAGGCGTACCATGATAACGGCAGCTGCTCATACGGCATTCGATGTACCTTTATCCATCAAATGAACGCCACTGACAGCAACCATTTCAACTTGATTCCACCCACCTCACCTACTTTATTCAATCCATCCTTCCAATCCGCCACTCATCGTCCACAACACTATGACCATCAAATGAATACCAGATGCCAGCAACCACATCAACACAATGAGCCTGATTTGAACACAAATATGTTCATTTCCAAGAACATCATGGAGGACATCATTGGCTTGTCTTCTTATGAGCCTACAGAACATTAGTCTGTTTTATAGTATGTCTTTGCTTGAATTAACCTCTTCACGTCCCTCTTGCTTGCTGCCCAAATGTATAAAATAACTTATGAATTATTACATGGTGAATAAATGCTACTGAAGCGTTAAGCCCTCATTACGCAATGTTGTGTGCCATTATGATGTACTATGATAAACCATCAAGTAGTAACAAGCTGCATTTTTGCATGATTTTTTTTTTCCTATGCTTTGCATGATTCACCTACTCAATCAATTAATATGTGGATGCACAGGCAACATCGCATAATTTTCAGTACATCAACTAGAATACCAAAAGTAGCGTCAAATTGACACAATTTATCACCCTTCCCTATTTGCACGGCCTTTGATCTGCTATCACTGATCCCGTCAACAGGTTGGTTCTCCTCATTTACCTACATCTGACATGAGGGGTTCGTGACCTTTCTTTCCGCTTGTAGTTGGCTCAAAGCAACCCCAGGTTTTTGCATTCAGTTGTTTTTTCTCTTTCAACCTAATATACTTGCATTGAAATGGGAGCACAGACATCAAAAGTTGCTAGAAAGTTGCCTACCAAAGCACGTCCAGAAACACTTCACAATATACCAAATGAGTCGCCATCTACAATTGGTTCAATGGCAAATGCTGCATCAGGTAAGCGCTTTTCACAGTCGACATGCTGGCATAAGGTTCCAACACTCTCCACAGAGATCAAGACAGACTTTATAGAACAAGAGAGCCGCGATCCCCAATTGCATGAGAATTTGAAATCCTTGGGCCCGGTTTCGATCCAGCCCACCATCACAAAAATGAGACCTGTAAGCTGACAACTCCAAGTTCACTGTCGCCACGCCATTGTTATTTACTCGTCTATTTCACATTAGTCAGATACCATGTTGAAGATTATGAAACAGAGGAAAGAGTCTGAAGAGAAGGAATTGAGAGGACACACGGTGACAGAGGAGAACATGTCAATTGATTCCCTGTTCACCTTACTAGAACAACGTAAAAGACTGCAACCTGGCGAGATGGACAAACCCGAGATTCGACAAGCCCTGCTGCAGAAATACAAGATTGATGAACCTACACTGAACACGCTGTTGAAATACTACAATACAATGGCTATTATGCCTCCAGCCATTGATGACAAGGAAGAAAGACGTATGAGTGTGTGGGTTACAGACAAATTAGATTGGGAGAAACAGGTTCGATTGGTGGATCAACGAAATCAGGCAATCAAGAAAGCAAGACAGGAGGCCCTGAAGGATAACAACCGAGCAAAAAAGGAAAAGGAGGACGGTAAAGAGGATCAAGCACTAAAGGATCTATTTGATGAAAGCTATTAAACAGCAATAAAATGTTACTTGATTGACTAGTTGTTGGTTTGACATGCCAATGATGCCTCACATTATGACGCAACTATGCTACATGCTTACTATTTATCAGCTTGATATGCATCTGTTCTTCTTCTTCCCTCTCTATAGCTTCAATATGAACCGATAATTACAAAACTACATAAGCAACGAATCTGAAACGGCCATTCATGCCATGAGAAAAGCAGATACGAATAAGACACGGCTACCAGAGATCTTTACAGTATACATAACGTACGCTCCCCAAGGTGATCCTCACTTGATCCGAGATTTGCTCAACAACGCACTTCAGGAGACGTATCCAGAATGCGTCTGTAGCATTCAGAAGTGCAAGAGACATTCCAGCAAAGACTCAGATGTAGTTAGCCGCTCATCTAGTGACAAAACCACAGGCAAAATCATAAATCATTTGAAAGTCGTTGAAGATCTTTGGGCTCACATCTAACAGTAGCAAAGGTATCTTTCAATATTTGATATGGATAGAATCATCATCATTTGCTACTGTCAATACCACAATGATCTGAAGGCAGTCTACTTCATATCACAACGTATGCCTTTCACACATCTTGCTATCAACACATCAAATAGATTACATTTCTTAAATTTATTCAAGTGTAATGTAAAGCATTTCTAAAATCTAGCAAAGATTCTCTTAGTCAATTTCAATTTTAGAATGACAAGAATGACGCCACCCACAAGGTAAGTGACACCAGTAAACATCTTGTAGGCGAGATAGGGTTCAGCATGAGCACCAGTCTCAATTGCACTTGCAATACTAACACCAAAGATTGCAATGATATTAAACATCAACAGTGTAGACACTGCAGTAGGGTACTGAGCAGGTGTTACGATAGCAGCAGTAATGGGTGTCACTATTATACAGGAGAATTAGTCTAAAGCTCGCCCTACAGTCTTGCAATTCACTTACTCATTGCAAAATAAGAACCACAAAAGAGACCAAACAGCACTGAGAAAGCAACGAGCACGCCATAGCTAAAGGCGAAATTCCATACAAGCAATGAACTCAATGAAGCGCAAAACGTAAAAATAATGTCAGCATTGAGTCTACCAATGCGATCACCAATAAATCCAACCAAAATACGGCCAACAAAGTTGGAGGCAGACATGATGGCAATCAATGTCGACCCTTGAGTGGGCGTGAATCCCAAATGAGTAGCGTTTGCAGGCACAAAAAAGTAAGGAATGAAATAGCCCATCAATCCAATGACGGATCCACATGTCCAAAGCAAAAAGTTGACATCCTTCAGCACACTGAATTGGAAGATGGCCTTCAGTGAACGCTCCCCCTTCTTCTTTTTGGCTGGATTCTTGTCCTTGATAAAGATACAAGCAATAATATCACAGGCCAAGCAAATAAACCCCAAAATACGGAAGGTCCATGCAATGCCAAGCTTACTGTTAGTTGCTGATATGATGAAGGGCAGTACTAGGCCACCGATACCTGAGCCGCCGGAAGCGAGGCCCAATGCAAGGCCTCTTCTTTTGTTGAACCACAAGGGGGCAGTACCCATCGCAGTCTGACAAAATATATCAATAACTTCAAAGCACAATTGGATAGCAAAATGATACATACCACATAGAGAAAAGATGCACCAGATCCGAACAAAACACCTTGAGTCAAATAAAGATGCCAAATCTCTGTGCTCAAACTAGCCAATTCAAGACCCAGTGTTGCTAGAATAGTGCCAATAATCAAAACTGTCTTTGATCCAAATCGAGAAGCAATGATCTGAGACAAAGGACCCATCAAATTGACGCAGACTTCTAGAATTGTACCCACAAAACTCAATTGGAATTGGGAATTAGCAACGCGATCTCGAAACATGTTCACATCCAAGTAGTCCTGTAAAATGCCTATAGTTGTTTTCAAGTGTATACATATGAGATATCATCATTACCATTGAAATACTATAGAAGCACTTACCCCTGTAACGAAGAAAGCACACAAAGGAGAAAAAAGAAACATGTTAGCAAAGCCGACTCGTATCTAAACAACAGATGATGTCGAGAAGGGAATACAAGGAGACTTTTATGAGGTTGTATTCCCTTTTCACTCTGTCTTTCTTTCTCGTTCGTAGATGTTCTCAACTAGGATCAAGTGTGTGCAGTGTACAACAGCGAAAAGTCTCATATAAGATCAACATTGAATGCATCAACTTACCAGCATGAAGCAGTGCCAAAACTAGTGACTTGGACCATGAATGTCCCGAGAATCACGAGCCAACCATAACCACCATCCATGTCTGTATCTTGTTGTTGTTGTTGTTGTTGTTGCTCAACATCAGACATGGATGTTTGTTTGTTGACTCCATTTTCGGGATCATCGCATTTGAATTCTGAAATGTAGATGAAAATAAAAAAATAAAGAAAGGTTAGATGTCTTCGTTCTCTCGTTACTTGTGAGGTACAAATGCGTGAGGGTATCGAGGGTATACTTACGGTATTCATGGTCGACGTCTTTCTTGCTAGCAAACACTGCTTCATCTGGTAGCATTGCAGGCACTGAAGCGTGTTTCTCAGTAATGGACGATGATATGCTTCTTTGGGAAATGGAAGAGGTACGCGCAATAGTAGCATGATCATCTTGCATCCCCTCGTGCATTGCCATGACAACAGGGGTTATATTATGAACTGAAGACATTTTCTTGTTCTAATGATACAAAAGAAAAGAAAAAAAGAGAAATCAAAAAGGATTTTTTTTTTTAGTCTTTATATTAGTTTAGATCAAATCTACTATTTATTTTCGGTGAAACATGGGAACGGAAGGAATTCTGGATTTCTACCCTTCAAAACATATACATCATCAAAGCAAGCTCATTTGGCAAGCACAGGATAAATTATACCAGGTATCTCGTATTCATTGGAGCCAGTAAAAAGAAACTGTTTCAAAAGTTAACTTAAAAGGCTGTTTACGGCATTGAAACAGATAAAACTATCGTTAACATTGAACAGATAGTAGTATAAGCTATACATTTGTCACAATAGTGTTCTGTAGATGACCTGAAAAGAGTCATCTTTCTTCATTCAAGGTGGGAATTCACATAATGCCGGACCCTCGTGTGCCACAAATCAGCCATGTTCCGCTTGCTTACCAATGACACCCAGGAATCCAGTTGAAAAACCTGGAAAGCTTGCATCGGAGCGCCTTCTCTTTTCGTGTGCATGGTTATTTGCGAAATAGAAAATCTTTAGAATCAAAAAGTAAACGTGATGTAGAAGCTTACCATATATTGACGGATGCAATGACAGCTGATCTCCAATGCTTGAGGTTATTCACAAATCAGGATGTGATGTTATTACAGTACTCAACATCAAGGTCGGCACTACGATACCCATTTTATAGCAGAGCAAACTGCCGCCCCTCATTTGTGTAGATATCCTTAACTTTCTAATAAAAAAGCTATTGAAAAGCTTTTGGAATTGATTTGCGCGATATTAATCTTTCACAAAAGTAGTTTCATGAGATGAGCCATCTTGTATTGCTTTGATTAGTCCGAAAAGCCCTGAGAAGTACGATACTTCACCATGCAACACAAAGATACATCTTCCTGAACAAGACTAGCTGGCTTCGCTCGCGGCTTCCCGCTAGTCCTGCGGGTTAAACATTGACCGGTTTCTATGGTCCCTAGGCACTTTCAAAGTCTCGAAAGGGAAAAAAAAAAAAAGTTAACTTTACAATCGTTTTAGGTGGTCTTGCGTTATTGAATATAAGACTTCAAAAAAAAAATAGAACGGTTAACGATAGCACTATATAACTTGCCATCTATTATGGGTGGAAGGCATTGAGTTTGCCAGCCTGCCCCACTAGCCAAAATTAATTCCAGCTCAGACATACAGTCTTCTCAAAATTGGTCGAATTTCAATATTCTTCGACCTGATCAATCTATTTTGTAATCTATTTTACTTTGTCATCCCTTTTCGCATGTCAGACACTAGTCAAGTACATCAACGTTCCTCGCAAGCTGACACTGCGGCTCCACTGTTGTGGACTCATGTGGTTAACTCACGCCGCAAAGGGAACAACAGACAACAACAATCCATCGTCTCTTTCAATCCCACTATCGTCAAACGACCTGTAACGGAAGCAGAGGCCTCGCAACAGGCCATCAATGGGGATACTTCGCCACCTCCTCAGGCGGTTATCCGTCCATTCCTCAAAGGCGTGGAACAGGATTCCGTCTTCATCGATCTGACACCTATCAAGGATCGCAATCTCTTGAACAAGGCTCTTCTTCAATTCAACGAAGCCTCTAATGCTGAAGACATGTATGAAGAATTTCTTGGATACCGGAAACAACCTCGACACTACCTCAACCATGCCTTCTTGGAAACCATGTGGCTGCCCAACAGCGAAGGTCGTAAGACTCTCATTGAAGAAGGTATCACTCTAGAGGATGGCACCTTTGTGAAAGGGTTTGCCTCGTACCATGCTGATGCTACGATTGTGAAACTGACCCTGGAGAATCTTCCTTTCTTGCCGGCCCTTCAGTTGAAGGAGGAAATGGCTGCCCGACTTTCTGCGTTCGGGGATGTCTTGGATCACGGCATCTCGAGAACTGATGGGATCTATCAAGGAGAAGGTTATGCTACACTTAATCTAACGGTTCCTTCCAGCCCTGGTTATGAATGTCAAGAGTTACATCCCGTTGGGAAATCTTGCCCTGGTCATCGCCATTTGGAGAAACTCAGTCGTGTCATTGTCTGGGATTTGACAGCTTCGGATCAAAGAAAAGTTTTACTCCAATGGGATCAAATGCCGGCTTTCTGTCGTAATTGTCAGAGCTCTGAACACTGTCGGGCTGATTGTCCTGACTACAAGAAGTGGGTCCGCTGCCATCATTGCAATGAAACTGGACATGTGGTGAAGAACTGCAGTCGCAATGACAGCCCAAACAAGGTCCGTGCGGTGGAAAACACTCCTGCCAAACCCCGAAAGGGCTCTCAGGTGGCCAAAGAGGGTAAAAAGGGTACTCAGGGTGGCTCCAAAGTAACTCCTGGTGGTGCTCCAGTTGGAAACAAAGGTAATGCCCAAGGAAAAGGCCAGGATGTTGCATCTGGTGGTTCCCAAGGTGATTCCGATAATCGAACTACTGCTACCCAGCAAGGTAGCACTCAAGGTGACGCTGATAGTCAAACAGGTGCTAGAAAGCAGGTAGTTGATAGAGATGTTCAAATGGATGATCTTCCAAAACTCCAAGTTAAAGAAGTCGATGGGAAAGGGGCTTCCAATGATATTATCATGTACGACTCTTCTACCCATTCTGCTAATGAACGAGAGGAGCGCCCTGAACGCCCTGCGAAGAAGATCGGTAAATTTAATGGCGCGGATGATGTTAGTTCTGCCAAACAACAAGCTGCATCTAATGAAGTAGAGACTGGACATCAACTCGGCTTGACAGGCCCTCCTTCACCTCCCCAACATTAATATGATTAATCAGCAAAATACAGTGAAAATAGCCACCCTCAATTGCCGTGGCCTAAAAAAAACAGATAACACCAAAAAAAGACAACAATTTATTAGATATCTTCGAACATTAGGATATGACATCTTAGTGCTTCAAGAAACACATGCAACAGACAACACATTTATAGACATACTCAACACTCAATTTACTTGCAAGTCGAGTCTTTGGACTCAACATTGCGGCATCATTTCCCTCAACACTCATTACTCACTCAAACACATCTCAGAAGGCATTGATGGGGGTCGATTTATCTTGGCTTCCCTTCATCTTACTCGAGACCTGGAAAATTCACCCAATTCACCACCAATAGCAACAATACTTAATATTTACGGTCGTGCGTCCGCTCACACCGACCGATCAGCGTTCTATTCAGAACTCATTGGCACACAAATTGTCAAAGAAACTATTACTACTACAACAAACACCGTCTTTATCATGGGAGACTTCAACTACCAGTACAAGGATCGTCGAGTCGATGGCACCCTCACCAGTGCACCAGTAGAATGGACCGATCTACTCGATGATTACTTTATTGACGTTTTTGGGGAAGACAAACACAACACATGGCATAGTGGAAGCAATTCAGGGATTCTGGATTACATCTTTTGTAGTTCAAACGCCCATCATCTAGTCACTAGCACCAACCAGCAGTATCTGTCTCCTGCCTGGACCGACCATGAACTCTTGGGATTCTCTTTTCGATATCAAGATGCGAATGGCCGTGGCCCTGGTAACTGGAAGGCAAATCCGTTCTTGGCTTGCAACAAAACATTTAGGAAGGCATTGGCAGAATTCCTCATTGATAGTGAGGCGCGTCTGGCAGAAATCAAGCGTTTCTCCACTCCCCAACAACAATGGGATTGGATCAAAGCCGAAGTAAAGATGTTTATCAAACAGTATCAAATGGAGGATTTGAACTGGCGGAAACAACAGCTACACCGACTGCTATCAAAGAGAAACAAGATGATGCGGCATAAGAAGACAAGAGGCTTGGTGTTTCAAGGCTTGGACACGGTTAATCAACAGATTCAATCTCTCCAGCACTCTCTTGCAGAAATAGAGATCTTGAAGGCAGGAAAATTTTGGCGGGAACATGGTGAGAAATCTCCAGGCTTCCTGAAGCGCTCTGTGGTGTCTCGAGAAAATCGTCGTTCAATTGTGGAACTCAGGAACCCTACAACTGGCGATCTATGTCAAGATCAACCTAGCATCTCCAACATTGCTACCAACTTTTACACCTCACTGTTCACACCGGAGGCTCTGGATTCAACCTCCCTCAGTGTTATAATTCGCAACATCCCAGGTCATTTGAAGCTCAACAGCGAGCAGCAGGAATCATTGATGATGCCGATTGATGTGGAGGAACTCTTGACCGATAGCAAGCAGACTCGTCGTTTGAGTAGTCCTGGACCTGATGGATTACCTTATGAAATCCTGTACTTGGTAATGAAATTTCCACCGTTCCATGATCTCATCCAATTAGTCTACAATGAAGCTTTAAAGAAGGGTAAGTTCCCGCCATCTTGGAACGAATCCGTCATGTGTCTGCTTTACAAGAAAGGCGATCCAGCTGAAATGAAGAACTACCGTCCTCTGTCTCTGGCTAATTCAGACTACAAGCTCTTCACTCGCAATATCAACCGTCGAATCATGGAAGTCTCTTCCAACTTGATCAGCCGACATCAGCTTGGGTTTATTCCTGGTCGATTCATTGCTGAAAATGGAATGATCTGCCAGCTCCTAATGGAAGATGCTCAACGGAAATGGTCCATCGCTGAACAACAGGAAAATGATCCTTCCTTTAACACTTTGGATTATGACATCGGTCTTCTTCTGGATCAAGAAAAGGCATACGATCGGGTGAACTTGGAATATTTGAGGAAGGTATTGGGGAAATTTGGGTTTCCTCGCCCTATTATCAAGTGTATCTCCAAGTTGATGGGTGACAACCTCATACGTATCAACATCAATGGCCATCTGTCAACTGAAGTGGCGAAACTTCGAGGCTTGAAGCAGGGGGATCCTCTCTCTCCTGTACTGTACAACTTGGCATTTGAACCTTTTCTGCTTGCAATCCTGCATGATCGCCAATTTCAAGGCTACTTGATGGGTACTGCACGAACAAAACTCCTGTGCTATGCTGATGACGCTTTGGTGTTTATCCATGACTCCAATGATTTGACTCGGTTACAGCTCCATATGGCTCGTTACTGTGCTGCCTCCAACGCCAAGTTCAATAATGCCAAGGTGGAAGCCTTTTCAGTGTCTGGTCGGGATACATGGGATATGTGGGATGGTCCATTATCACAAATGGGTATCACACATCTCCATTCTGTTGAGGACGATGAACCGTTGACCTATCTGGGATTTCCTCTCGTCCAAAGTAGGATTCAGCGAGTTCACTTTATGGGTGCTTTGGTAACAAAGATCAAAACTGCCATCCAGATTCATTCTGGTCGCTCCCTGTCGGTCGTTGGAAAGGCTACAGTGCTGAACTCTCTTTTGCTCTCCAAGCTATGGTACATCCTGCGTGTTACGCCTTTGACTCAAGCTGACTTCAAGCAGCTGCGTTCTCTGGCTATTCAGTTCTTGAGAAGAAACATCTTCCCCGTCATCCCTTGGAAGGTGTGGACTCTACCAAAGGACAAAGGTGGTCTCGGTGTTGTAGACATCCAAATACAAGCTTCAGCTTTGTATTTTCGTTGGCTCCACCCATTACTGGTTCAAGATCAAGATGTCATAGATTCCCATCCTGTGTCGTACCTCTTAAGCTACCACATTCGCAATGTTAATGGTTACCCCCACCATCAAATCCCGCTGCTATTTCCCTCTGCTCGTCGTACTAAGGGGTTGAAAAAGCAACGCACGGGAACTGTCGATATGTTATATCGTACAGTTGACTATCTTCCTAAGTTGTTTGATGCGGCACCGATCAATTCTGCAACTGCCATGGCTCTTCCATTACAGGCGGCTTTCTATGTTCCTCCATCCTCCTCACTGGTTGTTCCTCTTAAAGTCAAAGAGATGATGGTTTCTGATGTATTTCAGTACGATGCCCGGCTTAACTTTGTACATTGGAGAGACACTCGTGACCCTTCCCTCCTCAGGTGGAAGAGAGCTCCTTCAACAGTGTTCAGAGGCCTCGCATCTGGCACTCTTAAATTCCAGCCCTACTTCCTCCCAGTGTGTAATCCAGCCCCTGTAGTAGATCCTGGAGTCTCTTTTGCGCCGCTGGTGGATCAATTTTGTCTGCACGATGGCCAATCTCTTAGAAACGCTCAGGCTTCCGCCAAAACATTTCGTCTGTCTGTACTGTCGTCGGTGGAACAGCCCTTGGTCTTGCAAAATGTCTCTGCTGCTAATTGGAAATTCTTTTGGTCCCTGTCTCTTACCTACATTCAACGTAATGTGATATACCGATTCATCGCAGGCTGTATCCCTTCTAGAAGCAGATTACACTACATGATGCCTGCATTTTTCGAGTCCCACAATTGTCCTGTCTGCTTGTCTCCCAATGAAACTGCCAGCCACCTGCTCTTTGACTGTCCATCCAAAGAAAAGGTATGGCAAGGCGTCATTTTTGAGTTCCTATGGCCCACCACGTCCATCACTGACATCAAAGAGGCTCTTCTGTCCCTGGACTTTTCAGATATCTGGTACTCCCAAGTCAAAGGCATCCATCCATACAGAATCCTACTCATCACCCTGTCTCAAATATGGCTAGCCCATATGCGCTTTGTTTTTGACGGCACTATCTTTGTCCCTGAGGCGATTCTGGTACATATCCACTCCACTGTCCGACAGACAGTGGATGAAGATCAAATCCATTCCCTCTTGTAATTTAGATAGTTAGATAGTTCCTTTTGTTAGTTTAGTTTAGTTTCCATTTATATTTATATTTTTTTCATTTCTCAATTGCACCCGCCTCTTCACTCTGACCTATTACTCTTAGTGTACGCGGCTCAATCAATAAACACAATTTAAAAAAAAAAAAAATCTATTTTGTCAGATTCGACTATGTAAAATGTAGTGATCATTCAATGCTTCCTTAAGCTTACTGGATGTACTCTTCAAGGCGCATCCAGTGGTGCTAAATATAAGAGATGTTTTGAACAAGATTGTTGAGTAATCCTTCAAAATATGAAATGAGGCTTTTGACCAAAATGCCGAGATTTTGCATAGCAATGTTTCACAAACAGAGCTTCAGGAGTTGCTTTGGATTGAGAGAAACATTTTGAACTGACATATGCCATAGTAAAAGCCTTCATTTTTTTGGGTCAAAAACGCGATCGTTTGATTTTTGATAAAAACCATGAGGGATACTTCATGGTTTGGAGTCGATTTTTGACGATCCCAAAAATGAAGGCTTTTACTATGGCATATATCAGTTCAAAATGTTTCTCTCAATCCAAAGCAACTCCTGAAGCTCTGTTTGTGAAACATTGCTATGCAAAATCTCGGCATTTTGGTCAAAAGCCTCATTTCATATTTTGAAGGATTACTCAACAATCTTGTTCAAAACATCTCTTATATTTAGCACCACTGGATGCGCCTTGAAGAGTACATCCAGTAAGCTTAAGGAAGCATTGAATGATCACTACATTTTACATAGTCGAATCTGACAAAATAGATCGAATTGTGTCCAAATATACAAAAATCAATAAATTAGAACATGAAGAATTTTAATCGGGAATTAAAATATATTTGGCTGCTGCTTGGTGGTGGAATAATCAATGCCTTGCTTATTGTGCAGGTAATCGATGCTCTGGAAGCCCATACGATAAAACCGTCGAAATGAAAAAGAGCTATAGCTTATCTTAATTGCTTTTTTCTATTGCTCATTATTCTACTTGATAGAATTCATTGTAGCAAATGCGAATATTTTGAAACCATCATCAGGATTGATTTGCAGTCGGCAGCTCTCTATTTTCAAGTTGTATTAAATAGCAGTATCTTTCGAATGGTATTTTTTTTCTCGCAGTAATCCTACGTTTTTTTTTTTTGCAAAAGAATTGAGGCAATTGTCCAAAAATGCTCTTAACTTTTCCTGAAATGTAAAATCCAAAAGTGAATCAATCTCTATACAGATATATCGCAAGAGTAAGACTGCCACCATTGTTGGCCCAAGATATTAGCTTCAAAAGCCCCGTTGAAACACCATCTGCACTTTGTGCGATTCATTCGACATGCACTTTTCAGCTGATAATACTTTCTGTTTGTATAGTTTTGCTACACAAGATAACTAGTGTTCAATTAGCCTCACTGGAAATACAAAAAGAGCTAGAGTAGCCCACTAAAGCGATGGTGGTGAAATTTTAGTGAGCTGCCAAGTACTAAATCATGTATCACATTTTAGAGTTGAGTTGATGAAAATGGGTATATACCATTTTTACATTAAAAGGAACCCAGCAAAAAATTATTAATATCAATTGGCGTATGAATAATATGCGTTCATAATATGCTACCAATATCGCTTGTTTCGCCTAATCTGATTCGAATTTCGAGATATATATTATGTTGGATAATCGGCTATCGTCGAGGGACTAGATTACTCCAGACAAATTCAGCAGACGACTAAACCATCAACATTTAGCGAGGAACCTTGAATTAAATGTGTAACAATAACGGGAATCAAGCTGAACATCTTGCTAAAAGTAAACATACGATCAAAAATCTTGTGCACATGTTAAATCAATACTACACAAACAATTAAGCCAAGTTCATGAATGTCATTTTTTTTTAAGAATATAATGAAATGTGCTACGTTTTTCATATGATTTCTGTACTCAAATCAGAAGAAACAGGGTCTAATTTACCTCATCCGGGATCCATCAATGAAGCTTTGTAATCATCCAACAAGTCATTTGGCTTCCTCGGTTATTGTGTGGATTGGATCTACTTGGAAAAAAAAAAAAAAAAAAAAAAAAAAGCTTTCATAACATACGTAAGCCAGATTCATCATCCCAAACAGGTCCAGTCATGGATCAGAATTCTTTTGCACCATAAAGAGTACACAATGTTAGACCTTTGGAATGGAGCAGTGATTTGAATAGCTCTCAAGTTGCACGGCATCCATGTTGAGCAGACAGCTGCCTTGAAGTTGGCAATGATACATTCTATCTTATGATTGTAAAAGTGCATTGCCACTTGTGCCATCCAAATTACTACTTGCTTGGTATTGGAAATACAGATCTATTGGACTAGACACCTTCCTGACGTGTTTGCTTCTATTATAATGAAGACATAGATAGTAGTGGAAGAAGAAGTCGTTTGCCAATCGAAAATTATACCGAAACCTCATTCTGATGATGGTTTCATCTCTTGTATAAGTTGATAGATTGGTATCTTATTACGTGTCAGCTATCCTCTAACGCAACACTATTATTGACATGAGAATAACTGATAGCAATACTCTCGGAATATGCCTCAAAATGCTCTAGTATTGCCAAGTAGTACCAGGATGATAAGCATGCATAAAATACAAACTCAAAATACATGATATTCATATGAAATTTAGATCAAATTATAAGGTGATGCTTGCTGTCAAGACTCCATAGTTCAAAAAAAAAAAGAATGCCTTGCTGAAACAACCATTCATGTTGTACATATTTGATCTGTTTACTAGCAAGTCTAGGCTTTGTAATGAAAATTTTACTATTTATATTACTGGATTACCTGATTTCAAGACATTTGTGTTTAGCCTATTGGCCTTGTTTGCGATAAAGACATCTGTGGTTGGATAAAATTTTTCGCTTATACCGTAGCACTACTTGGGAGCCATCTCAGAACCAATTAGCCGTCCATGGTAGCAACCAAGGCAGACATTTACAGTGAAAGACATTTCTAAATCTTTTTTTCTCTTTCCTTTTTCTTCTTCCACTCTTTCCTTCTTGTTCTTCTCTATCGCACAATAAAGGATGCAGACAATGCAGCAACACGAGAATGAGCTCAAAGGCCAACATCGGCCTAACCTTTCTATAAACACATCATTCAACAAAAAGAAAAAGGGATGGCATCAACTCTTCTCGCATCATCACCACCACCATCCCACTGTCAAATCACCCACTTCCATTGATCGTCAAGAAAAGCCCTCCAAGCGAAACAGCTTGCCTACTCCTCCTCCCACACAATCCGCACCTTCACTACAACAACATGCCACATCCATCAGTCTTGCACCACTCTTAATGCGAAAAACGGCTAGTCCAACCTCCACAGCAACGAGCAGCAGCAATAGCAGTGCTGAAAATTTAACAGATGATTCAACAAGTGTACATAGTATAACATCCCCATTTAGAAAACTCCATCTGCCCTCCTTCCACAAAAGAAACAACTCCCACCACAATCCATCATCCAATACTGCCGCTCCAGCAACGGCTGCTATGACAATGTCAGACCAAGAAGACCATTACACACCCACAGCACCCGAGCATATTATGCCAACGCTGGTTGACTGGTCTCCTGAAGCACCTGTCTCTCCGCCGCCTTGGGAGCTCCATGATCCCAAGCCATTACATCAACACAAGAAAAGACATTCCATGAGTAATCACAACTATTTTGAAGAGTTTCGTCGAACCAGCAGTATCAGTAGCAGTAGTTTTGGTATCGAAGATTATCATTCTGATTCAGAGGGCGTTGGTAGCACCAACATCAAATCCTCGTTGCATCAAAGTCCATCCGATTCTCTTGATCGCAATTCTGATGTTACACTCATTGGTTTGACATCTGTTCCTAGCACTTCAAGTGCCGATGTAGATGATGCCAGAGCAGCTGCCAGTTCGGCTGCCATGCGTGTAAGGCGTCGCTCCAGTTGCCCAACCTATGACTCTCTGTCGCTCAGCAGCGCAAGTACCTCCACCTCCTCCAAAACATTGATTGAAAATGACATCATATTCATCACCGAGCAGCACACACGACACATGTCTGTTTTGAAAAAGTACACACATCCCGCCGACAAGAAGCCAGCCTTCAAGCCATGTCAGAAAGCGAAAGCACGAGCAGCAGAAGCAGCTGTCAATGGCGAAGTGGTGCACACCAACTCGCTGTATTCCTCCTTTTGCGAAGACAGCCTCAAATATCTGTACATTCCCAATGTATTTGATCCTGTTACCAGAGAACCCATTTTGGAATTCGCTGTCATCAAGCCGAGAAAATATCAACTGCATCGCAAGACCAGCTGGAAACGTGAAGCAAAGGCATTAATGACATGGCATCATGCATTGGAAGAACAGATCCATCAACCACCTGCTGTCAGCTCGGCTTTTCTAAAGGAATTATCCGCTGACAAGCTCGAAAGATACCAGCTTACCCGTCGATTCATTCTGCGAGAATTTTTTACTACAGAAGTCAATTTCTGGAATCAATTGTATTACACTAAAATCGTAAGTTTCTTTTTATATGGGGCCAACAAGGCTATTCACACTTTCTATAGATCTTTTACGATGCTCTGGTGTACTCGCTCAACAAGGAAAACACATTTGCTAAAGATGAAGATGCAGACATTTTTGCCAATCTATTCGATTTGATGCAGTTCTCGGCCAAACTAATCAACCGTCTCCGTCATTTTCAGCTAAACTTTGTCAATAAGGTAGCTGCTGCTGGTGGTACTGATGATCCGCACGCACATCTCTCAGTTGACGGCCAGGAGGCTTGCAATAATATTGACTGCAATAATCTTCAAGTAGGCAGTATTCTGGTGGATATGGCTGAAGATCTCGTTGTATTCTTGCGTTGCGCTTTAGACTACAAGGGAAACCGAAAGCATTTGGACAATTCAGAGCACCGGGAGGGATTTGTCAAATACCGACAGGTACAGTATATGCGTTGATCATTTTCCGGATGATGACTAATAACAGTGTGTCATATAGCGATTACAGACCAAGAAAGAAACCAGCCAATTCTCCATGCAAGACTACCTAATTATCCCCATTCAACGTGTCGCTCGTTATGGATTGCTGCTAGCGGGTAAATATTGCCATTTAGCCTTTAAATGAGCTCCATCTAACCACGCTTTGTTGTATAGATTTACTCAAACACACACAACCCAGCCATTCGGATTACAACTACTTGATCAAGGCACATCAAATTGTTACAAGTCTTGCTTCTGCCATGAATTCTGTGCAGAAAAAGAAAAAGACTTGATTGTATATATGTATCATTTACTCTTTAGCACACCTAATATCTACTTTTTTTTTTACCTACTACCACGCATGTAATTCTTAATATTAAATTCTTTTTTTTTTTTTTTTCAACATTACCGGAAAAACCTTCCCTTTTATTATTTTCATATGTACACAATTCTAAAGATTCGGCGATACTAGTTTATCCATTTACTTTTTCTTGTAAGTTTTGGCACCTTCTTCGTGAGCAGCCATCCACTCCTTAACATTGCAAGTCCATGTCTTTTCATGTTGACCAAACCATCCCTTCTTTTCGGTCTTGACCAGCTTGAATCCATGTTGCATACTCAAAATTCGAGCAGCCTTTGTCTCCAATTCATTTGTCTTTGCCTCCACTATCTCAATGCCCTTTTCATCTGCCCATGACATGGCTCTGTCAATTAATAAAGTCGACAAGTTGCAGTCTTGATAGTCAGTCTTGATAGCGAGACGTTGAAGCGTCGCCTTGTTGGGTTCATGAGGTTCAGCAAACACAGGTGTAGGCATCTTGGCCTGCAGATCCTTCAGTGACTCTGGCACAGGCAAACGGTATCTTGCTAAAGCGGCTGCAGCGAGTAGTTTCCAAGCAGGAGGCTGCAATGGTCTGTTGCTCTTCAATTGTTCCTTGTAATGAGCTAGGCCGACCATGCCACAGGGTCTGTTGTCCAATGTAAGCACCCAAAAATGAGAGGGTGCTTGCTCTTCCAATGGCTTTTGCGTGCGTACGAGTTCAGTTGCAGGTTTGGCATCCTTGTCAAAGGTGACACGCTTCTTTCCAGCCTTCACATTGTCATCCTCATCCACCTGTACCTCTTCTTTTGTCCAATTCAAATAGTATACCTCTGGATCGCTCAAATCGTTTTGACGTACTTGCTCGACTCTGTCAACCACCTCAAATCTATCTGTCACGACAAATATACCGGCAAACGAGACGATGGACCATGCAAATGTAAAGAAGATCTTGAGAGCAGTGGATGACCATGATGGAAAGTTCATGCCAGACAGCAAGACAGGCACAATGCCCAGCAAGTAGGAATAGAAAGCAATCCACAGGACCCAGAATAACGGAGACTTGAGCTTGCACTTGACACCTTCGGGCACCAATGTGAAGTAAGTACTGTAGAATAAATGGTCAATTTGATCATGATCACTTGCTTTATAGGTGCGTAAAATCAGGCGAGGTGTTTCTGCGTTGAGAGCATCTGCTTCTGTAGCAGCAACAGGGGCAGCACTGGTAGACGATGCCATGATATATGTGTATGTAAAGCGTTGTGGAAAGAAAAAGAAAAAGAATGGAAAGAAACAAAACTTTATATAGAAAAGAATGGACATTGAAATAGGGTCACGTTTTGAATATTCACAGTTTTTATTGGTACAAAGCTCAAATGTCTCAAGAGCGTGCTCCCAGCTCTACCGTCTTTATGCGCTGAGCTGATCTATCTCGCCATTGTATAAATTGTAGCGCACTTTCCTGACCTACTCGATACACTAAGATAGGACAGCAATCAGACCACTGTGTCTCTCAATAGGCAGTTAGCACAAGCTTACATTCTTTCTCGGTTTCATCTAGTTTCTGGAGATAGATTTGTCCTGTTGCAGATCCAATGGATTGTGAAAAATCCATAACATCTCGCAGTCGAGTCTTGAAAGCCTTTTCCAATACACTTGTCAATGAGTCATCCACAACCAAGTCTAATAATTTCCTGCCAAACAGATAGAAATAGGGACATAACAACTTGAAATCTACACTGGTAGGGCTTGCATCCAGGACATTTCTGACTTTGGTGCTGTATGTTTTGGGTAATTCAATGGATATAAGGGAGCTATATGGGATGGCATGTTAGTCGTCTACTGCTTTATGGGTGGTAGTATGCGTGTTGTCATTTAACTCGTCTGTAGGTAATCTAATCGCATGGAAAATGATCAGTCATTGCAGGCAGTGATGTGATGGTCTACATTACGTAAATTGGGCTAATGGTTTCGCTATCCAGTAGGGTAATTCCACGCGCGAGCCTCTCTTTAACTGGCAGATTGTCGATTCAATATGATACTACAGGAACCATCCCATCCATACTCACCTCTGAATGATCACCATTCAAGTTAGCTTCTTTGCTGTAATCGTGTAATGTGATGCATGGTATTTTCTATGATGTTTGAATGAGTCCATGTGTATGCCAAAAACATCCAAGCGGTTTCATATTACTTGTTGCTCTGCTAATATGGAATCTATGCTGTAATATTCATCAAGCTCCATAGTGTTGTATATAATGAAAGGAAAAAAATTAAAGAAACGGGACACAAACGCGAGTACCACGTAAAAAAAAAACTGGTTTGTTTATTTGAGTTGGTGTTTTTTTTTTTTTTTTTTTTTCAACAGCAGCGACATTCTCTGTAGATCATGGATGGTGCTCTCCAAACTTCTTGCTAGGGAAATACCATCAGTTTCTTTCTATGATGTGTTTGTTTCCATGACTTGCTCGCTTCAGTCAACATGGCATTGATTCTTGGTAGATCTTGTTCATCAGCAGGACTGACCATTGGCTGCCGTCCCTTTCTTTGATCTTGCTGTGGTAGCAGTGGCGGTTGTGGCTGTAATAGATGCGATGCCATCATGCTGATGGTTGGCGAGATGAGCGTTGCTTGACTGTCTCGGCTATGTACATTGTATATTCATTGTTAGTTATTCTGCACATTTCGAATAATGAAGCAGTAATTAGCTCATTATGGAGCATTCATGCACAGCAGCAAAGAAGCGCCTATGATCATCTGGCGTTGGTATATTATTTGATGGATACAACCCTATATGCTATTGAGAGTTATTATATCACAATGTTCGAAATATATATTTCTATACAAGAACATAACGCATCTAATCCAACATCTGATAGCATTGATCTATATGAGGGCTTCATCGTAGCGAAGCGAGAATGCAACACCAGAGTATTCAAGCAGCAAATTCGGTTTTTATTTCCATTATGAATAAGCTTACCAACAACGTAACGCATCAAAGTTAGCATGAATTGGTTTTACCAAAACCAATATGTCTCCTATTTGAATTAGAAATTTATTGCACAGGCTGCAGAACTGCCTTTCCAGAAGATTTCAGCCACCAAAGATGTGATTCATGCCGTGTACATAAAAGCTATAAAGCAAAAAATACAACCAAATTTGACAGCATTCAAGCCTTCATATCTTGACATGTAGACGTTTATGAGCCACCGGAATGACGCCAAACAATTGTACTTGAATAATAGTAACTTCCTGATACCTTTGCTCAGCTTTTTGAGGACCAAAAAAAAATATGGCCAAAAATTGACCAAAAAGCATGAGGGGGTACCTCATGGTTTTCTTCGAAATTCAAACGATTGCGTTTTTCACCTTGGAAATGAAGACTTTTACTCTGGTATATATTAACTCAAAACGTTTCTCTCGATCCAAAGCAACCTCTGAAACTAGTTTTACGAGGTTTTCATATGCAGAATCTGAATATTTTCGCCAAAAACCTTATTTCAAACTTTATTAAATTGCTCAATAATTTCATTCAAAACAACTATTACAATTAGCACCACTGGAAGCGCCTTGAAAAGTACTTCAAGAATGTATTAGGAAGCGTAGGGTGATCATCACAGTTTATATAGTCGAAGGTCAGAAAATAGATTTTTTTTTTTTTTTAAATTGTGTTTATTGATTGAGCCGCGTACACTAAGAGTAATAGGTCAGAGTGAAGAGGCGGGTGCAATTGAGAAATGAAAAAAATATAAATATAAATGGAAACTAAACTAAACTAACAAAAGGAACTATCTAACTATCTAAATTACAAGAGGGAATGGATTTGATCTTCATCCACTGTCTGTCGGACAGTGGAGTGGATATGTACCAGAATCGCCTCAGGGACAAAGATAGTGCCGTCAAAAACAAAGCGCATATGGGCTAGCCATATTTGAGACAGGGTGATGAGTAGGATTCTGTATGGATGGATGCCTTTGACTTGGGAGTACCAGATATCTGAAAAGTCTAGGGACAGAAGAGCCTCTTTGATGTCAGTGATGGACGTGGTGGGCCATAGGAACTCAAAAATGACGCCTTGCCATACCTTTTCTTTGGATGGACAGTCAAAGAGCAGGTGGCTGGCAGTTTCATTGGGGGACAAGCAGACAGGACAATTGTGGGACTCGAAAAATGCAGGCATCATGTAGTGTAATCTGCTTCTAGAATGGATACAGCCTGCGATGAATCGGTATATCACATTACGTTGAATGTAGGTAAGAGACAGGGACCAAAAGAATTTCCAATTAGCAGCAGAGACATTTTGCAAGACCAAGGGCTGTTCCACCGACGACAGTACAGACAGACGAAATGTTTTGGCGGAAGCCTGAGCGTTTCTAAGGGATTGGCCATCGTGCAGACAAAATTGATCCACCAGCGGCGCAAAAGAGACTCCAGGATCTACTACAGGGGCTGGATTACACACTGGGAGGAAGTAGGGCTGGAATTTAAGAGTGCCAGATGCGAGGCCTCTGAACACTGTCGAAGGAGCTCTCTTCCACCTGAGGAGGGAAGGGTCACGAGTGTCTCTCCAATGTACAAAGTTAAGCCGGGCATCGTACTGAAATACATCAGAAACCATCATCTCTTTGACTTTAAGAGGAACAACCAGTGAGGAGGATGGAGGAACATAGAAAGCCGCCTGTAATGGAAGAGCCATGGCAGTTGCAGAATTGATCGGTGCCGCATCAAACGACTTAGGAAGATAGTCAACTGTACGATATAACATATCGACAGTTCCCGTGCGTTGCTTTTTCAACCCCTTAGTACGACGAGCAGAGGGAAATAGCAGCGGGATTTGATGGTGGGGGTAACCATTAACATTGCGAATGTGGTAGCTTAAGAGGTACGACACAGGATGGGAATCTATGACATCTTGATCTAGAAAATAGATTAAAGAAGTCGAAAAAAGACAGAATCTGTCCAATCTTGAATAATAGAAAAAAAACTGAGTTTCAATCGATTTTTAGCAGAGGGCGCTGCTGCTGGCTGACCCAAATGCCTTTCTGATGGTGACAATAATGATTGCAATATTGATTAAATGGGGTTCATGGAAGTAAAGGGACAATTTATTAGCCTGTATAATTTTTCTTGGGAGACTTCCCCCCTGTGAAAGTGTCTTTTGCAACGACAATATCTCAAAAATCGCTGTATATCTTACACAAGTCCTGTATTTACAGATGGCCAGTTTTATGCCGCCATCTCAAAAGCAACATCAGCGAATAGATACCTCCCTCTCCTAACTCTGATATAGCCTTTCTCTTACTATTAATTGATTGTTTAAAGCCTACTTGATATCTCTAATCTGAAATATCTTGGGCGAGAGCCCGTAGGACATCACCGTCATCGAGCGTAGCGAGATTGATCGACTAGTATTTGTATACTAAAATACAGCTAAACATCCAAGTATAAAAAGCTTTATCTAATGGTGGTAGCGAGAAAGAGGGCAATGAATGCTGCTATTATTGTTTTTGGCATGATAGACATGCAATATATTTCGTTTTTGAAAACGGCCCAGATCAATGTCAATGTTACGTTTTCGTGTGTCTATAGTCCTGGAATTTGATTAGCTCAGTCAAACTGCCAATTATTAGTCTGTTCTGATTTCGTGATGGCTATATTCCTCTGAATATGTGGAGAATGAGCCATGTACCTGACCAAGATAGCAATGATGGGCTTTGATGGGTTTGAAATACAGCCATATTGAATTCTCTCAATATAGAATAAAGCGATTAACCTCATCATGAATACTAGATTTAACAAGGTGATATCATACTTAGCCTGCGCTTATTGACTCTCCATCAAGGCAAAGAAATCGCAACATGGATCAATGAATACTGCATGATGTACAACAGCAATGAAAAGTACCGGAATATCTATTGGATGGGCCGGACGATCAAACCAACAGCAATCAAATGAGGGAGATTGAACTGCTCTCCCAGACTCCAGCAGGCGCATGAGAGGCAATGATGGTGGTGGTGGTGGAGGGGGGGGGGGCTCGAACGAATATTAGATTTAAAAGTACACAGTTAAGGGAAGCTTTCTTTCGAATTATATCAAAATGGTATGTAACTAAACATCCATCAAACGAATCGACCCATCCATCTCGTTATATTGGCATTTGAATGATCAGCTATGGATGGATTTATAGTGGATGCAGAAATGAGCACGAATTTTGTGGAGTTTTGGACACTGGATGAGAAGGGAGGAGGGCACAACACATCATGGCAGCACACACATACACATACATATATAACAGAGATGGAATGGGAAGAGGGCTATTGATACTCTATCTACAACACAGAAAAAAACCAACATTTTGTATATAGGCCGACGCTGCTGTCACTATCAGAACTCGCAAGTTCCTTACCAACCGTTTGCTCCAACGTAAGCAAATGGTCGTCGATGTTATCCATCCCGGACTCGCCAACGTCTCCAAGGATGAACTTCGTTCCAAGATTGGTAAGATGTACAAGGCCGATAAGGAGGTTGTCTCTGTCTTTGGTTTCAAGACTCACTTTGGTGGTGGAAAGACTACTGGTTTCGCCTTGATCTACGACAATGTCGAGTCCTTGAAGAAGTTTGAGCCCAAGCACCGTCTTGTCCGCATTGGTCTTGCTGAAGCTCCCAAGGGTGGCCGTAAGCAACGCAAGGAAAAGAAGAACCGCGAGAAGAAGTTCCGTGGTGTCAGAAAGTCCAAGAAGCCCAGAAAGGAGTAAACTGGTTGGCTTCTTTAGTTTGTATATTTGCATACGTCTTGGTATAACAATTTTAGTGTAGAAATCCAAAAATCAAAAATATAGTTAAACACATATACACACACACACACTTGTTTCTCTTGATGTGAATGATAGAATGTGCTTTTTATTTGTGGTGGATTTTTAAACTGAACCCTTTTTTTTTTTATCGATTTTATTGAACCTAGATCTGTATCAAACATTCTCCAGGATCCCATATATATAAAGCAGAGCATGTCTGTGTTTTCTTCTTGGTTGTCTTACTAATACCATGAAGTCAATTATTCTGCTCATTTCAAGCGCAATCACTGCTGCATATTGCTCGAAATTAGTGTCGATCCCATTTACAGCGGTAGATCGAAAAGGCATCAAAGCGGCGGGCTGGGGAAGGAAGAAACTAGGTGCTCTTGTGGATGTGCCATTAGAAAATGTCGATTTAGCGTACCTTATTGATATCGATATTGGTATGTGCTTGTAGCAAGTGTATTTATTTAAATTTAATGTGTCGCATGTGCACAGGTACACCTCCACAGCTGTTTACATTGCTCCTCGACACAGGTTCATCCAGTACGTGGGTGCCTATCCAGGGATGTGGTCGTTATTGCGGCTATCCCAAACATTCTTTAGCGCCTTCAAATTCCTCGACATTTACTACAGATAACTTGATATTCAGCATTCGATACGGCGAAGGATTCTCAAGAGGATACTATGCAAAAGACACAGTAACCATCAACGGCGTGTCTGTGCCTCAAGTTGTGAGTGGAATTTCCTGCAGAACGTTACACTAATAAGCTGACATCTATGATCCCAGAATTTTGCAGTGTCTGATTACAATGATGGTGATTTGACCATGGACGGAGCAGGTACAACTTTTGCAAGGTGTGCTTACGATGGACTATCATCTAATATAGCCTGACATAGACGGCATTTTTGCGCTTGGACCTGATTCTTTGAGTATATACAATAATCCTGAAAAGAAAGTGATTCCTACCTTTGTTACCACCATGTTTGAAGAAGGCATCATTGACAACAATGTGTTTTCGGTATACTTTCAACCACTGGATTATAATTTAATAGAACAGAAGCGAGTGAATGGTGAGATTGTGTTTGGTGGTGGTAAGTCTTGCTGTTGCTGCTGGGTTGATTAGATGTATGCTCATGTTAGTCTGAATAGTCAAGGAATCACACATTGTAGGCAATGTGAGCTATGTACCAACAACAAACCAAAGCGACTTTAAAGTGAGTATCTTTACTGTGATGTTTGGGTCTTTATTAACCAAGGCGCTAGGATTACTGGGCTGTCGATATTGATGCCATTACTGTTGGAAATGACACCACGACATATGACAGAAAAGTGGTTGGCATGGTAGATACTGGTAAGTATCGAATTTATCTGAGCAGCGCAAATAAGCTCATCTTGCCCGTACTGCAGGATCTACACTAGTATTTCTACCTCGAGATATCATCAGCCTTGTCTTCAAAGGTGTCAAGGGCCTTCGCAGAGACTTTTCAGGTCAGTATATTGTTCCTTGTCAGGCAGAGAATCTGCCCAACATCACCATTACCATGAATGGCAAGGACTATAGCATTACGCCAGAGAATTATGTGATCAAAGGCGGCCTTGTAAGTCAAGTCAAGTGTGTATTCATGCAAATGTGCTAATTCAATACATAGCTCACCCTTTCGGCCGAGAACTGCTACACTTATTTGCAAGAGAGCCCACCCTTTGTCGATGCTATTCTGGGCTACGGCTTCCTCCAGCAGTACGTTTCAGTGTATGACAATGAGAACAAGCGCATTGGATTTGCGGACAGAGCGTCAATAGAGTGAAAATGTACATTGTTACAAATAAACAGTGGCTGTACTACTTGCCTGTGTTCCATAATGGTATTTTAATTTGTAACGTCATAAAAAAACCCAAAAAGCACCTTCCTTTCATTCTCTTTCTCTGCTTTATTGTCTAGTATAAACGCGTATGGGAACAACTAAGAAACGACCAACATCAAAACGGAACAATTCTCGACAAGCTGCACTTTCGTTTCTCACCAATATTACTCTGGGAAGCGAGCATGAAGTGCCTAAATTAGCATCACCTACGACCCTGAATTACTCTGATCATGATACCGCACCAAAGAACCCCAACTTGACTCGATACGGCACTCTATCAGTGGCTCCAACACCCGTCAAAATGTATCCATTAGAGTCGTCAGACTCCAACTCGACCATGGAGGAGAACACTCCCATTACTCTCACTGTCAATACCAGCAGAAACTTTACGCCCATTGAGAGAAGAAGGTGCCGACGAGCTTCCACATCTGACAACTTTTATCATCGCCGTCTGTCCAGCAGTGATAGCAATACATCTTCATCAGAAATTGTGCAGCACAAACTAACGAGAGAAGATAGCGAGCGCCCCATTGCATCCGAGAAAATTAAAAGACGATCAGACCATCAAGCAACAAGCAATGTAAGAGTATGTCTATAGTTCCTTTTCCTGAATCTGGCACTAAATGCTGATTGTATATAGTCTGAAACAACAGCATCCATGAGTTTTATGTCTGTATTCCGCTACTACAAAGGGATCATCAGACAGCCACGACGAAAGGCAGATTTGCATTACTATCATCGGCACTATCCCAGTTACTTTCACCAGCATTTATCCAGCATGAACGCAAAGCACAGAAAAGGCATCTCCTATGGCCATTTTCTACTGCATGCCAGCGAGGGCGAAGACGAGGACGACGAGGACGACGAGGAGACTGCCGAAGACAGCGCTCAAAGTGAGGTCTTGCCTCAGCTGCAAAAACTGGTCTACGATCCGTACTATATCAACGATGATTTACGCCTATTACAGCAAACAAATATGTTGCCTCAGGTATTTGTTTCTCTGTAAACAATAGTGTGAATTGATATAAACACAGGATGGTGTATTTAGAGTTCTGGTGCTAGCATCACGCGATCATCACCTCCTCTAAGCAAACAGAAATCAAATGAGCTATTCCAGCAGTCGCACCCAGACGTTCAAATCACATTGTCAAAAATCAATGCCATCAAGACCCATTTACTCAATATCGGAAAGCAAGTCGATTTGGAAATATCTAGTATTGCCCACGCTTTTGTTTATTTCGAGAAACTGATACAAAAGCAGATTGTCACCAAGCAAAACCGTAAACTTTTAGGTGGTATAGTGTTTGTTTGCATGAATGAACATACGCTCGTCTACTAAGCTTGTATTCTCAACTGTAGCTTGCTGTCTGTTCTTGGCTATCAAAGTCAATGAACCAAAGGGACTTAAATTCGATACTTTGTTAGAGGTAAATGCGCTGCTTTCAATCATGTCTTGGAACATTCACTCATCCTGCAGTGTAGGCAATTTCAGCAGAGCTGTACGTCAATTCCAAAGACATTCGAAGCCATGAGTTTGCCGTGTTTGCAGACCTGGAATTTAACCTGTATGTCCCTGAGAGAGAGTTTATGCCACACTTTGATAGTATCGTTCAAACTTGGAGTAAGTATACCGAGACTTTTGGCTGATTGATAGTGCGATACTTGGGTTTTAACATGGTAGCCCATAGAAATTCAGTGTATCGAGGATTACCTCGGCCCAGTCCCCTTTTACATGTTTACAGCCAACGAATAAGGTGAACATCTTACCCACTCTTATACATATCACGACGCACTTGTGGACAAATCAGAAAATCAACCTTCTTTATACCTATACCGACTTTTACATATTATTCACATCTATCTCTTAGTACTAAAAGTGTACCTACCATGTATACACATACTCTCGCATAACCCCCTTATTCATTTTGCCATACATTATATTATACAATGCCTTAGTAAAACCAACACTCATAGTGGCTCTCTTTTGAGGGCACCATATTTGTATCATTGCATTTCCTATGCATACTATCCTCTACCACATGAGTGCCATTCAAAGCTCACTTGTAACCATAGATTGGACCTTTTTACAATGCTCCGTGTATGTATCAACGGAAGCAATTCATATCAGGACAGACATCTTACTTGCATCGCGTCTTACTACGCACAAATATCCAAATCACAGTGAAATTTGGATACATTTGAGCTGTAATGTCTCACGTTAGAAGCTATTTTAGACCGCACTTACTTCCTGGCACCTTTACTCGACTTTTTTTTTGGGTCGTCAAAAAGTGACAAAAAAACCATGAGGGGTACCTCATGCTTTTCATCGAAAATTAAACGATCGTGTTTTTAACATCCAAAATGAAGACTTTTACTATGACATATATTGAATCAAAATGTTCCTTTTGATCCAAGGCACCCCTTAAAACGTTGTGAGACTTTTAGATATACTTTCTCGACATTTTGGCCAAAAACATCATTTCATATTTTCAATATTTGCTCAGTAATGTAACTCACACCACCCTTTTTAATTAGTACCAATGGATACGCCTCGAAAAGCACTCCAAGAAAGCTTAAGGAAGTATGGATGTTCATCACGACTTTCATAGTCGAAATTGGCAAAATATTATTTTTTTGTAGGGGAGACGAGCTCCAGGTTGAATTGGCAAAATAGTTTAACCGTTTTTATTTTTGACCATAAAATTGCCATTTCAAGTAAAAACAAAAGATCAAAGTTTTAACGATTTTAGCTGGCAAAATCAATGCCATGTTCATCAGGGAGATGTCCTAAACTCGTAGAGCTAAACAAAGAGGAAATTGCGAATTGAAAAAGTACCAGAGCTTAGCCTGGCTGCAATCGTTGCCACTGATTGGGGCCAGTGACCTATTGTTCAGAGGGGTATTCGTTATCCAGTGGATCTATTGTATGAATTTTATTGATCCGAAAGAATCCGACCACAATATGGTAGCAAAACCCCAACTCATGGAATTGATAATGTACAAGTGATGATGCTTTAATTTTAGATGTAATTCAATTTCTAGAGAAAATATACAATGTGAATATCGTTTAAATCAAACCCTTGGCAACAGCAATTTCAGCATTGAGCACGGAAGAACCAGCAGCACCGAGAACAGTGTTATGAACCAAGAGAACAAACTTGATATCCAAAACAGGGCATTTACGAACACGACCAACAGTGACAGCTTGGCCCTTCAAGTTTTCACGGTCAAGACGAGGTTGAGGTCTATCAGCATCATAGGTAACAACAATAGGCTTTTGAGGAGCAGAGTGACAACCCATCTTTTCAGCATCAGAGGTATACTTTTCAAGGACCTCATACACTTGCTCAACAGAAGGAGCACCATTGGCAAACTTGACAGAGACAGATTCAAGATGGCCATCCAACACAGGTACACGAGTACAAGTAGCAGAGACAGTGGTTTCGGGCAAATGAATCAAAGATTCCTTGTCAGAAGCCAAATCACCCAAAATCTTTCCAACTTCCCATTCCATCTTTTCTTCTTCGCCACCAATATGAGGCACGACATTATCCAAAATATCTAAACTGGGAACACCTGGATAACCAGCACCACTGATGGCTTGTTGGGTGTTGACGAGGATATGGCTCATGGGTCCAAAAGCATCTTGCAAAGCCTTCAAAGGCACAACCAAACCAGTGGTTGAACAGTTGGCATTGGTGATCAAAAAACCCTTGCTGAGGTTGTTAAGTTTGCGTTGGTGAGCAATCAAATCGAAATGATCAGAGTTGACGGTAGGCACAATCAAAGGTACACTGGGATCACGACGATAGTTCTTTGCATTGGAAAAGACGGCAATGTTTTGCTTCAACATGGCCATTTCTATATATCGCATAACCTGTCAATCTCAACATGTCCTTGATCACATGGACTCAAAAACTTACCAATGTCACCAGCAACGTCAGCATCAAGACCAGAAAAGACAACATCACAATCCTTGAAAAGTTCGGCATCACAAGACTTGACAGTGATTTGAGCAACGTTCTCGGGAATAGGACGAGATTGCTTCCAACGGACAGCATCCTTGTAAGCCTTACCAGCAGAGCGAGATGAAGCACCAAGAGCATGAATGGTAAAGATGGGATGCTCAGCTAACAAGAGAATAAAACGTTGTCCAACGGTACCAGTGGCACCGAGAATACCGACTTTTTTTGTGGGAGCCATTGCCTTTAATTTAATATAAAGAAAAGAAGAAGGATGTTTGATTTGAAGGGTTTTTTTTCTTAAATACGGGTTGTTGGTGTGGTTAGCTGTTTTCATTGGCTTATTGTGACTCATCATTAAACAAAATGTAGAGAAATCTGATTGAATTGATCCAGCATCTAACACCTTCAAGGCTGCTGGTGAATTAAGACACCCAATATGGAATCAATGTGCAAAGATTACTCACATTTGGTTTTGTATTACATGCAAAAAAAAAAAACAGCCTTCGTAGATTGCTGATTCCATCTTTCTCATCTGCATCAACATCAATGTCAAGGTGGATGTTTAACAGATCAGCAAAAGCTTAGCTTAAATCAACGTATATGGATGTGATCCAATCATTCATCATATGTAAAGTGTCAAGTATACAGCATGTTTGTGGTGGTCATCTCTAAATCACCAGTTTCAAGAATTGATAAGCAGCATACATCCCTTACAAGTAAAAAAAAAAAAAAAAAAAAAAAAAAAAAAAAAAAAAAAAAAAGGCATACTGGACTTTATCCATGATTTGGACCCTGAAAAGGCTTCCTTCCCTCATTGTTTACCCAATATCCAGATCAAAATGAAATTTCCGGCGAATAATTCGATTGAAATTCCATTGATTAACTTTTATATGTTGAATGCAACAATGATGACAGCGTAAAGAGACTTTCAACCATGCTAGTACGTACATAAAGATTGCTTTAGCATGTACATGTTTTGCGCATTTATTGAAGGCTCGCTTCGGTATGTTGTTGTCAAATAATCAAATATCTGCTGCTGGAATGCTTTCCAAATGCCGCCATGATTCAGTTACATGCACATTGGATGACCACTGACTGTATTGAATACAGAAATTCATGGCACAGTCCATAAAGAAATAATGATAAATATTAATAATAATAATAAAAAACATTAGATTGCTATATAAAAACTGAATTCATCATCATACATACTCTATTTTTTTTTCCTCTCGTTCTTTATCTTTTTTCAAACACCAATACATAAAAAAAAAAATGGGAATCAGTACAACCATGAGATCAACCAGCGAGAGAGCTGAGCATTTACTGGGATTGCTAGGCTCACCTATCAAACCACATTTGCCTGCAGTGAGTAGGTTTCTCGTTGTAGCTACATTTTACGAGGACTCTATCCGTATCATGCATCAATGGCCAGATCAGGTTCGCTATCTGGAGAAAGTTCGTCATTTTCCAGGTTATACAGCATCGATATTCTTGGGGTTCAACGCAGTGGTAACGTATTGCAGCAGTTTGATGACGGGATGAATCACTCTAATACAAATGGAATGATAGTCTATGCTTTTATTTGCTTCTTGTATCATCTTGAAGCGCCAAGTTGGACCGTCAGTAGCTGTGCTGGCTTCAGTCATTATTAGTCAGGCCATTGCCTATGGTTTGGTGTTTGATCTGGTGAGTAATACTATGCGATCAGCCTATCTCGACCCTGTATTCACCTGTACGTATACATAGATGTTCTTTTTGCGCAACTTATCCGTAACGGGTGGTCTCTTATTATGTATGTCTGAATCATTGCTGCGAAAGAAATCGAGAAACAAGCACAGCAGTATGTTTGCATCGCTTCCACAATTAACAGTAAGTGAGAGAGACAAGTACTTCCAACTTGCTGGTCGCATACTGTTGGTATTGCTCTTCCTGGGGTTCATCTTGAATGGAGAATGGAACTACTTGCGAATGGCAGTTTCGTTTGTTGGATTGGCAGCTTGTGGAATGGTAGTGGTAGGCTTCAGAGCAAAATGGTCGGCTACATTTTTGGTTTCATTGCTCTGTATCATCAATATGTTGGTCAATAACTGGTGGTCTACTAGCCATTCAAATTACAAGCGAGATTTCTTACGTTACGACTTTTTCCAATGCCTAAGCATCATGGGTGGATTATTACTATTGGTGTCCATTGGGCCTGGAGGTCTTAGCTATGATGAGAAGAAAAAGGAATTCTAGATTCCCTAGACTTGTTTGAGCATCTCCTTATAATACTGTCATTTTATCTTAAATATCACTCATTTATATATATTCATAACGCCTCCTCATTAAAACTTATACATTGCGATGCCTCTCGTGCCAAGCGAAATGTGCCTGTATGTATTTGCATCATGAAAGCTGATACTTGAAACGCATCATCAAATGATGATGGGGGTATTTATTTGATCTTTGATAGTTTCTTGTTGCCAAAGGCCAGTTTTGTTTGGGTGTTATCGACCTGTATATCAAGGCTCTCCAGGACGTCGATTTGGTTCTCTAGCTCATGGTTGATGGCTACTCCCAGCTCCTTTTGACGTCCAAGCAATTGACTAAATTGCTCAATATGGAGATCTTGATCCTTCATCACTTGTGTCTGGTAGTTTAACAGCTCTTGATTATCCAAACCTTTGGTAAACTCTGTCTCTTGCAGTTTTTGTTGTTGCTGTTGTTTCAACAAGGCAGACCCAAATGCTCTTCCACCGCCTGCCTTAGTGTTGTGGCCTGTCGTAGCAGCTCTCCTTACATTTTGCTGCTGATCAAACCCAATATCACCGTAATTGTTAGTGTTGTTGTTGTCTCGTCTAATAGCAGCGGCCGATGCAGCAGTTGTTACAGGCTTCTTCTTTGCTGATTTCGTCAAATCTTGTCGTGTAGCGTTGACCAGCTGTATCAGCACATCCTTCTCCACCTTGAGACTATTTAGTTTGTCTTCTCTTCTCCTTGCCTCACCATCAGCGACAAATTGATCTTGGTTGTCATGGAGACTGGCCTCCAAGATGGAAAGACGTGCGTTAAGCGTCATCAGCCCCTTTTTAGCTTTTACTTCACATTGCATTGCATCCGAAACCTCTTGCTGACTCGTGTGTGCATTTCGGCTGTTGATCAGAGATCTAATTTCCCTGGAAAGTGTGAGCAAATCACCGTATTCATCCAGCCAAGATCCAAATGTAACAATGGGCTCTTTGGCCCTGGCGGGCGAGGAAGAGGGTGAGGTTGCTGTTGTGTTGTTCTGCTCGGGTAATGCAAGAAAATCGTTCCAAATGTCCGTTTTACGCCACCGATCATCACGACAGCTTAACAGTGTTCTGAGGTAATCTTCCAGTCCTTGGCGACGGTCCTCGACTCTATCAGAAGAGTGGAAGGTGGGCGGAAATATGCGCTTGTGCGGCAGATGAGCTGGTAGAGAGACGTCAGGAAATGTGTGAGTGAGCTGCTCGTGGAGCTTAGTAAAATCAGAATATCGCTTCCAAATGTGCCATTGACGAACTGCTGCTTGGATGTCGATGCGATAAGCAGTGTATGCCTTTGGATCGTGTCTTGTTTCTGTTTGCTTGATAAAGATGGATTGAATATTGTTTGCCATTTTGTGCTTGAATCAAGAGAGAGAAAGAGGAAACCCACAAAAAAAAGGGGGAATTAGAGTTCTTATAGCTTTTAGCAATACACAAATACGCAGGAAAAGAAGGATACACAACGTCATGTTACTCTTTTATTGTCATCTATTTAGCAACCAACCATGAACTTTCTACGGATGACTTCCCCTTCTTCCTCTTGCTCTTTGCTTGGAAATAGTTTATAGGGGTTCATGATCTGATTGGGATCAAACAAATCCTTGATTTTACGCATAGAGTCGATCATGGTCGCTGATTTGGAGAATGCGAGATAAGGTGCCTTCATCAAACCAACACCATGTTCGCCACTCATGCTTCCTTGGTATCTTGCTGTCCATTCATATACAAAGCGATCAATCCTCTCAGTCAGCTTTTGGTCATCACGCATCGCTGGGATTGTCAAATGAAGATTACCGTCTCCCACGTGGCCATAGCCGTAGATTGCCAGGATATCGTTGGGAATCAATCCCTCGGCTGTAGCCCAGGCACGGGTTTCTTCTACCAGTGTATACAATAGTGGCAGGGGTAGGGAGATGTCAAAGTGAATGGAGGATGGACCGGTCTGAACAATAGCCCTAGGCAACTTGGTTCGCCATGACCAGAATCTAGCTCTATCAGCTGCAGTTCGAGCGACAGCACCGTCTTTGATCAGCTTTTGTTCATACAACAAAGCCAAAAAATCGTCCGCCTTCTGATCCTCGAATCGAGCTTCTTTTCCAGCAGTTTCAATCACAACGTAGACATGGTGGTTATCTTGGATAGGGAACGGCGTGCCAGCAGGTTCTTGATAGTTTTGCTGGCGGACGACATTGACAGAATCGTTGTCGAATACCTCAAATGCAGACAATGTTTCGGGCAATTCCTTTTTGGCCAATGCGTAGGTTTGAACAACGTCTTCAAACTTCTCAAATCCCAGTAGAAACACATTGACACCGTGTCGGATACGAGCAGTGGTGATAGAGATGCCTGTCACCAGACCCAACGTACCTTCAGAGCCAATGAACAAGTTCTTGAGATGATAGCCGGTATTGTCCTTTTTCAATGTGCTCAGATTGTCCAAAATGGTGCCATCAGGTAAAACGACTTCCAAGCCCATGACGCTGCCATGCAAATTGCCAAATCGCATTTGACGGATACCGCCTGCATTGGTAGCAATGTTGCCTCCAATGCGACACATATGACGAGCAGGCAAATCCAGAGGAATCTGATATCCTCTTTCCACCAGGTAGTTATCCAGGTCTTGCAAGACACATCCAGCCTCGCACACGAGATCACCACGCAACGGATCAAAGCTGCGAATCTTGTTCAACTTGTGTGTGCTCACAATGATTTCATCAAACACAGGAACAGAGCCACCAGCCGCACTTGTATTACCAGACTGTGGTACAACGGCTAAACGTCGTTCATTGCAGTGTTTGAGAATTTGAGCTACTTGTAGGGTGGTTTCAGGTAGCAAAATGACGGCAGGATTGGCACGAAAGACGTTATACCAATCTGTAGTGTATTTCAGGTAGAGGTCTTCAGGACAAGTGTTCTTTTCTAGCACGGATGTGGGAGGCAGGATGCTCTTGAAATACTTGACATCATCCTCTGTAATCTGTTGTTGTGAATACTGTAGGTTAGTCCTCTTTCCAAATGTTTGTATAAGTTTAGAGTATATCTGTACCTTTCCAAACGTAGGATTACGATGCACTCTATCGAGCTTATCAGCAGTGAGCTCTGTTACTTTGAATCCTCCGTGTGACATGGCTCGTAGTAGTAGTCTAATGAGATAAAGATGATGGTTTCTTTCTTTTTCAATGCGAGTTTATATAAGGAACATCTCAAACATGTACATGGAAAGAGTCACTCCGGTTATCTCGTCTTGACATCTAAGATGGAATACAATCTTGGATCTCTGGCTAAAACATCGCATGATTTCAGCAATTTTAAGGCTATAAAAGCCAAGGGGATCTTTTTGTTGCCAACTCATTTTTCACCTTCTTTGACGCCCTTGGTGAACAGTGTATGCATAAATCTCTGTACAACCTTCTAAATCGATTGATAACAAAACCCAATCATGGATGAAGTGTGTAAACGTCCTTAAAGGGATGTTCATTAATAAACGGCTTTATTCAGAGTATCTACGGTTATTTGATGATTTCTAATGCTGCTGCTGCGAGCAACATTGCTGCGAAATGCTGCTGCTCTCGACGGCTGATTGCTCAATTAACCCATGTTACTATCAATTACCATTCTCATTTATGATTGGTGTCTTGGCTGTATACATATCATGGTCACATCCACTAGACACGAATCAAAAAAAAGCTATAAATAGGGTCTCTAATCGCAAAACCAAACGAAAATTTTTATTCTTTCACTTCTTTATCCGCTTTTCGACACTTTTTCTTATATTATTATATATTTTTTCGACCGCAAAAACCATCCCTCAAGACAAAATATATAGTAATTGAAGAATAAGAAAGAATGTCTGGTTTCAATATCGCAACACCCTCCATGACCACACCTGCTATGCAGACGCCTAGCATCCCTACTCCTCTGCACAACTCGTCTACACCATTTGCTTTGCCATCTACACCTGCTCCTCTGGATGCTCCCACTCCTAGCAGAGACGCTAATCCCTATTCTGTAGCTGGTATCACCCCTACCTTGCAGTAAGTTTAATTGATCTGTTCCCTTATTGTGGCATTTCATTTAATCAGTGTATGTGTGATTCTACAGAAACATTGTTGCCACTGTGAATTTGGATTGTCGTTTGGATCTCAAAACAATTGCTCTTCATGCTCGCAATGCAGAGTACAATCCAAAGGTAACATTTTTGAATGATGGAGGTGCTTTGGGAGGGTTGAATCAATATGAGGCTGGCATAACCATGTCATGCTGATCGTTCTCTCTCAAAATTCTCTTTCATTGTGGGATCAGGAATCAAGAAAGATCAATGAAATTAAAACTTCATCTTCTTTGTAGCGTTTCGCAGCTGTCATCATGCGTATCCGTGATCCAAAGACAACTGCATTGATCTTTGCTTCTGGTAAAATGGTGGTCACTGGCGCTAAATCAGAGGATGATTCAAAGCTGGCTGCTCGCAAGTACGCTCGAATCATTCAAAAGTTGGGATTCCAAGCCAAGTTCACTGACTTTAAGATTCAAAACATTGTTGGCTCTTGCGATGTCAAATTTCCAATTCGTCTTGAGGGTTTGGCTTACTCTCACGGTCATTTCAGCTCTGTAAGTTTTGATTGTTCTTTTTTTTTGGATTTACGTGTTTGATACTCATGTCGCGTTTTTTTCTATACATAGTATGAGCCTGAATTGTTCCCTGGCCTTATCTATCGTATGGTGAAGCCCAAAATTGTATTATTGATCTTTGTATCTGGCAAAATCGTGTTAACTGGTGCCAAAGTTCGCGAAGAAATCTATCAAGCCTTCCAAGCTATATATCCCGTCCTTACTGAATTCAGAAAACCCTAAAATGTACAAAAGAAAATCTCTTCTCTTCCCTTGAAATCTCACAAAAAAATAACGTATAAAAAAATCTCACCTAGCTACTCTCGCAACCCTCCCCTATTAACAATCCATTCTTTTCAGCAACCTACTACTATTATTATTATTCGCTTGAAGCCATCACACTTGCAGAAAGAAGCATCGTTACATGTACAAATCACTATTACATCTTGTTAAATAAATAATCTTCATTTTTTTTTTTTTTTTTTTTTTTTTTTCATTTGAAATTGGGCATTGAGCTTTTTCTAATCCACGCGACTAATTTGAGTATGAATAGAAGCGGCATTGATCTGCGCAACGATGAGATTAGCTCTGTGTATGGATGGCAACAACAACAACAACAGTAGCTTGCCATCCCAATTTTGCAGCAATCGGGACAACATCACTCTTTCTTGCGACACTTGAAAGCGAAAAATCCTTCCAGATCTTCCATTTTTCCTATGCTTCCATTGCACAAGTGTAGTGGATCTATAAATTCAACACTATGGAAAAAATTTTCGATTTCTTTTTCTCTATTTTCTTGGGCATTTTAAACATGGATCATTCAGAGAGAATTGACAATGACAAGGAAACTATTCAGACTGTGGAGCAAATAAATGCAGCAACTGAAAAGGTGCCTGTCAAAAAGACATTAAAAGATCGCACTGCATTCTTGAAGGATCCAAGATTCTACAAGGTCTTGGTTTTGGGTCAATGTAAGATCACTATTTATGCTTGTATATATATATATATATAAACATTTAGCTGATAAAACATCATCCCCAGTGCTTTCATTGTGTATCACAGGAACAAATGTTACAACTACAAAGCTTGGTGTGTCTTATAACTTTGCAGCTCCCACTACACAAACCTTTCTTGTCTAGTAAGTCTACATTTTTGTCCTTGCATGGTCCAATGCTAGCATTTAACAAATAAACAGTGCAACATTAGCCATCGTATACAACAGCTATGCTATCTACAAGCGCGGTATTCGTGGCTGGTTGCTTCAGTTTAGACGTAGAGGCATTTACTACTTTATTCTCGGTGCTATCGATGTGGAAGGCAACTATTTTGTTGTGAAAGCATATCAGTACACATCTCTGCTATCTGCCATGTTGTTGAATTGCTGGAGCACGCCTGTGTGCATGATTCTGTCATTCGTCATTATGAAAGTTCGCTATCGCTGGTTGCAATATGTGGGTGTACTCATTGCTCTTGGTGGTATGGGCATGCTCATTGTCAGTGACATGATGGAGGGTAAAGATTATGCTGCTAGTGATGCTGTCAAGGGAGATTTGTTCTGTCTTTTGGGTGCTACACTGTATGGCTTTTCTAATGTTGGAGAAGAACTCATGGCTCGCAAACATCCATTGTATGAAGTTATTGGCATGTTTACATTCTTTGCTACGTTTATCAATTTTGTTCAGTTGATGATTTTGGAGAGAAACGAGTTTAGTACCTTTGCTAGCAATCCTGAGGCTGTCGGCATGGTGATTGTGTACACTGTGTGTATGTTTATCTTGTACTCTCTGGCTCCAGTCATGTTCCGTTTGGGTAGTGCCGTCTTGTACAACTTGTCTTTATTGACAGCCAACTTCTACGGCTTAATCTTTGGCATTGGCTTGTTTGGCTATCACATCACAATCATGTATCCATTCGCATACGTTGTCATCATCTTGGGTATCGCTATTTACCACATCTTCCCTACTCCGGAACCAGCTATTGGATCATTTGACAAGGAAACTGCCAAGAAAGAACATATCGAGCTGATGCAAGGGCGACAAAAGAACAACAGTGACGATTTGGAACAGCAACAACAACAACAACATCAACAAGACGTATCAGAGGTAGTTGCCGTTCACAATGAGTCACCCACAGAGGAAGCAACGCCTGTTGTTATTGCAAAATAGTCGCCCACATCTACAACACAAATGATCAAGCGCAAGATTGCCAATGTGTACAGGAACGCAATTTTTTTTTATATCACTTTCACATTATCATTGATTAGATCTACATTGGTAATCTTGTGCTTGCTCTTCATCGACAACAACAACAGAGATTGTTATATTTACTAACTTATTACCGGTGGACACTTTACGTCTTTTGGTCCACCTGTAAATAAAAAAGACGTTCCTGATCTACATTCATAACCTGGTTTGAAGATCTATCAGTTGCTCCAAGTGTATGTACCTTACAGGTACGACCCTGAAGCACTGGGCCTACTAGTAGATCATGTATGCTTTTGAGGTGGTTCATGTATCCAGACATAATTGAGCAAGTAACCCTTCAATGCAACTTTTCTGTTGTGTTGTTAAAGGTCCTGTTGTATCTGCGAGATTTAGCTTTTGCTGCTGGTATTGTGCGCATATGCGCAGGTTAAACGGAGATTCAATTTCCACTGTGCTGAATGAGGATCCATGAGTTTCCGAAATCTATCACCTTCAAAAGTACTTGATTCTTGATAGTAAACACCCCTTCAAACTTATATGAAACTTGTAGAGAATTTAAAGAAAAATACAATGGTGTTTATATCAAGTGTTTGCTGTACATTGTTCAGCTGATATTTAACAAGTTAAACTTTGCGACGTTTTCACTGTTTTCTAGAGATTAATCAGTAACTGCCATCAAAACATTTTGTTAAGCATTACTAAACATTGTAGACCAAAAAAATTCCTATCGAATGAGCTTTTGCTCGAAGCTCTGGCATAACTCTATCATGAAATATTGTCAATATTGTCCTGACCAAAAAATCGTCACCAGATTTTTTCCTTGCTACCACAGGCAGATATTGATCAAAAATCGATGATTTTGCACGATACTCTTTTTTGGCCATATCTCGACAAATACTCATTGAATTTTTACAAACCAAAAACAATTCGATAGCTCTACGTTAAATTCATCATCATGTGAGAATTGAAAGTACTAAGTTTACTTTTCCTCTATGAATTCGCTCAAAGCCTTATATTTCATGAGCTACAAGCAGGGAGAAGGTTTGTTATCTAATCTGTTTTTATAGGCTTACTCTCCCAATACCACATTTCTCCCAAAATGCTTATGAAGATCTGTGCATTTACTATAGAATAAGGCATCAAAGATGCTAGATGATTTTGAGAACCTTTTCTCGGACATTTTGTGTCCACACAGACGTATTCGAATTGCCTCTTTCAAATTAGCCGAATTCTTCAGGCCAAACATGTCATACCTACTTCTAACTACAGAAAGCAGCAACATGCCATAAATTATACAATGAAAAATGTAGCAAACATAGCATGATGGTTCAGCCATGCGCACACATGTTATTTGGGCTTTTAAACACAATTTCATTGAACGTTTCTTCCCCGCATTCAACGGCATCTGAAGAAGACCCTCATTACGTAACATTCCATTTTCTTGAGTAACAAGCTAACCCTGAATAATCTGATAGAGTTTATATGTGCAAGATCTGGCATTACTTGAGGGTGGTAAAAGTCGGCTGTCCAGCTTCAGGATTATACATTTGCATTGAATTTTGTGAGCCTTGATGAAAGACACATGATAGGATGTGAAGGTGATTTTGTCGAGCACTGGCAATGTTTACATTATAATTGACATTTCGGTTAAATGATCATGAGGGATGATTACCCTTTTGGATGATGATGTATCTTATCATTTCGTATACTATTCAAGGTATGAATGCTAATCCACATTTCCAATGTATTAAAGCTGGATCTGCATACTATGTCAGTATATACAGCCTTCTAGTCGAGACTCTGTATTCAGGATCTAGGTGGAAATCTAGAATACACTCTCATTAGCTCGTTTCCCTTCCCGGTCGTCCATGATTGTATTATCATTTTGGAAGAAAACAAGGCTACCCCGGGGTATTAAAGAAAAAAAATTATTTTAAAATTCCAGTTGTTACCCGTCCAGTTAAATTGGTATCTCTTTTCTTCCTCCTTCCCCTCTCCACTTTTTTTTTTTTTATATAAACAAAAATGCTTCTCAAGGCCATCGCTAGACCCGCTGCTTTCAACAACGTTAAGCAGGTTTGTTTGAGTGTGTATTCCTTGGCTTGGGTCTTGTACTCACATGTAAATGTAGGTTGCTACCCGTTCATTCGCTTCTCAAACTAGCACCACCATCCCTACCCCTGCTCCTGCTGAGCAAAAGACCGTAAGTATACATGACATGTAACTCGCTTCCAAGAGAAATACTCAGTGTGCTCTCATCTAGATCTTCCCTAAGAAGTATGGAGGTATGTACAACATGTCTTGGTATTAAAGCGTATTTTTATTAACATGTACTAGGCAAATTCACTGTTACGTGCGTAATTAACAATGCCATCTTTATTGCCTTTGTACATGTTATACTAACTTTCCAATAGCATGATCCCTGGTGATGGTATCGGTCAAGAAATTGCCATGTCCGTCAAGGATGTCTTCAAGGCCGCCAATGTTCCTGTTGAATTTGAGCAATACGATGTCTCTGGTTTGACCTCTGAGGATGACAAGCTCTACCAAGAATCCATCGAGTCTCTCCGTCGTAACAAGGTTGGTATCAAGGGTACTCTTTTCACTCCTACCTCCAAGCTCGGTCACAAGTCCTTCAACGTTACCATGCGTAAGGAACTCGATATGTATGCCTCTCTTTCTCTCTGCAAGAACGTCCCCGGTGTTGAATCTCGTTTGAGCAACGTTGACATTGCCATTATCCGTGAAAACACTGAAGGTGAATACTCTGGTTTGGAACATCAAGTAAGTAGTATGGATCGGGATTTTGAATGGAGCATGGTATTTACCCCGCATTTTCTCAGTCTGTCCCTGGTGTTGTTGAATCTCTCAAGATCATTACCCGTGCAAAGACTGAGCGTATTGCTCGTTTCGCTTTTGACTTTGCCGTCAAGAACAACCGTAAGAAGGTCACAATTATTCACAAGGCCAATATCATGTATGTTTTTGATTCATGTTAGAGTGACAGAGAGAGAGAGAGAGAATATCAGAAAGACTAAAGTATTGAATTTATAGGAAATTGGCTGATGGTCTCTTCTTGCGTACCTGTCGTGATGTCGCCAAGGAGTATGCTCACCACAACATTGAAGTCAATGACATGATTGTCGATAACACTGCTATGCAACTCGTCTCTCGTCCTCAACAATTCGATGTTATGGTCATGCCCAACTTGTACGGTAACATTGTCTCCAATGTCGTAAGTATACTAACAGTAGGAAGGTTGGCAGAGTCAGCTTTACTAATGAATCTATAATTAAGGGTGCTGGTTTGATCGGTGGTCCTGGTTTGATCCCTGGTTGTAACATTGGCCGCGAGTTTGCCATGTTCGAGCCTGTAAGTAGTAATAAAGATCGATAGACAAAAGAGTGAGTCATTGAAATGTATTGAATAGGGTTGTCGTCATGTTGCTCTTGATATCCAAAACCAAAACAGTGCTAACCCCACTGCCATGCTCCTCTCTTCCGTCATGATGTTGAGACACTTGAACTTGGATGAACATGCCAACAGAATCTCCTCCGCTGTTTATGAGACAATCAACACTGGTAAGGCCAGAACTGTTGATATTGGCGGTACCAGCACAACCAAGGAGTTCACCTCTGCCGTTATCGCTCAATTGTAAATACTTTTCGCGATACTAGGCAATGATTTGATTATATAAAAAAAAAAGCCCCCCCAATAAAAAGAAGCTACAGAGTCTGATTACACTATTCGAGAGAGCATGCTTATAGGGACACATTGACTGTCGGATGCACTTTATAGATTATCGCTCAATGTTTACGAATAATAACATTGGTTGCTATCGAAAAAATGTTAGCTCTAGTATTCGCTAATGTAATCAGATCATGATGGCCTGCAAAGATTTTCAAATTCTAGAGCCTATTATGAGATTTTGTATTGTAACCTCATCGTATCTCGCAATCCTCACTCTACTGTTTAACAAAAAAGAGTAGTTTATTAGAATGCAAATTAATAGATGTATATGTAATTTTATGTGGAAGAGGACGTAGAGGTGGAAGAGGAGGATGAGAGAACCCAATAGTGGCTGTTTGTAACACTATTTGTAGTACAATCATTATCAGATTCATTGCTAATAGCGGAATCACTGAATTCTGGAAATGAGATGTAGCTTTTCTGAAATTCTGATAACTGATCCAAGCAAAGGTTTGGGTCATTGAGTAAATCCACGTTGTTTGAGCTGTTGTCGTCAGTGTTGTCTTGCAAAGATGCTCGTCTTCGTAAAACTACTTCCTTGATAAAACCTGCACAGATATCAGACCAGTTGCTGTTGATATTGATACCACCATCAGCATCGATTTTTCTGCTGCTTTGGCTGCTGGATATGCTGCTTTTGCGCTTCAAAAACATTTCAAATCGGTTCTTCTTGGGGATATACATTGTTAAAGGAGTGTGTATGAGAGATTTAACGAAAGGAAGGGAATGACGCTCAGAGCAAAGACGGGAACGAAAAGAAAATACAGAAAAATGTTACATTAGGTTGCATATATATATATATATATATGACTTTGAGAGGAATGAAGGCATTTGATCCTTTTTACGGTATAGAATACCCCTTGCGTTTCTATCTGTTGAATTCTTTGTTTACATCCAATGTTTAAAATCCACTTCTTAACATATAATATCATGACTAGTGAGTTTTCAGATTCTCTGCCTTTGTTTATTGGAGTCTAGATTTGTGGCACTTAACAGCAACATGTATATGTGCGCATAGATCGATGATTTTTTTGTTCCTCAACGCGCTCATTCGATAAGCTCACAATGCGCTAATGAAAGAGTTTCAAAAGCATACATTTCTTATATCCCCCTTCTCAAAGGTATAATCTCACCAAATTGTACGTCATTTGCTATATTGTTTGGTTTCATTACCGACTTCTTATCAACAATTGAACCGAATTACGATTTTCTGTCATGAGCAACAGACGCACGCCCCTTCGCATCACGGTAAAACACATAATTTTCTCTTCTCAAACGCAAAATTTTTAAGAATTTCATTGAATGATATTGTATAATTTCGTGAGTTTCTGTTTCTCCCTCTCTCGTCTTCTGTTATTCTACCCAGTTGTTACTATGAAAGTACACAATCGAGCTGTTTCTAGATTGTACTTTTAGCATTTAGCATGATAGTACCATTCATTATCATTCATTACCATTATCGGAGAATATTCCAGAGTTGGTTTCTCTCATCAAAGGCTGCCGTTTCTGTATATAACAAATGACATCTGTGGCACTGACATACCAGTTTGCATGTGATTCATCTAGGACCTCAATTGGAAGATGCGAAAACGCTAAGGCAATTAATATCTTGATGAATGAATGATGGTTACATTTGCAACTAGTTTATATATACAAGGCATATGTGTATCCCCTTTTTATGCACTATCAGGGTAAATCTGTTATATACATTCATGCCGTCGCAGAGCAAAGATTTATAAATGAGCAGCCAACATCACTATGATTACGATGTATAGGTTTTTTTTTTTTTTTTTTGCTCCTACTGATTCAAATAGAGTACAAGCGCTTTTTTCAAGAAATAATGCCTCGACAATCATTATAATGTCTGGAATGTGGCTCTTTCAAACATTAAACTCTCACAAAAGCGTTTGTTAATGTACAAAAGTGGGAATGCTTCATAGATTTACTGTGGTTTAATACATAACGGATCTGTCAGAATTCAATATTACCTCAACGGCTCCTGCAACTCTTTGAATAATTTTAGTGGTTAATCAGTTGAAGTGCTCCTCTTCATTGAACATCGTTTACATGATGTACGAATTATGCCTTAGAGATTATTAAATCAAAAGTAGAATAGGATCACGCTCGAATTGGTATATGCAATTCTGAATAGATGTCAATATTGCTTTTCACATTTGAACTCGCCATTGGATTCACAACTTGCAACGATTAAATTTTTCAGATAAAATACGCACAGCAAAGCCAAAATTGGGTAGCTATGCTATGCTATAGTACCTTCCATTTTGCAATTTCATCTTCATTAGCATCACAAACATCGATAACCATCATGAGAAATGCATTGTGCCAGCCAAAAGCTATTAATTCTCCGCTCATAACGTTCACTAGAAATGGGAATTTTCTGATTGCTTTGCGACTTGTTTGGACTATTTTGCAAGATTCGATTATATAAGTTGTACAAATTATCATATACTTCCTTAAGCTGTTTTGAAGTACTTTTCAAGGCGCATCCAATGGTACCAATTATGAGAGATGTTATCAAAGAACTTGTTGAGCAATCTGTAAAAATATGAACTGAGGGTTTTGGCAAAAATTGTTGAGATTTTACATATGAAAATCTCACAGAGTAGGTTTTAGGGGCTGCGCTTAATCAAGAGAAACATTTTGATCTGATATATGCCATAGTGACAGTCTTCATTTTCGAGGAGAAAAACGCGATCGTTTGATTTTCGATGAAAACCATGAGGTAATCCCTCATGGTTTTGCTGTGGCTTTGGGTCGATATTTGGCGATCTCAAAAAAGTTGAGCAAAGGTGTCAGAAAGTTAGAGCTAATTGAAAGCAATTGTTTGGTGCCATTCTGGTAGCCTAAAACGGCTTTTAACGTGAGAAATCTCGACTCGAATGCACCCAGGCTTCGCTGCCAATTGTATAATTGTGAGTAGTTTGAGGTATTGCTACTATTCTGTGGACCTATATATGAACTGTTCTCATTGATACAGATGTAGAGCACTCAGGATAAGTCAGACCCGCATTTCTTGATCGTTTATTGGACCCTCACTTTCATAGTAAAAGGTTAAAAGAGGAGATTTCAACTAATGTTACAGGGCACTTTCATCATATTACAGTAACACAACAATCGGCAATATCAGGCAGTATAAATCACCACCCTTCTTCTATTTGCATGACATACGTAAACACACAACATTTGTATCATTGTCAGAGAGGAGATATAAACCAGTTACTCATCATGAAGTTGAAGGCAGCTTGCATAGTTTACTACAAGCTGGACACAGACCAGTAAGGGCTGGTTATGCACTAAACTAAGCCATGTACATTTTATTGGATTGTGTATACAGTGGCAAGTCATCATAAAAAGAAGGATGAGTTTTTTATTATATATATTTACAGGCGATGAAAAATAGTGGATTAGCTGGTGTTCTTTGCTACTACTAATTTAGACGTTAAAACGAATTTTGATCCTGGTCATTCGTATTGTCACTTGATCTGGCCACTCTTCATCCAACATATCTATCCACTTTCTTCTGGTAGACTCGTGCAGAGAATTGACCCAAGTTTCAATATTGGTATTTCGCTGAATAGCAGCCCATCTCACCATGATCTTGTCCTTGACTCTATTACTACCATCGGCACTCAGGAAGGGAACTTGATTCAGAAAAAGCATAATTTCTGTTTGATTTGTTGAAACCATTTTTCCTGCGCTGGGTCGTACAAAGTAGCGCTCTGGTTGTCCTTTCACATTGGGGCTGGCATTGCTGGTCAAGAACTTGAACAATATGATGTGATCATCGGGAATCATGTTTTTGAGCGAGAAGGTCAGTGTTTGGCCTCGACGAAACGGTGGATTAAAGTAGAGACGAGGCTTTTGAGGTGGGCTTTTAAGTGTTTCGATTAAAAGTGACATTTGTCTTTCATGATCCGTCATGAATGCATCTTGCTGCTGATCTTGCTCTTGTTGTTGTGAGTCATTGTAGTTGTTTTGGAATGAGAGCACGCTATCTTTGGATGCGAATACGGTAGGCTTATCTTCATCTGATGCAGGACTCTTGATGATACTATGCATTGTGTTGGCAGCATTGTCCATCATTGCTTGGCTATGTACGATAATGCTCATCAAAGGAGGAGATGGCGGAGGAGCAGGTGCCACGTTACGGAATCGTGGAACTGGACTCGGTTCCACAAACATAATTCGTGGGTTGTAGCCCCAACAGTCATCATCAACAGTGCCACCATTCTCATCATCATCAGCGTCGTGTGTATTTTGAAATGCGACCATCTTTCTACTGCTTGGTTTACTGTAAGTGGTGTTATCATCTGTCAACAGCGTATCCGAAGATGAGGATTCAATTGGTTGGTGGTTGTTTGCTTCCTGGAAGCAGGGATGGTGATGTAAAGAGCGGTTGTGCTTTTGCAATTTTCGAATCTCTTCTCTGCGCTGTTGCCTTCTCTTTTTACGCTCTGCTATTGCTTCTGCTGAATCTTCTCCTCGATTGATCAAAATACCAATGGGTTTTGTTGCTGATAATGGACTTGGCTTCTCTGACGATGAGGACTCTTCGTCGACCTCATTGCTGAGATCCAGTGTATCGATACTAGGCCTTGGAGATGAGTCCTCTATGTCTCTGGATGGCGAGGATTTTTTCTTGCCATTGAAGAATTGTTTCAAACGACTCACAGAAGATGAGGCTGAGGAACGTGTTGCGATTGAATCAGAATCATTCTTCTTCTTTCTCGATGGAATGGGGTTTGCCGGCATCCAGCTTTTCAGATTTTGCCATACACCTTGCTTGGCTTCATTGAGTGTAATGTCGTTTTTTGTAGAGATGAATGTGGTTTTGGAAGCATTGTTGTTGCTGTGGGGCCAAATCGGAGTTGTGAGTGAGAGGAAGGATCTGCTACTTTTGGCACTGGTTGTGCTCTTTTGACTATAAACAGACGAAGCATATTGTCTCCTCATGGTTGGTATTGTTGAAAAGGAAGAAATTACGAAAAAAAAAAGAAGAGGACGAAAGAAAAAAGGAAGCCAGAAGAGGAGGAGGAGGAGGAGGAGGGGGGGGGGGGGTGATTATATATATATATATATATATATATTTTCAATACAAATATTTGTTTTGTTTGGATGACCACAAAAGAGACTTTATCGGGAGGAAACTGTTCCGAAGTCAGTGTATGAACAATGGTGCTATTGTTCTTTCTGTCTTGTGACAATAATTTACATCATTTGTTCATTAGTGCAAAATATGGAATTTATTGAATTGTAGATGAAAATGTAAATGTTGAGTAAATTAAGGGAAGAGTTCACCAAGAATACGAATGGTATCTTCAGGACACTTGACGCTGTGGCCAACAACATCAGGATGGGTGTAAATCTCGTAGTCATTGCCTCCCTCGAAGGTCTTGTCGCCAAAGAAATGGATGGTCCTGAAGCCGTCTGCCTTGAGATGCTTCAAACAGTAGGTCTTGTCCCAGCCAGTAGGGAACACATCGAATGAAATTTGGCCACCAATGGAGAAGGTCAAAGCCAAATGGGCAAATTCTTTTCTGAGGGCCTCAACAAAGTTCTTGCGAAGACCTCTAGCAAGATCATATTTCTCAAACTCATTACGCTCTTCTCTTGAACAGTTACGCCCAATAGGAGACACATTGATCATACCGTTACGGAATTCAATAAAGGTACCGCTACACAGATTTGGCAACATGAGCATATAGACCCAGTTACCAGCACCCAAAAAAACCACTTACCGCTTCTTGGGAAGATCCATATCAGCAATATAACGCAAACAAAAGTTGACCAACTTGGTGTATTCCTCTTCACCAATCCATTGAATGAAACTCTATTGTATTGATTTTAGAGATAACTTTCTGTTGTTTGTATGAATGTTTACCTGAGAAGCCATTTGCTTACCTAAGCGATAGGCAGTGAGACCATTTTCAGCAAAGCAAAAGTCAAAATCCTCAAGGACTAATCACAGCAGATATCGTTTAATCATCTCTCGCCATATACCTAGCCATCACTCGACTACTTACTGGAGTTACCAAGTTGTTCGTATTGCTTGCTAAGATCTGAACCACCAACGAAACCGATAGCGGTCTTTTTGCGAAGGTTAGCCAAAGTATCCTTCATCTCCTTGGAAACAAACTACAAGACAGTGTCAGAGAGGCACATACACGCGTGTAATGACCAAGGACAGCATATACTTACAGCACGAGCAGGAGTCAAGGTACCATCCACATCAAAAAGGACAATGGTATCGGGATGTTGACGTTCAGAGAATTCAGTGGCAGGAGACATTTTAAGTTAATGGAAAGAAGATATCGAGAATCGACAAGTCAAAAAATTTAATTTATATAGATCCGTTGAACCAATTATAAAACCATACGTTCAACGACGATCCTAATCAAGCTGAGTGTGTTTGCTCTATATGCTGCTGCTGTAGTCTAAATCAAAGACCTTTGTTGGGAATTTTAATATGAACATTTACAAAATGTTGGCTGTTCTACCTTACTGCAAGGGCCTGAAACTGTTGCAATATGAAACACCTACGTAGAGAGATGCAAGATTGCCATGTTAGCTTGCATCTTCAAGCATGTTGTTATGGCAACTCCATGTATACATATATGCCTCTAATCCAATGAAGAGGAACACGTTTTTGCCTAAATTTGCTAGACTCATATTGCCACTAGATGCGTTTTTGACACATTTCATTAATTCTGTATTACAGTGTATCTATGGTTTATGAATAATTGGATATGCCAAGAGGATGAAGATGTTCAGGCGCTTTTGGCTCAATATCATCAAATCAGATTTCTTGATTTGATTTAGATTGAATGGAGTTTACATTCTTCTGCTATCCGATGTGTGTTCAAACATTGCCCTATCTGTAGCTGAGTGCTTCAGTTTTGTGACATGTCCCATCCATCAGCAAGGCAGCGATTGATTTGCATTGAAAGTGTCAATCAGATAGCCTATATTCAATCCCAAATCATGATATCCAAATAAGAAAGCACTGCATGTACTCAACAGGCTTTGAATTCAAATGTTGTTTGGTCTGACATCTAGCCATCGACCTAGTACTCTCGAAGCTAGAGTATGACCCTACTCTGTCTGTGGCGAATTTTATCAAGAAGCAATACAAATCAAGAGAATCTCGATGGAACCATTGACCGTCTCTATTGTAGCATGTCATTGGCACCCATTTGCTTGACATTTGAAGCAAGAAAGAGAGAAAGTAACGTCACAGAGCAATTACCACAACAAGCCTTCGTTTCCTTTGTATCATCTCCTTTTGCTTTTGCATCGTATTTGCTCCCCATGTCCACCAACAAACCCATCACTCAATTCTCATGTAAGTAGGCCCGCTCATGTAGCATGATATGTGAGCCTAAACTAAATCTACATTTTGTAGTTCGTTCTCAAAAGGAGTTGACAATCTGGGATGGCTACCCCGAGTTCAAGGCTGTCAACAACTTTGAAAAGTAAGAAATGCACCACTTGGACATTAGGATGAAATGCTGACAATCTATCATAGGCCTGAAACTACAGTTCGTATGTTCCATTATAGCAGATACGGCCATGTTTACGCCTACTCCACTAATTTAAGGTATAAACATTGCGTGGATGTGTTGGCGACAATAGCTAACCCAAGATTTGCATCGATATACAGCGTCAAGGTCTTTGATGCTTCTACCATGGAGAAGCTGTGCGAAATTGAAAGAGCCAACGTCATTGATTTCTGGCTTTCTCCTCAGGGCAGCTATCTGGCTACTTGGGAGCGTCCTAGTAAGTCATTCTTTCCTCCTCCTCATCATGTGGATGGGCATCCTCACCACCTTTTTTTTTTCCAATTAGCCAAACTTGAGAACGGTGCTGGCAGCAACAATCTTGTTATTTGGGACACAAAGACTGGCCAAGAGATTGCCGCCTTTTCTCAAAAAGCTCAAAACAACTGGTAAATGGGATCATGCATATTTGATGGATGGGGTATGCGTTAACATTTATATTTCAGGAACTTTCAATGGACTGATGATGAAAAGTATTGTGCTCGTATGGTCACTGGCGAAGTTCAGTTCTGGGAGAGCAAGAATATTGGCAAATGTAAGTAGCAGGCCATGTGCAAAAGGGACAATTGGGGCGTTGGATTAATCATAAGTGTGTATTATCAGCTGTATGGGCTAGACTTAAGTTGGAGGGTGTTGCTCAATTCTCATTGAGTCCCGGCAAGGCACCTGCTGTCGCTGTGTTTATCCCTGAAAAGAACGTAAGCTAAACATGTCAAAACAATAGAGGATTTGTCAGACTCACCATGTGTTGCTGTATAGGGTGCACCTGCTATTGTTCGCATGTACAGTATTCCCAACTTCAACACAGCATTGTCCAACAAAACCTTCTACAAGGCTGACAGAATCTCAATGTACTGGAATGATTTGGGTACCAATTTGCTGGTGTTGACCATGACTGATGTGGACAAGTCAAACAAATCATACTATGGCGAGACCAACTTGTATTATCTTGCAGTGGCTGGTAACTTTGACTGTCGCGTTCCTCTTGACAAGGAAGGACCTATTCACGATGTCACTTGGGGTCCTGACTCCAAGGAGTTCGTCGTGGTATACGGTTCCATGCCTGCCAAAGCAACCTTGTTTGACCATCGCGCTACACCTGTGTTCGACTTCGGTATTAATCCTCGTAATTTTGTGAAATACAATCCTCAGGGACGTACTATTTGTATCGCTGGTTTTGGTAACTTGAACGGCACAGTCGATCTCTGGGACAGAAAGACGTTAAAGAAAATCAACACCTTTGCTGCCTCTAATGCATCTCATTGTGAATGGTCTCCTTGCGGTAGATATCTCTTGACTGCTACTTTAACGCCTCGTCTTCGTGTAGACAATGGTTTCAAGTTGTGGCACCACTCTGGTACATTGATTTACGAGGAAGCTGTGGATGAGCTTTATCAAATTGGATACCGCCCTGAGCCTGCTGCTCGTTATCCTATGCGCAATGTGTCTCCCCCTCCCAACCCCATCAAAATTCTCCCTACTGCTGGTGGTGGTGCCAAGGCAGCTGCTGTCCCTACTGGCGCTTACAGACCTCCTCATCTTAGAGGTTCCGCCACGCCTACATCTCTCTCTGATAGAGCTGCTGCTTTAGATGGTATTGGACGTTCTCCTACTTCTCAACGTAGAGTTGTTGGTGCCAAGTCTGGTGGTAACAATGCTAACAAGAACGGAAAGAAAGATGCTCCTTCTCCCAAACCTCAAGCACAACAACCTGTTGTGAATCCTGAGGAGAAGCAAAAGAAGATTCGTAATCTTGAAAAGAAGTTGAGACAGATTAGAGAGCTGAAGGAAAAAATGGCTAAGGGTGAAGAATTAGCCCCTGCTCAACAACAAAAGGTTACCACTGAAGTGGCTGTTATGAGAGAACTTGCCAATCTTCAACTTTAGACGTCGTAGAGTGTGAAAATAATAACTGGTGATGAGTGATGAAAAATTGTTGTATTTAAATAAAATATCTAATCATTTTCTGCGATAAACTGTTGCTATCATTGTTTGTGTGGATACGTCTGTCATTCAGATCACGGTAGTCCATGTTTCCACCTACATAGCTTATAGAATGAACAGGCTTGTTTATGGGTGCAATTTACATTCGTATGCTATTTGCGGTTGTGTCCAGAGCTAATTCGCAAACTAAACCAGTAGAACGAACTCTTCTACGATGCATCAGATTTGTGTTGATGGAAATAATTCATATACAGGTAGACACTATCCTTGCATTGCGTCTTACTACTGGTAGTCATGTAAAACACAGCGAGCTTTGGATATGTTTGACGCGTAATTTCTCACGTTAAAAGCTGTTTTAGACTACCAGAATGGCACCAAACAATTGCTTTCAATTAGCTCTAACTTTCTGACACCTTTGCTCAATTTTTTTGAGATCACCAAATATCGACCCAAAACCACAGCAAAACCATGAGGGATACCTCATGGTTTTCATCGAAAATCAAACGATCGCGTTTTTCTCCTCGAAAATGAAGACTGTCACTATGGCATATATCAGATCAAAATGTTTCTCTTGATTAAGCGCAGCCCCTAAAACCTACTCTGTGAGATTTTCATATGTAAAATCTCAACATTTTTGCCAAAACCCTCAATTCATATTTTTACAGATTGCTCAGCAAGTTCTTTGATAACATCTCTCATAATTGGTACCATTGGATGCGCCTTGAAAAGTACTTCAAAACAGCTTAAGGAAGTATATGATAATTTGTACAACTTATATAATCGAATCTTGCAAAATAGGTCGGATATGGTCCAAAAAATTCTAAAACGAACAAATCAAAAAACTATATATGACGGAGATTTAATAAATTTGGCTTCTGGTTGATGGCAAATACAGTTGACATTAATGCCATTATGCTGATCCTGATGCTTTTGAAAGCTTACAAGAAGGAGGTTACTATGAAGATGAAAGAGTACAATAATAATAGCTTTATCTGGCTTTTTTGTTTTGCTTCTTTCATAGGATTTCAAGTTCGCAACATTTAATCGTTGCAAATTGCGAGTTTAGCGTCAGGGTTTACACAATAGGTATAGTAACACTATCTTTTTTACAATCTGGAGATTAAGTTTATTATGTTTTGGTAAATTGAATCTATAGCTTAGATTTAAGCAAAGGTGGAGAATTCTTGGGAATAAGGTTGTTTTCCTTTAAAACGTCATAAATTTCATACAAGGCGTCTTCATCTTCAATAGTGGCGGGCATATTGATCGCTTTGCCATCCACCATCTCTCTGATACTTCTTCTCAAGACCTTGCCGCTTCTCGTTTTAGGTAGTCTGGGTATAATCACGGCCTTCTCAAAGCAAGCAATGGCACCTAAATCTTGGCGTGTAGCTTGCACCAAGTCTTTCAAAAGCTTACTTCTATCCACTTTGGTGTCGGGGCTGTAGTGTTTCAAGACCAATATACCCAAAGGAACATGACCTTTCATCTTGTCTGGCAAAGGGACAACGCAGCATTCAGCAACCAAGGGATGAGAACTGAGAATTTCTTCAATGGACCCCGTAGACAGACGATGGCCAGCAATGTTGATAATATCATCTGTTCTCGACATGATGTGGACGAATCCTTCTTCATCAATCATACCAGCATCGCCTGTGTCGTAATAGCCTGGATATTTATCAAAGTAGCTTGACTTGTAACCTGCCTCGTTGTTCCATAATCTAGGAAATGCGCCAGGAGGCAAAGGCAACTTCAACACAATATTACCAAATTGATTGGGCCCAGTTGTCTCTTCTACTGAGCCTTCCTTCAATATTCTGATTTGAGATCCAGGTACCTGTTTACCAGCAGACCCCCATTTGACAGCAGCGCGCGGATTCTTTTCTACGCCAGCACATGTCGCTGTTACTGGAGATCCCACTATAAATATCATCAATATGAAGCCCATACTTCATTTTTTCATGTACAAATATACTTACATTCCGTGCTCCAATAATTGTCAATCACAGTGCAATTCTCATGTACCAAATTCTGACACCATTTCAAAGTTTCAGGATCACTTCTCTCACCCGCCAAAAACAAGGATGTCAATGAGCTCAAATCATACTTTTTGGCCAGTAAGCCTTGTGGGTCTTCGCGAGCAATAGCACGAGCTGCTGTAGGAGCAGTGAACATTGTTTTGACACCGTATTCAGATATCAGTCGCCAGAATGTACCAGCATCTGGTGTGCCAATGGGTTTACCTTCATACAAAATTGTGGTTGCACCGATAAGCATTGGACCATAGATGGTATAGCTATGACTAACAGCCCAACTACACACCAAACAGGCAACTGTCAATCATCCTGCTCTTTCGCATATTACATTTCCACTTACCCAATATCACTTGCTGTGAAAATAGTGTCGCCCTTTCTGACATTAAAGACATAATCAACGGACCATCTTAATACGACAGCATGTCCACCATTGGAACGAACCACGCCCTATAAAGCGGATGTTATTAAATACCTCATACATCAAGCACCTCGTCTCTCTCAAGTTACCTTGGGTTGCCCAGTCGTACCGCTTGTGTATAACACATACAATGGGTCATCACTGTCTACAGGGACACACGTCTTGAACAATGCGTCCTTGGATCGAATTCTGTCCATTTCGTCGTCATAGTCTCGATCGCCCTGAGCGTAATTCATCAATGCTCTTTCTTGGTTAGGTCTTTGGTATACAATGCGAATAGGAACGTGATGGCTTGACAACCTAAGGGCGCTTTCCAAAAGAGCTGTAAAAGAAGAATAGCATTAGTCTATACGAAATAAAATGTACACATAGTAACACGCTACGTTTATAAGGAATAGCTCGCTTGGGTTCAATACCACAGCTAGCAGTAAGCACAATCTTTGGCTTGCAATCATCGATTCTCTTGGCCAGTTCCTTGGGAGCAAAACCACCAAACACAACACTGTGAATAACACCCATTCGAGCACAAGCCAAGAATGCAAACACGGCTTCAGGCACCATGGGCATATAAATCAAAACTGTATCACCCTTGGATAAACCATACGAATGAAACACGCCAGCCAATGTCTGAACGTGTTCCAAGACTTGAGCATAGGTAAATGTGATCTTGGAGTTCGTCACTGCAGAATCCCAAATGAGACAAGGCTGATCTGCGATGCTATCCATATGGCGATCGAGGCAGTTGTAGCAGGTATTCAGTTTTCCATTAGGAAACCAAATGTATGGATTGGGTCCACCTTCTTCACGTTCACCAAGCACAGCAGAGGGCCTCTCAAACCAGTCAATGTCTTGAGATGCTCGTTCCCATAATTTGTAGTCTATAAGCTGTTCTTTCATATTTTTATTTGTGTGAAAATAGTGAGATGGAGAGAGAGAGAGAGAGAGAGAGAGAGAAAGGGGGGAAATAAAGATTAAGGAAGGAGTCTTTATACTGCAAGCAGCATTTGTATGCTATGTGTGCACCTTTTTACGTATATAGGGACATGCATATCACTGCGTGTGAATTAATATTTAGAGTTAAATTTTGAAGCTACCATCATTTCAAGCGTGCGAATGCTACTCTTATACATGACTGAATGAATCTCAGGCTATGTCATGTGGCGTATTCGTTGTATGACATTTGGTATTTATATGTTGATTAGTCCACTTTCTTAAGCCATTACTCGACTCTATACAACTTTTATATGCAGAATCTGCAGACATGTCAAATCAAATTGGACTGGAATGGAGGATGGCGCTTGCTTACCGTACGCATTGATGTGATCCACACAAGTCTCAAAGATGTCCTGAGCTCCTCTACTGTGATCCCGCTTCTTTTTAATCAAATTAACATCCACAAACAACCGAAAGCGTCTTGTCAGCGACGATGACGACGTTGGCACCGTGCAGAATGCTGGCAAATGTAGTGAAGTTGTACGTTGTTTTGGCCGTTTTTCGGATATCTCTTCAGCCTGTGTTGTTACATTCGATCTCGGTCTTTCAGATAAATCTGAGTAGCGCTTTTTGGAATGCTCTATTGCACAAGATGCTTCTTGGGCTCTGTCAATCATACAATACGGAATACATTTTGTTGCAGTCAATGAGTCGAGCGAATGTCTCGTACTGCCGTAAGGTAGCTCAAGCTTTGAATCAAACGATCTTTCTTTTGTGTGAATTACCATTTGTAATATGGAGAGTGGAGGGAAAAAGAAAAAGTAGAATACTCGCCACAAAATGTTAACCGTGTGTGTCCGAAAGCGCTCTACCAAATTTGGTTGATTACTATTAGTTTCTATTTCAAGATATGTAGTCAGTATGCTTTGTTCATCGGCGGCATTGCCGCTACCTTCGTAATGCGTGTTAATGCCTGTTACAACTCAAGTGACAGGACATTAGCAGCAAGGCAGTAGAGATCTGACTACATCGCTATTTGAAGTCAGTAAGAAGATACACGTAACTGCATGAACATGTAGTGAATGCTATCATTTTAAAATCTATTGTTGCCATTTCTACAAATTTGCACCTTTGGTATTTGGGCTTGCCATGGCTTTTGCCTTGCAAAATGCAAGTGTATTTTCTGCGTTCTAACAACAATCTCTAAGTATTGTCTTTACTTTTTAGTGATATCTGGTGGTTGATGATGTTATTGCTTTACTTTTTTTTTTAAATGCTTTACTACGCTTTTCATGCACGCTTTTCTTTCAAGCGTTTTTATCTTGATATGAATTGGGCCTGGACATGAAGGCGGATTGACAGTAGGCTTGCATAGATCTTTGGGACTCTGTTATGATCTGTGCCTCCAGTCAGATTAATCTTGAGAACTTGGGCGGTTTCCCATGCCATTGACAATAGCCCCCTTTGGTTTTCTTCTTTACAAATCGAACTATTGGCCGTGGCTCCAGGGTTAATACATGTTTCTTCGTAACATCTGTGTTCTGAAATTCAGCCTTCTATTGATGCAAAAAGTGGAAATTTTTAGTAGTCTTCTTGTTAGCTTACGAGTTGCTGACATTTTCCTTTGTTTCTCAAATGGATAGTCTTCGTTAGCAAATCACCGTTCGCAGTTGGTTCTTCTACAAGATATATATGGAAAATCAAGATGGTCCAAGCTTGAACTCGCTAGCAGTAATTGATATGGATGTCTATTCTAGTTTCCAACGTCTTCAAGAGGCTTATGTGGTTTTTTTTCCAAATAATACGAGCCTGTCTACACTAGGGATGGCTCTCTACCTTCGCTTCGGTGAGAGACAACCTACGAAGCGGTAGTTTGGGTCATCAATTGTTCTTGCCTAGCTTATCAAAATACTGCTACTTTCATTTCAACCCTCGATTTACATATGGGAGCCCCTCGTATTATCTAAAGATCTGACTCTAATGTAATGTCCCATATCGGTATACTCGTTAGATACTTCATACATGTAAGCAGTATACCGGTATTACTCCTTTCCAATCAAGAGTGTGCCTGATGCAGCAAGAACTGAGTACATTTAAGCCGTAACTTCTCGTGTTAGAAGCCGTTTTAGGCTGTCATAGTAGTACCAGACAGTTGATCTCGCCTAATGGCTACTTACTAACACCTTTGAGCAACTTTTTTAAGATCGTCAAAAATCGGCCAAAAAGCATGAGGTACCCTTCATGCTTTTTATCAAAAATCAAAAGATCGCATTTTTGACCCAAAAAATGAAGGCTTTTACTATGGTATATACTAATTCAAAATTTTTTTTTTTTTTTGTATTTAAATGTGTTTTTTATTTATATTATAGACAGTAAGGTGCCATAAGGGTCTTACATGTCTAAGAAAGAAGAAATTAACTTGGAATGATCTTCCAGAAAAGAGGAGAAAACAGCCCGAGTGATCCAAGATTTACCATCAATTGTGCAGCCCCAATGATGTTGCCAGATAGATGAGAAGGCAGCGCCGAGAAGTTCCAAGATGGAAATGTCCAGAGGATTGTTGTCCTGGCCGTGAAGGGTGGTCAACCCAATCCAGATGGCCTCGTCCGTAGGGAACAGATCAGCAAGACCAAGGTGAGAGACAAACTCATACCAGAAGAGGGACTTCATACTGCAGCCAATGACCATATGGTATTCATCTTCAGTTGCTTCATGACACATCTTACACAGTGGGGAAGGATACTTCACACGGTTCATGGAGTGCAGGCGAACCTGCACCGAGAGATGTCCATGCAGCAAACGCCACCACGGTGTAAATGCCTTGGGCGGGAGACAGAGAGACCAGAAATCACGCCAGAGGTGAGGAGGAAGCAGGAGATGTGGTGGGCGATAGCCAGGAGGATGGGCTGGGCGACGCAACATGTCAAATGACGGATGCCAGGAACGGCGTAACGCCCCGAGAGTGATCTTGTCCACTGTAGCTTTTGAGCGAGGGCCAGTGGTGATGAACCAATGCGAAAAGCTAGCCGTGGGTGGAGAGGGGGTAGTGGAACTCTCCAGCAGTGCGGTTCGCTCTGGAGCGGTGAAGGCCATGACGGACCTGAGAGGAGCAGGGACAACCCAAACAGGAGGACCCTCGATGGGGCACAAGGCATTGAACAGATGTTGCAATGCAGCAGTATCACGGGGGCGCACGCAAACCAAGATGTGGGAGTCGGGGAGCACGCTCAAGAGGCTGGCAATCAAGGCATGAGGTGGCAGTTTGTCACTGTTCCTAGTCAAAGGCAAAGTCGCTGTGGGAGACAGGGAGCATACTTGTAACCAGGGCAGATCTAGGAGCCACCAAGACGGCCACTCAGGAGTGAGAGTCAAGGGAGGCAAACGAGTGAGTAGACGAGCCAGATGCTCCAAGTGAGGGCATTTCCGCACACGCGGCCAGCAGGTACGTGGGTATAGCAGCAAAGGCAGCACCGTAGCATGACCTGAGTATACATGGAATGTATACATCAGCCAGGGAGTGAGGAAATCCGCTGGGGATCTGGGACGAAGCAGACGCTTGACATATATGAGATGCAAGGCGAGATGTTGCTTCTTGATGTCAACCAGACCAATACCTCCATGCTTCCTAGGAAGGCAGAGAGAATCCCAAGCCACAGTAGGCCAAAACGAGACGATGTACTGGCGTACCACGCGCTGTATCTCCTCCAGCCACTTGTCAGGAACCACAACCACACGCAGGAGATGCCACAAGCGAGACAGCAGAAGGGAATTCGCCACTAAACCCTTTCCACGAATGGATAGCTGCCGCTTGGTGAGCAGATTGCAATGACGTTGAATCTTCACGGTAACGGAATTCAGGAAATGCTGCAACTGCTCCTCTGTATGATACAGAGGGTAACCTAGATACCTCACAGAGCCAACTGACGAGCTGTCGTACCACTCAATGTTAGACGTTTCCGTCACTCGCTTCCAATCAGCATGAGCCTCGCCTGACAGCGACAACAGCACGGTTTTCTCCAAATTGACCTTGGCGTTGGACGCTTTGCCATAGAGCGACAAAAGAGACAGCAGCACAGGCCATTCCGCCGTAGAAGTCAGGAAGACTTCCAGATCATCGGCATAGTTCAACAGCTTCACCCGTGGAGGGGTCGCCGGAGCGCGTAGGAGATCATGGTCGCCTTGGACCGGCACGAGAGAGGAGGCACGAGAGATACGCCCTGCGAGAGGAGCACGGACAGCGGTAGACATTGAGACGCCTTGAAGAGAAGGGCAGGCCAAGATGGTTCTAAGGAACGGCTCGAAAGCCAGGTTGAACAGCAAAGGGGACAACGGATCACCCTGTCGTAAACCACGTTGTTGATCGATGGGGGCGCCCAACCACCCATTGATTGACAAGGAGATACGAGTACCAAAGAACAGACTTGACACACTGGATACCAACGATGCCGGGAAGCCAAACTGACGAAGAACCATCGCCAGATATGTCGGATTGACCCGATCATAGGCTTTCTCTTGATCCAAGAGTACGGCGACATTGGGATCCTGAGGAGCTGCATCACGGAGGTTGGTCATCAGCGTCTGGTTCAACCACGCATTGTCCGAGATGAGCCGGTGAGGCATAAAGCCTGTTTGGTACGGCGTAATCAATCGGGAGAGGACACGTTTGAACCGGTTGGCTAACATCTTGGTGAACAGCTTAGCATCGCTATTGATCATCGAGAGAGGTCGCCAGTTCTTGAGGAGCTCTGGATCGCCCTTCTTGAACAGCAGTACCATCCTCGTTTCTTTCCAAGAGTCAGGGAAGACACCACGCAGCGCATCAGTCAGCACTTGCTGCAAGAGAAGCAGAACAGCAGGGAACTTCGCCGCCAAATAGCGATACACCTCAAACGGAAGGCCATCCAAACCAGGAGACTTGTTCTTGGGTGCATGGTCCAGTAACAGCAAGACAGAGTCTGTGGAGGGTGGTTCAATCAGCCGGTCTGCCTCAGCTTCTTGTAGCTTCGCATCAGCAGGGATATTGTCAAAGAGAGAGTTGACGGCAGCCAAATCAATGTCTTCAGGTGTGTAGAGATCTTGATAGAAAGTACGAGCTTCTTGGAGAATGTCGCCCATATCTGTCAGCTTCTCTCCAGTGCCAGCCTTTTTCAAGGACTGGATGGTTTGTTGCGCCTCACGATCCTTGATCACATTGAAAAAGTATTTGTTGTTTTGCTCTCCCATTTCCAGCCAACGAGTAGCCGAACGCAGCATAGCTTGACGAGTGTCATCTTGAATCCGTTGCTCAATCAGTTGCTCCAGTCTTTTGATCCTTGCCGACTCCTCCGGGGTCCCAAGTAGCTGTTCCCGTTCACGTTGGAGGTGGGAGACTCGAGCTTTGAAGCGAGCCTTCTGGCCTTTGGTGAACTGTTTGGCACAGTACTTGATGATCGACTTGAGAGATTCCCACTTCTCCTGAGCAGAGACACCCATATCAGCCACATCTGTCGTATAATAGTCAGACGCCAAAAACATATCCACGGTTTTATCCAAAAGGGCTTGGAATTCACGGTTCTCAAGCAAGTACGGATTCAAACGCCAGCTGCCAGGACCCAACTGGACGCCAGAGGTGACCAGATCGATTGTGAGGAGGCTGTGATCGGTCCACTCAGGTGGAATGTGGTGAGTCTGAGTGTTGATGATACGAGTCGCCATAGGAGGAGGAGCAAAGACATAGTCAATGGTGGTGCCAGCTTTAGGGAGAGTCATTGTGCCCTTTGGAAAACAGTTGAAAAAATGAGTGTTCAGCCATTCAACAAAAGGTTGGACTCTAGGGAGACGAGCTTCGACCGCATCATGCAAATGGATATTGAAATCCCCAAGCAAGATCCACTGGGAGTCAAGCATATCAGACCAGAAGGGCATGGACATCAGCTCCTCCAGGAAAGCATAGCGATGGGCTCTGTGCACGGGCATGTACACATTAGCTATCTGGCATATGGTGTGATTAGCGTCCTTAATAGTGGCGGTGATACAGCGTTCGTCACGAGAGATGGTGGCATCCGCGAGCTCCAAGCCTTGCTTCAGACACACTATTGCACAATGCTTCGAGACGACAAAGGAAGACCGAGGAAACATAAAAGAGAAAGCACGCACATTATCATCAGTGAGGTGGGCCTGCTGACGGTAATGAGAGACCTCCTGCAGACAGAGAATATCTAGCTGGAGGGTTTTGGAGCGCAGAAAGGAAGTGAATTCCTTCTGTATAGATTTTGAGGAACCCTTAAAGATGCTCCGGGCATTAAGGGTACCTATGCGCAATGATTGTTGTATCATTATGCCCTATGGGCGACATGATACACTTGAGGCTGCGACATAGACGTCGAGCTCATAGAATGACGGCGGAGAGAGGGCACATCAGTCTGGAAATCATTGGGAGAGGAGACATTGTCAGCAGATAACTTGGGATCCAAATGCATATGGAAGGACGAAGCTAACGGAGCATGCTTAGAAGCATCGCTACCGTTGGGAGAACGCTGGAGGGTCTGGGGATCTACCTCCATCACATCCGGAGACTGGTCCCAGGTTTGGCTGTCATTTGCGGAAAACAAGGTACTGATCTGGCTACTTGTGAGCTCGGTCGTTTTGCCGGCTAGCTTGTCTGTGGTGGTGGGCTGAGATGGCAGTTGCTGCGCGAGAATATCATTGATCGCAGGGGATGCTCTGTGGCCCTTCTCTTTTTCGTTAACTTTATCAATTGGAGTGACTGAGTAGGAATCAGTGTGATCCCTTTGGCTCGACTCATATTCAGCGATTGCTTCGTCAAAAGGCTTCTCTTCCTCTCGACAGAACTTAACAGTGTGTCCCAACTTGTGACATTTGAAACATTTGCGTTTAGCTAGGATAGGACAAGCAGCGCGAATGTGTCCACTCTGACGGCAGAAATGGCAAACTGGTGGTGCTCCTCTGTATGTCGCTGGCACATAGACATCCCAGGCGGAAAGGTAAAGCATGCGACTCAAAGGCTGTACGTCGTAGGAGTGACCTTCCGCGTCAGTGTGCTTGACCGAAGTGTCGATCAGGAAGCTGACATGACCCTCAAAGAAGCCATCAACAGTGTACTTCTTGATTTGGTATAGCTTACCATAGTATTTCAGCGAGCGTTGCAAGTCCTCCAGAAAAGTGGTCATGTTTGGCATGCGGACAATAGTCATTTGCACATGGGTGAGTTTGCCCTCGCTGTTGTCCTTGACAGCAGTAGCTTTGTATACCACATCGCCATGAGTGATGCCATTGTTGATGGCTCGTTTGGCATCCTCAGGGGAGTCAAATTTAGCTTCCACCAAGAGATCTCCAGTTGACTTCTGGTGATACAGACTAAGGGGGCGAAACTGGACATTAGCAGCTATTTGTTCCTGAATGAGGCGATACGCTGTTGTACGATGCACAAAAAGTTTGTTTGGAAAGGTAAACAAAACCGATCCCGGTGTCAAAGCTTGCTGCAGGATGGCAGTAGCTTTACGAGTGAGCACCTCGGCCTTCAGATCTTCGTGTTCGAACATAACTTCAGGAATTAGTTTAAAATGGTCATCTTTAGCTCGCTGTTGTGGAGCATTGATGACCTTCTTGGAGAGGCCTCGAGAGAGGACCGTGACCCAAGAGAGGTCAGTGGTGGTAGCCATGAGGATGGGTAGTGGAACGCTGGTGGTTATAAGGTTGTAGATGTGATTTAAGCAGTGGCGTAATTTTCACCTTAGGGGTAGTGATGGTTACGCGAAAGAGCCTTTATACTAATTCAAAATGCTTCTCTCAATCCAAGGCAACCCCTGAAGCTCTGTTTATGAAACATTGCTATGCAAAATCTCGAAATTCTGGTCAAAAATCTCATTTCGTATTTTATCAAATTACTCAAAACGTTTGTTCAGAGCACCTATCTTTATTAGTACCACTGGATGCGCCTTGAAGTGTACATTTAATAAGCTTAAGGAAGCATTTTTTTTTTTTTGTAGGGGAGACGAGCTCCAGTTTTTATTTAAAGTCCTGTAAATGTCGCTATGAGTGATAGACAAGACTGTTGGTGGACCCAATGTCAGTCATGATGGGGAATAAATTATGGAAAGGAAGTTGGGAAAGAAATCTACTACAAATAAGGTGCGGCACTTAGAGCCAATACAATCATGCTAACTTGTCATACAGAGATACTGGATAAGAGAACATTCACCAAACGAGGACATCAGTACGACCGTAAATAATTAATCAAAATGCGTTCACTGGGATTTGAACCGGGATCCTCCCGTTGGCATACGGGAGTTTTACCACTTCGCCCTACCACCAGGGGCTTAAGCTTAAGGAAGCATTGGATGATTATTACATTTTACATAGTCGAATCTCACAGAATAGCTTAAAGAAGTCATAATCTGGCCAATCTCAAATAGAAATAACGGTCTGAGTTGGAAATAATTTTGGCGCTGCTGGTTGATCAAAATACCCTCTCTGATGATGACAATGATGATTAGTATGCTGTTTAAATGGGGATCGTGAATGTGAAAGAACTGTCGCTTAGCTTGAATACTTCCTTTTGCTTTTAATGAGAATTTTCATATCTGACAACGGCAGCCATCTTGGTTCACCGCCAAAATATGTGTAAACGCAACTTCCTGATGATTTGCAGCATTTAAAATAGCTGCCTACTAACAATTGGTAGAAAACATCTTGGTGTATACTGTACCTATGAGCAATGTAAAGCAATTAAAAGCTAAACCTAAAGTATGTGTGTCGGCATGCAAAGAGACAAGTGTAAATGTATATCACTCTGTCTTACACGAATCAATATACCTAATATTGCACTCAAGTATGGAGTCAGTAGGTAGTTCATAAGGATTTTTAAGGTGGTCCGTATCAAGTCTACAGTTTTATACATATGAAATGACCTTGATTGACTATTCGCAAGACTTTTATTGCTGCTATCAAGGAGCATCTAAATCAAGGGCACGAAAACCAATTGCAATGTACTACTACGCTGTATTAGCCGTGCGCCTTCGTTTAACTTCAAGAATGATCAGAAAGACACATCAATGCGAGGGCATTGTTATTCACAATGGTTAGTAAACAACAAGATGCTTGGTTTGACATAGTAACTATTCAAAAGAAGTAGGACAGGCTTTGGCGTATTACCCATACATTGATTTACCTATCATGCTTATCGATTTTTCCATTCTAGTGCTTTCAAGGAGTTTAACATGAGATTTCGTCATATCAAGGTAGTACAGGATCATGGCACCAACGACAACAATATAAAAAGTTTAAAATTTAGCATATTTATAATTACTAGAAAGCTAGTAAATGATGAGAAAATGAAATGTATGTGATATGAGATGTAAATAGATAGAGAGTGGAGTTGATTACATTGAAAGGAAATAGATACAGCAAGAAATAAACAAACGATAAGATTAGCAACGATGTTTGTAGTTATCATGATGATCCATCAACTCTGCAGTGTACGCTGTGCGTTTTTTCGAGTTCTCTGGTGTGGGTATATCGTCTTCATGAATATCAGGGATTTCTGGCATCAAAAGAGAACCATCTCCTGGGTATTTATAAAGTGAAGGGATGGTGGAAATGAATTGAGGTTCGGGTAAATCTTCGGGTGATTTTATAGGGCTTGCGATATCTGGTACGTCGCACTATTAAGTATAATCGATAAATTAATTCACATGAAGTTGCGCATTCAAATTGGGCAAAAATGCCTACCTTATCTAACGCTGGTATGTCCATGTCGTCTAAGAGCATCTGAATAAAATCGCACATGTTTCTTTCGAAATAAATAAGTGGATACAATTTCTCTAATTCCTTGAAATGCATCTCTAATGTGTAGCCATCTTTAATTTGAATAAACTGTTGCAATCATTAGTCATCGATGTGAATCAATGTATTGCATGCGCCAATAGGTACCTCTTTTTCTCGCTCACGAACTTGCAATTTGAATAGAAACATGGTTCTTGTCTTTGGAAAGAGCAAATGGTGATCTGATGCCTTGACATTCCAAATGTCATTGTTCTCGTCGTCATCTTCGTCATCATCATCTTCGTCCTCTTCTTCATCATCTTCATCCTCCATCGGCATGTCTTCCTCATCTTCATCTTCCACATAGCCATAGGAAAAGATTTCATAGATGGTTTCTAAACCAGTTTTGCCATCGCACATGTAGCTTTGAATAGCAGCTTGAGTGAGCAAGTCCAAAAAGAGATCATACCATCGAGGAGGCATGCCGCCGCCCATTACTTGTTGCCCAGCTACAGTCAAGGGTTTCACATCATCATCGCTGTCTAGTACCGAGCGCAGCATATTGGCACTTGTCTTCAAAAATGCGGGTATAGCCATTGCTAAACCGGGTCCACCTACCTGAGCATTTAAACAGCGCGGTTGGCGGCACTCTGGCTGCCGATGGCGACGGCAAAAAGTTGGATGAAATGCATTTGAAAATGCATTGTTGGTAGTATCAATATCACGAATACGTCTTGATGCAACTGGAGCTGAAAATGTCACATGGTGAGTACGGCCAATGGTTAGATTTGTCAGCTGGCAGAGATTAAGTCTTTGTTCAAATTTGGCGTCTACTTTCTTGTTTTTGGTTTTTTTGGTAGAAGATAAAATGCCTATTGCCATTATTAAGGGGTAAATAAACATAAAATGAGTTTGTATAGAGCAATGATTCACCTTCAATGACAGATTCAATGACATTTTTATCGGTGCCATCAGATTGATCGTCAAATGTAAATGCTTTTTGAAGTCTTGATTGAATTGATTGATAGAAGAGATAGTCTAAAATTAAGCTATTTGTGGTTGATGCATTGTTTGTCTGATGTTGATTTAGCAATGCTGTTTGGATGTTGGGTGCCATTTGATGCTGGTGCTGAGGGTGGAAATGAGAGTAAAAGAGAAAAAAATGAATGGGAAATCAACACAGATATAAATACAAGAAAAAGCCCAATAGTATAAGGAGGAAGAATAGGGAAAGGGGTGATCGGATGGAAATTGAAGGGGGTATATTATATGCTTTTGGACAATCCTACCCGATAACCAACTGCTTCTCTTCCGATATTAGAGTCACAATTGATAAGGTGAAAATACATCAAATGCTAAATTGGCTATAATTTGTAAGTGTGTGAATTTGGTTTTATTATTTACAATGCTTTTTATGATAAGATGAGCTTTTTGGGATGTTGTTGTTTACTCTGGCCAGCAGCAACATGAGAAGACGAGGAAGATTTGGACGATGCTCTTTTAGCAATCCATGTTAATGGTGATAGACTTTGCCATAGCAACCAAGTGGTTGTCATGGATACCATCGACTTCATCATAGAAACTATTAAAATAATGATTTGCATATTTTTGTTGGATGATGATGATGTTGTTTGGTATAATGATTGATGATTTGAATGCTGATTGTGTTGTTTTTGGTAATTGTGATAAGAAATACATTTTGCAATGAACGAAAGTCGGGTATATGTTGATGATTTCAGTGATAAACTTGCTTGCACGAGTAGAGACCATAGCGCTTCAATGTCACCATCATCGTCATCATTCAAATCTTCATCTTCCTCCGCCACTGAGTAGTAATCATGGTTGAAACGTGGAGAAGAATGTGAGGAAGTTTCGAGAGACACAGGGTATTCAGGTTGGTATTCAATCTCGATAATTTCAGGATTGAAATGCACTCCGATGTTGTTGCTTTTACTGCTTGATATGCTGCTAAAGCTACTGCGACCACTTCTACTTGTGTTTGTAAAAGGTGTTGTAGAACCTGACCATGGATCGAAATAGGGCATTGGATCGGAACAAGTCGGTTGAGTTACGTTACTCTGCTTCTTCAAAACAGGCTTTAAGCCTTGGAGAGGGCATGCAATATCAACAGCAGATGTGGTGTCAGCAGCTTGTACACTCAATTGTGGTGTATCTAATGAACAAATAGTATTTGGTAATTTCTCCACTTTGATTTCTTGATCTTGGCTGGTCGCTTCATACATTGGTCCGTACAGCCCTGAAAAATGAATAAACATGTTAGATACGAACGCTTGATAAGAGAAGATGAAAGACTTACATGTGATGTCAGATTCCTTTTGCCTATACACACATACACACAGCATTTAGCAAATAAATAAAAAGGAAAAATTTGATCACTTTGTTCTTACCAACTGACGGTAGATGGATCAATCAATTTGTTGGGTTGACTCAATTGATGTGTGCAGTTTCTGGCCATGGACCTCCATAATGCATTCTGATATCGTTGGTGTTTGTATTGCTCTGACTTTTTTAGTTTTCTTTCGTTTCTTGTGAGCAGCGAAGTTGTAGATGTGATGTTATCTACAATGTACTTTTGACGCTGTTTACGAGTTTCTTTGTAGGTCTGAATTAAATCATCCGCTGTCCATTGATGTGATAGATAGTCGACACAATAAGAGGCCTTCATTTTTTACTTTGTGGTATAAAGAGGAAAGAAAGAGTAATGAAATAGGTTTAGTTTTGATTGCTTATTTATAAGAGCGCAATAGATATGATACAAAGCTGGTCAGTTTGAGAGACTAGACCATGTTGATTTTCATAAAGGAACAACCCGGATCCGATATTCCCACAGGAAGCATCTTTTTAGCTTGAGGACACAGCACAGACCGTGTTACACTATCCACCTTCTCTCACAAACTAAAATAACAAATTGTATTATACTCGATTCGAATACAAACCAAATAGATTTCTATTGGCATGAGGCAATTTCTGTTCTAATCTTGGTTGAGTATTACGAGCATCTTGTCCAATGATAGGTAACTATTCATGAGCTTAATTTGTCTGTTTATTATGATGGACTATCCGAGTGTAGTAGTGGTATCTATGTGCTAAACAGATAGTAAAAACAAGGCCTCGTTTTTTTTCACACACCCGTAGTATTTCAATCAATAGCTAAGCTCGCCGAAACGAATATAGGATGATACATGCTGAATGCAATAATTTATTGAAAATTTATAATGCGAATTAGCTGACAACATTGCGTTTATGCAGTGCAATTATCGAATGTTTCTCTTTTGTCATGATTCGATTCGGTTTGTTTTATCCCTATAAGCGATAAGGCTCTTTCCTGATCTGCCTCACAGATAGTGGTAGTGACGACGATGAGACAATAACATTGTAGTTTCTATATAAATATGAACACAAAATGATAAGCCTCTGCGCCCTTGCCTAGGCATTCGCCCTTCAGCGTTTTTGATTATCTACTCCCCCTTTTTTTTCCAAGATAAAAGAGGAAATAGATATAGATTCAGCACATGGTCTTGTCAATCATTCTGGTTGAGGCAACGTGTCAATGATTCATGCATGTGTATCGACAAGATATCATAACGTAGCTTGTAAATAATTGGGCTATCAAACATATGGTATGGTTAGAAATGGCAAACAACACAAAGACAAGGGGGCCGTTACATCGAGCTCACACAAACACGCATTCTGCCAGTTTCACAAACAACAGCTCAACAGCGTGTTTGATAGCATGTTTGTTGGGCTGAGAAGTTTATTTGTTAGGTTGCAAACCAGATGGCGTATATAGATATGGATGAGCAAGCAAATTCTACGAGATATTATATAATGAAGGACACGACAGATAAGCTTTGGATGGACAAAGGACCCCTCTTTTCCAGCTTTTTTCGGTCATTGATAAGAATTTTATTGATAGCCTTGGAAATGCATCATTTCTTGTTGCTCATCTTTACATGTATTTGCATGTGATTGTATCAAAGAAAATGTTAAGCTGGTAAATAGAAATTTATAACCTGTTTACAGCTTATTATTAAGGTAAATCCGATCCGAATACAAGCTAACATCATTTTATTTCAATATGGTGGGATGATGTCTCATAGTTGATGAGTCGTTTGTCTCCACATACAAAAACATCATTTCGGAACATCTTCCGCAGCAGTAGTTTTGAAGGTTTCTCAAACACAAAGAATCCCCCCCATCCTTCTCTTTCCTTTTATAAGGATCGGATCCATTATGGTTGATTGAGAATTTGCACTGCATTTATTCAATGAAAGAGGGGCTATTTAAAGGGTGGTTGTATGGAGCTGTTTGTTCGAAATGGCATCTTTGTATACATGCACTGTTGGCAAGATGCGAGATGCCATTATCCTGGAGTTCAAATATTAAATAGTTCGCTTTGGCTGTTGCAATTTTCCGCCCCTTTATTCTTCATTTTTCAACTCAAAATGTCCTCACGTATCATGTAATCTATCTGCAACAGTGCCACGTTACAGCGATTACTAACGCATTTTCACTAGGCAATTCAACTCTGCGCAAGAGGAATTGGATTATTATCGAGCTCATGCCGAAGATTTAGAGCTGACACTCCAAGATACAAGAGCTGCTTTGGACGAGTTTCAAGTATCCTCTCGTGAACTGGAAGAAGAGCTTGAAAAGGAATTGCAAGCTACGGAAAAAGCATATAATGATCTCAAATCTCGCTGTGAACATTTCAAAAGAGACGCAGAGGACTGGAAGGTAGGAAAAGCAGCAAGCGTATGTGTGTTTCTCTAAATCAACAGTGCGTCTATTTAGAGCAAATACACAGAGTCAAAGCATGAACAGAACATTGCTATGGTGCAGATGCAGAGAGAAATAGACATATTGAGAGCGACCGAAGATTCGTTTAGAAAGAAGGTCCTTGAGTTGGAGCTGGATAATGATGATTTGGAGAGAACAGAGAGGTATAGCAGAGGTTGTGGTTATAGTATGATGTATCACTCATACGGTTGAAAAGAGCTGCGACATCCTCACTCACAGACTTGGAGATGAAGTTGAACAAAGCAATCGAGAGAAATGTGATTCTTGGTAAAGACATCTATGCGCTTATCACATTCAACACACAAGTAACGCATTATCTGCAGAAAACGAGATCCAAACAAAAGACAATTTAACAGAGCAAACACAAAGACTGAAGGACGAACTTAATGGTACATATCGCTTACATAATCGTTTGATGCTGTGTATTCACATCTATCTGCAGAGGTAAATCAGGAACTGTCTGTCTTGCGAAGCCAATCAGCCAAACAATCCGAATATATTGGAGAACTCGAAAACAAGATTGAGGATGTTGAAAAGAAGAATCGTCAACAAAGCCAGCAAATGCAGCAGCGACAGAATCGATCACCTACACCAGAAACAGCTGGCAACTACTATGATCCTTACTCTAGAACAAGAAGCACTCGTATACCCCGTACTCCAACTTCGGGCTCATTGTCTTCTTCCTCTAATCCAGTCAAAATGGTACAAGAGATGGTTGGCCGTGTCAGAGTAAGTGGGCATTCATTGCAGTGTGTATATTGGTGACTAAAATCAGTTACATGACAGAGCTTGGAGGCACGTTTGCAATCATGTCGTTCGCTGGTTACACCGCTTTTGAATCCACCACCTTCGTACAGCTCCTCCAACTATACTTACAACAGAGATACACACATGAGCACCAGTAGACCTTCTTCGCCAGACAGCATGCGATCCGGAAGTCCAATGCACTTCTCCAATATCAAAGCAAGAAGACCATCTGAATACATGAAAACAAGCATGGATACCAGTGAGGAATAAATGTTGTTGATCATGCCTCAGTGTGCAATGCGTTGTCAATTGTTTTTTGAATACTCTAATAGCACACCAATCGCCTGCCATCATTGATATCATCATCGTCCTTGCATATAATAAAAACTAATTTTAATTCCGTGAAATCGAGGGGTTGTCCTTTCTAATGATTTGAGAAATCAAGGCAAAACTATCAGTGCGCTTCAGAGCGTTTAGGTTACTTGATAGTTGTCTCCATCCTGTTTTTTCATGGGCTTGCAAACGCTGGTCGATATTAATTAATAAAATTTATCCTTCATTGACAGCTATTTTTGACAATGCAGGAAATGGTGAATAAGAGGGTAATTGATGAGACACAACAGATGTTTGAGATATGTAGAAGAATTTTCTTTGGTTGAAAACATTTATTGATTTAATATATTGTGATGAATGATTTGCTATATGCCATGATATACTAGAAGAACTTCATTTTTACGTTTAAATATTTCAAGACCCTTTGTAAAATGGCCCACAACTGTGAATCTGATTTCTTTAGGATGCTTCACGTCTGTAATAATGGGAACAGTTTATATACAGGCACATGGTACAGTAGCATTACCTCAAACTACTCAAACTACTCAAATTTGTGCAAATCACAGCAAAATCTGGATGAATTTGAGCCCTGTTTTCTCGCGTTAGAAGCTGTTTCAGACTACCATAATAGCACCAAATGGTTGCCTTGATTTAGCGCTATTTTTCTGACACCTTTGCTCAACTTTTTTGGGATCGCCAAAAAATCGACCAAAAACCATAGCAAAACCACGAGGGATGCCTCATGACTTTCATCGAAAATCAAACGATCGCGTTTTTCGCCTCAAAAATGAAGACTTTCACTATGGCAAGTATTAATTCAAAATGCGTCTCTCGATTTAGGGCAGCCCGTAAAATTGGTTTTGTGAAATCTTCATATGTACAATTTTGATATTTTCATCAAAAACCTCAATTTATGTCTTTAAAAATTGCTCAATAAGTTCTTCCATAATGTCTCTTATAACTGGTACTATTGGATGCGTCTTGAAAAGTGCTTCAAAAAAGCTTAAGGAGGCATGATAGTATGTACAACGTACATAGTCGGATCTTGCAAATAGGTCAAATCGAGTCCAAAAAGTTCAAAAACGAACAAATCAGAGAAAAACGTCGAGCGGATATTTAACCAACAGTCTTTTTTTTTCGGTGGCTGCCTGTCTTTCGCAGCGCGTTTACCACTCATGAACTTCTCCAGTTTGAGTGGAACAATGCGACGTTATCTGAGGATGTCGTAAATTACAAACCAGACTTCAAGGTATTCACGCAAGTTCTGAACAAAAAGCTCATGCTGGTAGTAACGGAGATCAAGCCCTTAAAAGCCATTCATTCGTCGAGTCAGGCACAGTGAAGTTTTGCAGACAAATCAAGCAATGTTTCAACGACATGGCCCTCTCCGGTCTTCCTCCACTTGTGGTGTGTGACCTAAAGTTCGATTGTCTTTTTATGGAGACTTATGCCCAGGATATGATAGCCCCCAAAGACTATCGTGCTGTGAAGCTAACGAATGGAAACATTTGCCGCAATCGTTTGCTATTTCGCTTGATTCCATCCATTGTATCTCGTTTGCTCCAAGTGAAAGGCATTGCGCTAAAGGTTGCCCAGGACGCCGAGCAAACCCTTCACAACGTCAATGGCTGTCTTCGCCGACCAGAGCCCTCTCTGCTCCCCTCATGGCTTCCCTATGATCACTACGTGTTGACGAGTGAAAAAGAGCATCAAAGCAAGGAACAAGTTATTTTGGCTTTCTCTTTCTCTTTCTTATTTTATGGATATCCCCTTGTTATCATCAGTTCCTTTTTATTTCAGTTCTTTTTCTTATAAATCAATAACTATTAAAGCGATCATTCATATGAAGGAGGATTTGACATCCAAAAGCTTCTCGCTGTCAATTGTCCTACAGCGTTTTCTTGTCTTTGAAATGTAATAATAATTCAGTGCACAACAATTTGCAAGGTGAATAATTGAGTATATCAGGTCCTTGCACAATTTAAAACTAGGGGCTTTCTTGTCAATTGGATATTTGAGGCGAAATTCGATGCTCTAGCATCAGTATTTCAAGAGTTGATTTCGAATGGCCCAAACCTCGAAGCCGGAAATAATTTTTAATATCAACTTTAAAGGACATCCCTCACATGCAACTGTTTTGATTTATCAGAATTACAATATATGCATTTGGAAGTAGATTGACAGATAATTGTACCACAAACACCAAAGATGACAACAATGAAACGTACCTTATAGCAAAATACCATGGAAACATATCATATAATAGCAAACAACCATCTCATATTTTAATCCCCCACTCCCCCAAACATCTAGTTCTATTCGCTCAGCAACTAAATTGGAAACACGAAATACTTGGCAGTGAATACTTCATCAAAAAAAACCCCACCAAACAAATCCTACACAATCGCATGGGAACACCAATTTCAACCACACTGCTCCATATGTCCCACCTCTAACGCTCAAATAGAAAGCAACGCACATTTCCTCTTCTTCTATCCAGCCAAAATGCTCGGTCAATGCATGCTTGTGTGCTGTACACATGCGAAAGGTCAACGGAGTTTCAATTTATATTGTTCTGAATAAGGATCCAAAAGATTCCTAAATCTATCGACCTTAAAGTTACGCGTTTCTTGATAGTAAACACCCCTTCAAACTTATATGAGACTTGTAGAAAATTTAAAGAAAAATACAATGGTATTTATATCAGGTGTTTGCTGTACATTGTTCAGCTGATATTTAACAAGTTAAACTTTGCGACTTTTTCACTGTTTTCTAAAGATTAATTAGTATCTGTCATCAAAACATTTTGTTAAGCATTACTAAACATTGTAGACCAAAAAAGATCCTATCGAATGAGCTATTGCTTGAAGCTCTGGCGTAATTCTATCATGAAATATTGACAATATTGTTCTGACCAAGAAAAGGTCACCCAATTTTTTCGCTTGCTATCACAGGCAGATTTTGAAGAAAAATCAATGATTTTGCATGATACCCTTTTTTGGCGATATCTCGACAAATACTCACCAGATTCGCACAGAACAAAAGCCATTCGATAGCTCTATGTTATATCCATTATAATATAAGGGTTTCAAGTACCAGATGTACGTTCCCTTCATAAATCTGCTCAAAATCATATATTTCATGAGCTACAAGCAGGGGATAATCAAAACTTTCTTTATTCATCTATAATAACCATACCGTCGCATAGAGAATTGAAAAAGAAACAGAAGCTATTAAGTTTGAAGCTCTCGTTGACTTAGTAGAATCCAGCGGTACAACCCTTTGAAAATTGATCACTTTTACTCTTTTTCCTCATTACTCATCCACATCGTCCTTAACAAGCCCAAGTACAACACTCCCTAATCAACCAAAGTACCCTCTACACCTTTTACTGGACATACAACCAACATTCATATAGTAATCCATTGACTTTTATTAGTAGCATCTGTCTATAATTTGCAAATTTCAAAAATCTCACTTTCCTCAACCACATCTCATTCTATCTAAAATCCAATTGCACCATCGTTTTCTTCTCAAAAAACTGTTATACTAACATCTTACTTTCAAAGCTCGAATTTCAAAATTCAGAGAAATTATAAGAAAGTAAACCAAGCAGAGAAATGCAGCGCGCGAAGATTTTGTTTTATAGACATTTCAAGTTTTAAAAAGTTGGTCATGTTTTATTTCTTTCATGGTCGGTCATGGACTACTACGATATTTATGAGATTCTTGGGTTGTAAACCAAATTTGCTTTGTCCATCTACAATAACATTCATAAAGGCCAATCGTGATTTCCAGCAGGCAAGACATTTACGCACACACTGATGCTTACACCAGCAGCACCGAAATATACGGCAGCAGATCTATGATGCCAAGTGACGAAAGCAATGGCATATTGCAATCAAAAGATTGTGTGGGATGATTGGCTTTTTTGAGTGTCATTGTAAGAGATGACAAAACAGAGCCTACGTTTATCTTGTTGGAATTGAACGACCTATGTTACCAAGACACAGGTGTAAAGGAATAGAGGACCTTGTATTTCAGTGCTACCTGGTTTATACAGACACAAATTTCGACTTGTCAATGGCAAAATCTTCATCATTCTCAAATAGCAGAGAGGATGGTGTCTAGAATAGTGCCCGCCCTACTGCTACAGCTTGTCTATTGCCTAGCTACAGTATGATGCTTACCAACTATTTGAAGGATTGTCGATTTTTAGGATGATCACCTCTGCTGTAATCTGTGTTCTGATTGCCATCATTGACGAAAAGTGTGCGTGCAGCTCCATAGCATGAATCGCTCACAGTCGTTCCTCGTCTACTGAGATTATCCAAATCCATATCCAACGCAAGATTACCACCAGTACCATGATTGTATGAGCCATCCTAAACAATGCCATTGTTTGGGCGCAACTTGGTTTCATCGAACACTCAATGCTATTCGTATTTTCTTGGATTGGCAGAATCCAATGAATATCTCATTTTATAAATCGATACTTAAAATGCCATCCTTGAGTCGAATCAAGCGCGTTACTGTTTTTTACTCGCTACTTATTCATCTACAATGTCTTAAGTCATGAGCCGCTCTGAACCACATTATCGGATGATGCTGTATGCTCTAGTCATCATGTGGTCTAATCACTGAATGAAATGTGCCACAACCACAGTGTGACTTTAACAACGGATCTCTGCTCTATGAAATGCTTGGAAATCAAAGTTTCTTTTTGTTACACTTTAGCCAACAACCATTCAATCATGAAAATAAAGCAGCTAACAATCAAGGTAAATTGCACTCTTCTAATACTGTATAGGACGTTTTATTAAAGCATTACATTCAAACAGACAGCCATTCGAGATGAACTAACGTGTGGCAAGTACCTGAATATGAATTGATGCGCTTTTCATTGTTCTTACCTTTTTTTTTTTTTTTTTTTTTTTTTTTTTTTTTTTTTTTGCCACAGCTCTCTGTCAAGATATATTTGACAAACCACAGGCACTGATTCCATGCTTGCACACCTTCTGTCTGGACTGTGTCAACTCACTCCCAACACACTATGGCAGCGATGATATGACTTGTCCCATTTGTAGAAGAAGTGCAAACAGTTTTTCAAGCAACTTTTCAATCCAGAATTTTATCGATATATTCAACAATACATCTCTGGATGAGGCTAAGGAAATTGCCATCGTTTCTGACATGGCTGTTAGTGGCACCTCAAACACTGAGGGAAGCTCTTCTTCTTCGTTTGCGTCAACATCGTCCTCTCCTAACTTTGAGAGAAAAGCACATGATGAAGGACACCAACATGATGAAGCCGAATCCTCCACTGCAGCGTTCTCAACAGCCCCTTCTTCTTCGTCAGCATCATCCTATCAATCTGTTACCACGTAAGTCGGTTGTCTAGGCATAGGAGTTATATACATGTACTCAAGTGGCGTCATGATAGCTTTGGCTTGATGAAGAAGCCTTGCCGATCCTGCAGCTCTTTGAACAGCACAAATTACACATGTCCGATACCAATTACAGATGAGAATCAAGATGGCTTTGGACATCTTTTATGCGGCTACTGCTCCGAATTCATGCCAGCAAGAGGGTTTGGAGGCAATGAGCCCGCTATCAATCAGTGCTGTAGCTTCTGTGGTGTCGTAGCTTGTGATGAATATTGGAAATGTAAAAACAGATCCAATGCTGCTAAACTGTATATACTGAGTGGTAATGACACAATGCACACAGCACATGATATACAGTTGTTGATGTCTTGTCATTTCTAGAAATCGATGATATAGGAACCTGGTTAAAAGACGTGGACTCCATAGAGACCAAGGAAGATGGACATTTGAATCTCGCAGAGATTGCGTTATTGCAGAGACACTTGAATCGGGCAGGCATAAGCTGGGCAAATGCTTGGGAGCAATGTAGGATCGATTTGGATGACAACGTGTACACATCTCGTAGGTTGCGCCTTATTAAGATAGCAAAGCTAATGATGCTCATCCGTGCTCTTTTAGCTATTGTGAGAAGAATGACTCCTCTAGGGCTTCAAATTTACAATACTCGTCGCCTGCCAGTTTACGACAGCAATGGTCAAAGCGATGACGACGAAGACACCTATTATGACAGAATTGGAGAAGAAGGTGTGCTGCCCTCGATGAACTTGAGAGCATGCTACTCTTGTGCAGTAACGGTCGTGAATGGCCAGTTTTATGGATACTGGAAGAGTCTCAAGGAAGACGGATTGATAGGGCGTGAGTACTTCTTTGGTTGATGACTGCCATTTGCAGGAAATTAATTCGAACGCTTTCTAACAGACTTGGATAATCGAGACAAATGCACAAGAGGGATTCGATGTGATGCACAATGGCGAACACCCAGTAAGGCTTTTCAAGTAGAATCTTCCTTTTGACTAACATTCTTATAGGCCACGCTGAAAGATTGAGCCATATTGACACAGATGAAAGCATACCCTACTTTTAGCCCATCTCTCCTCATCATCAACAAGATACCAATTCATTTATGTCTATATCCTATTTACACACTTTCTTTATCCAATGTCTTATTTGCTATCTGTATTTACTTGCAAAAAAAAATAAATAAATAACTAAAGCTCATCTCTTTCGACCTTCTTTTCCTCTTTCACAAACTTGGATGGTTTGATCAAGTCATAGTTTCCGCTCCACTTTGCATAGTTGAGGTCCATCATGCGCTTTTCCAATTCCCTTAGATAAGGCAGCTGTTCTCTGTATTGATCTGCAGAGAACAAGGACACGAATGTATTCAGAGGCGCGTCATTGAGATTGCAACCCTTTCTACTAAGCAAAATATCTTCAATCATCTCAGGGGTATAGTTGAAATCTGACTGTTGCGTTGACAAGTAGGCCTCCAGTGCAATGCCGCCAGCAGGGATTCGACATTCTTTGCGGATGCTACTCTTCAAATCGTCCATGGATAGTACAGGCTCTTTGTGAATGGATCTCCAGAAGGTGGGCGAAAAGTAAGTTGCATGATTGCCGGGTGTTGAAATGACCTGATCTGACATTGTCATCATGAATTTGGTGCGAACACCTACAATCTCGCCATCGCCTTCCCATTGAGCCATATCCGGATAATATTCAACTACATTTGCTACAGAAGGCCATGGCCCGGGTCCTCGAGTGTATATGAAAGGACACTATTTACGAGTTGAGTGCTGGGGTAAATCTATCAAAAAACGCCATTTACCTCGTTCTTTACAAATTCATCTGTACCAGCAGTTGCTTCCGTATGGACCTTACAAAGCTCATCAATCACAGCCTCTAACTCCTTTGTCTCGACTGGCTGAGCAACGTTCTCTGATTTAATGTTGACAATGAAGAACTGTTGAACACTGTCTCTCGAGAAGTGGAAAATGTCGTTTAGCACATCTCTGAATGTCTTTTTCAATGCAGATCCATCTTTGCTTGAGCAAGTAGTAATTATTCCCTGGCTAGAATGAAACGTGAGCAACCCATGCCATACCACCAAGACACACACACACACACTTACTCTTTGCACAGATTGATATCCAAGTAACGAATGCCTACCATTGGACCATGGTTAATTTCGCTTTGCAACTGGTTGTCCAAAGGTACTTACCATCAGCCAGTGCCTGAGCGATATCATGTGCTTGCGCGTTGTGAGCACCGAGGTAAAATGCTTGGTTAATAGGCATATCCTTGTAATTTGGATAACCGTTACAGGGCCCAGGCCCATTCATGGCCTCGGAGACGCCAGCATAAGGCCTCATTGCACTGAAGTTAGAAAGGGTGCTATCACAGTAATGTAGTAGATTACTTACTCGGTGCTGTCATCCTCGATGATTTCTACGCCAATTTGAGCATTGACGCCTGCATATATTAAAGCTGCAGCAATTAAAGGAGACCACGCTTTCATTATTTCAAAGGGAATACAGAAGGAAAAAGAGTTAATTAATAACATCTCGGGAAAAGCATGTCTAAATTGACAATATGATTGACATCCCGCCTTTAAACATGTTTTCAAATACATGATATCGTCTCAAAGATGGGCTTTGTCAACACCAAAGCATGGTTTCCAACTAAAAAAAAAAACATGCCCTTTATGTCTCCTTTTGTACTAATACCATCTTCAGCTCATGAGAGACTCGTCCTTTGCTTGATTCAACATGCTGTTTGCAATGTGGATGTGAGTCCAGACTAGTAGTCACCTGGAAACAAAACAACAGAGTGTTTAAAATAGCTCAACATGTTGCTAAATGAACTCCCCTTCTTTTTTACTTTCATTTTTGTTTGCGCACACCACTAAAGCATGAGCCAAGAACCTCCACGTCAATTGGGTGTCACTTTGCCTATATCAACAGCTCCACCTACTGAGAGCGAGCTCAAATTAACGGAAGACTTGCTGCAAACCCTGAAGGATTTTGGTTTGTTTGAGAGTGAGCAAGAGGCCCAAAAGAGGTTCGTCATCTCTGCAAGAAACCAGTGTCTTTTAGAACCACCACTCACGCTTTTTGATTAGAATTGTTGTACTGGGCAAGCTCAACAAGATGGTCAAAGAGTTTGTCTACAAAGTGAGCAAAATGAAGAACTTTCCAGATTCACTTGCCAAGGAAGCTGGTGGCAAAATTTTCACCTATGGTAGTTACAGACTTGGTGTCCATGGTGCCGGTAATGATAGCGAATGGCATGGTCAATTATAGACGACTCACCATGTGTGTATAGGTGCTGATATTGATACATTATGCGTGTTCCCAAAGCATGTGGAGAGAGAGCATTTTTTCACAATCATGTACGACATGCTGAAAGCCAGGCCTGAAGTCACCGAGATCGCAGCAGTACCTGATGCCTACGTACCTGTCATTAAAATGCACTTTTCTGGTATTCCTGTAAGTGCCGAATCATCTCTACCGTAGAGTACACGCTAACGATAATGTAGATTGATTTTATTTGTGCAAGATTGGCGATTGCTCGAGTACCTGACGATTTAGAACTAGCCGACAACAACATTCTTAAAAGCTTAGATGAACGATGCGTACGTAGTTTGAACGGTTCTCGAGTCACTGACGATATCTTGCGTCTTGTACCCAACGTTGCAACATTTCGAATTGCTCTGCGCACTATTAAACTATGGGCTAAATGTCGTGGGATTTACAGTAATGTCATGGGTTTTTTGGGTGGTGTTGCTTGGGCCATGTTAATTGCACGTATTTGCCAGCTATATCCTAATTCCTGTGCAGCATCCATTGTGCATCGATTCTTCAGCATCATGTCTCGCTGGAAATGGCCGCAGCCTGTATTGCTTCGACCTCTGGAAGATGGACCACTTCAAGTGCGTGTTTGGAACCCCAAATTATATCCAGCAGATAGAAGTCATCGCATGCCCATCATCACACCAGCCTATCCATCCATGTGTGCCACGCACAATGTCACCGACTCGACACGAACCATCATGATGAATGAATTCAAACTGGGCGTGGATGTTGTGGAGAAGGTCATGATTGGCAATGGGCAATGGAAGGATCTGTTTACAAAAGCCAAGTTCTTTCATGATTATAAGCACTATCTGCAAATTACGTCTTCATCTGAATCTGCTGAATCACAATTAGTTTGGTCTGGTCTGGTGGAAGCTAAATTGCGTCAGTTGGTTCTCAAGCTGGAGGTGGTGGATATGATCACTTTGGCACATCCCTATGTCAAGGGCATCGATAAAGTGCATTACTGCTTGACGCCAGAAGAGGCTGAGACTGTGACAAAAGGCGGTGATTTGCCAGGACGATCGATTCGAGTAGAAGAAGGCAGCTTGGAGATGAATCACACGGAATCACTCAAGCAGCAGGGTCTGGTGACGGAAGAGAATGAAAAGGATATCAAGCGCATCTTTTCAACGACATTCTACATTGGATTTGTGATTGAGCCCAAGATTGGTAAGTGCTGTGGTGTGTCTATTGATGTAGACTTTGGAGCTGACAGGATTGGTTTGTAGCTGGAGGAGAGCAGAGGAAGCTGAATCTCGTTTGGCCTGTGCAAGAGTTTACAAAACTAGTAAAAACATGGGATAAGTTTGACGAAAAGGAGATGAAGATCACGATTCAGAGTATTAAAGGGTGCTGCATTCATTTATTTTTGCTTTTTTACATTGCTAATAAACCAAATATACCAACCATGGCTAATTGTATTTTGTCATTTATACCTTTGTAGATCGAAACTGCCAGCAGACCTTATTGGAGAAGAAAAGAAACTCAAGAGACCGCAAGAAAAGGTAGGTGTCCTTGTTCATGATAAAAGTAGGCTTTCATTCTAACACTCTCTCTCTCTCAGTCAAAGAGCGACGAATCTCCTATGCAACCCGCCAAGAAGCTTCGTAGCGACAAGAGGGAGGGTGGCGACATTGTTAAAAAGGACATTTTGACTCCATCTGCCACTGCTGCCATTATCCAACAGCAAGAAGTCTTGTCGCCTCCCAAGGAGGCTCCCGTAACAGCTGCCGAGTAGCACTGACATTACTAACCATTATATAATACACAATTGATATTTTGACCCCTTAGCTAGCATCCTGTTTTGTTCATTCAATAAACCAAATGTATGGGCTGCTCTCGCTTGAAGCACCTAATTTTCTTAATATGTTTTTTTTTTTTTTTTTTTTTGCAATACCGGCAAGCACCATTGAAATCATATGCAAATCGGGATCAGATCACACAAGGACCAAACGTAATGGCATCCAAAAGGAGTTTATCTCTGGATCGCAATCGATAATTGACTCACAAAAGAAAGAAATGAGTAAAGAGATGTCTTTGACTTCATATTAATCATATCCTACTATGTTTACGGCGATAAGGAATATCTATATCCCAAACAACTAGATGGATCAAATAGTTACATGTGATTATCTAACGTTGCATGATTCTTAGCTTATAAAATTGCTGTACTTAGGATCCAAGGTCTACTGAATGCCATACAGGCTACTTGCTTAATCTAAAATGTACTGGAGTTTTGCATTAAGCTGAGCGTAAGCTTCCGCACGGATGGGGTATTGCAAATGTCAACTGGAACGAATAAAACGCATGTGTATGACACCATGAAGGATAACCAGCTTTCTCTTCTGCACATTCAAAGCCAACCATGTTACACACATTGGCATGTCAAACGAGTGCTTGGTAAAAGGCAAGCTCACTTTTCTTCAAAACATGGATAGAAATAGAACCCCAAGAATTACATGTCTTTTCGGAGATCATGCCATTTGCAATGCTCATTGATAAATTTTCGTTTTAAAACTTATTTTTTTTTTTTTGGTTTGTTTTACTGGGAATTTATTTCTTTTCTTTTGCCCTCTTTATTCTCTACCTTCACCTGCTAAAACAATGAAGTTTGGCCATACTTTGAAAACCTCATTGAATCCAGAATGGACACAATTCTATCTAGGTATGTTCATGTCAAGGCAATAGGTAACACCGTCACTGAGTATAATTCCGAAATCCAACTGCAGAATATGATGGGCTAAAGACCATCTTGAAAAAGAAACTTCCTTATGCTGAATGGCAAGAAGAAGACGAGTCCAAGTTTGTTGAAAAGCTCGAGAAAGAATTGGCCAAGGTCTACAATTTTCAAAAGGTCAAATTATCTGAAATCACAAAGCACATTCAACAAGAAACACAGGAGGTGCATGCCTTGTGCGAGAAGGAGCATCCTGAAGAAGACGATTTCACTGCTTGCGAGGTTGAATTGAGTCAGATTATTGCTGATGTGCATGATTTAGCCAAGTTCACTCGCTTGAATTACACTGGTTTCCTCAAGATTATCAAAAAGCATGATGTAGGTGATATCGACATGGCAAAGTGTGTCAGTAGCTTACTGATACGGGCATGATAGAAAGTAACCAATTGGATCATCAAACCAATGTTCAGTGCAAGATTGAACGCCAAGCCATTCTACATGGAAAACTACGAGGCTTTGATCATTCGCATCTCCACATTATACGACCGTGTCAGAACTCGTGGCAAAGAGCGTGGTGGCGACTCTGGTGCTGGTGGCAAGCAATCTGCCTTTGTCAGAAATACAACAAAATACTGGGTGCACCCGGATAACATCACTGAACTCAAACTGATCATTCTTAAACATCTGCCTGTGCTTGTATTCAACCCCAACAAGGAGTTTGAAGCATCCGATTCAGCCATCAGCAGTGTCTATTACGACAACGATGATTTCGAGTTGTACATGGGACGGTTGGAAAAGACAGAAGGTGCAGAGGCCATCCGTATGCGATGGTATGGTGGTATGGATACAAACACTATTTTCGTGGAGCGCAAGACACATCATGAGGACTGGACGGGCGAGAAATCAGTCAAAGCAAGATTCCCAATCAAAGAAAAGTATCTCAATGCCTACTTGAAAGGAGAGTATACCACAGACGAGCTGTTTTCAAAGATGAAGGAGCAGGGCAACAAATCCGAGAAAGAGATTGAAGATATGGAGCAACTGGCGCAGGAGGTGCAGTATTCAGTGCTTACTCGCAAGCTCCATCCCATGATGCGAACTTTCTACAATCGTACCGCTTTTCAACTGCCTGGCGATGCGCGTGTTAGAATCAGTCTTGACACAGAGCTCTCCTTGATTCGCGAAGACAACAACGGGGCAGTGAGATCAGGCGATAATTGGCGTCGCATGGATATTGGTGTGGATTACCCATTCAAGCAATTGCCTGACAACGACATTTGCCGATTTCCATATGCTGTGTTGGAGGTCAAGCTGCAGACGCAGTTTGGCCAGGAACCTCCACAATGGATTACAGAGCTTGTCAACTCACATCTGGTTGAATCCGTGCCTAAATTCTCCAAGTTCATCCATGGTTGTGCCACCCTGTTAGAAGACAAGATCAACGTACTACCATTCTGGCTGCCACAAATGGAGATTGATATTCGCAAGCCTGAAACAGGCGCTTTTGGTGTTAAAAGACCCGATGTTATTCATAGCAGTTCTACTTCCTTTGATTCTGCACAAGGCATCACTGATGGATCCAAGTTAACCACAGACCACAGTGTCCAAATCACAATGGCAGAAGCTACAGAGAGTACGCCTCTTTTACCACCTCGCCCTGGAACAGCAAGACATGCTGATGAAGAAGAAGGGTCCAGCATGTTGAAAAAGTTATCGCCTGCTGGTCTTCAAACAGTGTTCAATAAATCAAAGACCCTCTTTCGAAGAAAGAATGCACGACATCAACGACAGCCATCTCACACTCGCTCTCGTGCTGTACCAGTAGCTGCACCGCCTGCCAAGACTTTCTTTGCTAATGAACGTACATTCTTATCTTGGCTGCGATTCACTTTGTTACTGGGTGCCCTGTCCATTGGGCTGTTGAACTTTTCAGATCATGTAGGGCGTGTTTCAGCTGTTATCTTCACCATGTTGGCAGTCGGTGTCATGATTTACGCCTTGTACAATTACCATGTGCGTGCAAATTGCATTGCTCGTAAAGAAGTGGGTGATTTCTCTGACAAATATGGACCTGCCGTGTTGACTACATTCATGGTGATTGCGGTATCCATCAATTTCTATCGTAAGTGCATCTCTAAAATGATCTGTACATTATTTTTAACCTCTTGTGTGTTTCTAGTTCGTTTAAATTCAGAAGGAATGCAGTAAAAAAGGGGAGGCTTCCAGTCTCAATCAAATGTTGAATAGTATAGCAATCAGATTTATGAAAGAGGCTACATGTATAAATAACACAAAACACACTATTGCAGTAAATGTTCAGTTTCAACAGTGTATGTAATCCTCTTGTATACATGATTAGAAATAGAAAGAGAGATCCCATGTTTATTGATTCAAATGTCTACTACGAAAATGCCCCTTTATCAGCCACACTAAAAATACATACAAATTAATACAAATCAGATTTAGAACTCGAATTCTGGACGGAATTGATTCAAATCTGCTCCAACAACAGCTTTATCAGCTAAATCACGACGATCCTATAGTCAAAAGTGTGAGTGTCAAGTGCATTTCACCACCGATAACCACTTGTAACTTACCATCATAATAAAGGCCTTTCTCAACATCTCCCAAGAGTTGCTAGACACATTGACACCTTCTTCAGAATCACCATTGCCACGCTTGTGCATGGAGAGACCAGTTAAAATATGCTCTGCTGCTTCCTTATAGCATCCGATATTAACACAACTGACACCAATGTTGTATCTCGCACGCACAAAGGATGGACGCAATTCGAGTGCTTTGTGATAGGCATCAATAGCTTCTTCTGAGCGACCATTGTTGGCCAAGGTAGCACCCATACGATTCCACAGCAAGTAATCCTAACCAATACTATCAGCATCAATCACATGTTACAACAGACCTGCACACTTACATCGGGACGTCCCTTCAAGGCGGCAACGAAACAGTCAATCGCTTTATCCAAATCACCGCTGCCATAGAACAAGACACCAAGACCCACTTGTACATCGGGATCCATCAACTGACCATCAGGAGCCTGTCTTGCAGCAGCCAAAAACAAGTCTGTCACTCTGTCATGAAGCTCAAATGGTGAAGCAGCTTCGGGTAAAGGTAATTTGCCAGCAACTTGGGGGTATTTTTGAGTGATCCAGCGTTCCAGCGTTTGGTATGCTGCATGGTCGTAAGATTCATTTGTGTAACTGACTGCCAATGACATGAGAGCTTGTAGATTGCCTGGGTCTGATTCAATGGCTCTTTCTAATGCTCGAATAGCTGGCTCTTCCTTCTCGTTCTGTGCTTGCACGTTGCCCAAATGCATCCAAGCCTCTGAGTTTGCAGGGTCCTTTTGCACCACAGCTTCAAATGCCATGGCAGCATCACTGAGAGACCCACCTGATTCCATCAAGCGCATACCTTCAGCCATGGGATCAGGGTGATTTAAAAAGGGATTGGACACTTCAAATACGTATTCTCCTAAATCAGGCTTGTAAATAGCACCACCGTTATTGAAGTTGCCAAACTCGTCCTCCCAATCATTATCTTCAGCCATTTGATCGCGAATGTTTTGCCACACATTTTCAAACTGTTCAAATGCAGGATCTTGAGCAGCAGCAGTCTCCTCTACTTTGCGAGCCATTTCTTCTTCTGTAGGTCCATCAAACGAAGCAAACTGTTCTTCCCATGAAGCATTGTTGTTGCCGTTCAGTTCAAGACGTCCTTTGCCCTTGCCTTGATGAAGATCGAATTCGTTTGCCCAGTCAAAGTGTTTCTGGAAGGCGGTTTCGAATTCAGCCAGTTGTGCTGGATTCATATTGGTTACCTCTGGATGGTTCATGAACTCCTCTCTCCAAACTATTATATTACTTTGTGAGGAGATGTGGTATAAAAAAACTTTAAATTTTCTTGTCTTACCTGATGCGCTTTGAGAGGGGCCAGCAGCTGCTCTGCTCTCCATAAATGCCTTCTCCATAGCCTCTTCTTCTCCCGGCGTCAGCTCCCATAATTTAGGCCCTTGTTGCTGTTGCTGTCCACCAAACTCACTTGCCCAACCTCCAGCTGCGGGTACTTGACGTACAGCATCCAACTCTCTTTGCAGAGCCGAGAATTCGAAATTGTTGTTTCCCATACCCATTCTTTGTGGCTGTTGCTGTTCTTGGCCGAAAAACTCATTGACCATGTCTCCACCTTGAGCAAATCCAGGCCCTTGTTGTCTTTGCGTACGCATCTGTAGTAATAGGATGCCATGAATACACAGGCTTAACAGATTGATACCATCTCTCTACTTACCGATGATGGCCCAGTGTTTTGCTGAGATGGCCCAGCAAATTGGTCCTATATACAGAGGTCAGCATAAATGGGTGTGGTAAAACGATTGTTGGCATTTTACCCTTTGAAGAGATCTATCTTGACCAAACTGCTTCATCATTTGAGCCATAGGGTTGGCACCACCGCAGGAGTCATCACCATTCATCATATTCTTAAAAGCCATTATGTGTATGAAAAGGGGAGAGAAGAAAAAGGAAAAACTTAAAAGGTGAGAAAATAAGTGATTAAAATTATGTAAAAGAAAAAAAGACCTTAAATGCTGACTAAAAGTATGGTTTGAGCCCAGTCATTTGTGGGGTTAAAAAAAACATGACATGCCAATGCCAATTGAACGCTTTTGGAAATACGGCTAGATGTCCCTATTCCGGGATTCATCAGCTGCTGTGCAAATCTCAGGGGATGATTTCGTACAAGTGCTTAGTGTAGGCAGCGCGAATTATGTGGTATGTGGATGCTGAAATGACGAGCACCATAGCGCTGGCAGAGTACAAGCATAGGCTACACTACCCATAGTCCAACTAATGATCGACCAAGAACTGACAATTTCAGGGCTGCTTAACAGCGTTTTCAACCAAAAGCAATAGGCGAAAGCTTAAGCCGTCAGGCCTACATCGGTTACTACAAACAAAAGAATATGATATACTTTCTTCCAGCTAGACTTAATGCTCCTTTAAATCGAATGAATTCAAGATATTGCCACTGAGTAAGATCACTTTTCATGATTCAGCTAAAGGACTTGACGTGACTCTGCAAATGTCATATTAAGTATCGATTGATAAAATGAGATACTCATTGGATTCTGCCAATCCAAGAAAATACGAATAGCATTGAGTGTTCAAAAGACAAGCTGTGAGCCGCTGAAGGTAAATCGATGAAACCAAGTTTCTCTACAAGTTTCATATAAGTTTGAAGGGGTGTTTACTATCAAGAAACGCGTAATTTTAAGGTCGATAGATTTAGAAATCCTATGGATCCTTATTCAGAACAATATAAATTGAAGCTTCGTTTAATGTTTCAAATCTTTATGTCGCGATCAAAGGCAAATTTTGGTCAGAAATCGTTGATTTTGCACCTTGCACTTTGTTATACGACATTTGATGTATCGTAGGAAGAGAGCTCGTTTTAGTTCAAAAAAAAATGCTTTGCTCATCAACCTTTTTTTTTTGTACAGTCTTCACAAAAGAAGAAAAAGGCTATATTTATACCTCTCTACTGATAGGCTCAGTTGTCCAGATGCTACATGATAGTGATAAGCACCCAGGGTGAGGATTATTTTATTGAAACGCTAAACATACATTATTGACCGCGCTTTCAGGTAAGTCATAGGCTTGTACCTTCTAGAAGCAGCAGTAACGCCATACGCACCATCAAAATCAAGGCGGCTACTTCTTCCTCATCGTTCTACCGCTGGTCTACAATGAATATACTGACGGTGCTCTGATCAATTCCATGGAAACACTGGTGCCAGATAGCAAAGGATGGGAAGAAGAAAGACCTAAGCAGGCATTGAAGTTGAGGCATGCCCAATCAGTCCGATATTACTTAGTCAAAGATAACTCAAGTTACGATTTACTTGCATACTGGAATCAACGCTGGAAACTGCACGAATATGGATTGATGGACAGTAACATTGGCCTTCAGGACACTTCAGGAACTAGCTAGCAAAAGCAATTTATTAGTGGCAAGTATTGAAATCGAGTTTGCAGTGGGAAAGCCTGCCTTGTCTGGAATATCAATATAGGAGCTTCTGTATACGACTATTTTGATTTGTCAACTCACATTGAGCATTCGCTAAACCCAAAAATGAGCATTTGTGCCCGTGTATTTTACTGGTTGGCTTTATATAGTCATCATCATTCGCCTACTGAAGGCCTAATTATTTTATCGATATAGTAATCATCTCTAGTACTCAATATTCAAATGTATGCTCTAGGCGATGCAGCATTAGGCAAACGCATACAAGCTTTCCAGTTGTCAGCTTAGCAAAATATATATATATATATATATATAAAAGAGCACCTGGCTGCACATCTCTCTTTCGGATATTTCTGATCCATCTAAAATCCAGGGGGTTTGTATATTCGAAACCAAAAACAGATCATGATATAGTACAGCTCTGCTTCAAGTGCAGCTGGCTACTACGTAAATCGACTACTAATGTAAGCTGTAGTTATTGTGATCAACGGAAATCAGATAATGAGCTGGGTAATTAAGAGGAAGGTTCTCATTTAGCCAATAAACCAATCATTGAATGAAGTGTACAAGTTGTAGAAAGGGCGGACATTGGCTCATAAAACCAACACCCTCTCTTCCTTCCAACTTGTTCTGTACTGTTTTATAACATCTTTCTTCCCAACACTTGTTTTTTTTGGAGAATTCAATACATACACACACATCATGTCCTTGAACGTATCTGATCCCGCTCTTGCCGAAATTTACGAAGACATTAGAGACGACAAGTCCGAGACCAACTGGGTCTTCTTCGGTTTTGCTGATGGTAAGCCTGATCGTCTTCAAGTTGCAGGTTCAGGAAGTGGAGGACTTGATGAATTTGTCGCACACTTGAAGTCTGACGTTGCTGGATGGGGTTATGTTCGTATGAACATGAGTAATGATGAGTAAGTTATCGTGAATGGGGAGAAAGGACAAGAGAGAGAGTGTGTGTATACTAAAAATTGCATGTGCACGCGCAAAACAGATACTCTCAACGTATCAAGTTTGTCTTTGTGCCTTGGTGTGGCGAGAACGTTGGTATCATGCGCAAGGCCAAGTTGTCTATTCAAATCGCTGATGTCAAGAACATTGTTCGTAATTTCCACATTGAAGTGCCTGCATCTCACACTTCAGATTTGACCGAAAGCGAGATCATGACCAAGCTGAGACGTGCTGGTGGTGCCAACTATGATAGACAATCAAGCAATTATTAGACGTTTGGATTCGTTTGCTAGTTGCTTACAGTGAGTATGCTGTTCTCGTTGTGTACATTAATTAATTTAAATAAAAAAATGCTGGCGATTTATTTTCCCTCTTTTCTCCTCTTTTTCAGTGAACATGACTACTTGTATAGAACTAATCGTGTATTTAGAGCCTTCAGCAGAGTTCAAGCATCAAGTCGAGCATTTCCTGGACAGCTGCAAAACGAAGTATGGACCTACAACAGCTAACAAATATGGCTGCCACATTACAATGACTGGATTTTTCAATGTGGACACAGAGGATGATGAGATGCGAGTAAAACAGTTGCTCGATGCATCACTGAAAGATTTACACAAGGCGTCTCCTCCTTCTCCTCAAGTAGAGCGAAAAAGTCTTCTCGCTAGAAACAAGACTACTCAGGAACCCATTCACCTTTTACTTCCTATATCAGTCTCTGAAGATTTTCATGTTGCTATGGAGAACTTGTCTCGAAAATGTGCCAGCATAGCAACGCTTCGACTAAAGAAGATCAATCACATCAGTTTGGCTTATTGGGACGAGCCAGAAGCAACACAAGAGCAGCAGGAACACTGGCGTCTTGCTGTTGCTGAGCAAGGGCTCTTTGAAAACATCCAACATGATGCGGATATGTACTTTGGTGGTGTCAAGGATCCACTTTATTGGGATGTGGTGCTCTATCAAAGAGCGCAGAAAGGGAGTTTGGTTGGCGAATCGCATGTGTTTCGGGAATTGGGTCGATGGAGGGTATAAAATCTAATATGGTTGATGGTAATAGTCGAGCAAGAAGAGCGCTGCCATGTTGCTTGCTTGTATTTGTTGTTTATTCATTACTATCTTTTGAAGATGCGACCTTAATTCGTCTGTCAAGATGGCTAGACGAAAATAAAGTTAGTGTAAACAATATATAAAGTTTGCGTTGATCACGTACTGGTGTAATTTTCTGCTGTTATCAGTTGCATTAACGTAGTCATTGCGTTTACCTTGGTATTCAACGAGTATTCTGTTTTTAGACACTGGACAATCCTGTGTCGAAAGACTGGCTGAGACATAATGTATTCATGATGGCGAGGCTCTAATGGATGGTTAGGTCGCTGTATAGCGTTGCAATGTGTGGCCTCAAGTACCTAAACATATGTTGGCTAGTCCTCCTACTCCAAATTCTCGTAATAGCGGATCGTTATCTGTCAGGGCGTCTAATCCAGTGTCAAAAGCGCTTCATACTCGCTTGATATACATGATAGATTACTCACCCAAGAATAAATCTACCACATGGAGATCCCAGAGCGTGCTGTAGTTGATAGGGTCGTAAGCAAAATTAGCCAGATTGGCCAGCACTTGCTGTTTAGCCTCTGTGTATCAAATGCATGTGAGATGATTGTATTCTCGAACAGACAGTATGCCAAACCCACCTTTGCTCTCTGTCGTTTTATATTCTTGCACGAGTTGATTGAGATAGTATGCTCTGTCTGTGCCAGTTTTGCCATGTCTACGCTCGATGTAAGCTTTACTTTGAAACATGATTTAGGGAACAAAGAGACACATCCAACTGGAAAAGCAGTCTTTTGACACTATTTAAATATCTAAATGAGGAGAAGCCTGGGGGGTCATCTTCTGTTTCTCTCTTCCGCTTTGCTTTTGACTCGAATGCTCAAGAGACTATGGGTGTCGTGCAAGCATCCGTCAGTACTAACGACGAGTAAGTAATCGCTCAATCATCGCCTGCAATACGACTCAATTTTTGCATCGTCGCTAGATTGCGTCCATAGCCCAATTCATTTGACATGTCGGCCATATACCACTAAATCCTTGTTAGAGGAAATCAACATGAAGATGTTTCGAGTATTGGATGATTCAGCAGCTCGTCATCATGGGCATGGAAACACTGTTACCAAAGTTCTGCAACTTGCCAACGAACTTCGAATCAATGGTGTCAAGCCCAACATTGAATCATACGAACACATATTGAGCGCATATGCAAAACGAGGCGACTCCTCTAGAGCCTATTCACTGCTGAAACAGATGGAGGGAGAGGGGATATCGCCGAGTAGAGAGTACTGCCAAAAGGCGTTACAGGTAATCAGTGTGTTGTCTATCCAATACGGTACTTTATAGCCCACTCACACATGTACAATAACAGTTGGCAGCAAAGACAGGCGACACAATAGTGCAAGCAAAGATGCTGCATGCAATGGAGCGACATGGATACCCTAAAACCACAAAAACGTATCATTACATGCTACTTTGCATGCGACAAAATCTGGAATTAGAAAGAGCTTTGAATACATTGGAGATCATGAAGCGTGCGAATCTAGTACCTGGATTGCTTAGTTACCTCGCTGTGATTGACATGGCCTTACATCTTCGAGAGCCCTCCATCGCATGCGACCTATTGAATGAGGCTGAGAAACTAGACACATTCAGAGAGAAGGACAAGGTGTTATACATGCAACTGCTTCGATGTGCTGCTTTGGAAGGACATGTAAGCGTGACAGACTTGGTGCTTGTGAGACGACTCTACTAACACTGAAAATTCAGTACACCACTGTCAGGTCTACTTGGAAGAAGGCAGTAATGGATTGTGGATTTAGTCCGGACGAAGGACTTTGTTTATATGTGTTGCATCTTGCTGGAAAGCACAACGATCCCAAATTAGCAGGTGACGTGATCCGAATTGTTGGAGAGCTTGGATACACATACCGAGAATGCCACTTTGCGCCCTTACTCGACGCATTTGCATCTACGGGAGACATTGCCAGCACGTTCAAAGTATTTTCTTCGATGCGAAAAATAGGCATTATACCGGACAAGAAGACAGCGCTCCCTGTTGCATACAAGATTGGAAGAGATATCAACGCCATTTACAAGGCCAAAGAGGCATTAGAGGACATGGCGGATCGTGGAGAGCCTGTAGATGTCACTGCATTCAACCTGGTGATTCACGCATTTGCATTTAATAGAAAGTATGACGATGCCATCTCCCAGTATGGTCAGGCCAAACGGCTCGGCGTGACACCCAACAGTGAAACATTGGATGCGACACTGGATGCGTGTATTCACTGCAAAGACGCTGAATTAGGTGTGTCAATTTACCACGAGTGTGTGTCGAGGGGTATCAAGGTGTCGGCTACGTCGCTTAGTAAGATGGTGACACTCATGTGCACTCAGGAAGACTACGAAGACGCATTTACCTATCTGGAACGCATGAAAAAGCTTAAAATGATTCCCCTAAGAGGCTGCTATTTTAAGCTTGTCAAGACACTGTCCAGAGCCAACGATCCTAGACTAGACGTTGCGCTGGAAGACATGAGAGCATATGGATATGACACATCTACTCATATGCATGAATTTATGGAGCGAGAAGAGGAAAAGAGAGATCTCTTGCATCTTGCGTAAATAAAATGTTTTTTTTTTTTCTGTATACATGATAAAGTTTGTTTATTGAATAGTAATCCTTTTCACTGAAAAAGGTCCGAGTTAGGGAGAATGGGTTTTGGTATGTAGTAATATAATGAATATTGGAAAATAAAATGGGGTCTGTACAAATTATTAATATGATACGAAAGAGAATAGCATCTATATTGCTAAAGTGGTTTAAACACGAGGCACTTGTTGAGGCTTGAACAAGATCATGTTGGGAACAGGACGGTAAATGTACTACAGAGCTGGTTAGTTTATCGATTTTGAATCACTGCAAAAAGTACTACTTACATCGCGGTACAGTTCATCAATCTTCATGCGAACCAAGCATTTACCAGGCACCTTTTCGTGTCCCATAAACATGGGCCACATGATGTGGTCTTTGGGGATCAATTCAGACATCTTGTTGCGAACAATTTCCCAACCAGCACCGTTGTAGTGAAGATCCAAGACACGAATCAAACGTTGGAATTGACAGTGGAAGAGAGTATGGTATAAAAGCTTGGAGACTTCATCCAGGGTATGAGCTTCGACACAACTGTCAGGTAAAATGTCCAATTCCTCGCCGGTAGATTGCTTGAGTGTCTCATTGTGCACCTTGACACCACCGAAATCACGAATAACAAAGCCCTTTAATTCGCCAGTCTTTCTATCGAACCTAGCCAAGGTGTTTTGACCATGAGCCTCAAAAGCGACACCATTCTCCAAACAAGGTGGCAAGAAAGCGCGGAGGGCCAAGTCGACATATCTGATTGCACACAAGATGGTTGAGTTAGGTTACACTATCCACTTTTTGCAACAACCCAGAAAGCTTAATCTTACCTTTCCAAAAATGCAACCTTCTTTTCCTCAGTATCCAAGCCCCAAACACGGGTAACCAGTGTCTCGTCAGTATCAGGTCTTTGAATCTTCTCCACAAGAGCACCACAGGGAATGAACAAGTCATCCTTGTATTCGGGGCTGTATTCAATGGCTTCACGGATAACACTGCTACAATGTTTGGCTACATCCGAGTCCTCGTGACGATAAGTAATGGTACCTAATTCACGTTCAACATATAGCACTTCACGGTCATAAGTGAGCTTGGGCACTAGCTTGGAGAAACCAGGGCCAAAGTAGGTAGTGAAGGGAGTGACGGTACGGAGAGCAGATGAAATCTTGACACCCAAGCACAGCTTGACACTCAAACCAGGCAGAACGTCAGGTCGGGCGACTGAACGAAGCGATGCCAAAGCCTCCACATGGATAGAGTACTGCTCAGGGAAGATGTAAGCGTCATGGAACTTTTGCTCGACGTTGGGTAATTGAAGTTCGTGGATGGCAATGAATGCATGGTTGTTGAATTTAGCGCGCATTTCGTTAGCATTTCCACCCGCTTCCAGGAGAGCATCGACCAAAGGTTGAGCAAGCTCTTCATAGTTGCCCCGAAGCAACGCGCTTTCCTTGGGAAGACCCACAAGACGAATCTTTGGATGCTCCAAATCGTAAGATCCAGGAAGTAAAACCTTCATGGGAGGATAACTCTTACGAGCCTTGTGCATCTAAGGAAGAAAACGACGTTAAGACCCGCACTACTTTTGACGCTGAATCAATGACTTACAGGATGTGTAGCGTGTCCTTCAACAACAGATTGTTCCCAAGCAATCGTAGATGATTGCAATCCTGGCAAGTGTTTGGGATGATCGTATGTGTATTCTATGATGGCATTTTGTTAGTACAGCTGAAACAAGACATGTCACATAATTTGATCATCATCGGCCATCGCACACTTACTTTGAAAGTTGATGGAGGAACCCAACTCTTGGCCAATCTGTTCTCTCAATTTGCCATTGACTTCCAAATCATGAGCGAAGCGATCCCACATGTGAACTGCGTCATAGCCATCTTCCAAATGGAACTCACCGGGCTGCTGTTGCTGGGTAGATAAGATGGAGACCAAGGTTTGCTTGACATGTTGGGTGCTAGCACTCGACTTATCACTGGCACCAGCGGCTATGGAGTAGATGTGAGGCTGCATGTCAAGATTGTCCACCAAATCGATGCGAGTGCAGACGATGCCATTCCAATTAGCAGTGGTAGTCAAGTCCAAGATAGGAAGACCGCGCAAGGGGATGACAGCCAAGATGGAGTCCAATGTCACTTGATGGATAAGGTCATCTTCCTTGTTCTTGACAGGACGAAGCAACAGACAGAGGCCAATGAAGTTGTCAGCCTCGACAGCAGCCGGCACATAGTAGACGGGAAGCAAGGACTCACTGGTCAAGCAAGCGACTAAACGAGATGTAGTAGCAAAGCTTGCATAATGTTCGTTCTTATCGTAATCAGTAGAGGGAACAGGCATGTTTGAATTTTTAAATTTTTAGTATGAAATACAAAAAGAGAAGAAAGAGAAGCTTATCTGTCTAAATGGTTGCCTCTCAAGCTTCTTTTATAGCCATAGCATCTTGTCTCGGGCTCTCAAAAACATGATCGAAAGAAATTTTTTGGTGATGATGATGACAAAACGGTTATCAGATCTTTTTCTGAAATTTCATGACCCAACATGCATACGTGTAACCATCAAGGCTCAAAGCAGCTAAGACATTAGATATATTGTCTAATCTGATGAAAACCATCCTGCGCTAAAAAAAAAAAAAAAAAAAAAAAAAAGTCATCTTTTATACCTTTTTCATCTCAATTTTTCATAGCTCTGGAGCTGCCTTGGTTTCACGTATCTTATTCGATTCAAACAGAATCAATCCAAAGCCATTGTGCTGAATGACAGTCATTTGAATCAAATTTTCATCAAATAAGTAGAAAAAGGGGGCCCGTCTTTTTTTTTTTTTTTTTTTCCATACTCACATCAAGGTTATACAGCTTTTATATTATTTAACCCGCTTTAATTAGCTATATGCTCTATTCCGTATTACAGCGTGCTTAAGGTTTAGGATATTGTCCCATATCAGATTCCATTTAGATCTCTTTTCACAAATTAGGCTCATTCTGCATTTCATTTCATTTCAAATCAAGTAAAACCAACCTCATCGTCATGCTGCTTGTCCCACCCCCATTCAAATATACGCATTCAGCCTTGTATTTTACATGGGTTAACCATATTTTATCCACTTGTTTGTGTACCTTGGCATTCCTCTAGAAGCACATACACAAGTTGATTAATATAGATTAAGGTTAGATCTCATCTATTAGAGTCTGCTTTCTTGGTAATCCATTACCTGTACATACTGTATTTTGCAGCAGTAACTAAAGATGATCTTGCGGATCTATTTAATTCTTGCTTTTCCTGTTCTGATCGACCGCCATGTCTAATCATTGATCCGGTCACCACAGCGACTTGAGAGACCGATGGATAGCTCGGTGACTGGCTTGAGGGGTATGGGTAAAAGCCTAACGAAATCCTTAAAATTTTGTTTTATACATCCACAACTTACATAACATGTCATTAGAAGAAGAACAAGACGGTTTATTCGGCTTCGACTTTGATGAAGATGACTTCGAAACTAAAAAAGAAAGAATCATTCCGGAGCAAGCTGATTATCAAGCCAAGATCGAAACAGATGGGGTACATGTTGTAGAACTGTCTAAAAACATTGGCACTCACTCACATCTCTATAGTGGTTTCATGAAAGCGGTAAAAGCATAGATGAGCTCATGCTGGAACAACATGGTCCCAACGAAGTGAAGAATGCCATTGAGCATGACTATTTCTATAAGCGATATGACAGAGCATTGACCACAGCGTTGGGATACATCCGTGTAGTCAAAACAAGCGATCAATGTAAGGTGACAGGCACCAAGGAAATTACTGACATTGCCATGCACTGTGCTGCTAAATTGAATCGGCTGGACACATTAGAGGAACTCCTGGATCTTGACAAGTCAGTAAGTGATCCACAGCATCTGGATCCTATTTAGTGCCTGTTGATCTAATGGAAATTTCTGTAGCACACACAAGATCTTGGACTCTATTTGGTGAGAGCCAAGTTTTATCCACTAGTAGGACGCTATGCTGAAGCTATCGACACTTGTGTCATGTACCATAAAGAGAGAAAATTAGACTATCGCATCTGGTCCATCATGGCAGATGTATTTATCAGATCAGCACAACAATCACCTGCTAATAACGCTGAGGATGAAATGCGATACAATTTAGCCAATTTAGCAATGCAACGAGCAGTTCATATTGTCAAGACAAGTCGCTGGAAGACCAACATTGATTTTGTAAAGAGGAGATTAGACAGGGACCTTCAGGGTTTGGAGAATCGGTTACAACAAACAATAGATCAAGGCGGAAATGCAGATAAATTTGTGGAATGGATGTCCTCAATATCAGCAATAGATCAAGATAAGACCATCAAAGCTGCAGGCTTGAGTGAGTTTGATTGGCAACATGTGGTTTGGATATACAAAGATTGGGCTCTGCGTCAAGACCTGGATTTAGACGACGATATCAAAGCAGTGAAAGACATGTAAAGGACACACACACACACACACACACACACACTCCTTAGATACCTTCTTCGCCGCCCCCCTGTTCTCCTAGAAATAACGAAAATAAAAAAACAAACAAACATCATGATAAACAAAAATAAAGGCAGTTTTTCAGGGCTATTTATTTTTCATTTGTCAAGTATTTGATGTGTATCAAAATCATGTTAAAATGATATTTCAAACAGCCAACATAAATCATGGAGAAGGGAGGGCACACTACATTTAGGCTTCAGTTGTAGGTTTTGGCTCTTCGGCCTTATCAGCTTCTGCTACACGAGCAAAGAATTTCAATGTGAATAAACAATGTAAACAACACGTAAAGAGAAGCATCAAAGCATCTTACCTTCTTGAAGATCTGAGGTCCACAAAGTTAAATTATCTCTCAACAATTGCATGATCAAAGTTGAGTCCTTGTAAGATTCTTCGCTCAAGGTGTCGAGTTCAGCAATGGCATCATCGAAAGCTTGTTTGGCCAAATGACAAGCACGATCAGGTGAATTCAAAATCTCATAGTAGAATACAGAGAAGTTCAAAGCAAGACCGAGACGAATAGGATGAGTAGTGGGAAGCTCGGCCTGAGCCACATCAGTAGCGGCCTTGTAGGCATCATGAGCTGCAGTAGCTGCTTCTTTACGAGCATCACCAGTAGCGTATTCAGCGACATAACGGTGATAATCACCCTTCATCTTGTAATAAAAGACCTTGGCTTCACCATCTTGTGCGGAGGGAATCAAGTGATCAGTTAAAAGACTTAGGATATCATTACAAACATCATAGAGCTCGTTTTCAATCTTGTTTCTGTATTCTTTGATCTTGACAACTTGGGCTTCATGGCCCTTGCTTTCTTCCTTTTGTTCAATCGATGATACAATTCTCCAGGATGCACGACGAGCACCGATCACGTTTTTGTACGCGACAGATAAAAGATTACGTTCTTCAACTGTTAAATCAACGCCCAACTAGTTGATAGTATGCGTTAATATGTTGCTTTTGCTTGCATGGAAAGCAGAAGCCTTACCTTGGCAACATCCTTCATATATGACACCATTTCTTTTGTTATTGTGTTTATTTTTTTTTTTTTTAGTCTTGTAACAGAGAAGGTACGTAACCATTCACACTTACCATCGTAGCGTTCTGCTTGTTCGGCAATCTTTGCCATGTAAACCTAGTAGCGTACACAGAAAAATAGGAGAAAAAAAAAAAAAAAGTTGGTTCCATTAGCATACACATCACCTCTCTACAAAAGAGCAAACATCTTACTTGGTCTTCATGTTCCTATCCCATCAAATGTTAATACATCTCTTGTTCCATCCCATAAGCAACATCCATACTTACAGCAGCCATTATGGTTTTATTATATTTTTCAGTAAATTTAAGAGAAAGAAGAAAGAAAGAAAGAGAGGAAAAGAAAAAGGAAAAAGGAAAAAGGAAAGAAAAAGAAAAACCAAGGGGAGGGGGGTCTTCCAATAGTATGGGGCACACACACACACATACACACACACACACACACACACACACACTGGTTTTGTATACGTTAGCGTATACACTCACACCAAGAATAATCATGCGCGCGTTGCTTCCAGGTTTTCATCGTTCTATCGGTTATTCAATGTCGATGACCTAATGTGGTACACAAATAAGATATGAAATGCCACTAAATATTGAAAGAAATTGTACGTGTGGGTAGGTAGTGAGCAGGCTAAGCAAATGTTTAGCAATAAGAAGAGCAAGGCTTATCGAGGCATTCAACTGCACATTCTTGCTGGTAGTAGTTTTGAGATGTTTTGCTTGAGAAACAGACGACGACGAGCGGCATAATATACACATTTCAAAGGATGCCTATATATACAGCCAATAAGTAGCAACGTGTGTATACGAATACAGCCCTCTTCTAGATTTCGCATTTATTTATCTGGGATCTTTCTCAATGCAATTGTTGTAATGTATCCAGTGTACAAAGCTCTTTTAGACACATACACCTGTCCAATAAACTAGGTTCTCATCACATGCCTTTTCCCGTTTTATGCTCCCCATCCTTTTTATATACATGTACTATCATGCTTATATTATTGAGCCTACAACAGAGATGAGATACCTTGTGCATATGCTTAATCTCGCATTATCCAGTTTAGTTGGCATCTCCCAATGTGTAAATGTGCAACATGTCAAATCCTCTACCTCTCTTTATAAATCAACAATACTAAACAATCTTTGCTACTTTGATCTTGAGCCAACGTCATTGTGAAATCGGTTTGGTTGTACGGCCATGCTATACATTGTGGTCTTGGCTGAATAAGGCTGCCTGATGATTTGGGATCTTCAAAAGGAAACCTTTGTGAAATGACTCTATCGTAGTCTAGGAGAAATCTCTCTTGTAATGCTGCGGATTGTGGTCAATCCACTTTCAAGACATATTCAACTCCAAAGCCTCAAAAGATATGGTTTCCCTAAATCCCATTATTCTATGTTAAAACTTAACTTTTCAACTCTCCAGTATCTTGTGAGAAACCTCCAAAAACGATTTGTTACGGTGGACTTGACTCTTCCAGGATGCTTCATGTTTGTATCCGTAAAGACAGTTCATATACAGGCAGACAGCATGGGTTGCATTGTCTCGGATTACTGAAAAGTATGCAAAACACAGCGAATTTTGTATGCATTTGAACCGTGATTTCTCGCGTTAGAGGCCGTTTTAGACCACCAGAGTAACACCAAACAATTTCTCTCGTCTAGCAGTAATTGGCTGACACCTTTGCTCAACCTTTTGGAGACCAAAAAAAACATGGCCAAAAATCGACCAAAAAGCATGAGGTACCCCTCATGGTTTTCATCGGAAATCAAACGGATCGTGTTTTTGACCATCAAAATGAAGACTTTCATTATGGCATACAGTAATTCAAAATGTTTCTCTCGATCCAAAGCAACCTCTGAAACTTAGTATGTGAGACCTCCATATATGAAATCTCAACATTTTCGCCGAAAACTTCATTTCATATTTTTCAATATTGCTCAGTAAGTTTATTCTAAAGGCATGTTTTATTTAGTACCATTGAATGCGCCTTGAAAAGTGCTCCTTAAATGCATTAGGAAGTTGGGGTTAATCATCACAGTTTATATAGTCGAATCTCGCAAAATAGATCAAACAAGTTAAAAAAGTTTAGAAATGAACAAATCAGAGCAGAATGGAAAGCGGGAATTAAATTAGTTTTTGGCATTACCACTGCTATTACTGTGGCGAACCTCGCATGTACCGTGTGCTTTCATGAAACTATCTTTCTGGTTGGAAATCTATATTTCTCTAGCAAGAAGTATGATAAAAAAAAAACTTATAGCAGAGTCCCATCAAAATTACATATATAAAATTATACGAGTTATACCTGGTTTTATAGTATGCATTAGAGACATGTTATCATCGGGTCACATTCGATGGTTTTATTACAGATGTACTATACTATATTGTCGAGCAACAAAGATGATGGCCATGCCTCCCAAGTCAACATACAACTTATAAATCAATTGGGATTGTGGACTAAACCGTTGAGAAATTGATCGCAGCTCGTTTTAACGCTACAAAGAAATTATGGCAAAAGAAAAGAGGTTGAAGCAGTATCTGGAGAACCTCATGCGTAAATTTATGACAACAATCAATAGGTCAAACGCCAGTGGAAGTGAAATGCATAGCAAGGTATGATAAATGATGTGTTTGACGACTAGAGGCTCATTCATGTTTGAGCCAGCTTGTCGGTCATTAGTGTTTGCATCATTTAAAAAGCAACATTTGAAAGGCTGCTGTTGTCTAATTACATTTTTATATTTCTTTCAAAGCAAAATTTACATGTCAACCTCCTCATTCTCTAAATCTTCATCGTCCTCCTCAACATTATCGTCTTCTTCGTCACCCATCTCCATCTTTTCGTCCTCCAGAAATTCGAGATGTTCAGGATTCAACTTGAGATACAGTCTGTTCAAGGTATCCAGATCGTTCTCCAGATCCAGCATTTCATCGTCCTTGATAGAGAAGCGTTCCTCTACTGTGGGCAATTGAGCGACATCGATAGGCTTGGGCCCAAATTCCAACATGTCATTGCGTGCTTGCTCTTCTTGTTCCTCTGTGTAATCATACACATAGTTGTACTGGATAGGCTGAACAGCATCTTTGATCAAAACAGGTGGTTTAGGTTTCTTTGGCGACATTGGGAATTGCTGCAATGGGTCAGGAGGGCCATCTACCACACAGAAGAATTCAAGAGGGTCAAATGTGCCATACGTTCGAGGGCATGTACTGACGTGCTTGTGATACTTGCTCGCAATTGCCTCCAAGCCATCCACCGTCTGTAATTGACCCCATAAATCCAGCACAGGTAGATCTTCAAACATGGGCAAGCTGCTGTTTGGCAATTGAGACAAGATGGTATCACGCTGCATTAAGGGCACCATGAAGGTACCAATCACAGACTGACGCTTCTCTGACTTGACATGCGTACCAAACTCCACATGGTTTGTAGAGAAGGCTTCAAATTCTTGAAAGTTGGGATAAAGCATGAGATAGGTACGCAGGTAGACCAGCTCAATAAAGTACTTCTTCCACGACTTTTTCCACTTGTCAGAACGACTGCCAGGGACACTGATCAAGCGCTGCTGGTGATCTTTGGGAAGGTTGAGATCCTCGAGTCTTCTCACGAGGTACGTATGGAACTCACGCCAGTGTTCTGGGAAGTAGACACCGCCCCAACTACAGGGAACTTGACTAGCATAGGGAATATGCTCAGGATATCCAGCAGGCAACAGCACCGAGTTGGGATCAAATGTGACACGACCAGCTGGTGGTAATTCCAGATTGCGAGGCGCATACAGGCTGATACCATACATGAGACGATAGGCCTCACTGTTGCCACTGTATCTGTATTTAAGAATAGCATACTTGGACCAGACGTAAAAGAGCGGTGATACCTCAATGTCGTCTTCTAGCAAGACCGCATATTCGTCATTGTTGCTTGGGTACCATGACTCGACAATGGCAGGCATTAGGCCACCTTTGCGAATACGATGACGGATCATTTTTTGGCCTTGACGCCATAGGAAGCTGTTGACTAGCATACGGGTCACACGGTCTGCTGATTGTTCCATATGAATCATCAAATCGACCTGATCACCGACGTAGATGGATTTAGCTGCAGACTGCAGTAGACGAGACAGGGAATGTGGTCTTCTGTCTGTGATGACGACTAGTTTGATACTAATGGTGTTCCAGTCTATGATGTGTGGATATGCACATGGTGAGCGTGTGACAGAGCTGGTGCTAGTAAAAAAAAAACTTACATGTTAATGCATCCAAGGAAAGATCAGGAATCCACAAGGCATGGACAACCTCCTTCTCAGGCAAGCCAATCTCGGTAACTTGATGCGTCTTTGCCATGGCTTGCAGGGCATAGTACATGGCATCGTTGGATTTAATCTGGATCATGATGCGAGGCCGAATTGTCTTGACGAGCATACCGATACTGGCATCCTCCGTGTGTTCCCGCATTTGACTAAAATCATGCACCTGGACATTGTCGTGGCAGTTGGTTTCCAGCAAGGCATTCTTGACAGTGTCTCCATCAATATCGCTGCCCATGATGGCAAGGTGAGCAGGGTATTTCTTGAATCGACACAACACAGGGTACAAGGAAATGAGCTGTTTGGCCCCTTGAGCGACGACCAATACACCCGGCTCTGACAGAAATCTATACTGTAAAGCTGTAGGGAATCGGTTTTTAGTAACAAGACTTCTCCATTCTGCATTGCTGATCCATTGCTCTTGTGCTTTTTCGCAGAGCAGCTTGTTGCTGCTGGTTTGCTGTGCATCGGGGGGTAAGGGCAGTGCGATTGTCGGGATACTGAGACGATTGTTCAAATTGAGACTGAGGTAGTAGCCCAAAGGTAGCTTGAGTGCATCCAACGACATGTCCGTCATGACGTAGGGTAGCCAGGATCTGTTCAAAAGCCATGCGCCTAATAGCATATCAGCAGGTTGAGATATGTCATTAGGCAAATGACTGTTTACAGGTAAACAAAAGTTATCAGTAGCAGTTTCTTGATTAGGAGCTAGTACCAGCGCCCTTGTGCCTATGAATGCGTTCTTGTAGTCATCTAATTGATTGACTCTGAACAGATAATCAAGCTCGTTGAGCGAGGAAGCGGTAAGAGGTGTGCTTTCATCCATAATGTAAACGTAGTCTGTGTCAATGTCGTTTTGATTCAGCAGCTGAAGCCAGATAGAGGCACCAGCAGTGCCCAGTGCAAAAGTACTGCTGCTAGCACTGGTTGTGATGGTAGAACGGTCGATGACGGTAATCTTGACTTGCTGATCCTCTAGTTTCTCATCGATTTGGGCCTTGAGTTGAGATGAACAGATGACCGAGATCTGATAGTCTACATCGGATGTCCAGCTCGAGATGACGTCCAATTTCGACAGAGCATCTTTTGAATAGATAGGTAAAATGATTGTCACTGACTGCTCTGCTGCACCTGATGGCTGTGTATTGTAAAGGGTATCGTAATCATGGCCTTCCGTAGTGTAAGTTGTCAGTCGTTGCAAGAAATCAAGCTGGTTACTATTGGTTGAATTGTAAATTGACTTTGCTATCACCCAAGGATTTTGGTCTATTTAGGATTTTAGCTTGATAAATAGGATGAGGTGATGTATTCTCTTTTCTTTTTATTACCATGATCCCACGTTGTATTGAACTCTGATGTTTCTGTTTTTCGAACGGCAGGTGCAGACGTGTGATCATCTGCATTGGCGTCGGTTTTTTTGGTTGTTATCTTGGCATATGAATTTGGTAATAGGAACAATAGAAATGCCGTGGCGAGTACAAAGATGAGCAGAAATTTGATGAATTTCTTTGGCGAATGAAGCCAAGACATGATTCTGTGTGTTTTATCAGAAACAAGAGAAAGGAAGGAGAGAAGAGGGGCACTAAAATAGAGAGGAGCGATAATATATATATATATATATATATATATATACTACTGCTACTACTACTCTGCCCGGACTTGATAAAAACTACAAATGTTACACCTCATATTAAACTTGTTGGCTAATTTTATTATCAAGCGAAATGTCTTTCCTCTTATAGTATAAAAATTGACAAAAGATGGAGAAATCGAATATTAATGTGCCTGCACTGCCAATCAAGTAAGGAAGCGCTTCTAACAGGGAGTCTATGGTTTGTCCAGGATGGCTGAGAATACTGCTTGCATAAGTGAGATTACCACACACTGCAAATACAAACAAGGATGCAGAAAGCCCTTCCACTGATTGGCGACGACGATTCTTCAACAATTGTGGAATACGAGACATTAAATAGAGAGATGTACATGTCCATGCAAAGAGACGGCCCAACCAGACGATGTTGTCTTGGGACAGAGAGAATGACGATACAGATGAAGAGGTAGCAGACATGGTGCTCAAATCGGCATTAGGCACGAGGAACCAGGTAGAGAATAGCAACATGGCCATAAACTTGGACGCCTGTTTTTTTTCAGTGCTAGTGTCGAGTGTGTACCATTTGGATGGTGATGCAGAGGATGAAAATGGCGTTAACTCGTCAATGATGATAGTAGATGTATGGATATTTAAGGGAGTTTGTGCTGGATGTTGAAATATGTCTGTTTGTTGCTTGTTGGTGCTGATGATCTCGTTGGTGGATGAGGAGGGTATAATGAGATAGTCATCGTGATGCTTGGCTTTGATTTTGCTGTAATAAACCCATTGGCACAACAGGCAAATGTCGATGGATACAAAGTAGAATCCAAGATATAATTGAAAAGGCAATTGATGTGTTAAGAGTGCACCTATCAAATTAGCGGTATCCCCTATCAAATTGAAACATGTTAGCATATCTAATCAAGGAGGTTTTTTTTTTTTTTTTTGCTGTATGAATGTTACCTGCTAGCCATATGGATAAGAAATTTAGACTTAGACAATCTGCGGATCCCATCTTGTAGTTCTCTATCACTTGCGGTAGCTGGGCATTTAGCCAGAACAATATAGAAGCGTAGCCAAGCAGTAAACTGACGGCCTCTTGTGTGCTGTAAGCGCAATCGCCAAATACATACTACATGGAGAAATGCATGGCATGAGATACACAGAATGGCATTGCAATGACAATGAAATACATACATTAATCCATTGGATGTATGGGACGCCATCTTGTGTAGGTATACAGACTGTCATATTATATGTATATATAGTGGTATATTTATGAAATATGTACAAAATTGTCAAAAAATTGAAATGTTTGGAAGAAATGAAAAGGTGCAATTAAACAAATATTGATCTGCCTTTTTATAGGTTTTTTTTTTTTTTTTTTTTTACTATCTACAAGATAGAAAACGTAAATTTCTGGGGGTGCTGACTGGAGTAGCTTATATTTTTTAAGGGACATTTTTTTGTTCAGGTACCTGTTGGTTTAACAAACATCTAAACGTGGGTAACATTGCAAAACAACTTGCCCATGTTCCGATGACTTGATATTATTATTATTGTTGGTTTTCCCCCCCTTTCATGGCTCTTATTCAGCCCTTATATCATTAAATAATGTGATGTTGGAGTCTGATGTGGGGGAGTGCGAATCTAACTGCCGCATAGACACTATATATTCTTTTGTTACTCATAAATGTTAGTAGGAATGACTCATGATGCCTAACTACTAGTACTCCGAAATGTTGAAAAAGTTTTTCATCCATGATTTGTCTTGGGGGGGGGGGAGGATGGGGGGAATGAGTGCTCCAATTATAGCAATTTTATCAAAAATGGAATATAATGATATAACAATCATTAAGGAGCATACAGATAATGAGCTCCATATCATTTCAAAAGGCTCCATCCCATCTAAATCATGCCATTTTACAATCATGCTGCCTATGGATGGTATAGATCATTGAAAGACAGTTTTAAGCTGCACATTTGGCCATCTCTACGCTATTTTGCTCACTGGAACAAACTCTACATGCCAAAGCGATGACTTCTATGAGAAAGATGGCTTGTATACATGCTGATGAGGCCATATAAAATCCTTGGAATATCCACATTTCAATACCTTGGCTAAACTGAGCATCTCCATCCTTTGTGCCGCTGCAACATGGCATCTTGTATATCCTCACTACGAAGAAGCAGCGATAAGCCCAGCGATAATAGAGCCTGGCTATACTGTAGATGCTCTGCAATGCAGCTTACCATGCGCGCTGAGGGTACAGTCATATATTGCTGCTCTCAGTAACATGGATTGAAGAATGTAAACCCAAATGTTCTCTTTTTCTCAGTGTGATATCTAATAGATCGGCTACTATTATCAAGAGAGCCATTGCGTACTACATTTTACTATCAACTAGACAGCCTTTACTGTGTGCAATCGTCCAACCCGTGGGAAGTCATCTTTATTCTATAAAAGCAAGTAAACAAATCACTAATCAAAGCGTCTTGTGTTCAAAACCGCAGCCTCTTGCTGCTGGAAGAATATATTAAACTCTCTTTCAGCTGACTCCTCTGAATCACTTGCATGAATCGCATTTTCTTGGACATTTGTACCATACAGAGCCCTTATAGATTTTGGGTACAACTGACGTGCTGTATGAGGGTTAGTGGGGCCAATGAATTGACGTAGATAGGGGATGGCTTCAATTCTCCATAATTGCATAACTCGTATCTCGCTGCGTGTCAGATATCTCTCCAGCTCGGGATAATAGGATGCGTCCAGCTTATCAAAATACCATTCTTTGATCTGATCTGTAGTCGCATTTAGTGTTTTATCGTATTTAATGCTGAAGCCGTGCTCTTGTAGTTGCGATACTATGTCGTGTTGATGTGGCATACCGTCAGGTTTAATGATCGCAACTGTCATGCTGGGTGGTTTACAGTCAAATATGTTCTTGTGCTGAGCGAATCCGACGGGTAATCGTGAGCATATCTCATACTGTACTTGCTTGATCGACAAATGTGCGAAAAATGAATTGTTTGGTATCAGCAAAAAGAATATGAAGGGGCCATAAAATAGAATGAGGAAGATGGAGAGCTTGAGGTATTCGGGCATATTCTCTAATGAGAGAGAGCGAAAAAAAGAAACAAAGCGCCTGTTCAGCACTACCCGCAACAACCACACTGTTATTGATATACCTAATGACGTAACTCCATGCTGGCATGGATCAGATACATTTCATTTCAATCTTGCAAAGAATATCAAACATCTATAGCAATTGATATATGCAACTGGGGCTTGACCATGGCAGCAGAAACGCAATATGATGACTGATGATGAAAAAAGTTTTTTTGGGACCAGTGTGTCGATTCTTTTGGCATGGTTTTGCGACTGATTGGTGTTGAGAACGCAATGCCCATCAGATGACTCTTTATCGCTGCTGCGTATAGCTGTCGAGGCCAATGTTCTTGCCACACGTGAGGTCGATATGTGCATGTGCTTGGTAACGAATAAAGCGTTTAATTTTCTAGAGAGCGAGGAGGAGGGTAGCACCTTATTGACCTTGTTTGTCTGCCAATGGAAATCATGTAAATTCAGTTACCAATTGGTCTAATATGGAAATAATTGAATATTGGATTCCTCTTCTTTTTTTTTTTTTTTTTTTTTTTTCTCTCTTTCTCGTTTTCACATTACAACAGAGCATTTGCTTGCGCCATAGTACAACCTACACAGTGCAACAATAAATTGCATTACTAGTCTTAGTATGGGCTCCAAACCAAGCAGCACTGCAGCGGCACATAATACAACCAAGCGTAAACGCTCGAATACCCAAGCATCTCATCATAGCACTCATATGGAGAATATAAAGACAGTTCAAGAGCCAACGCGTACCAGCAACACAAGGACGATTCCAGTGCCTGCTCAAGTCATCATGTAGGTGCTGTTGTTAAAGTGTAATCTATCGTATTTTTAATGTGTTTGTATAGCCCAAAGGTAACCTGGATAGAAGGACGCTACTAAGTCCGGTATTAACCTTTTCAAATCGTCCGCAAGTTCAATGCACAACAATGTGAGCAGTTATTTCAGCGGTATGCTGATCAGGATTCCCCAGATATGATTACGCCAGATGGTACAAGGCAGTTTTTTGAGGACTTGGGGTTATCCATTGAGGATGTAAGTTATAGAGAGGGATTTCGGTCTTGAAGAGGAGTAGTTGATAAGGGATCCTAGGTTTTGATATTTGCAATTGCATGGAAGATGCATACATCTACAATGGGTGAGTGTCTTTATCGATACATTAGCAGGGAAACTAAACCCATTTCAATGGATGTATCACACAGGCTATATTACCAAAGATGAGTGGATGTTTGGAATGAAGGAATTAGAGTATGTATAAAGGCACGGAAGAAAGAGGATAACAAGGAAGGAAGGTTAAGAATGGCATGTAGAACCGACACGATAGAGAAGCTGAAAGCAAAGAGATCCGATTTTGAGAAAGTGTTCCATGATCCTGAACAGTTCAAAGAGATGTACAAATATACGTTTACCTATGCAAAGAATAGGGATCAGAAATGCATTGAGATTGAGGTAATTGCTGTCATTCAGGGTTGTCTAACAGTGACTAATCAACAAACAAAACCAAAAAAAAAGACCGCATCTGTACTTTGGACAATGTTACTAAGTGAGAGATATCCAATTGTAAACGATTTTGTATCATTTTTGCAGGAAAAGAAACCTGTTAAAGTGATAAACAGAGACCAATGGCAGAGCTTTTTGGAGTTTGTGTCTATAGATATTGCTGATTACGACGAATCTTCTGCTTGTAAGTGGACAATGGGGCACTTCCGTTCTAGTATTCATCATCCATGTTGTAGGGCCAGTTTTGTTTGATGAATTTGTTGAATGGAGGAAAGAGCAATCTTGATAAATAAACTGAAGATATCAGATGTTTGTCATTGCTGACAATACATGTACCCAGGTTTTGCGTGTTTGTGTACAATCGACTATGGATGCTTCAAAGACTTCAATCATAATGCAAGAGGAGCATGTCACTCGAGAACAGAGCTGCCATCATTGCTAACATGACAACATATGTGCGGATCTCTTTTGTCCTAACTTTCCAATGCCTGTCAATCCAATGTTGATATGAAACGGTACATGCTTAGTAAGTGGGATGACTTTCAGTATCTGTCTACTAGCCGATCTATTTCGCTACGCTCGATGTCGGTGTCGCCCTGCGACCTCTCGCAGAAGACATTATAAATCAAATATGATAAAATTTTGGTACATCAAGTAGATTTTAAACAATCAATTATTAGTAAAAAAAAAAAATTATATATATCAGAGCCAGGAGGAGGAGGAGGAGGAGACGTATCTCCCTCAGCATCATTTTTGCTTATACACTGATATCAAACGAAGCCTATTATTAAGACGATGTGAAAGAAAACTCAAGCTTTATGCAGCATGTGTACACCACAATCCCCATTTTCTGATAGTAGAATTGTCGTACCACTCGCTGCTGCTGATGCCCTTAATACGATGGAGACATAAAGCTGGTTATAAGTAAATATAAGACTTGCATAAGACCTACAGCGATTTTTTTTTGAGATATTGTCATCATCAGAAAAGCATTTGGGCCAGCCAGCAGCAGCACCGCGCGCTAAAATCAATTCAAACTCAGTTTATTTTTTTCTGCTCAAGATTGGACAGATTTCGTCTTTTGCCGACTTCTTTAATCTATTTTATGAAATTCGACTATGTAAACTGTAATGATTACCCTATGTTTCCTAATACATTCTTGGAGTGCTTTTCAAGGCGTTTCCAATGGTGCCAAGTAAAACAGATGTTTTGACTGAAAATATTGAGCAATTTATTAAAATTTGAAATGAGGTTTTTAGTGAAAATACCCAGATTTTGCATATGAAAGCCTCATAAAAGTGGTTTCAGAGGCTGCTTTGGATCGAGAGAAACATTTTGATCCAATACATACCATAGTAAAAGTCTTCATTTTCAAGGTGAAAAATGCGATCGTTTAATTTTCGGTGAAAACCATGAGGTACCCCTCATGCTTTTTGGTCGATTTTTGGCCATGTTTTTTAAGTCTTCAAAAAGTTGAGCAAAAGTGTCAGAAAGTTACTACTACTCAAGTACAATTCTTTGGCATCATTCTGGTGACTCATAAAGGCCTACATGTCAAGACATGAAGGCTTGAAAGCTGTCAAATTTGGTTATGTATTGCTTTATAGAGTGTATTTACACGACATAAATCACATCTTTGGTAGCTACAGTTCTGCAGTTTGTGCATCTTCTAATTCGAGCAGGAGGCATACTGATTTCGGTAAAGCTGATTCATGCAAATTTTGATGCGATATGTTGCTGGTAAGCTTATTAACAATGGAAATGAAAACTCGAATCTGCTGCTTGAGTACTATGGCTTTGCACCTTTGCTTCGTTACCTTAAAGCCTCCCTATAAATGAATGCTATCAAATGTTGAATTAGACGCTTTACGTTCTTCGCCAAAACCCCCCTCCCCATAGCCGGCTTTGCCGGCGTTTTATTCACCTTATACGGCACACAACTCTTTAAACTTCTGAAAGGATATGATTTGTTTGTCTGCTTTTTTTGAATGTTTTTAAAGTATATATATATTAGACGATACTTTTATTCCAACAGCAAGTAGCAGGGAGCTCGCTATAAATTGCTACAAGTATTACAATTCGGCATGCTTCAGGAAAACTTGGGTCTCTTGCATCTAATTGTAAAGTCGTTGTATCTGGATCATAGTTTTAAAGGTGCTCCATCCCCTGATCAAAGGCTACTTTTAGATTTTTCTCATAGATTTTAGACAGTAATGCTTGGCAAGGTTGAGACTACAGGTTAATGATCTCTGTATGGAACATGTGAATAACCAATCTACAATATTGTATTTACCTAATTTCATCAATTCATTCCAATTGGCATCACATCTCAATTTTAATCCGATGCCAATCGGCAGTAAGATGAAAGGCATTTTCAGTGATGACAGAACCTTTTTGTACAATCCTTCCGTTCTATTCAATGAGAGCCACCGCTCCGAGCTACAGGAAAGCTCGAGCTTATGGTAATACGTCGCTCAAGTTGGGTGATCAGGGCCATTTGGTGTAACAGTGGCAATTGCACGGACATTTGCATAGGGGAACAAGAAGTACTTTCCCATTGCTGCATTTCAGGATGTAGATCAATAGACACGAGACCATGTTTAAGCTTTTCAGGATTCACTTGAAGGCTACTATTGTACTTGAAAGCACATGTGATACCGATTTGGGCATACGATGTTCAAGGTATGCCATTTCGAGACACTCTTCCCTTTGACAGCATTGTATTTACGAATTTTGGTCCTGCCAATGTCTTCCCTTGATGACAGCAAGTACTTGGTCACCCAGATTACTGATTGGAGGTACAAAATGTAGTAAGAAGACAAATGGGCGCATACATTTACCAGCTGTTTCACGTTTAACCTTCTAAATACATCTGGAATGTGTTATAAATGAAGCATGGTAAAACACACAGGTTTCACATGGCATCCCAGAATAAAATGTGGATCAGGCAGGAGCCATGGAAATCAAGCCGAGCTACCAAGGTTTGAGCCAAAAATATATTGTTCATCTTGGAAAAAGATGCAAAGATGGTTTATTGTAAATATGTCTAACGGGAGAGGGAAAAGATAGAATGATACTAAAAGAAATACATAGAACAAGACAAAAATTAGACTTTTTTTCGGGTGGTGTTGTTGTAAAGGGTTATATATAATATGCTAATGAGTTTTTGGATTATTTAATGATGGGCTTCCTTGTTTTCGAGCGTTAGCTTGTTGAATGCTTCAATATCACCTTCACTCAAAAGCTCCTGCTCTCTTGTTTGAACTTGGTTCTTTCTGCGGAGAGCAGGGAATAAGAAATCCTCTTCCTCTTCATCGTCATTGAACATGTTGTTGACTTCCATTCTCAAACGGGGAGATGCAGGGGCAGACAAAGGCTTGGGAATCTTGACAGGAGCATCAGACAAGAGCTCTTCTTCATCATCATCAATGAAACTATCGGGATAGGCACGACGGAGGGCCAATTGACGAGCTTTGATATATTCAAGACCCATGCGCTTCCAATCAAGAAGATCAGACAAACGTTCAGTACGGTTACGTTGGTTGATACGTTGACGACGAGTTTTTTGAACGAATTGGTACATTTGGTCACACAATTGTTGGAGAGAATCCTCGACGGACTTCATGCGACGGTCAGTAATGTAAATACCGTAATCATCACAGTTTTCAATGTTCTCCTCCATGAAACAGCCAAAACCAGAGAGATTAGTAGTGATGGAGGGAACACCCATAACAGTACATTCAGCGGGAGTGTAACCCCAAGGCTCATAGTAAGAGGGAAAGACACCCAAATGACAACCACGGACAAACTCTTCATAATCCATACCAATCAAGGGGTTGTTGGCGTTCAAAAATTCAGGATGGAATACAATCTTGACGCGATCATCAGAGTTGTTGAACATGTTGAGGCGACGAAGTTGATTCAAGACGGGGTCCTTTGCATCATCAACAATGTTGTGAGTGACAATGGGAGGTAGAGTAGTACGCTTGAGAGCAAACACACGACGTTTTAAGAGAACCTTGTCGGCATCAGAAAGGAAGTTGGTAGGGTTGATGTCTTCGAGACGAAGGGCGTTCTCGTAGATGGCCTTACCGACACGGTCCTGAATTTCACTTACGGTGGTGCGCAATTGACGTGTGACAGCTTGACCCTTCAATGCCTCGACGTTAAAAGAGTGGGTAGCAGTAGGCATGATGAGGAAAGCAACTACTGTCATCTTGGAGCCAGAAGACTTGAGACGGGCGTTCAAACCTGATGTCGAATATTGAGGATTAAGGTTAGTTTCCGCTTCAAATACAAACACAAAATGAATAAAAACTTACGAGCAAGAGACTCTACAAACATGTCGACACCCTTATTACGATATTCATAACGGCCGGCGGTAAAAATGTAGATGGTGTTGTCGAGATCAAAGTCGTAGTGACCATAGAAATGACCGCGAACAAAGTCATTGATCTTCTCCTTGGACAGGGCGTGGAGATTTTGGAATTCATGCATAGCAGAGAACTTGACCACGTTCAAACCATTGGGCAATACGCCATCTAATCATTACATTCATCAGTAACGACCAAAAGAAAGAGGTATCCAGCTACTTACCAGGCTTGCGCTTCAACAAATGCTCGGATTCATAAGCTGTAATGTGGGATACAGTGGTGAAAACATCGGCACAGTGGGCAGCACCGCGTTCAATGCAGTAACGATGGTAGATACCACGCTTGCCAGCCTCCTCATCGACATCAAAGTTGGCGAGGTTGTTGTAGAAATCAACAGAGCCAGCACAGAGGTAACGACCCAAAAGAGTAGCATGAGTAGTGAAAATTGTACAAACGTCAAGATGACGCTTCTTGATCAAAGGCACGGCTACACCAGCTAACCATTCGTGGAAATGACAGATAATAGCTGGGTCTCCAGACTTGTTGTACTACAAGATGCGAATAATACTGTTTAGTATGTGTGCTTTTTTTTTCCCTGTTGTTCTCTTTTATTCTCCACTCTAAACATCCAAATCTCGCTCTCGCTCTCTCATGTTGCACATCCGATGCGTATAAGTATAATAGCTACAAGTAATATTTACCTTTGGTGTGAGTTCGCCCAAGAACCAAGTGACCAAATAACCAAAGAGAATAGCATCATTGGTTTCGGTATCGTGTGGAGGAGATGGGATACCAGCAGAGCGCCAGAGATCGCCTTTCCATTCATCCAATTTGTGAGCGACACTGCCAGTATCAAACAAAAGGACATAAGGAGATCCTTCTACTAACCAGCGACCATAGAGATACTTGACACCGTATTGAGCCATGGAATCGAGAACTTGCTTCATCTTCTCGTTAGCAGGTTCGCAGGCTTCAACCTCCATTGGAGCACTCTTGTAAGATAAAGGACCAATTAATGTATAACGATCTCCAAATTCACGGACAGTAACAGGGACCTTGGTCTTGATGACTGTGTAGATACCACCAACTAGTCGATGGCTATGCTGTTAGTAAAAACGCCCGAGAATGGCTAGTTTAGCTTACCTTTGTTAGCAACTTCCCAGGCAATCTCGAAGAGAAGAGGGTTATAAACATCTCTTTGAACGGTAGTCATAATGTATGCGTATTGATGGGATAAGGTATACTTTCTCTTATGAATATATAAAAAAAAAACAAAAGAAAAAAGCTAGAAAAAAAGCAAAACGAAAATACAAATAATGCAACGGTCGTTTTATATCTCTCTTGGTTTTTTTTTTTTTTTTTCTCGCCTTTCATGGCGTGATGGGAAGGAAGCTGGAAAGTTTTCTGTGCACTGGTCTCTTTCTATGGTTAAACCGGCGATTATAAAGATATGAAGAAATGGGGGGAGACCTTGCTTGATTTAGTTATTCCATTACTCTTTTCTGCTGTGTTTTTTTTATGATCTCCACCAAAGAACTCAAATTTCTCCTTTGCTATTTTAGCGATCCAAATTTCAGTTATCTATCATGCCATCTTTTGTTACATTTCATGCGCTCAACTATTCATCTCATTCATGTTTTTCAATTGAATCAGTGATTTGATGTCCCGAACAAAGACATTTCATGTTTCGACATATTGAGGTCAACTAATGCAACAGCTTTTGTTATGCTTTGATTGTAAAAGATATCATTTCGTTGCTATTTTCCGAGTTGCTTGATTTATACTTCATTGTTGCTATCTGGACAATCAAAGAACAGTTTTTTTTTCTTGTGTATACATGAAAAAGAAACGAATAAGAAGGTATCAAGGGTTTCCAAACTTGGAACCAGATGGGTTTCTTTTTTTCCCATTCTATTGATTGACCGACCCCGTAAACATTACAAAAATACATGGTGTTTTTCTTGTCATTATGATAAGGTATAGCTTGGTCCTATCATTTGCATAAACATCCTATCAGACATAATTTTTCCTTTTTTAAATTTTGGTTTTTTTTTTATTGAGAAAGAGAAAAAGAAAAAAAATCTTGCGGCAAATGTCGAGTGTGAGCGTGCGTGCATGTGTGTATTGTGTATGGGTGCGAGGTTTTATGGCATTTTGAAAGTGTGTCTGTGTGTATATATTATGAATTTTAAGCCAAGAACCTGCCAACAATGTGAAGACCGAACACAGATGCGATGAAGGTCAAGGAAAGAACCAAAACAACAACAGGATCACTAATTGTTTACACACAAAATCAATCCATTACATATTTAGTTACCACGAGCATGTACGTTTTAACTTGATTTACTTACACGCGAAGTCCTGGAGAGTCATCAGAGTAGATGCGCATCATGCTGGATGTGCTGCCACCAGGGATACCACCGCGAGCAGCATTGCTGTTGTTACTGCGAGAGGTAACACGCTTTCTACTCGACAAAACGATGATTAGAAATAGTTCCTCCTCTATTATGGATGTCCACAATCTCTCTCTCTCTCTCTCTCTCTCTCTCTCTCTCTTGTCCCTTCAATTGCAGCAAACTCTGTCTGATCCATGTTGGCTATCATTCAAGCAATACAGTATTGTCCTGATGGCTGACACAATTCGATGACAAAAAGTTTGAATGCAATGAAATGCCCATACTCCTTGATGAGAAGCCCAAAATTACCTGATAGTGCCCTTGGGAGTTGAGGAATCGGCTTGCTATAATAGAAATCATGATGATTAGATGAGGTTTTTTTCTCCTGTTGTCTTCTTCATCTTGTTTACCATTATGTTTATGTGTGCTGAAGTGAAAAGAAATTGAAAAATATAATATCAAGGCGCGATAGATTGATACTTTTTCTCTCCATCCACTTAGATTGTCGTTCCACAGGTTGTTGTGGTATCTTGATTGGTTCTAAATGATTGCAATTACTAGTGAAAGAGTCACGAAGCTCGCCCCTTTCTTGTACAATCTTGCTTTAAAATCATGGCAATGCACGGGTATAAGGCTACAGTATACAGTACTTTAGTTTTGATAGAGCTCAAATTAAGACAAACAAGAACAATTGAGATTTTGAAGTAAAATATTGCTTAGTATCAGCATTTATATAATGCAGATCAAGAATTCCAAGTGGCCTTCCAAATCACATTGCTTACCATACTCTGTATCAAACCCCAATGTTTTTTCAGACTAACTCGGCATTAATCGAACCTCAAGGTCGATGAAGTGACATGAAGTTCTACACAAAACTTTTGAAATCAGATATAAAGCTCTAGTGAGAACATTGGGCTCATTTTCAACCCTCCAATTGTAAAGAAAAATCAAATCATGCATCACATATCAGCAATTTTCAAGAGAGCTGTTGAATGTAATGTCAAGCATCGATGTTGAGGTTTGAGCAAAGACGTATGTACGGAGATCGCTGGTAATTTCGAGAATAATTCGATATACTACCGAATTACTCCACTGTTAATACTTAAAATCTTACTTTTTAACCTAAAATATCAGATGAGAAGCTGTTGTAAACGGCCAGTGGCTGTAAATCTGACTCTATAACAATGCTCCACAATTGTATCGGTAGGAATAACTCATATATAGACTGACAGAATAGTAGCATCGCCCATGCTCCTTGAGAATAGGCGACTCGCATCACATTTCGGATGCGCTTAATCTATAATTTCTAGTATTTGAAGCAGTTTTAGACAGCCGGAATAGCACCAAACAATTGCTCTCGTCCGGCAGTTACTTACTACTACCTTTGCTCAACTTTTTGGGGACCAAAAAAACATGATCAAAATTCGAACAAAAAGCATGAGGTACCCCTCATGGTTTTCATCGAAAATCATGGCTTTCTCCGCTAAAGATCACAAAATAGCAGAAAAAGGTGGGATTTCCAGTAATGGAGGTTCCACGCTGGATTCTAGCCATAATCCAGGCAACAACATTTTTACCTATGCATCACTTTTTCAAGATATCAAGAGTCAGAAGCGAACAACCTTCAACATTGCTCCAGCTATCGACAACAACGCCTCCACAACTGGAAGACCTTTGGACTACAACTCAACATTCGTAGAAGCTAAAGATGACTACTCTCTCGTCATTGATTGTTCTCAATTTGCTGGGATGGTATTCAGAGAGAAGCCCTTGCTCACTTGTCTTCGAGATCACTATTCCAAAGGATTGGGAATTAGAACACGTATGGTTGGTAAGAACCATAAGGTCATTGAAATCAGCTTTCCAAGCCAGGAAGATTGCGAGGAGGCTCTGAACAAGGAACTCGTCTTACAAGGGAAGATAATTAAGGTGAACAAGACTTTGGACAAAAATGCCAACGTCCTCAGAGTAGGTGTCTCTGAGCTTCCTTACAAAACTGAAGAAGTTTTGAAGCCTTTGATGGTGGAGACCTTCCAAAAATATGGGGACATTCTCAATCTTGGTCTTAGCTATACCAAAGATGGTAATTGGTTTACTGGTCGCGGTTTTGTCACTCTAAATAGGGACAAATTAAAAAGTTACGCAGCTGAACTTACCCCTCAGATCCAGTTTGGGAATTTCAAGGAGAAGCTACATTTGGTTTGGAGTAACATGAACCCAATTTGTCAAGACTGTCACACTGATGATCATATCAAAGCTGATTGTCCTCGAACAAAGAGGAAAGCATGTTTCCGATGCGGAAGCTTGGAACATCTCATCGCCGGGTGCCCATTAGCCTCATGGAATAGAGTGAAGAAAACTAATGATCACAACAAACAAGGTCAACATCGCCAGCAAGAAAATGTTGCCCAACCTAAACCTATAGGTAGAAAGGTTGACCTTTTAGATCTAATGAATGTGGACCCTCCTAAGTACCTCAACCACAAGAAGGGGAAAAGGAAGGCTACATCCCTTTCGTCGAAATCCACAAGCGATGATGAGGCACTTTCCAAGGGGGAAGTATCTTCAGCTGACGAGCCAGAGTCTGATTCCGACGCTGAAAATGTCCAAGAACATTCAACCAACTTGAACGACAGCAAGGATATGCAAATGGAAGAGGAAGGTGACTCCCATGATGGTGAATCTCAGGGTGATGAATCTCAGGTTGCTGAATCCGAGGGTCGGGAATCTCAGGCAGGTAGCCTCTCACAAGAGGATGCTCCCAAGGGACATCTCGAGGAGGAGGAGGACAATAATTCCTTTGGTGATGAGGAGTATGTCAAGTCTACTAGCGAGGAAGATAGCGATGGGGAATCTCCTAAGGTTGTTCAGGACAATGTAAGTAGATATAACTTGCGACACTCTGGGCACAAGAACAGTGTAGATGAACCTACTGAGGAACATCCCAAGCGATCTATCGATGAACTGGCTTCTACCCCTCCAGTAGAGGACAGCGAAGGTCCTAGCAAAAAGCAGATTAAACAGCAAGAGACTAACACCAGAGACGAAATGGTCTTGGATGGATCATCAACCACAAACACATTATAATTAATTAATGAGTAACACCAACCAAACTAGAAACATTAACATTAGGATAGGTTCCCTCAATTGCAGGAACCTCAACAAACAATATAACACCAATACAACAAATAGGTTCATCACCTACCTTAAGCAACAAAAGTTAAATATATTACTATGCCAGGAAACAAATATTCCTCACCATTCCTTTGAAAACATTACAACAAATTTTAAATATCAATTCCAGTACCACCAAGCAATTTGGACTGGACAATGTGGAGTCATCAACTTCAATCCATCACTGAATCTACAACAAATCAAAATACTAGAAGACGGAAGAGTTATTCTGACCAAGCTATCACTGGTTAACAATAACATGCCTCCAATTTACATTTTAAATATCTATGCTCACTCTGATGACTACAGGGCGAGAAATCACTTGTTCGACCAAATCATCAGTCTCCTCAACTCCATGCCTGAGATTATCCCTTCTCTCATCATAGCCGGTGACATGAACTGCTGCTTCGACTCCACAAGCCAACGCTATAATCGCCAAACTGGAAAGCCCAAAAGTTTCATTGAATTTTTGAACACTCACTTTTCAGATTGCTTGAACCAACCAAATTTACCGCATGATTACACTTTTAGACGTGGATCGTCTCTTTCCACTCTCGACTATATGTTTGCAGGCCGCGATGCTTTCTTCAAAATGAGTGATGGTGATATCACATTTCTCTCTCAAGAATGGACAGACCATGCCTTGTTAACCAAGACATACACTACCGGCATGACTAACTGTGGTAAAGGTGTTTGGCGGGCCAACCCCTTTCTTGCGAAGAACCCTATCTACGTCAACAAATTAAACACTGCTATCTCTAACTACGTTGAAACCAAATTAGATCCTAACCTATCTGCTCAAGAAAAATGGGACCTGATTAAGAAGAAAACTAAGCAAGTTACTCAAAACTTCAGCCGCACTCACTGTTCATGGAGGAAAGCTAAAATCAAGAAGTTACAGAGCGAGAGGAACAATTTGCTACGTAGGTACCGGGATGATTCCGTCTGTCTTAATCTTTTGCTTTCTCCTGTCGAAAAGGAGCTATCCCAACTCCAACAAGAGATAGTTGACGTCCAACGACTGAGAGCAGGACAGAGATGGCACGAGAAGAGTGAAAAGTCTCCAGGTTACATCAAGCAAACATTAGCGGAAAAGGCATCCAAGCGAACAATCTCTAGCCTAAAGCATCCTACTTCCGGGGAACAATGCTTGGAAACTAGTACTAAACTTGACGCTGCCAAAGTCTTTTATCAAGACCTATACACCGAGGAAGAAATTGATCTCAATTGTGTGGAAAGAATGCTACAATATATCGACAAAACAATTCCAGCTGAGGACTCACAGGACATCATTGAAGACATACCTTACGAAGATATCATTCAAGGATCTCGAAGAACGCCAAATGGTAGTAGTCCGGGCCTGGATGGTATATGTTACGAAATTTTGCACCTTCTAGTAATCAACCCGAGCTGTGAAGCGATTATTCTGCAAGTGTTCAACGATGCTTTATCACTAGGCAAATTCCCAAAATCCTGGCAGGAATCATGTATTGTGCTGCTACCAAAGAAAGGGGATATGACTGACCTTGGCAACTACCGTCCAATAACCCTAATAGCCTCTGATTGCAAAGTGTTTACCAGACTACTTAACTCACGAGTCATAGAGGTAGCAAGTGACCTTATAGGCCCCCACCAAAGTGGTTTCCTGAGAGGTAGATACATTGGAGACCATGGGATGTCGTTGAAAGTGATTGTAGACAATGCACGTGAAGCAAGATGGAACAATTCTGGAGAATTTGTCGAATATGCTGGGATTATGCTGGACAACGCCAAAGCGTATGATAGGGTACATCCCCAGTATCTATCCAAGGTCCTAGTGAAGTTTGGTTTCCCAAAACAGTTTGTCCAATGCATCTGCAAGTTATTCTTCGACAACTCCATTTACGTGAATGTCAATGGCTTTTTAACAGATCCTATCGAGCAAAGACGCGGCATCAGACAAGGAGACAGTATATCACCAATGCTGTTCAACTTGGCTATTGAACCATTTCTGCTATCTGTGACCAAAAGTACAACTATCTCGGGGTATAGTCTCCAGCACGTCAAGCCTATAAGCAAGAGAACAAACAGTTGGGTGGCTCCTCCTCCATTGAAAGTACTCGCATATGCGGATGATGTCCTGACTTTCGTCAAGTCTCGGGCAGAACTTCTTGATCTGGAAGAAAGATTGAGAACTTACAACAAGGCCTCGAACTCCAAGATCAACTACGACAAGTCCGTGGCCTTCCCTCTTCATGGT